TGACTCTTGCGAGCGGCGATTTACCACCGGAGCAGTAAGAATGGCGTACTGACGGAGGGGATGGACAGTCTGAATCAGAACCAGATTGGCGATGCGGGAGCGCAGGCAATCGCAGAAGCATTCAAAGTGAACACGAGGCTGGCCGAGCTCAAGTAAGTCATTTTCACTGCTACTGATGAATGCGAGTGGATGGTTTCCGCCGGGAGCATTCAAAGCGCTCACTGAGGGATGGTCAGTTTGGACAAGAATCATATTGGAGATGTTGGAGCGCAGGCGATCGCAGAGGTGCTGAAAGTGAACACGACGCTGTTGTATCTCAAGTAGGTTACTCTCGACGCTTCTTTTCGGGTCCTGGATGTCGAGCCACGGCGAGAACTGAACCTCCTACCGTTGTCAATCCTGCTCACCCATTGAGCGACAGTCTAGAATACAATTGCATTGGCAACGTTGGTGTGCGAATGATAGATACGGCACCCAAAGTCAACGGCAAGCGTGATATCCAGTAAGTTAGCCTTCCCAAAGATTGCCACTGATGCACACTGTTCTTTCGCAGCAATACTTGTTGAACTGGCCCTCCCGACTGGCGCGTATATCTTGCTTGTATTGTACAGCATCGACCGCCAGATAAACCCGCTTGCATTCTCCATGCTTCCACGGTTAGCAGCCGCCGAGGACCTTCAGGCTGTGTTTCGATTGCTGGTCAGCGGACCGGAGCTGGAGGCGGCTCAGGCGCCGACGTCTCTGCCAGCACTACCAGTCGAGATTGCCGAGCGCATGATGGACGAGGCGTATTACTGGCAAGGCGTGCAGCACGCCCAACGAGAATGTGCTGATGAGGGTCTGAACGTTACGGTGCCACGAAGCACCGATGGAAGTTTGATCCGCGTGAAAGCAATTCAAGTGCTTCGTGACAAAGTGGAAGCTCCCTACATCACCGATGGCGACATTTTTGATGTGATTGTCCGCGATGAGCAAGGTGCTGTTCGATACGAATGTGCTGCGCAGCCAACTGTGACCGATTCGACGCTGGGACTTGTGACGATCTTGCCAGCGAGCTCTCCAATCATTCGACAAATGCGCGAGGGTTGGCAAGTACAAGTTCGACCCAGCAAGGTTGCCTTTTACGTGGTGTATGAGGCTCTTTATGTCGGATACATCTAACGAACGAATGGCAATCATCGCACCCTTCTTGACGAGTACAATTGTTTCATTCAAACAGTCATGTGGTTGTCATCGCGTTTAAGTTCTCCAAGCGCTTCACAAGGGCTTCACAAGGGCTTTGACAAGTTGACAACAACAACAACCAACAACAACAACAACAACAACAACAACAACAACAACAACAACAACAACAACAACAACAACAACAACAACAACAACAACAACAACAACAACAACAACAACAGTGTGCAAAACAGTTGCCCTTGCCACAGGTCGATCAATACATACGATGCGCCTCGTCTCAACAAACACCGGAACAATACGAAGTTTCTCATTCATCATTCTTTCCCTTCCTTTTCTTTTTTTTCTGAGATTTTTTCACAACCGTTTCTCAATGGCTGCGCTTCTGAGACACATTGGCGGAACGGTCGTCGGTGCCGCTCCGCTGGCTGTGGCGTTCGCGTGCGCGCCGTCTTTCACCATGCTGTGGAGTGTGATGCGCGTTGCCACTGCGCCGCTGCCCATCCGCGTGTTTGAGCGCTGCGATGTCGTCCTGTACGATCTGTACCAGTCCTTCGTCTCGTTCTTCTACGAGCACTGGGCTGGCGTGCGCCTCGTCTTCCACGGCGATGTCCTCCCAAGCAGCGCCCAGGCTGCCACGATCGTCCCGCTCACGGCCGATGGGACCAAGCCGCTCCTCGAAGTCCAAGCCCATGGAGCGGCAGCCGTCGGCAATGCTGGTGCTGCCTCTGCTGCTGCCACTGCGACTGCTGCAACTGGTGCTCCCGAGGCCGAAAACGTCCTGTACATGTCCAACCACCAGTGCGCGGCGGACTGGGTGATGGTCGACCTGATCGCCTTGCGCCACGGGGCGCTGGGCCGCATCCGATACATGATGAAGCGCTCCCTCCGACTCCTCCCGCTCTACGGCTGGTACTTTGCCATGCACAGCTGCGTGTTTGTCCGCAAAAACTGGAACCACGACCAGCGCGGTTTGCTCGTCGTGCTCGATCGCTTCCGCTCGCGCAACATGCCCATCTGGCTCGTCGTCTTCCCCGAAGGCACCCGTTTCGAACCCACCCAGAAGCCCGCCATTCTCGAGCGATCCAAGCTGTACTGCGCCGAGCGTGGCTGGCCCCAGTTTGAACAGGTACACAAGTCGCAGCTGTCGAGGGCGGCGAAAAAGTCGCATTTCTTCCATGGGCTTTTTTGTTCTTTTTCTTTTTTTTTGCTCCTTCTTCTTTCTTTTTCACCTGCATGCCCGGAGTGTTGGGAAGAACTGCCAACACCGACGTACTCACCACGCACCCTCAAATCCCCCCCCCAAAACCTCCCGGGTCAATCATCCAAACAGGTTTTGCCACCCCGCATCAATGGCTTCCGAGGCTGTGTGAATGGTCTGCGCAACCACATCGACGCAGTGTACGACGTCACCGTCATGTACAGCACGTCCAACGATCTGGCTTCTGGCCGGACGGTTCGCGATCGCACTCCTAGCATGCTTGGTACGTCGGTGGTGGACCGGACGTTTGTGGTTGCCTTTCTTTTTTTGTTCGTTTTTCTGCGCTCATTTTGCTCTCTGTTTGCAGATTTGCTCGCTCGTCGGTACAAGCGCATCGATATTCACATTCGCCGCCATCCTGTAGAGGCGCTCCCCATGTCGGACGAAGGCATTGAGCAATGGCTTGTGGACAGATTCCAAGAGAAGAACAACCGCATCAAATCCTTCCTCGAAAACGGCACCTTTGCCATTCCGGAGGACGAGCATGCCACGTTTGTGCTTCCTCAGCTGGTGCGCGAAGAGCGCGTGAATCCTTGGCGCACCTTTTTCAAGAGCGTTCTGCTGGTGGCCACGCTGGTTCCGTTCGTTGCCCTTGAGAAAGGCCGCAAGATTCTTTTCTACTTTTGCACGGTTGGTACGCTTGCGGGCATGGCAGTTTCCTCGCGTTATTGATGGGCTGTCTATGTAAGCGCAATAATAGTATGCATTCTTTTAGTTCTTTTTTTTTTTGTTTTTCCCCTCTCCCCGTCCTTTGATCTTCGAGCTAAACAATGTCAAAAGGGAGTCGAAAAAAAAACATGATATCACAATTCAAAATCACATTTAAAACGGTACGCGCACCAACATCCTCAACAGCAACACATTACAAACACAAAAAGGACTCGATTGCACGACCAAAACGTCCAAGGAGAGTTTCGCACTCGACCAGAAAGACAAAGGAGCAGCAAAGAAAAAAAAACATGCACGCACCAAACACAAACAAACAAACACACAAACAAACAAACAAGAAAAAAAAATTGCAGCCCACTCCATTTACGAGCGAAGAATGCCAGAAAGAGCGGCCTCGACCAAAGGTACCAACTCGACAGAGCGAGTACGAACAGAGATATCGACAGAGTTGGCCTGCGGGCGAAGGCAAAGCTCAAACAAGACCCACAGTCCGTTGGTTAGCTTGGCAGAGAGATAGAGCAAATCTTGGCCTTCGACTGTGCGCTTGGCAATCGTGGAAATGTTGTTTTGACCAAGCTTGGCCTGGATGGTGTCGGGGTTGTTGGACGACAGCTGTGTGACGGTGAACTTGCGCTCGTTTGTGTCGGGGATTTCCTTCCATGCCGACAAATAGGCCGATCGTTCCATCTCGCCGTCCTCGCCAAAGTAGCTGTTAAGCAGCACGTGTGCCGTGAAAACAAAGACGTCGACGTTGTTCTTGACTGCGATTTGCACAGCGTTCAGGGGGTCGGTGCGTTGGACGACACCGCCCGTGGTCAGCGGCAACGAAACCTGCGTCGATTGGTTTGGCGGAATTGGGGCAGGGAGATTGAGGGGTTGGGCAGGCTGAAGACCAAAGCTGTTCTTGTTGAATTGGATGGCAAAGTTGCTCATGGGCTGCATGGCGCGGTTGCTCAGTGTCATGTCCAGGAAGATTTCACCACCGCGGCGAGCAAACGTGCCGGAAACCTCGAGGCCCTTGCCCTGAGCGGCAGCCAGCATGGTCGCCTTGGGAGCAGAGTACAAGCCTCGGCCAAACGAGGCAGCAGGTGCAGCAGCAGCAGCAGCAGGGTTGCCACCAAAGACGGCGTCCAGACCACCGCCGCCGAGAAGATCGACAGCGCCGCTGCCGGCACCACCAGCACCGCCACCGAGGGAAAGCGATGCGGGGGCAATGCCGGCGCCAAAAGCAGGAGCAGGAGCAACGGCGCCGCCAAAGCCGCCGCTGCCGTAACCACCGCCATAGCCAGAGCCAGCACCGTAATCGCCGTAGCCGCCGCCATAAGCACCGGACTGCGGGGTGAGATCAAGATCAAGCAGAGACTCGCCGCCCATGGCGCCGCCAGCCTGCGGCGCAGGGGTCGGGGCATTCGAGTCGGTGCGACCGCCGCCAAGGGCGCCCTCGTTCTCGTTCGAGTCAAAGGCAGCATCGTCGTCGCCGCCGTTGGCCTTGGAAGGAAGAGTGCGACGCGCGCCAGGGGTCTTGCCCTCCACAAAGGTGCTTGGGGGCTTGTGGTAGACGGAGGCGAGCGAGCCAATGTGGCAAATGAGCTCGTTGAGGAGGCCCGGCTCGAGCATGTCCGTCTCGTCGGAAATGAGGGGCTTTTCGCCGAGGACGACCGTCTTGGCGGCGGCAGGGTCGGACGAAAGCAGACGCCAGTAAATGTAGCCGCGATCGCGGAGATCTGGGTTGTCAGAGTCCTGGGTGGCCATCTGAAGAACCTTCTGAACCATCTCTTGGGCGCCGTTCGGGGCCTTGAGGAAGAGCTTGACGATGGCAGACAGCAGCTGCAGCTGGACTTGGGCATTCTCCTCGGGGAAGGAGTCGAGGAAGGCGCCGAGAAGCGAGGCAGCATTGTCAATGCGCTCCGCGTACTCGCCAACAATCCAAATCATGGACGCCTTCGCCTCGGGCTCGTCGAGCGTCTCGAGATTTTCGCACAGGTTGGCGATAATGCTCTCGTAGCGGTTGGGGTACTTGCGGAAGATGTCCTTGATGACGACAATGGCCTCCTGGACAACGTAGTTGACCTTGGTCTGGATGAGATCGAGCAGCGCCTGGATGCATTGCTCGGCAGCCGGCTCAATCTTGATGGCGCAGCGGCCAATGGCGCGGACGGACTTGCGAACAAAATCAACGTCGACTTCGGTGGCGTACTCTTTGAGTTCGGCCAGGACTTGGGCAACGTTGTGCTCTGCGGCCAGGCGAATCATAATGTCGAGCTTTTCCATCTTGACATAGATGGGGTCGTTGTACTGGACAAAGAAGACCTTCATTTCGTTCTTGAGAATGTCGGGGCGCTTCTGGACGACGAGGTTGATGTTACGGAGGGCAACATACTTGATCTCCGCCTCGGTCGACAGGAGCGAAATGAGCGGCGGCGCAAGCTTGCGGCACAGCGTGGAGACGAACGCGGGATCCTCAATCTGCTCCATGTACTTCATCAGCACCTTGACGGCAGACAGCACAACGGCACCGTTGGCGTGCGAGAGACGTGGGGTGACACGCTCGCAAATGCTCTGTGCTTCGCGACCGTCGCGCGGGTCGTAGACGGCGAGCGAGTCGAGAATGAAAATCTGGCCCCACTCGGTGCACTCGTTCAAGGCGGTGAGCAGCTTGTTCAGGGTGCCAGCATTCAGCTGGAAGAACTTGCCACCCGACGTCTCGTTGATCTCGCTGAGCGAGGCAACTGCGTTCGCAACGACCATCGGGTTGGGGTCGGCCAGCAGATCGCGCAGATCGTCAATGAAGCCCGAAGACTCGGTCTGCTCGGGATCAATGTCGTACAGCTTGGCCACGCAAACAGCCGCAGTCTTGCGGACGTAGGGGTCCTGGTCCTTCAGGCATCGGCGCAACGGCTCGAGCACGTACTCGGTGATGTCGCGCACGCGAATGCAGCCCATGGTGCGGATGGCAAGAGCGCGAATGAGGGGGTTGTCGTTGCGGCAGTCCTACGGAGGGGGGGGGGAAATTCAAGAGGAAACAAACAAAACAACAGGAGCAAAGCAAGCAAACAAAACAAGGGAGGGTCGAGTGTGGTGAGAAAAAAAAAAAAAAAAAACTCAGTTGGGAAAGCTGATGGCGTGCAAAGTGGCCAAAAGCAACCGACACCAGCAGAGAGAGTCTGCACGCTTGGACAAAATGCGAAAAAACAAAAATGCACAATCAAAAACATACGTTGACAAAAGTGTTGACGGCCATGATGGCAACGTCGGGCTGGCTCTTGGCATAGTTCATGACGTAGAGATAGACCAGCTTCTTGAGCTCGAGGTTGTCTGTCTGCATGCAGTTGAGCACGTCGGGGAAGAGGGACGAGACGTCCTTGCCGACAGTCATGCTGGCAATGACCTTCTTGACGGCATCCTTCCTGCGATCGCGCTTGTCGCTGTGCAGCTCAGCCTGGAGTTCGACGAGCTCGCCTGTCGATTGCAAAAAAAAAAGACAAGACAAGACAGCCATCCGAGAATCGTCAGTGATTCAAAACAACAACGTAAGGTCGGCAATACAACGAATTACAAAAAAAAAAAAAAAAAACCATTGTTCAACGAAATTTCGTACCCTTCTTTGTCGTGGAGAAGTACTTGGCGTCAGACATCCCGGAACAAAAGCTGTATGCAGAAGAGCGTTCGTCGTGTCAAACGGCAATCAGTGCAAGCGGGGCAACCAAACCAAGCAAGCCAAAGATCAACAATAGAAAAAAAAAAACAATAGAAAAGCAATAGAAAAGATTAAACAAAAAAAAAAAAAAAACCAGGATCGCTTCAATTTTTCGCTCGTTTTTGAGGGGGTTGATTTGCGAGTGCGCGCTGCTGGTCGGGCGACCGCTGAAACGAATGGATGGCAAGCGTCGCATTCGAAGGCGGAGGGACGTGCTTTGGAGGACAAGGGGGCGGGCTCAGGCGGAAACGCGCGAGAAACGCGATCGAGTCACCAAAAAAAAAAAAAAAAAAAATCACTTCTTCTTCTTCAACGACGCTGGGGCTTTTTGTGGGACTGCTCAGCTCGGGCAAGCACTTCAGCGTGGGCAGTCGCGGTGGCAAGTGTGCAGGGGAACGCAACAGGGGGCAAAATGGAGAACGCCGCAGCCGCCCAGTCACAGAGCCATCGCCGCAGAAACGCAAAACAAACACGAAAAAAAAAAAAAAAAAACGCTCCAATTCAAACAGGAAAAAAAAAAAAAAAAAAAAAAAAAGCTTTACAATCAAAATTCAATACAAAAGACTGAAATTTTGAGCTTTTGAGCATTTTGAGTTGAGATTTGGATTTTGGATTTTGGATTTTGGATTTGCAACGACAACAACAACTGAAATTTCAATCACGAATGAGAAAATGTAGTCAAAGAGTGAGGGTTTGCATGTTGCTGCTGCAGTGAGTGAGTGAGATTGAGACCAGTCGTCCATCTTCAGGTTTCATAGGAGTGCTCGCGTTTCCGCTCTACCACGCTGCCTCGCGCTCGCTCTGCCGCTTCAAGCCATGAACACGTTGGAAAGCGGATTGTCAGATGTGGCCGCTGACACTCTGATGCCTGACGTGCAGCAGGTTAGAGCGCGAATGGAGCACTTTGGGATGCTGTGGTCTTGCTCCTCCTCACTTGTCGCTGGTTGTGCCCGCTCGCATCCCGACAGGCGATCGCCACGCTGTACCCTGGCCCGGATGTGCCGTTCAATCCGGCTGCAGTCGACGCGGCGCAGGCCTTTCTGACCCGGGTTCAGCTCATGCAGGAAGCATGGCTTCTTCCACCACGGCTGCTCGATCCAGCCCAGGTGAGTTGGGTGTTGGATGATGCTGCGAGTTTAAGCATGCTTGTCCACCATCCCCTTTTGTATTTATGGGAGAGGCTCAACGATGAATGCGAGCATGGAGGGGGCTCCAAGCGAGTGGCTCACCGCCCTGATTTCCAAAATCTGTTTCTTGCTTCGTCCGGGGTGAGCTGCAGTCGCCAGAAACACAGTTCGTCGGTGCTATCATTCTACGCGAAAAGATTGCATCGCAATTCTCTTCCTTGCCCCGGGCGGACTTGCCTGCCATCCACCAAGTGTGCTTGACATCTCTGCTTGCTGCAGCAGCACAATCGTCGCGCCGTCTCGTCCTCAAGCTGTCATCGGCATTGGCGAGCTTGGTTGTACAAGCGGCAGCGGCAGACCTGCTCGGAGGCCCGCTGGAAGACCCCATCCTGTCCACAATCGCCATGATCGAGTCGGCTCGACTGCAGAATGCCGCAGAGACGTCGCAGAGCCATCTGTGCGCCATTGCCAACTTCCTCCTCATGATTGCCGAAGAATACCACAAGGCCATCTTGCAGAGCAGTGCTCGCCAGCGAGCGCGCGCAGTATTGCTGCAAAATGTTACGGCGGTCTTGTCGACAGCGATTGCGCTCTACGATCCGACACTTCATCAGCAGCTCGTCTATTCTGGTCAATTGCCAGCCTCCGTTAGCACTCAGCACTTCAATCCTGCCACCCTTTCCGCCCAGCTGGGGCCGAGCTCGGACAATCTCCGCGCAGACGCGGCCGCAGCCATGGCGGCCTGGATTGAGTACCTGCCGCTCGTGTATTCCCAGCGCGACCCTTCTTCAAGTACCGTGTTGGTCATCTTTGACATTCTCCTCCAAGCGTTAGTCGATCCAGTGCTGCTGCAGGCGGTCATGGACCACGACGATGCTGCGTCCACGTTGGCCAACAGCGCCACCGATGTCATCTCTGCCGTTCTCGCCAGCAGCCCGAGCGACGTTGGGCAGCAGCTGCTGCCTCGCGTGGCGTCGCTGGCGCCCACGTTTGCAAGTGCCTTGGCTCAGCCCAGCGAAGCCGACACTGTCATCTTCCTGCTCACCAACATCCTGGCCAGCCTGTTTCACGCGCACGCCGGTGCCTTTGTTCGGATTAGCACCGAGGAAGAGCTCTCCGTTTGCCTCGCGCTTGTGCACATGCTAGTCGGGTGCGTTGCGATCGAGGGCTGCTTTGGCCGCGACGAAACGGTCAGCGGTGCAGCCCTCGAGCCGCTCCATGACTTTCTCTATGAGCTTGGTGACCACTCTGACGCCAGTGTGCAGACCGCCATTTCAATGTTTGCGCCCGTCTTTTCGAGCCTCGTCCATGCGGCTTTGGCCAAGGCAACCATCCCGCTTGACTTTGACTCGTGGCAGGCACAGGAACGGATGGCGTGGCGAGAGCACCGCGTTCAACTCGGCGAGCTGATTGCTCGACTGATGGACGTGTGGCGCATGCCCTGTCTGGCGCAAATCAACTCAGCCCTCGTAAATGCCGTGAACGCTTCGTTGGACCCAACCCCGACAGACTCGCGATGGGTTTCCGTGGAGGCTGCGCTGTTTGCACTCAAGGCACTGGCAGAGTCCGTCTCTTCGCCCGAAATCGAAGCCGCAGTACTCGAGTTACTTCGTCAAATCGCCTCCCTTCCTCCACTTCACTTTCGTGTCACGTTCAACACGCTTTCTTGCTTTGGCGCATTCGCCGCATGCGTTCGGAAGGACGGCGAGCTGCTGGGTAAAGTGTTGACCACCACCGTCAATAGCCTCGCTGACAGCCGTCTCGTGCAAGCGGCTTCCACGACGCTGCTTCGGCTGTGCAACGAAGCTGGCGGATCGCTCGTGCCGTGGCTGGACCAGCTTTTGGACGCCTGCCTGACGCTCAACCAGACGCTCGAGGCCGGCGACGCTGCGCGTGCTCAGCTCCATCTCCAACAACGCAAGCAGAGGGCCGCGCTGCAGCAACACCGAGCCTCTGTGGCGGGCTCGCGATCAACTCAGTCGACTGCGATTGCCAAACTCCGCCACGTCCAGCAGCAGCACATGGATTGGATTGAGGTGGTGACTGCGTTGTGTCACGTCATCAGCTGGGCACCGCCCGACCAACTGTTAGGCTTGACCGAGCGCCTTGCTGGACCATGTACAGCGCGCCTGCAGCAGCTGGCTTCACAACTCGGCGACGAGTCGTATCTAAATGCCGTTCTGGTGGATGCTGACATGCGAGAAGCGCTGCTGGACACGATTTCGCGTGAGTTCCGCTGTTTGGCACGCATGTGCCTCCACATTGATCCCGCTGCAGCGCGTCAGTCCGAAGAGGACGACGAGATGGACGGGTTTGTCAATGTCGATGGAGACGACGATTCCGCGCGACTGCGCCTCCAAAATGCCTATCGACAAAGCCAGCTGCAAGAGCAGCAGCAAGCGGATGAGCAGCAGCGGCAACTGAGACAACAGCAGTTCATGCAACAGTCGCTCCAGGCAAGTCAGCAAGGGGCGCAACCTGTGGCCAGCCTGGTGGCCATGACCTGGCCAGCAGTCAGCGCCATTCTCACCCAGCTGTCGCGACTCGCCGCTGCGTTCAAGGACTCTGCACTCGATCAAGAAGCGGTCGATCAAGTGGTTTTGGCCGGCTGTCTCGCACTGAAAAATGCGCTGCGAACGGTTCGAGGAGGTTTGCTCGAGTTTGTGCCCGTCCTGGTGGAGACAATCGAGCAGTACCATGCAATGGCGCCCAGCGCTGGGTTTTTGGATTTGGCATGTCCATTGCTTGCTCAGTTTGGCGTCGTCGAAAACTGCCTCCCCAGCATGGCGTTGCTCGTGTCGCGTCTTGGGCAAACAAACTTGAGTCTATTCGCAACTGCTGGGCTCGATGGACATCCGACGGTCTTGGCTGGTCACTTTTCGCTTTGTGCCAGCATTCTAGGGCTCCCGCAGTTGTCTGCCGGCGCCGAGTGCTGGCAAGTTCTGTCTGCCACATTCCAACTCGCGTGCCAAGCCTTGCCCGTGGTTCAGCTCGGCAATATTGATCCGATTGCCAATTTCCTTGAAAAGACAGCACGGGCCTCCGATCGCTCCCCGGCCGTCTCGCAGCTGCTGCAGGAGGAAGGTCTCAATCTCACACATCAGCTATTTTTGGTACAGCTCATGATTGAATTGATTTGCTGTTGTTTTTTGTTGTTGCAGGGGGGGGGGGGAAGGCTGCGGCGATTGGTTTACCCATGCAATTAATTTACTAATAGTGTGCATCTTACCAGTCTATTGGCGGCGCACAGCCACGGGGCGCCTGGCCTCTGCTTGGCAAAGTCTTGTTTGTGCTTGCAAAGCGCTTGGGCCAATCGTTTGTTCAGTGGGCTGCGCAGGTTCTCGGCATCGAAGGCTTCCCGTCTCCGCATGTCTCTGAGCAGCAGAAACGAGATTTTCTGCAGCAAATCGTGCGGTAAGCGTCGACGCGCAAGAAGGCATTCTCGTGCGCGCACAATCTCATTTTGCATCTGATTTGGTCGACTGTGATTTCATCCGACAGCACGAGTGCTCAATCAACGCCAAAGCAATTCAATTCCAATGTGGTCGACTTTGGCTTTTTATGCTGCGGTTTTACTGCTGGCGCGTCGAGGACGGCGGTCTTGTAGCAAGCGCACCAAAGTCGAAAAAAACAAAACAAACCAAAGAAACCAAAAAAGAAGGGAATGGGGTTTATGATAAATGTACAAATAGATTAACGAGTAACCAACAAAGTGCAATTGCGAGGGTGTTTTACAAATCATCCACAAGGGAACCAAATGCGGAAAACTGCGAAGGCGGCAGCTCGGGCGGTGAGCTGGGAATGTCGATGTGCGAGGACGAGTGAGAGGATGGCGACGACCTCCTCGCGCGTTTGGTTGGCGAAGATGAGATTCTGGAGGAAAGGAGAGGTAGCCCACTCTTCACTTTCGGTCGGGCGGTTTGGTGAGGGTCATGGCAAACAAACGCATCGTCTGGGTCTGGCTGAGAGACGATCTGCTCGTCAAACAGCATCAAGGTCTGCGGGATGCCTGCTCCAGTTGCAGTCCAGTTCACAGAGCCGGCGGGCAGCGAGTTGAGCGAAGTGTGATCAAGGACGGATCGGTCATCGGGTGCCGGAGCAAGGAGTGACGGTTCAATGGCCGAGTCTTGCGAAGCGACAGGCGCAGCGTGGGGACTTTGCAGCGCGTCGTTCTCTGGATCGGGCGATGCGTCCCTGGCTGCTGCGGGTGCCTGACTAGCGGGATGCGCTGAATGGTCCTGAAAATTCAACCCGCCATTGTCCATGGATGGCTGCCACGCATGAATACTGGCATAAGAGTAGGCGACTGGCTCTGGATTGCGTTGTTGCGAGTAGTCATCCGGCGGCCGTGCAGCGATACTGCTAGACAGCCGAGGGATTGCCTGTGAGAGCACAGCTGCTCGAGTGACGTTGTGGCTAGCCTCGCCGCCCATTAATACGTTCAGCTGGTCAGTTAATGACGAATTGGACGAGTGGTCGTGTGCATGCGATGTTGACGAGCGGCTTGGGAGGGCATTCCGAACGATGAAGCGCCTCGGAGTAGCGTTGGCCAAGGAGTGTTCTGAAGCATGCTGGCTGCTTGCAAAACTGTCGTTCGAGTCCTCAACGCTGGGATCGGATTGAGGCGGCAGCGAGCCGTCGTCGTTGGCAAACATGGCGCTCGGCTGTCGGCGCTTCTTTTCTCGCCGCTTCTTGTGTCGCTTTGCTGAATCCGCTTGGCCATCGGAGAGACCACCGCCTCGCTTGTTGGAGACCAACGTGTTGGTGTTGGTGGCAGCAGCAACCTCACGAAATTGAGGAAACCGGCTCATGTCAAACGAGCAGGCGTCGACCCAACTGGCTGGCTCTTCTTGGTACTCGACATAGTGCTCGGGGATTGCTGGTCGGGGAAAGATGGCATCGGCGACGATGGGCGCAGGTTGCAGACCGACAGCAGGGGCGTGAGCTGCAGCAGATTTCAATGCTGTTGGCAAGATTGGACGCCGCTCGCTGCTGCTTGCACTGCTTGGCTCGCGCTTGAGGCCATGTGCGGGGCCAGCAGGACGAGCATCTTGGAAGAGATCCGGTGAGTGCATGCGTGGCTGGGCCGACGAGACGGAGGAGTTGCGCTGCTGCTGCTGCTGCTGCTGTTGAACGAACGGGAGGACGTTTGGATCGGACAGTTCAAACGTTTGCTGACGACTAATGGGCCGAGTCGATACAACTGTCGTGGAAGCGGTGACGACGGCTGTAGTTGAAGCATCGGGTGGTGAATACAGGTCCAGTGCTTCGCTAAATGCGGAGCTCTGACTGAGATGAACAAGCGGTTGTGCAGCATCCTCCCCACCTGCAGCCAAATCTGCGCTCGCGCTATCGCTGAAAACAATCAACGAATTGGAGGCAGTAGTCGCTGATCTGTTGCGTCCGTGTCGGGAAATCGATGGAAGCCGACGAGGAGACTTGGGCGAGTTGGATACAACAACCACGTCCTCACTGGGAGGACCAGTCGGACCGCTCGAGCTCAAGGACACGACAGACGCCTGTCTGAAACGCTTGCGCGAATGCTGTTCAGCGTCGATAGACGAGGCGGTGAAATCGCGCTCGGAAACAGTTCGCCGTTGACGAATCGGTGCAGCAGCAGCCACCTCGCGCTCTTGCGATGACATGTCCAAGGGTTGCGAAATGTTGTCCAGCTGCTCTGCTGGAGATGATGGCGTTGCTGCTGTTGTTGCTTGAGGCTGTCCCAGTGAGTCCTCTCCTGCTGTCGATTTTCGTCTGGAGAGCGACAGGGATTTCTGGGGGCGGGAAGACGGCACCAAGGTTGGTTGTCTTGTCACCGTTTCTTCCCTGGGATGAGAGGGGGCAGGGCATGACAATGCCTTTCGAAAATCATCAATCAAGGACTGCCGCATTTTTGGCCCTCGCGAAGGCGGTTTGGGCGCTTTTGGTGTGAGAAATGCGTCAATCTTGGCCTGGTGCAGAGCTGAGGCAGCTCGAGCAGGTGCGCTTGAGCTGCTGAGCGACTGCTTTGAAGCCGCTCTTGCATCTGCGGAATTGGAGGACGCTCGCAAATTGGGCGGGGCTCCGCTGAGCGACTCTGAGTTCGACAACGATCGCGAGCCTGCGCGAGACAGCGCTCTGGCCTCGACATTCGCCGAGGCTGCAGCAGCTAAGCCTGAGTTGGTTTTCGATGAGTTGGCGGAAGGAGCCGAGGTTGTTGCGTCTGCACTGCCATTGCTACCGCTCGAAGCGCTCCGCGTCAAGTCAAATCCTTCTCGATGCTCGGCGGACGATCGCTGCCGCAGCACTGGCATGAACTTGTGCCTGGATGCAGTCTTGGTCGGACGAGGCGGTTGCGGAGCGGCGGCGCTCGAAACATCGGTTTCAACAACGCGTCCTTGCACGGGTGGCGGTCGCGGCGGCGCCAAATCGACGGCAGATTTGGGAGTGGTATTACCTGCAAGAGCACAAACAAATCCAACAACAGCAAAACCCCCAAGTCACGGAGATTCACAGTGAGTTCCAAGCGTCAATGAACCACAAAAATTTGGCGGGAAACGCGAACTTGGCGCGGCAAAAAGTTGCAACTTGACAAAGGAACGATGAGCGATGAGCGGGTGCGACACGAGAGCACGCGAAGACAATGAATGCAATGCAAGAAGCGTTTTTTGTAAAAGTGATGATGGGAACGAGGTCGAAGCAGAGAGAGAGAGAGGGAGTGAGGGTGGAGCAGCACCTGAAAGCAATGGCAATGCATTGGGCGGACGTGTGCTCCGGCTACTACTACCACTCGCGATGTTGGTCGTGTTGGTGGACTGCTGGCGCTTGTGCTGGAATCGCGAGTCGACATGCTGGTCGAGCGGACGGAAGAGCGAGCGCGGTTGCTGCTGCTGCTGCGGACCAGACGAAGACGACAAAGCAGAAGCTGAGATCGACTTCACCATTGCATTTTGCAGCAAAACAAAAACCAACAACAAAGGGACTGAATCTGAACGAAGACGAAGGTGATTGGAATTATCAGCAAGCACGAAAAACCAACCACTTCACCTTGCAGCGGATCACTGTGCAAAGTGAATGGTATTGAGAGGTGGCAGAAGAGTTTGAACAAGCGATGATGCATCGAACACAAGTACTGTACTGTAGATTTGTAATAGAACAAGGAATCACGCAAAGACAGACGCACACACACACACACACACACACACGCACAAACGGCAGAACAAACTACACCAACAATCACTGCACAAAAAACGCCTTTTTCACCAGCTGTCTTCCGCTTGGAACATGATGTTGTAAAGACCAATCGTGGCAAAGATGAGCACGTTGCCAAACACGGTCAACAGCATGGCGCCGACTTCAATCTGGTCGAAGGAGCACGAAGGCGACGTTGAGCACAAACAAATCACAAAACCAACGTCAATTCCAGCCAGCGTTTCTCGCCAACGTACCGCTCCGGCGTGTGCCATGACTAGTGGAATACCTGTACAAAGAATAGCAAGCAACAGTGGCCTCAATGATGTCAATCGATTGTGAACATGCAGTACAAAACAAACAACTCAATCACACCAACATACCAAAGCCTGATACTGTCAGCGCAGCCGTCATGAAGCGACCCAAATCGATACACGGACTGTCAAGTGTGCCAGGCAACAGTTGCGACATGGTGGAGCGACAGCACGAGCGAGAGTGTGAGAAGAGCAAAAGCCCCCCCCCCAAAAAAAAAACAAATCTAACTCTACTTCCTCCTTTCCCAACGCACCTGCTGGCTGTGTAGCTGAAGGAATCTCGCGTGCATCGCTTTGCAATGTAATTTGGCAAGGGCGACAGAATGTAGGTTGTCACTGTTTCAAAAGCACAAGAGCAATGAGCGATTTCGACCTTAGAATTTGGTTCAAAATTTCGCTCTCAAGGGCCACTTACAGACCATCAGCGGCCAGAATTGGCTGATCATCCAAAAAGCAATCACCCAAGCACAACAACGCCAACCAGGTTGTTAGCACGCAACTGGCGTTTTGGTCAATGCAAAAATATAGAACGAACTCACTTGTTGTAGAGGACGCAGCCGAGAATGACGAGCATTGCGCCGACCGCGGCCATGAACGACAGCGCGACCAAGCTGCGAGGTGGAATCGTCCATTTTGTATCAATGCAAGATCCACATCCGTTAGTTGTAAGTTCAAGCACCCCATAGTGCAATGGATGCAGATTGAGTTGAAGAAACGCGTCACTCAGTCACTTGTCGCTGCCCCCCCCCCCGCGCTCCCGGCTGCTCCTCCACCCACTGCTGTGTGCTTGGAAGCACAGCACAACAGGAACAAGTGTTGCCCCTCCATTTGTCGTTTTTCGGCTGCTTGAGGCGGGAGATTGTTCGCTCGTCAGCAATGGTCGCCACACAATCTCACGACCGCCGTTCGCGTCTGCCACTTTGACACTTGAGGCTTGAGAGGGGGGAGTTACCCTGAAGGAACGCAAAACAGGACCACATGTCAGTCAGTCAGTCAGTCAGTCAGTCAGTCATTCATTCAAAAATGAGCTCAAGCAAGAGTTGAGTTCTGAGACGAAAAAGACACTCGAAATCTGACTCGAAATCTGAGCGAGATTGTCAGTTTACTTCGAATGCCTGGCATCACTGCACTGGATGAGAGATGAATTACAAGACTGACTGATGATGCAGCATCCAAAAAGTGTAATAGTAGCAAGGGGACTTGACTCTCAGTAAGTTTGATACAGTGCTGAGGCAGCAAAATCCGCTATTGCTCCCTGCCTGTTACTGCTGACTGGTCGACCATTCGCTCAGACTAGTATAGCCGAACGCAGCAGTCCAGAGTTTTCTAATTCTAGTTTTCCGACAAGGCCCCCGCCCCCACCAAGTTTGTTTCCAATTCTGAGAACTCGAGCCCCGATTCTTGATGCGCGCGAGTCGATTGGCGCTGACTGGCGCGTTTGCCATTGTCGCCCTGCTGGGACTCTTCTGGCTGAGACAGCCGCAGCCGCCATCGTCGTCGTCGCAGCATGGTGATGACGGCCATTCAGCTGCAGCGGATTCAACGCGTGATGGTGATTTGGCCGCCGAGCTCGCCTCGTGGCGCGTGCATTGGCCGACGACCGTCCACAGCGACCCGCTGAGCGTGCGTGCTGCCGTCGGGAGGCCTGCTGCATGGACGTACCTCGATTCGCAGTGCTCCAGCCCGGCGATCTGCGAGTCGCTGCTCGAGAACGCGCCCTGTCCCGACGGCCCGACGCCCGCACTGACGCCCAGCGATCCGCGGTTTGGCAACCACCCAGAGCTCAACCTGCCAAGGTGCTCGTATCGCCGCATTGCGTCGTGCTTCCCGCGGGACTTGCAGACGTGCTTTGCGCGGAGATTGCTGAGCAACCACTGGCTCGTCATTGTCGGCGATTCCGTCACGAGGAACACGCTGATGGAGTTTTTCATGCGACACCTGCCGCAGTCCGAGCAAGTCAAGCTGCAGCTGTCCAGCGAGCGGAATCTGCATGTGCCGAGCTCGCAGTACCAGTTGAGTCATGGTCAAAGTTGTTTTGGTTTAGTTTTGTATGTTCTCAGTTTTTCTCACTCGAACAAATACTTGTTTTTTGTTTGTTTTTGTTTGTATTGTTGGTGCTGCATCACACGCTACCGTGCATTGGGCTGCATCTCGTTCCTATGGTTGGATTTTTTGTTTTTTGCAGAAACGAAGACTACTTGCTGTTTGGCAGGTTTCTCGTCACCTTTCGATTCATCGGTGGTGCTGGCGGCAACCAGACGCGTGACAATCTCGTTCAAGGCGTGAGCTTGTCGGCGGCGGCGCGAACTGCTCTGCTGTCTCGCTTGAGCGCATTGCTGCAAGCGCGAAACGAGACCATCCCGGACGCGGAGCTAGACGTGCTCTACCGCAAGCCGGACATTGTGGTCATCAACTCTGGCTTGTGGGACTCGCGCTCATCCTCTCCTTCCTACCGTCCAAACTACTATGGTAGCATGCACATGTGGCGACGCGTGCTGCAAGAGCAGCTTGGCCTCGATGCGAAACAGCTGTACTGGCGGAGCTCGACGCCCGTGTCGCCCGAGCTGCATGTGACCGACCAGCAGCGCAAAAACATGACCAACGAACGGATTGCCGAGCTCAACTGGATTGCGCATGATGTTCTCGTACGGCAAGCGCATTGGCACAGCATTGACGCGTTCACGGCGGTCGGCGGCTTTGTTCCGCCTGTCGACGCGATCAGCTACGATGGCTATCATCCGACGACCCTTGCATCCTGTGCGCTGAACGACATGGTATTTGGAGCAATATGTGACAAAGAGGCCTCTCCGCTATGACATTCCGTGTCATTGTCCATCGCATACGCCCTCTTTTTGCGAGCCTTTTTGTACGTCATCCCCCCCCCCAACTCGTCAATGTTAATACACCGTGCGATCTGCCTCTGTCTGTTGCCTTTTGCGTCTGAGTCTGGTTTTCTCCATTTAGCTCTCTTCCCAATCGCAGTATCCATGGCTTTGTCTTTTTGACATGTCCTCTCGTACGCCTGGTCTTCCAATCCAAAATCCTAATCCTTCATCCATCATCCAATATCATCATCATCCACCAAATCCGTAATCCAACCCAGTTCTTGTTCCACATTGAAAAACTCGAGCCAAATCCCAATTTCCCATTGCAATACAAAATCAATACAACAACGACACAACATGGCAACATCGCCCGCAGCAGTCGCTCTCCCGCCGAGCAACTTCTCTGCGGCTGCATCATCATCATTATCATCATCTGCGACCATGAGCACTGGCAGCGGGGTGGGCAGCAGCAGCAGCCTCGACGACCCATCCGCTTTGAGCACCGCCGCTGCTGCTCGACGGGCTGCTCAGTCGCCGACGACGCCGCGGTCGCTGAGCCCCGTCGGCACCTGGCAGTCGCATGTGCTCAAGTCGGCCTACTTGCTCAAGGAAGGCGCGAATGTCAAGAACTGGAAGCGGCGGTTTTGGCGTCTGCATCCGAACGCGCTCTCGTACTTTAAGACCGAAGCGGTAAAGGGACTCTCGTGCCGCTCATACAACAAGAGAATCCAGACCAGTGACGAAAGCATTGAGTATTCGTTTGAGGGGAGCGGGGTCGGGAGGGGGGCGAAGTGGTGGTGGATTGAGTCGAAATGGCTCAGAAAAGCACGATTCCGGCCTTGTTGACGAGCCATCGTCAGCAACAACCAGAGTCATGGATGGATGGACGTAGTGATTGAGCAATGTCACAACAAAAATTACTGCAAGCATCGCATTGATTGTTGGGTGAAAAACTTACTTTCTGCTGTTGAATAGGACTCGGCTGCAACCGGAACCGTCAATCTGAAGGACATTCTGGGCGTCCAGCGATCAGGACGGCATGCGACTCGCCCATTCACATTTGCAGTCATCACCGAAGGCAGGACGTTTTACATTCAAGCGGAATCGTCCGACGAGCAGGACGCCTGGATGGACGCAATCGTGGCTGCCGTCATTGCGCGCGACGGAGACGTCGTCTACCCCGAATGGTTTGTTGCGAAAATGCGTGTTGCGTTTGACCGATTCGACCACGACAAGAACGGCTGGCTGGACCGCGACGAATTGTTTGAGGTGAGTTTGGTTTTTGTTTTTGCTTTTCTTTTTTTTTTTTTTTTTTTTTGTTTCAAGTTGGTTGCGTTCGTCTCGACTCTTCAACTCATATCGTCCAACAAACCAAACCTACACCACAACCCTCCGCAGCTCTTGTCCACACTTGGCCGAACTGTCTCGACCTCGGATGTTGAAACAACAATCTCGCATCTGGACACAACTGGGAAATGCGCCATTGACCTTCTCGAATTTGTGACTGGAATTGTTTACATTTTCAGAACTTTCCGAGCGCGCTCCTTCCTTCCCGACGGCATGGACGACGAGCCGATCGAGTCTGGCGCTGCTTCTCCGCTGCAGCAACAGCCACCACCGCTACCGCCACAACAACAGGCAACCAGTGGTGTGCTAACTCCGCCTCCTCGCACTAAACGTTTAGAGCGACAAGCCGCGGCAGCACAGCAAGCGGCGTCTAGCGGCACATTATCGGCCACCGCCCAACTCCAGCTTGTGCTATCGCAGCAGCAACAGCAGCAACAGCAGCAACTGCAACAGCAACAGCAACAGCAATCACAACAACAACAACAACAACAACATCAACAACATCCCACACAGCTAAGCACGGTACCGGAAACACCGTACTCGCCTTCGGAAGCAACCAGTCCCCAATCAGGAGCAATTACCCCTCGCAGTGCGGATAGCGTGGCGAGCGTTTCGTCAACCGACATGGTGAATCTTCGGCTTGAATTGGAAGAAACCAAAGCACGTGCGCGAGAATTAGAGGTCAACGTGAAGGTGGGATTTGCACCAGTGATTTCTGTTGTGCTGTCACGTTGGACTTTTGTTTCCTACGCGATTGGAAACGACACACTTCTCACTTTGCCACCGACTATTGTTTTTTCTGTTTCATTCGTCCATCATCCAGTTGTTAATGACGGAAAACCGGGAACTTCGCAATCTTGTTGTGGAGCTGCAGGCTGAATTGGAAAACTCAGGCGCGTCCAAGTCCGCTGCAACAGAGTCATTTGCTTAGGCGAGTTGCTACCTCGGTGCGGTTGTTGTTGAAAAAGGCATGCTTTTTTTTTTTTTGAGTGTTTCTCTCTTGCGTTTATTCTGTATTCCATCTTGCGTTTCATTTCAGGTGTTGGTGTATCAAACCACAAGTTATTTGTGCTCTATCGTAGCCGAAATTCAAATCTTTGAAGTGATGAGGTGAATTAAGAAGAGAGGGGGGGGGGTATAATGGATAACAATGAAAAAATTGGGGCACCGACAAAGGAAGAACAACGAGCGTACAGCACAACAATAAAAACCAGTTCACGTTGTGCTGCTTATTCGTTCGCATCAGAATGAGAGGCCGAGTCGTCATCCTGATCTTCTGGCTCTTCATCATATTGGTCAGCATCGAAACCAGTCGCTGCTGACTCTGGATCATCGGTTAGATCGCCATTATTTGGAGCATGGGAGCGACTCGCAGACCGCGTCGCTACATTGGGGGGTTCGAGGTGCAGCACTTCATACTTTTTGTGCATTCGCTTGTGCTTTTGCAAGTGATCTGAGCGTGCAAAACGGCTGCCGCAGACTTCACACCCGAACGGCCGCACACCAGTGTGCGAGCGCGTGTGACGCGAGAGCTCGTCCGAGCGGCTAAAGCGCCGACCACAGCCAGTGTGGGTGCACTCGAACGGCTTTTCGCCAGAGTGCCGGCGAACATGTGCCGAAAGGTGGGAGCTCTTGGTGTAAGTCCGCGTGCACCCGGCAACGGGGCAGCGGTACGAACGATCCTTCTGCGAGGCAATCGTAAATTTCGTCTGCCGCATTCGATTATTGATTTCTGCCAGTTTGTTTGGCGAAAGTTGCGGTTCATTGTTCCGATGCTGCTCCAATTGCTGCAGCCAGACATGCTGTGGTGTTTGTTCTGCTTGTCGTGGTTGTTGTAGTTGTTGTTGCTGCTGTTGCTGCTGCTGCTGCTGCTGCTGCTGTTGTTGTTGTTGTTGCAGGTTGGGGTGCATCGGTTGAATCGGAATTGGATGCAATGACTGTTGAATCGGAGCTGGCTGCTGTTGTGCCTGTTGAAGTGGACGCTGCTGTTGAAGTGGACGCTGCTGTTGCTGCTGTTGCTGCAACTGCGGTTGTGCCAGCTGCGACTGTTGATGATGAGCCTGGTGCTGGATTGGCGGGAATGCCACCAATTGCTGCTGCGGCTGCTGCTGGAGCATGTGCGTCGGGTTTGGCACGAACTGCCCGGGGTGAGACCCGTACAGTATTGGGGTGACGTTGTGGGCATCGACTTGGAGCTGCTGGTGCGCATGATTGGGCAAGAGGAGTGCAGGATCGGTCAGGTTCGGATGCGTGTTCATCTTGCCAGAGTACAGCATTGCGCCGTCCAAAGAGAGCTGTAGCACTGGCTGCTGGTGTTGCTGCTGCTGGTACGGATAGGGGTTCCATCCAGACCCGCCGCTCATACTCGGATTGCTGACCGACGAAGAAGACGAGGATGAATGGCTGGGCGGGTGCGAAAATCCCGAAGAATTGAACGTCGTGGGAGAAGGAATGCTGCTCATGAAATTCAGTCCGTCGGCCAGGACTAACGGCGCTACGAGTTGAGAGGATTGGAGCCCAGTGCTGCCTTGCACAAAGGATTGCTGGTGTTGGTGATGCAGTTGAACCTGTTGCTGAAATTCACCCTTCGGAGCGTAAGCATCAACAGCACCTTCAAACTGAGAGGCAGCTTGTTGCTGCTGATACGGATGGAGAGATCGCCCCATGGGTTGCTGGAGCTGAGGTTGCTGGAGCTGGTGTTGCTGCTGCGGCTGCTGCTGCTGCTGCTGCGGCTGGTGTTGTTGTTGCTGCTGCTGTAGCGCAATGTTGGAAAACATGGCCGGTTGCACCATGGCAGAGCTACCTTGGGGTCGGCCATAAGACCCATCCATAAGCCCAAACGGCATTTGCTGAGCTAATGCTGGATGGGAAGCATTCGGTGCCTGCGGCAGCCGCTGTTGGGCAGACACTTGGAATGGGCCTTGCTGCATCTGCAGCTGATGCACTTGCTGCAAATGCTGCAACTGCAACTGCTGCTGCTGCTGTTGTTGTTGATGGTGTTGCTGCTGCAGTTGCATGTGTTGTTGGTGTTTTAGTTGCTGTTGCTGCAACTGATGCTGATAGTGCTGATGCAACTGCTTTGCTTCTGGCCAATAGTTGTGCGAGTTTATGGCGCCGACCGCGGAAGGGTACTGATACGCCTGTCAAACGTCAAACGCAGAAAAATCAATCAGAAACACAGGGGTGGTTGTGTGGTGTGAGAAGTAAGCGAGGAACAACAGGCTCAACAAAATCGTTCGCAAACGAGCAAACAAAAAAACTTACCCATGCTTGCGCTTGGTTGGAGGGTTCTGGCGCAGAGTTGTTGCTGTTGGTAGTACGTGTATGATGATTCGGCGAGGTGGAGGGCGATCCTGAGGTGGCTTGATCACCTGCAGATGATTCGCCTCCTGGAATCGTGAAAGGGTTGCTGGGCAATGCCGGGCCACTGCCATTGTTGTGATTGTTGTGGCCAGTCGAAAATCCAGCAGCACTTGGTCCACTTGTAGAATTGGGCGTTGGTGCGATGGTTGCCATCGTGTGCGGGGCGGGGTTCAGAACAATCAAGCCTGAGCTGCTGTTCGGCGTCGGAGGTTCTCGTGCACCTCGGGTGCTGGCCACACTCGTGCTCATGCTTTTTACACTACCATCCGATCGCGAGCCGACCGTACTCAGGGCACTGCGATCGAACGGGGCTGGCTGCTGTTGAAGTGGCGGCAGTGCCTCACCCTGCAAACTCGCGCCACCACCATTGCTCGGTGCATTTGGCGCCGCGCCCGTGTTGACCCGTGATGCGGCAGCAACCCATACCAAGGTGCTTAATGGCGACGATGCGTCTGAGGCAGCGTGTACGCTCGATGGCGTTTGAGGCGGAGATGCAACTGCCGACTCGTGCGCCTGCTGCGAAAACAAGAGCTGCTGCTGCTGCTGCTGCGGATTTTGCGCGAGGCCATATAATTGCTGCTGCTGCTGCTGCGGTTGTTGTTGTTGTGGTTGTTGTTGAGAGTGTAGCATGCTGCTACCAGTGCCGCTGCTGCTGCTGCTGCTGCGCATGCTTTCGTGGTGTTGGAGGAGTGCCGCGGTAGCCGCAGACCCTGTTGTTGGTATTGTTGACTCCACCGCATGCTGCTGTTGGGGCGGGTTGAGCAGGCGCTGCATGGCATACTGCTGCTGTTGTTGGTGGAGTTGGTGCTGTTGTTGGTGTTGCTGTTGTTGTTGTTGTTGTGGTTGTGGCTGTTGTGGCGGTTGCTGCTGCTGCTGTGCCGGGTGTTGGTGACTGTCCACCAACGACGGCGGCGGCGTGCAGTACATTCAACGCGCGATCCGGGTTTGTTTTCTTGTTATTTGTCTCTGCACGAACGACGATCAAGCACACCTATCTTGAGAACAGCCAGCCCTGGTCAGACAAAGCGAGAGAGAGGAGAGAGCGAGGCAAAGTCAGATAACAGCACAACAGCACAACAACAAGTGAGATTGAGCAGCAACGCAACGCAACGCAGAGAGTGGAAACGCATCGAGCGGATGAAAGGTGGACGACGAGTTAGGGTGAAGGGGGGTGAGGGTGAGGGAGTCAGCTGCTAGGAGACGGTCGCGCAGGCATCATGAGCCGGAATTTCGCACCGGTGGATGACTCTTTAACTCGGCACCGGTTTGAGATGTGCGAGTTGTGATGCTGGTGTGTTTCGGTGCAGCGATGCATCACTCAGCAGCTGTGCAACGACATGGTGATGGCGGGCGCGTTTTGTGGGTTGTGGGTTGTGTCGCGAAACAAGGCGAGGCGACGGAATGAACAAATGCTTGACAATGCAAATCCGCAAAAATCAAAAGAAAAAAAAAAAAAAAAAAAAAGAGCCAGAAGCGGGAGAACGACCGACGACAACGCCGCGAGTGATGAATGGAGGGATGGATCTCAACGCCAAAACAAAAAAAAGGGGGGGGGGAAAGCAGCAGCAGATGGAACGGCGAAAAAATAAAAACAAAAACAATACAAAAAGCACGAGGCTGGCGAGACCTTGTGTGTGAATTCTGTGGTTTGGGCAAAAGAATAAAAAATAAAAAAATTATAGAAAGAAAAACGAACTCGCTCTTCATCGCCGACGCCAGGCGTGAAAAGAGTCGGCAGAACGAGACAAGAGCGAGACAACAAGCCAAAAGGGACGAGAGGCACGACGAGGCGTGCAGCGCAGAGCCCCACGCACGACACCCCCGTCGCTCGGGGAGGAAACCAAAAAAAAAAAAAAAAAAAAAAAAAAAAAAAAAAACTCGTTTTTTCGCCATTCCAGCTTCCACTTAAAAGAGCAGGCGACAGAGTTTCGGGCTCTCCCACTCTGAGGCTCTGGCATCCAGCCTCCGACGGCCATCGCTGCCCTCTCGCTCTCCTTCCTGCCTGCGTGCGTTGATCCACTGATTGCCAGCAGCTCTGGTAGCAAAGAGGAGGGAGGGAAGCGACTCACACTTGAAGAGAAAAAATATAAAACATAAAAAAAAAAAGACACACACACACAGAAAAAAAAAAAAAAAAAAAAAAAAAGGAAAACTGGCCGCAAAACGAGATCAAGTCGCTGCACTTGTGGCTCATATGCATGAAAGCACGATACGCTCAACAAACCACCAAGAGCAAGCAACTGGATGACCGGTTGTTGCAGTTGTGGAGATGGCGGCACACAACGTGGGGCTCAAGAGCAATAGCCGAACAACGTCCAGATCAAAAAGGCAAAACAAACCCAACATCTCATCAAAACACCATGCGTCGAGGCACCCCGAAGGGCCCTCGCGCCTCTCTCGCACGCGGGGGGGGGGATGACGCATGTGTGCTCGAGTGGTGCGATATCAGCGACTAGAGCGGCAAGTGCCGGACGAAGAGCCGCAAGACACCAAGAAAAAAGCCAAAGCACACAAAACGCGTGACACGGTGCGAAAGATGAGAATGGCGTGGGAGGGAAGCAACCCGAAAAAAAAAAAAAAAAAAACTCGACACACCCTTCCACATAGCATGCCCGTCCACATCGCCCGGGGAAGGAAAGGAACGACACGTAAAAAGATGTTGCTTTGATAGTGGAAGACATCCGGCAGGGGAAAGAGAAGGGCACAAGCGAGGTGTTGGTGCGAAAAAGCAAAACCATAAACAGCAGCGGCGAATAAATTGTTCTCCAGCGCGCGCCATGTTTGTGTGTTTGCGTATGTGCGGGTGCGTCTGTTGGGTGGGATGGAACGAAGCTGCATAGGCCGCATTTAATCGTAGCTGTTAGAGTCAATATGCTCCTACGCATGGTATGCTTTTGCTCGTGACAGGAAAGGGGCGAAAACAATCATCAGAATGCAGCTAAAATGCACCACCGCTCATTCCGTTTCGAAAACATCCAGGTGTTTTCGGCTTCCTTCTTCCCTCCCCCGCGCATACCCGAGGTGTCGCATCTCAAAATCGCTCGCTCGCTCGAGACTGTACTCGTGCTTCAAATCCCTTGTACCGTTCAGGGACTATGGGCAGCGTGCCGCTCTCATTGCGGGGCTTGGAAATTGGGCCTTTTTTTTTTTTTTTTTGGGTCTTGGCGCATGACGCCCATGACCCCGAGTGGATACGCCCTGCCCCCGCCCCTGCTCTCCCTCCAGACGAGATGCAAGATATGCAAGTGGTTTCCACTGCATGCTTGCCCTCTCTCTCTCTCGCACGCTCTCACGTCGGTCTGAACGCTTCTCTGCGGCTTTGTTTTTGTTGTTTTGCATCGGACGTTAGTTCTCCCAGCAACAACAAGGAATATGGTTTTGTTTGGTGTGCGGTTGCCAACGTTGTCTTGACTCTCAACTGACTCGTCCACCTCAACAGAGTCTCGAGAGTGGAGCTTTTTTTGTCAACCTCCCAGACGTGCGGCAAACCGGACGGGGATGGTGAAGGGATGGGAGGAAACGGGCGGGGGGAAAAGAGGTGTCAAGAAGGAAAGTAGGGCGGATTTGAGCATTCACAAACATCGCCTTGCTCGGCTGCGCCGCATGCGTGCCCCATGTCTACCGTCGCGACTGGACGTGCACCGACGTTAGGTGTTTCGCGGTGAATCGGGGTTGGATTGTGGGTGGCAGGGATGAAGGCACGCGATGGGGCGAGAAAGTGTGAAACGAAGGAGGGGTTGGTCGTTTGGCTTTTTGGACTCGCTCTGCCCTCCGACGCCGCCCCTTTGTGTGTCTTTTTTTCCCACTGCCACTCAGCCACCGCCTCCCTCCCTCGCTCGGGCGACACTTGGCGTGACGCCTGTGTCTTTTCGAGGGCATCCCCGCACACGACGTTTCTCGCCTCTGCTCTGCATGTTCTTTCAAAACGCGAGCAACTGACTTACTCAACCAAGACAGCAAAAATAATAATAAAAACAAAAAACAAAAAACAAAAAAAAAATAAAAATAAAAATAAAAACAGAAAAAAAAAACTGGTTTTTGACCGTTTTGGAAAGATTGACCAGCAGTTCAAGGTCCATGCGAAGGTGAGGCCGCACAAAGCAAAAGGGTGGAGACGGAAGAAAAGAATGCTCCAGTCCGTGCAAAGAAGACATCATGAAAGCAGTAGGGAAGAGCAAGAGCGAGAGAGAGGAGCTAGAGAGAGAGAGAGGAGCGAGTGTTTGTGTGTGGGAGGCGTCAACAAGACAAGCCAAACCGGCAAGTCTACAACGAAGGAGCTGAACATGGGGGGAGAGGTCGTTTGGATTGATTCAAATAATGAATGAATGGGGATACTTGCCTCGGTTGCTTTCCAAGCCGTGGGTTGTTGGCGTAGTGGATCGGCCCTTTGCCCCCTTCTACCAAGCCGCGCCGTGCTCGCTGCTGGTACTGCTGCTGCTGTTGCTGATGCCAAGATGTGCCGTGACGAGGAGCGCCAAACACCAGGTTGACAAGCGAGGGCACAGAAAGCGCAAAACAAGACTGGAATTCAAAAAACCGCCAATCAACAAACCAAGTGAGACGTTATTTATCGCACGACATTGTGAATCTCACTCAAGCACGAGGTCAATGAGACACGGCAGAGCATGGGTCGACACATTAACGAAAGAAATAGAGTGATGAAAGTGGGGCTGGATCGGAAGCGAGTGCAATTGCACCAGTGAGTTGATCCAAACGGCAATGTGATGGAATGGTCAAATCCCACACATTTCGCCGACGCCACTCGGGAGGAATAGAAGGAAGAGGCGCGCTTGTGTGGTGTTGCATGATGTCGGCGTTGGGGCAAAGACAGCACTACAGCCCAGCACCACACCTTTGCAACGCGCGAGCACGAACAAAAGCTCGCATACATGATGCGGAGGAGCAAAAAACTCAATAACTGCCGCACTCTCACCTGTGGAGCACCACCAGCACCTCCCAAACCCCCGCTCCCAGCACTGCATCTGTGGGGATGCATGCGTGCATCTGTGAGAGCGCTTACGATGGATGATCTCGTGAACAGGAGATGGCAGCACGCCCTGGGCTATGAATCCAAACGACTGCGCCCTTTTTTTTGTGTGTTGTGTGTTTTTCCACTGTCGCCTCCGCTTTCTTCCCATCGGTTCCCAACAAACGTTCTCCTTATTGATGCAAGCAGTGATGGCTTTTGTGGAGGTGGGTGGTTTCGTGTCAGCCCCAGAAGTACTGCTCTTGGTTGTTGTGCAAACACGACGTTTGACCTCGCTTTTTGACCCAGCTGTCTTCTTCGCCGTCATGAGTCGTACTTGCACCCAGCTACTCCTCATTCGTTCTTCTTTTTGATCTTGTCTTTTGCATTCGCATTTAGTTGTTGTTGCTAACGCGAGCCGCCCTTCCCACGCTTACAGCAAGCGTGATGTTTGTTGTTTGACCTAATCCATCGCTGTTGCTGGGTGGATCTCAACCGCAAAATTCGCACCTCCTCACGTTTGCGCAATCACTCACAGCGCTCTCCCAGACCCTGGAGCCCGCATGCCCCCTTTTTTTTGTGGTCATGGCTTGCACTTTCATTTCTTCTGTGCCTCGTGGTCGTCGCAGTGCAAATGGAGTCGACCGTGATAACGTAAACATTTTTGGAACCGGATTTGCGCGTGCAGCGTCATTTTTGACCCCTTTCCCTCTCAACGAGCGGCGCGCCCCACTCCCTTTGAGATCATCGCGCCTCGCACGCACGTAAGACCACAAACGAGAAGCATAAGAGTACTAGCAGCATAGTACACAGCAACTGTGCTCAGTTGTGGCTGACGCGAGGGCGAGGCTGGACAGGTTGATGACGAACAACAACCACAACAGATCGTCGGATTCCCTCCCCCCAATACTTCAGCAGCACAAGACGAAGATAGGAGCAGCCTGCACCAGCAACCCCCTCATTTGCGCGATCGTGTTGTATTTGTGCGAGGGGTGTCTGCGCCATGGAGAGGGCGTGAGGCATCAGCCTGGCGGTGTAAATCGTGCTGTCAACGGCAACTCAGGATCTGAGTCACCAACCGCCACAGCAGAATGACGCATCCACGCCACCACCGCGCGTTTCTTTGTGGTTGCACCCTTCGCATCCAGCAGCGACATCTCACATCGTGTGCGAGGCACGGTCGTGGGCTCATCCAGCAATGGGCTGGTGCCTGACTGTTTGCTGGACGGAAACAGATCCATAGCTGTTTGACCGCAACGATATGATTCGCCCGATCGACACCCAGCGACCTGCGCTCTTCTGCCTCTACTCTCACGGGCGGGGGAGGTGGGGGGGGGAAGTCATAGCAAGTGGATCAAAGTGTGATGACGGCAAAGGGCGATCTTGCGGGGGCAGAGAGGCCAAATCTCTCACGCTTTCCTTTTCGTTTGTTGTGTGATGTGGATTGTTTTGGCTGTTCCCCCCGTGTTCATTGTTTTTACCTGCCACTGGGAGTGCAGCCAGTGCCTCCTGAATCACAGCGACTGTTTGAACTGTCTATAGTGCCGAGCGACGCAACCGCTCTAGCTCTTGCTGATTTCGAATCAGCAGACAGGAGAGAATGGCGTTGGCAACGAGCGTCGACGACAACAAACCAAGAGTGAGTCAAACGCCTCCGCTGCGTTCTGGATCGGATGAGCTGGAGATAAATGGGTCGGGGTATGTTCGTACACTCGCCGAGTCCATTGGGGGAAAATCCTCCCCAGCAAGGAGCAGGCGAGAGATCGCACAGCGGCAATCGCGAGCACAATTGTCAACACCCTCTCCCATCATCCACTACCCGGCTATAGATAGATAGGCCACTTTGCCTCGATTCAAAGCACCCTCTTTACGTCATAGTCGCGATTGTACAGCTCAAGTGTCCTTGCTCATCGCGGGGGAGGGGATAAAATGTTGACAACAGTGCTGCATTTGGTCCTGTAGATCTAGGACAAACCGCCGCTTTACAAAACACACATGAATGATAGCTGGAGGCCTCCTCCACTTCGTCGAGACCCGTTTTGGCTTGTACGTGTTGGAGGACGGGGTTTGGGTCTTGGCAGGTCCGTTGGCAGTACGAAATGGCAGTCACCCCTCGTTCATCACAATGCTCTTTGTACAAGTCCTGTTCAATTCATATCTGGCATTTGTCTCACCAATAGCTTCCTGGGTTGTTGTTCGCCGGAGCTGATTGCTTTCCAGGGTTGTCAATCTTTCGTCAAAAGCATATTCGTTCAGAATCTGCACAAATTTGCAAATTCATCCGCACTCCTACAGTACAGTAGATCTACAACTCGTCCACCCTCCCAATTTCGACCATTCCGAACTTGCGCAATAAAACTCAGAAGACGACAAGACACCCTCAGTCATCAAATTTCTCCATCCAACACAGTTCACACACACATGTCCGGGTCCACGTTGCCACCGGCATTGCATCCGACGCCCGGATCGCCCGTAGCAGCGACTGCAGCAGCAGACCCGAGCGACTCTGAGCAGTTCTTCTCTGGCGCAGTGGCTGGCGTTGTGCGCACCGTCTCGCGGGTGGTTGCGTCGCTGGGCACCAAGACGATTGCCGGCACGATCGCCGGTCTGAGCGAGGAAGTCATGGGCTACCCGCTCGACCTCGTCAAGGCAAGTGTCTCTGAAGAGCTGGATGTTCCATCGATGATGCTTCTTGCAATTGAAGTGGAGGTTGTCGTTGTTGTTGTTGTTGCTGCTGTTCGCATGATTCAACAACAAAGCTTGCCAAACCGCCAAGACTGCCGAACGAAACGTAACGTAACTTGAGCGATACTGACTGACGTCCGTACATTGCCCCACTCTCCTAGACTCGAATGCAAGTGCACACAAAGCCAGTCTCAGCGCTGACTGTATTCCGCGAAGTCATTGCTCAGAACGGTGTATGTTGGGTTTTGTTTTTTCGTGTCCGACTGTAAATTTGTTCGATTATTCTGACGCTTTTGGAACACTGGACGACATTTGTCTTGTCTCGTTGGGTGTGGAATATCGCAACCATCGGAAACCACGCAGGTCACAGGAATTTTCAAAGGTCTGGGTCCGCCGCTGGCCGCATCCGCATTCGTCACGTCAGCACTGTTTGGCAGCTACTCGGCGGTTCTCGCTCAACTGCACACTCACCCCGTCATCCACGAACATAGCTTCTTGCGTATGTTGTAATTTCTTTTTGCTGCTGGGAGATTGTCGTGCTTTGGGGCTTCTCATAACATGCGTTGCATTTTCCAACGTTGAATCTGTCCCTGCAGAATTGAACGTGCACAACGCCATCGCAGGTGCTGGTGGTGGCTTGGCGCAAGCATTCCTTACGTGCCCCATTGATGTCGTCAAAAACCGGCTGCAGGTAGGTGTCGTCTCAACACTGCGGCGCTCTGTCGAGTTCTTCGCGTTGCGGCTTGCTCAAAATGAAGCAACAACCCCTCAACCCAGATCGAAGGCATGGGGCACGGCGACGGCGGCCATGGACATGCTCATGGAGGCGGCGGCAGCGCCTTCAAGCTCGCTCGGCACATTGTTTCGTCCCACGGGTTGCGCGGATTGTATCTTGGCTTTGGTCCGACCCTCATGCGTGATGTGCCCGGTTACGCCGTGTTCTTTGCCTCGTACGAAAGCCTAAAGCATTTGATGCTGGGCGATGCCAAGCGTGGCGACGACGCAGAGCCGGACGGTGGCGAGCACGCTGGCGGGCCCTTGGCCGTCATTGTTGCAGGCGGCACGGCTGGCTCCCTGTACCACCTGTCCACCTATCCGTTTGATGTGGTCAAGACGGCCATCCAGACGCAGCCAGATACCTATCCGCGCATGTACAAGAACACGTTCGACTGCTACAAGCAGTTGGTCGCGCAGTATGGACACGGCGCGCTCATCCGCGGCATTGGCCCGACCATGGTCCGCGCCTTCCCTGCAAACGCGGCGGGCTTCTTGGCATACGAGCTGACTCTTCGTTTGCTCCCGTAGAAGGACGATTTGTCGTCGCTCCACGAGACAACACGATGCCTTTTTTGCGTTCTTGGTTTTTTTTTTTATGGAGATTCATTGATGAAACAAAACATACGACAATTCCACAACAACAACAACATACACCACTAGCTGGATGATACAACTGCGCGCGTGAGGTGACTTTTTTGTTTTGTTACTGCTGCTTTCGGATCTCGTCGAGACGGTTGACAATGAAGTGGGTCGAGTCCAAAAAGCGCTCCACACACTGGGTCAAGCAAGCCTCCTCCTTGGCCTCGAGGCGGTTGCCTGGCTTGTCGATGCACTTGTCCCAGCACATTTCCGTAAATTTGTGAACCTATTCAGCCAAGTTTGTAACCATATCCGTTGAGTGAAGATGGGAATCGGGTTTTCACAGGGAGACTTTTTTTTTTTTTTTTTTTGTGGTTGGAACTGTAAATTGCACAGTAATCTGTGATGATACTATTTCTGGTGTGACTTCGGCTTCAAACCGTCGCGGGTTGTGCGAGTTGACGGTTTGGCTGCCCCGTGCATTGCGCTGCTTTTGTCGGTCTTGGCAGTTCAGCACTTGCTCCGCTCACCAAGCAACGATCGCCCCTCGTTCTTGTTGGGCTTGCTTGTTGCGTGTGCTTTCGGCTTGACTGCCGATGCAATTGAGGTGTTGCCTCCGAGCTCAGGGGTAGGCGAGGGACGCTCGACGGCGCGCTCAGCTCAAAGCCATGCGTCTCGCAGCCCAAAAACGCCTCGCTCGTCCGTCCACCTGCTTCCCCTCTGCCTCTTCCTCTGTCTCGCTCTCTCGCTCGGTACCATGAATGTAAACACTGCGTAAACAGCATGTGCTAGAATTGTCACTGCCGAATCGGATCGGATCTCGTCCTGTCTGCTCTCTCTCTCTCTCTCTCTCTCTCTCAATGTTCCACTCAGTCACCGCTCATGCTCAGATGGATGGGCAAAAAAGACCCCCCGTACTTGTGCGTGGAAGCGAGCTTTTTGCTGCTCAATCTCGACAAACTGCTGGAGCTCCTTGTCCGTATCGTAGCCGGGAATGCTGGAAATCTGCTGCTCCATTGTGTGCTCTTAGTGAAGAAAAGAAGACTGTGCGTGTGTCGAGAATAAAAAATAAATAGGGATGGGCATTGCACATGGGGTACAAAGCATACACGCAAGCTCAGCTGTTGTACAAGAAAATAAATAAATCGAGGGAGGAAATGTTGTGGGACGGCTCGAAAATCAATGGAGATCAATGACACGGCTCGGGCTCGGGCTCGACGCCTGCCATGGTGTGCGGCAGACAGGACAGGGCTTCTGTCCCTTGGATCCTTGAGCACACGGTTCGCACACACAAGCGTGGCGACATGGGAGAAGCGACACGCTCCGCGCTCGCTTGACACACCACAGACACTCGCCTCGGCGAACCACCTTGCTGTCAGCAGCCGAGGCCGTGCTCCTCTCGGTCAAGCGCTGCAAAACAGTGGAAAAGTCTGGACGCTCCTCTGGTGAGTCGCGCAGACACTCAATCGCAACGTTGCATGCGTCTTCCGCAACGCGTTGCATGCGCTCCTGCCACTCAACCTCTCGGTCGAGCTGGCTGGCCAAGCCGTCGCTGTCCAGACGCTTCAGCTCAAAGCTGGGCAATTGGGCAGTCCACATCTCAAGGATTAGCATGCCAAACGAATGCACGTCCGTCGTGAGCGAGACTTTGCCCAAACTCAAATATGCGGGGCACAATGTGGCGCGGACGGCAGAGCACAATAACTGCGCAGAGGACGCTCCTGCAAAGGGGGGCACAAAGCCAAAGTTGGTCACTTTGGCAACGCCCGCAGCATTCAGCAGCACACTCGCAGTTGAGAGTCGAAGATGGAAAATCGGCTGGTTGCGGCTGGCTGTTTGCGCGTAGAGCATCGCGCGGGCGACGCTTTCGATAACGTCCTGACGCTGGTGCCCGGTGAGGCGAGCCTTGTGCTTGCCATCCAGCCAGTCGCGCACCGTCCCGTTCGGCAGGCATTCGTAGATCAAGTTGATGCCGCCAGTTGGCACCAGCGCGTGGTCGAGAAGCGGCGCAATGTGCTCGTGCTTTAGGTGATTGCTCATGAGCTTAATCTCTCGGTCGACCCATTTCTTGTCAGTCAGCACGGTCGCAGACATGGGTGAGTGATAAACAACCACCTGGTAGCCATTCCATTCACCGCGAAGGTGGGGTCCAAGAGTCCCGTTGGTCGCAGCCTCGGGTGGCTGATCGACAGCCAGTGACAGACGATCGTCGGGGTAATCGTCCATCGGCTGGGACGCCTCGAGTGAGGGCATGTTATCGAAAGGCGAGCATGGGCGCGCGGGCACGGAAATGTCAGGGCGCAAGGCAGCCAAATGAGCGCTGGTGCTAAAGAGTCCGTTGTTGTTGTTGTTGTTGTTGTTGTTGTTGCCGTTGTTGTTGCCGTTGTTGTTGGAAGATTGGGCGTGAAAGGGCGCAGAAACACGACGCGCATTGGAGGAGGAGGAGGTCTGGTCGGACGATGGCGATTCTGCTGCAAGTGATTCTACATGCATGGCCACTACCGCAGCTTGAGTCTCGTCCATTGACGAATCGTCCATGCGATCGTGGCTCGGAGATGTCGCGTAGTTAAGGCTAGGTGGCAGGGTGCCCAAGCTCAGTATTGAAGGCTGGACCTCGACGACGCTTGGCGTGATGGTCTGGGCAAAGTGCACACTTGGATCGTCCGAATGCGCAATGACATCGTCATCCTCTCCATCAGTGTGCTTGTCTCCGTCACCCTCAACGTCCACATCAGAATTGGTCGGAGGCTGCTCTTGCGCAAGGCTTGCGACGAGATTGCGCATCGCTGTTCGCTTGTTGGAAATGTCGCTGGGCGAGAACCAGGTTGCGTTCTACCACAATGGCGCAAAGGAGAGTATGTCAACAAAGATGAGCCAAGGAGTATAATCAGCGCAAACAACGCTCGCAACAGTTCTGCAGTCGCGTACGCAATGAAGCCCCGCGGTCGGGTCGATGATGAATCGCTCCATCAACTCCAACAAGTACACGCCACAGTCGCAATAGTTGGTTTGTTTGGGGCACTATCGCAGCGAGGTGAAAACGAAACATTGGTTGAGCACAGACCCGCAGCGAAAATAGAGTGAAATAGTTTAAAAAAACAATAAAACAAATAAAAAAATCACCTTGGCCACGCTGCCTTTCATGGAACGAAAATCGACAGGTGGCTGCTCGGCCCGTTTGTTTTTCCACTCGGATGATAGATAGCTGTGTGCAGCAATGAGCGAAGAGAAGGAGACAGAATGAAACGCCACGCTTCCTCAGACCAACGGAAGCAAAAGAGAATCTTCTTACCCGAGCAACTGTCTGGAGACTTGGGATCGAAAGGATCCGTTTAAAGAATCAAACATGATAATTTGAGGCATCGTGGTTGAGGACCTGTTCAGCCCAAGAACAAAACAAAACATAAGCAACAACAACAAAGAAGAAAAAATGATTCAGAGCTAAATCTACGTACTTGGAAGGAGCGTTCGCCTCGGACGGCAGCTCAAGCAAGGAAGGAGTGGACAGCTGAGTATCGTCACTTGGCGAGTCGGCGGGCTCGACAACCAAGCTGCTGGCGCTGGGGACGGGGCTGGCGGCAGGGTCGGCTGGCTCTGTCGGCTCCTCAGGCGACGACGACTTGTGGACGGATCTCTCAGCACTATCCCCATTCATCGGTTGTGGCCCAGAGTCGGTTGAGCCTGGGCGACTTGTGGCAGCATCCGACTCTGACTGGGCAAGGAAACTCTCTGCAAACTTTCCAGGGTAGCACACGACCATAAAGTACCAGTGTTGGCTGTGGGGAAATCAAAAGGTGAGCATGCGCGTTCTTGTGGACAAAGACCAAACCTCGCGCATTTCAAAGAGGAATCGGGCATACCTGGCGTTGATGGGAAAGAACAAAAAGTCCTTGGAAAAAATATCGACGTTGCGCGTCCAGGTCCGAACATGTTGGTACTTGATGTCCATGAGATCTTGCGAGCTGGATGGGGTCGATGGCGAAGAGTAGGCAACGCAAAAAAAAAATCAATGAACAGCGCGGTGACACGCCGAGAAAGCTCAGACATCAACAAACCTGGATTTCTCAGTCGGGCTGGTGCCGTTGCGGTCCCGGGAGAAGGGATCGCTGCTACTATGAGTTCCAGTCAGTCGACTGTAAAAGAAGGTGCTGAAAACGTGGCATTGATTGCGCTGCGCGTCCGATGCTTTGACGGTCAAGAAATAGCTGAAAACCGAAAACCAGAAGAAGCAGAGTGAGCAAAAGCTGGGACTGGAGCAACAACGAACGAACGAACGAACGAACGAACGAACGAACGAACGAACGAACGAACGAACGACGCAGCGCAGGAACGAGGAATCGAGCAAGAATGCTTACTTGATGTAAAAGTCCAGAATGACATCGTTCAAGTACTCTTCCTCGTACAGTCGCATCGCATCGGCATTGCGAACAGTGATTGGAGCGCCGATTAATGGGCGGTAGATGACGTCGCTGCGTCAAAGAGGAATCACCCACCGAAGCAACAAGACAAAGAAAGCGAACGATCAATCACACAAGCGGTTAGCGCCCTTGGCTGTTGACAAGTACAACAACCTGCGCAATTATTGAGCAACATGAGTGCGCATACCTAGTGAGCAGCTTGGGTCTGGCTTTGACCACCTCGATACCAGACAATGCGGAAAAGTCACTCCCGGACGAAATACTGGACCGCGTTCGGCGTGATGTGAGCCCAACAGCGCTCGTACCGGCACCAGAACAGATAATTTCGTCCTTGGCTGCGCGACCACGATTGATTGTGTTTTCAACGAGCTGCACATCGTACGACGTGGAACTGCACAGGATGATCATGCGAACGTCGGAGAGTATCGACTGCTGCTCGGCCTCTTGAGCAGCAGCAGCAGCGGCGGCGGCGGGGCGAACGCCAGCAGCAGAGGAGGGGTGCTTGAATTGCTTGTCCCATAGACTATCTTGACCAGAGGCGACAGAGAACAAGGGCTCTGTGCGTCGCGGCGCAAGCGCCCCTTTGCCGACAGTTTCGTTGACTTGAGGGAACAGATCGGCAGAAAAGTCCGAGCCGGGATCATCCGTCGTGGTGGGAACTTTGCTCGAGCGCGAGGCAGCGGTTTCTTGGTTGGGCTCTTTGCTCGGGCGCACATGAATGGTGGTCTTGCGGGTTTGATGCTCAAACTTCCAGTCCGTGATTTGAGCCAACGGCACCACTACCTGCAAGAGGTCTCCGCCGCGAGTGTTTGACGTTTGCGCTTGGAAAAGCGGGGGCTCCGTGTCTTGCGTGGCAATGTGGGATTGGTCGAGCGCCGAGTCGTCATCATCGCAAACAATGGGAGTGCCTGTGCTGGCGGAGCGGGCGGTGGTTGGGACGAGAAGGAGGCTGAGACGCGACGCTTCGAACGTGATTGACACAACCCTTCCAGTGATTGTCTTGCCGTCAGGCAGCTCAATGGCGGCAGTGTCCGCGGGAATGCTCTCCAGCGAGTCCAAGTGGCTCTTTTTGGTCCGGTGCGAGTCCGGGTCGTACGGTAGCGAGCGGCGTCGCTTCAATCCTCCTTGCTGGGATTGGAATGCATTGTCATCGTTATCGCCCTCGCTGACCTGGGCACTCGAGCCACCATGGAGTGGTTTCGCCGCAGCAAAACTGTCTTTGATGTTACTTTGCCGTGTGCCGCGTGTGACGACGGTCCGTGTCGACTCTGCCGCTTGCGTCATCCGCTTGCCGGGGCGCCGGTTTGCGTGCGAAGACATTTTGTCGTCGGCATCGTCATCGTCATCGTCCAGTGTTTCGTCGCTCATCCGGAGCATGGGCGATGCCGGACTCCGAGATGATTTTCTGGCGGCCGATGATGTTGGCGAGGCACTCGCTCTGGAGTTCCGACCCGGATGTTTGGAGCCGCTCGATGAGGTTGCAGCTGCTGCAGTGGGGGATTTCAGATAAAACAGCTGGGCGCTGGCAGGAAGGCCGTCCTGTGACTTGCTCAAGGACGACGATTGCCTCGGGTCTTTGGCAGCTGGCGACACTCGGCGCTGCCCGGACGAGTCCTGCTTGGCTTCGAGGACCCCGAGGTCGTGGTGGCCGGCATCGTCATCGAGAACAATCATGGATTCGTTGAGAGAGTGGGACGGTGCAACGTGCTGGTCCCACTGTGCCGCCGCTTCGTCGTGTCGCAATTGGTCGGGGTCTGCGGCTCTTTGACGTGGTGGTTGCGCAGTCTTTGGCTTGACTCGTGCGAGCCCTGAACCTATTATTGTGTGATTCGGCAAACTCGAAAAGCCACGTACTGGGTGTGAAGGTCTGGGTTCCGGAAGTGTCAATGCGGGCTCGGCTCCGAGCTCGGACTGTTGCAAGTCGGGGGGACGGTCGCGCGTGACTAGAAATGCGGAATCGATTGGCTCCGAGTCTTGCACAACAAGCACGTCTCCGTGCGCCGAATCGTCGCCGTTCCCGTGATGGTTTGAGTGATGGTTTGCGGTGATGGGTGCTCTGTCGATGCCTTGTTCTTCTTCCAAGTCTTCTTCTCGTTGTTGCTGTTGCAAGTCTTCTTGTCGTCGGTGGCGTCGTTGTTCTTGGGTGCTCCGGGTGGCATGTCTGTCATCAGTGTCGGCACGATCTTGCGATAGATTGGCAGGTGCTCGAGCGGCTCGGACGGCACGTCGACCACTGAGCGACTGCGAGACTGTGGATTCTGTCTGCTCGCTTAGCACTGGTGTAGTCCTAATGCTACCATCACCACCACCACTGTGGCCGGCACTCGTGGTGATCGTGGCAGCGACACTGGCGGGAACTTGTCTTCGCTCCAGCGACAAGTTCTTGCGACCGCCCAAACCCGCAGCATTAGGCAGTCGTTCTGAGTAGTCCGGATTCAGTGCGCTGGTCATACCGACGCGCATCAATGATGGTGATGATGAGGACAATGCTCTCGACGGTGTTCTTGCAACTTGCGCTTCAGCGTTGCTGTGGTCGTAGTCCTCGTCGTCGCCGTCGCCCGGTGCTGTGAACTGCTTCCGTCGTGTTGTCGTTGCGGTCTTGTCTTGCTTGCTTGTCAGGCTTGGTTCCATTCGCGTCGTCGTCGCCGTCGTCGTCATGCTCGTCCATCGGTAGTCGTCGTCGTGGTCCTGCTGGCTGTCCTCAACGCGCTCGTCCTGCTCCTGTTCCTGCTCCTGCTCCTGCTCCTGCTCCTGCTCCTCGTCCTCCTGCTGCCGCCGCTGCTTGCTGGTGGCTTGCTCGTCGTCATCGTCCTCGTCCACAACATGCACCGTGTCTGGCATGTCGCGTTCGAATGTGCTTGTGTTTGCGAGTTTTGCTCGCTTGAAACCAAGCACACGACTGGAACAAGAACTGAGCTCCTTCTGAGCAACCGAGATTGACGTTTTTTAAAAATGGTGGCGAATGTCAGTCACTGGCATGTAACGCGCTGAAGAGTATTCAGCCTGCTTGTCTGGATGGCAAACAGTTGAAAGCAATCCGGACTGACTCGGTGCCGGTCCACTTTGTACTCTAGGGCTGGCATGGGTGGCTTGGAGTGCATCACTTCATGTTGTGCTAGAATGACAATTCTCCAACCTCTGCTAGATCTAGATATCTCTCTACAGTACGATGCATGAATGAATGAATGAATGAAAGCTTGTTTGTGTGTGTGTGTGGTCGACCTTTTCTGAGCCTTCTTTGCGCCTTGAGATCTCAACCCATTTGATTGTATTTGTTTGATTCGTCTTCCCGAATTTCCACTCTTCAAAATCCCCCATCTCTTAGAAAAATGGCTTCTGGCTTTGGCGCGTTTGGCGGCCGAGGACGCTGCTTTCCATTGTGGAGCGACTTTGTCGACTGCGCGCGCGACGCCACCCAGCCGATGCAGTGCGCTGCCCAGACCGAGGACTACCTCGAGTGTCTGCACCACGTCAAGCAGGTGAGTGATGCGACACGAAAAAAGCGGGGACATCACAAATCACAAAGGGCAAAAAAAAAAAAAAAAAAAAAAAAAAAAAAAAAAAAAAAAAAAAAAAGCTCAATGCAAAAGCAATAGAAAAGCGCATGGAAAAAAAAAAAAAAAAAAAAAAGTTTTGCTTTTTCGTTTCTTTTCGTATGTGTTTGCATTGAGTGAAGCAGGGTGGCAGAGAACGAACACTTCTGGATGGATGCAGGACCACGAGTCAGCCAACGAAGTGAACTCGGGCACTGTTTGTGCTGTGGGGGAAGCCGGGGAAGGGGTGATCCGACCACGGCGATAGAAGGCTCAATGGAAAAGCCGTTGTGGCCGTCCTTGTGAGCTCGGACAGCCCGATGGACTGCATGAGTGGGGGGGGAGGTGGTGGCGAGTGCTTTGTTGTGCATGGGGGATTGCCGGACTTGGATGAGCACGGTGCGCGGCGCGGATGGAGGACGAAGGGAGAACTGTGATCCGCTTCCATTGACCTCCTTCAATCCAATGCCTTAGACCATCGGGTCATTGACTCTTGCATATGAATTCTCATGAATGTGTGTGTGTGTGTGCTTGTTTTTTTTTGTGTGTGTGTGTAGGGTCGCCGTGATCGTGCCATCGAGGCCGAGCGCAAGAAGCAAGCCGCCAATCCACCAACTCATGCTGCTGCAGCTCCGCCAGCACACTGATTTCTGATTGATTCTGATTGAAGTGCCGCTGCTGCTGGGGGCCCGTTCCTGTGTGCAACAAAACAAGCAAAATTTCAACCAACCAGTGTTGCTTTTGCCTGAAAATGACGCGTGTGGTGTCAACAGAGAAAAAAAAAATATCAAAAAATACATTGCAAATAATCCTTCCTTCCTTCCTTCCTTGTCTTTGTTCAACGTTGTTGTTGAGGCTCAATCTATGGCTTGTCCAACAAAGCATGGCAGCAACTACAGGGCACGGTCACATCCGAGCTGAGCAGCGACTTGACGAATCGCCGTTTCTCGCTCCTCAAACATTGGATGCGAGAAACTAGCACGATCGCCATCGGGCGTGACGCCAAGCACGACCCACTCACGCGGAATACCCACGGGCGGCGGCCACGAGATACTCTTTCGTTTACTAAGGTACTCTGCAGCGGCGGCGGGCGTGTCACGGAGATGGAGGGGCACGTAGTCTTGCGGGAATTCTGTCGTGTAGTTGTCGAACAGGAACTTGTTGAATGCCCGCGATGCAGCAAAGCGCGCAAAAGCACCATCGACAAAGTCACATCCCAAGGCAGCTGCACGACGGTCTGCTTGTAGCTCGACAAACTGGCTCGACAACGCGTGCATGCTCGTGACTGGAATGACGGCGAGCAAGCTGCTTGCCACCGTTCGCACAAGTCTGCCGCGGCGCGCGAGTATGCCGCGGCGTGCCAGGAAGGCAGACAGACCACAGAACGTCACTGCAAGCACATTTGCGCGTGCGATTGCCCAAAAGCCGTGCGCGTGCTGAATGTGCGAGAGCTCGTGCGCAATGACAAAGTCAACCGCCTCGATCGGCATGTCGTCGTAGAATGTGAGCGCGTCCTTCAAGACGGGATGCAAGATGGAGTTCTGCGATGTCACTCGCCGCTGCGGCGGAGGGCGACGGGACAGTATTGCTTCCCCGGTTGCCTTGCCCGAATGGTCGCTCGTTGAGGCGGATTTTGGCAGACCATCCTCACCCTCGCCCTCGCGCGGCACTGAGGCATCACCAGATCCGAACGACGACAATGATGATGATGACGCCATTCTTGATGTCGACGCATTCGTGTCGTCGCTCGGGACGAATCTTGATCCCGCCTTGTAGTGACGCTTGATCGCGGCGGCCATCGCGTCTGGCAGCACGACGAACGGACCCGGCCGCGACGACAGCGAGCCCTGCGACTCTGCATAGATGGCTTCGTGGACTCTGACGCGGACTGACCGCGCCTCTTGGTCCGTGTAGCCGAGCAGCTTGGCAATGCGCCGGACGCGCTCAATCACCTCGTACTCTGTGGCGAACGTCGGCAGCGTCGCGTCGTCCTCGCTCGGATAGAGCGGGTTGAGTTGCAGGTTGACGGCCGACGCGTTCACGTAGCCATACAGGCCGATGCCGCATCCGACCGCGAACGTCGTAACCGGGTTGCGCAGAAACGCAGGGACGATGATTCGGACCATCAGCACGACGTCTGAGAAACGGTGATGAGAAAAGAGAAGAGTGAGACTGAGAGACTGAGACGCGAGACGTGAGACGTGAGACTGAGACTGCGAGACGTGAGACGTGAGACTGAGACTGCGACTGAGACTGAGACTGAGTTTTGTCTCCTCGAACGTGCTGAGCGCGCGTTGATCTTTGAATCTCTTTGTCCATCCCCGTCTCAATCTCAATCCCCATCTCAATCCCCATCTCAATCTCTCAGTATCTCAATCCCATCTCTCACCATCTCTCAGTCTTCTTCCATCCACCCCTCCATTTCCAAACATGCTTGCCGCCTCGAGCGCCATTCTTCGCCGCGCTGCCGTCGCTGCTGCTGCCGCTGCTGCCGCTGTGCCTGCATCATCCGCAGTGCCTGCCCGTCGCGGCATCATGACGCTGACATCGTCACTCAACGGCTTTACCGACGATCAGAAGCAGGTAAGACAGCAAACCCCCCTCTCAGCTGCTGCAATGCGAGCTCCCAACAAAGTCACGTACAAGGCGACTCACTGGGATTGATCCTGACCCTCTGGCCTCGATGGGGTCGCACTCACTGAAACGATCTCTCGTATATGCATTGCATTGTTGTAACAATCATGATGCTGATGATGACCATGATGACTGGGTTGGCGATGGAGTAGCTGCAACAGGTCGCTGAAAAGTTCGCCCAGGACAACCTCGCGCCGCATGCTGCCGCGATCGACAAGAACAACAACTTCCCGGGCCTCCGCGACTTCTGGAAGAAGTGTGGCTCGATGGGCTTCCTGGGTGTCACTGCGCCCGAAAAGTACGGCGGCGCCGGTCTGGGCTACTTTGAGCACGTCCTCATCATGGAGGAAATGTCCCGCGCAAGCGGTGCGATCGCGCTCTCGTACGGTGCGCACTCCAACCTCTGCGTCAACCAGATTGTGCGCAACGGCACTGAAGCCCAGAAGCAAAAGTACCTGCCCAAGGTGAGCGATTTGTGACGAGCTGTCGCGTTGTGTTTGTTCGCTCTCGTTTCTCACGGCTTTGAGAGGTTTTGCTCTCTCTGTCCCCCTCCCCCGCCCCTTCCCTCCCCTCTGATTGATAATCGTGCTGCAGCTCATCAGCGGTGAGTTTGTTGGCGCGCTTGCCATGTCGGAGCCCGGATCTGGCTCGGATGTCGTCTCGATGCAGCTTCGCGCTGAAAAGAAGGGTACGTTTTGCTGCTATAGTGCGTCTGTACTTGCTTGCAACGCTGCTTGTACATCTTCGAGACCAACAACTATCGCACAATCCTCTGTCCTTTCTGAATCGTCAATCGCGACCGGACAGGCGACAAGTACGTCCTCAACGGCAACAAGTTCTGGATTACTAATGGCCCCGACGCTGATGTCCTTGTCGTCTACGCCAAGACCGACGTTCGCGGTGGATCCAAGGGTGTCACTGCCTTCCTTGTTGAAAAGGTGCGTGACTGAATCGGATGACGATTTGAGACAGTTTAGCCGCAGTTGTTGCATTTGTTTTTTTTTTTTGTTTTGTTTTTTTTTTTTCATCGCTCACCGCTCCATCGTGCTCCTCTGGTCTCTGCTTCCACAGGGCTTCAAGGGCTTTACCACTGGCCCCAAGCTTGACAAGTTTGGCATGCGTGGATCCAACACTTGCGAGTTAATCTTTGAGGACTGCGAAATCCCCGGTAGGTTTTCGGTTTCGTTTTTGGCGGCACGGCAGCAGGTCACTGACTCATCAAGTCGCTCGTGAAAACGTTGGGTTTTGTAGCCGAAAATGTCATGGGTGGCGTTGGCAAGGGCGTCTACGTGCTGATGAGCGGCCTCGATTACGAGCGTCTTGTTTTGGCTGGCGGCTCCACTGGGTAAGGGGTGAATTCCCTTGAAAATCGCTGCGTATCTCTTCTTTGTCGCGCTGAGAATCGTCGTGGTGTTGCGCTGTCGGTCACAGTCTGATGCAAGCCGCCCTGGACATTGCCATCCCCTACGCCCACACTCGCAAGCAATTCGGCCAGAAGATTGGCGAGTTCCAGGTGAGTGGCAATGACCTGTGGAGCTGTGTTCCAAACCTTGTGCTAGCACTGCATTCTCACCTCTCCATGAAATATTCCAGCTCATGCAAGGCAAGCTTGCTGACATGTACACCAAGCTCGCGTCGTCGCGCTCGTTCCTGTACGCCGCTGCTCGCGCTGCCGACCGTGGCGAGATTGACGGCAAGGTGAATGAGCTCAACACAAACAGCAATTGGTGTGCCAGTTATGCCCTTTTTCGTTGAACGCGAACGCCAACCCGAATATCTCTTTGTTTGTTTTCTTTGTTTTCTTTCTTTTTTCTTTTTTGGTAGGATTGCGCTGCTGTCATCCTCTTGTGCGCTGAGAATGCCACTCAAGTGTGCCTCGAGGCCCTCCAGACCCTTGGTGAGTTTTCAATCTCTTCTGCAGCGGCAACGATGGGACCCGTCTGAGCTGACTTGCCGTTTCTCCCCCTTTCATGTTTTTGTTTTATTTTTCGTTTTTTTTTCTGCCCTCTGGTGTGGCGCAGGTGGCAACGGTTACATCAACGAGTACGACACTGGCCGTCTTGTTCGCGACGCCAAGCTGTACGAAATTGGCGCTGGCACGTCTGAGGTCCGTCGCCTTGTCATTGGCCGCCATTTCAACTCGCTCTTCCGCGACAAGAAGTAAAAGCGCCAGCAAGCACAATTTGAGGCGCCCTTCCCCCCCCCCTCCCAATGCTAACAACAACATCATCATCAATGTGCGTGACAACTACCATGGATGTTGATAAACCAAAATATACTTTTCGACACAAAACCAATCGTCCCATTTCATTCACAAGTCGGCAAGAACGGAAACAGTAATAATTCTCAAAATACTAGCTCGCTCTCATGAATCAACTCTTTGACAAAACAGAATCTCAGTTCGCTCTTTGTGGGTTTGTTTTTTAAAAATCCTGTTAGTAGAATGCAATGGAGTGAAGAAGCGTTCTTGCGTGTTTGCGCTGAAACTCGTCAAGAACCTCCTCAATCTTGACCTCGAGATCGTCGGCTTGGTCGAATGCTTGGCACATTTTGAAGATGAGCGCGGCACCAACCGTCGCCTCTTCGTGGTTATCCTTGATGTCAATGTTGATAATGTGAACTGGTCGAAAGGTCCGGCTGTCGCGCGCCTCGAGCACCTCAAGCACTTGATCGAAAACACGCTCCTCGCAGGTAATAATGACATCAAACAGCGGCTTGGCGTCCGCAAACCGTTCTGGTGCTGTCTTGATCTTCCTATTCCGGTCGAGCATGGACAGAATTCCATTTCCCGTGTAGAATGCGTTATCTTTGGATGCCAGTTCGGCATAAATGTCGTTGTATGGTGTGTTGAATTCATAGACGTTTGGCTGGTCGGGTGTAGGTCCTGGCAGCTTGACATTGTTGCCTGATCCGTACGAGCAGACGTCAAATCCCTTTTTGCTGCAGCGACAACAACAACAAGACAAAACAACAACAGCGAAACAAAACAAAACAAAAAAAGAAAGTCAGAATATGCGAATTTCGCTCAGACATGAGAATCAAGATCGTTTTGAGTGTCAGATCAGCTTCCAGCCAGAGTCAATAGAAACAGCTGGAAAAACGGAAAAAAAAAAAAAAAAAAAAAAAAAAGGTTGCCGGTGTGACCGAAACGGAGCAACCAAAACAGGGCCACTGCGTGATCTCGTCACAAGCGCCAATCACACCAAATGAAGCCCCATAAACCGATGGACGGGAATGGACTGATGGCCCAACTGGACTATTCATGCTGGTTGCTCAGGCTGTTGCGGCTTGGAGCCGGGCCTTGGTGTTGCGCCCATTGCTCCACAACGCCGCACTCGATGCGCTCCGCCGCTGGACCGAGGCAGCAGAATCAAGCAAGCTACCACCTCACGCAGCGGCACCGGCGGTAGAGCAACCGCAACGTGGTCTTGTGGCTGTTGTTCCCACAGCAAGCACGAAACACCAAAAAAAAAAAAAAAAAAAAAAAAAAAAAAAAAAAAAAAAAACAAAAAAAAAAAAAAAAAAAAAAAATATCACGACCAACCTGAGAAGCGCATGGGCTTCCATGCTTCGGTTCTGGTTGCTGGAGCAGATCACTGCGTACTTGACTCGACCCATTCGCTGAGGGCAAGATTTGTTAGTGGTAGTATCGCTTTGAGTGGCTGGTTTGGTGTTTTGTAACGAGAATGCGCAGGGCGATTTGGAAAATGAAGTGGAACGAGAGTTGTTCCAACAATGAAACAAGAAGACTGAGAATGACTGAGAATGACTGAGAATGATGGAGTCTCAGTCCACAAATGCTCATTCGTTGCTGTCATTGATTCACTGGTGGTGCTTGAAATGAATGATGGCTGGATCAACAAAAAAAAATGGTATTTTGCATTTGCACCAGGACAAGAACATAACATGAATGCACGCCCAACCAACAAAAAACACACAGCCCCTCTCGCCACCTCGTTCAAGACCCAAAGTGCTCGGCCTTGTGATCAATAGCGCGGTACTCGTAAACACCCTTGCCGTCAAACTGAAGGACGTACTCGTGGTGGCGCCAGAGCGACTTGCGGTGGGACACGGTGAAGAGGGTAATGTTGAGCTTGCGGCAGTGGTCGTACATGAAGCCCTCCACGTCGACCGAGACGGCGCTGGTGCACTCGTCGAGAATGGCAAACTGAGGACGGTGGTAGAACAGACGAGCCATGGCCACGCGTTGCTTTTCGCCGCCGGAAAGCACGTCCATCCAGTCCTGCACGGCATCCCAGCCGTTCTCGCGGTCGGCCAAGTAGTCGAGCTTGACTTGCTTCAAAAACTCGAGCAGGTCGGCGTCGGTCATGCCGCGCTTGGCGAGGTCTGCTTGCGAGTGCGGGTAGATGACCTGGTCGCGGAGGGTGCCGAGCGTCATGTAGGGACGTTGGGGCACGTAAAAGAGCTTCTCCTTTGCGGGCTTTGTGAGCTTGCCGCCAAAGATGGGCCAGAGCTCGCCGAGCGTTCGGAAGAGCGAGCTCTTGCCGCAGCCGTTGGGGCCTGCCACGAGGACGTTGCAGCCCGACTTGACCTCGAACGAGAGGGCGCGCACGAGAATGTCGCCGTTGGGCGTGACCAACGGCACGTTCTCAAACTTGATGACGTGGTCCTGGTAGAAAATCTTGCCAGCGTTCGGCGCCACTGGTGGCAAGCCCGAGTTGTCCTGCGCAGCGGCGGCAGTGGCAGACGCGCCTGCCTGCTGGCTCTGGACCATGGTGCGCTTGTAGCGGTCGTGGTTGAGATCGTGCAGCACCTCCATCAGGTCGGTCATGCGGGTGGTGAAACCGGCAAGACGCGTGAGCTCGCGGCCCGCGAGGACGAGACGGCCGACGGCGGTGGCCAGGTTGATGAGCATGCGTCCGCTCTTGTAGTAATCTTCCATCATCTCCGAGTGAGACATGCCCTTGAAGCGCTCGCTGGTTGGGTCCATGAAGGGACGGCTGACGACAGTGAAGCCGATGATCGTGGCAAAGTACTTGGCGACGAACGAGTCAATGACGCCCATGCCAAAGCGGAATTGCATCGAGCGACGGAGCATGTTCACCAGGCGGTTGAAGGTCTGGGTGATGACGAGCTTCTCCTTCTCGTTGCCATTGTAGAAGGCGATTTCTTCGGCGTTCGTGATGAGACGCGAGTTGACAAAGCGGAACTCGCCCTCGAGGCGCTGCTCGTTGACCGTGTACCAGCCCGTCGGGCGGCGTAGGCGGGTGAGGAAGGCGCCAGAGACGGCGAGGTAGGCGAGCATGTACGCCGGGCCTTGGGCGCCGATCGAGCCGGCGAGCTTGCGTGCGTAGATGAAAATGTCCAGAATCGGCTTGGACACGTTCGAGTACAAGTCGGCGATCGAGTCGCAAAACTTTTCCAAGTCCTGGGTGAGCAGCTGGTCGGCGTTGGCAATGCGGTTGTCGAGGTTGGAGATCTTGTAGTAGGTGAAGCCGCGCAGGTACTCGCTGTACAGGTGGTTGGTGAGGCGTGTGCGGAAGCGCAGCGCCAACTCGTTCAGGCCGTACTTGAGCAGGTTGGTCACGCAGCTGATGGGCAGCAGGGCGTTGAAAAAGTGGACCAGGCCCTCACGGAAGCCCGCCGCGTCGCGGCTAATGATGGTCGACTCGATGGCGGTGGTGGTCTTGATCATCCACAGATCGCAGTAGGTTCGTCCGACCATGGCTGCTGCGACGAGCACAATGAATCCCATCTCGGGAGTAAAGACGCCCGGAATGACAATCCTGAGCAGCTTGCGCAACCGCGCAAAGAAGACGCCGTCGACTGCAATCTTGGACTTTGCTTGGCGGCTCGCGGCAGCGGCTGCGGCGGATGTTGCGACCGAGTCATCCTACAAGCGTTGCATTCGTGGGGGGGGGGGGTGAGCAAAATTGACAAGCTTTGAGTTTTTGCGAGAAGCTCAGAAGATTTTCTCAGAAATTCTGATTTTCTGTGTTTTTTTTTTTTCTTTTTCTTTATGATGATTTGAAGCTGGTTTTTTTCAGTTGCTTTATCGATATCAGCTTGCGATATTCACATGTTGAAATCAATAGAGAATGGAGAAATGGATTGAATGTCCAACTGCTTGATTCAAGTCGAGCGTCGTGTTGCGGAAGCGGAACCCGAAACATCCGACCTGCTTCCAGCGCTTCCGCTGCTGCTGCTGCTCCTGTGACCAAAGCCCCAGCGCTGCAGCACCCGCGGCGATCAACGGGTCGCGCCGACCCACGATTGAATGGTGAGCTTGTTTTCCGCTCTACTGCAACAAGCCACTCGAAGGGGGTCGATCGCGACTCGGGAGGAAATTGAAGTGAATGAAGAGCGGAGAGCATCATTGATCTAACAATGACCACCACCAGCACCAGCCACCCCTGCCCCATCCAGACACACACATACACGCTCGAATGGTGAACAATGAACATTTGGCGCCTTGGGTGGAGGAAGGGCTCGAGTGGACGAGTCGTACGGCGTTGGCTCTCTTTCCCCTTAACTACTGACTGATTCTACTGGCTGATTCTACTGACAGTGACTCTGACTGACTTGGCTTTCGCTTACCTTGGAGCTTGACTTTGGGTTGCGCGTGACGGCAGAGTAGATGCCGACGAGCAGGAAGGCGCTGCCGACTGCAATGCCGTAGGACTTTGTGTGCTTGGACAAGATGGACGGCATGACTGGATTTTGCTATGAGAAAAGAAAAAAAGGACTAGACTTTTGTAGGAGAAGTCAAGTGGATTTAGTATGTGAAGGAGTGTAAAAAACGGAGTGGGTCGTATGATGTTTGACTCTCTGACTTTTCGCTTGCATTCACTTTGGTTTTTCTTTGTCATTTATTCTATTCTTTGTCCAGTCTTTTATTGTACTACTTTGTGTTTGTATTGGTGAATTAATCAATGCCTGGCAGCAGTGGATATACTTGGATTGCTCGCACAAACTCAACCTCGAGTCTGTCAGTGAGGTACAGTGACTTGCTCAAGCCCCTTTAACCCACCGCCGACTCTTCATCATCATCATCATCATCGTCATCATCATCATTATCATCACCATCAGCTGCAGCTGCAGCAGTTGATTGTCCTGCGATGCAGACCCCCTTCTTCGTCCAGTCATGAGAACTCAATCACACACCGGTGACACGACTCGCTCACCACATCTACGCGCGTGTTTTGCAACTGTGCACTTTTGCATTCTGACTATTGTTTTGTTTTTTGGGGGGGGGGGCTGGGGGCGGGGCGAACACTGGTTCAGGTACGGTCACAGCCTCACGCTGCTGGACGGCTCGCTCTACCTGTTTGGTGGCACGACCAACGACGTGAGCAACACTGCGTCCGAGGACACGTACGCAGAGTACTTTGGCGACTTGCATGTAGCCGCGAGTAAGTCTCACAGTGATGAGGAAGTAGCTACTACTTGAGTTACGTTTTGAATTGGAATTGTTGTACGGAACGTTACTCACAATCACTGTGATCTGTGTGTGTGTGTTTGTGTGTTTGTGTGTGTGCGAATTACGTGTCGCTGTCGTTTTGCCGTTTGGTAGCAACGGGACCAGATGCATATGCGTGGAAGAAAATCGAGCAGCAAGGCGACCTGCCCAAGGAGCGCGAAGGCCACACGACGAACGCGTTTGCAGGCCAGCTGTATCTGTTTGGAGGCAGCGCCGACCATGAGACAAACCTGAGTTTCAACACGGTGCATTCGTTCAATCCGGGTGAGCTGGGAACAAGCTGTTGACCAGAAGACCAACAAAAGAAGGGTTTGATTGTTTTGTCAACTCACCGTATTCTTCCATGTATCCCCCTTTTGTTTGCAGCCACGAATGCGTGGACGCTGTGCAAGCCCGCAGGCTCGCTGCCAAAGCCGCGACTCAACCACACTGCGACGGATTTCGGTGTGGGCAAGGTGCTGGTTTTTGGCGGCTATTGCAACCGCGAAGCCATTAACGATTTTGCCGTCCTCGACATCCGTAAGACAGCTGAACTGTTGTAGCAGCGTGTCTGTCTGTGTGTGTGTGTGTGCCTTGGTTTGAATTGATTTGATGGCATTATTATTTTGCACGCTCCATCCCTTAGCGACCATGTCCTGGTCTGTCCCTTCCACGAGCGGACCGGTCCCTTCTCCCCGATGCGACCACGCGGCTGCATCCATTGACAGCCGTGTCTACATTTTTGGAGGCACGGCCGGGTCGGATGTGTGGCTCAACTCTCTGCACTGCCTCGACACTGGTAGGGGCAAATCTGCAGAACTTTTGTCGTTCAAGGGAGTTGCTTTTGGTTTTTGACTGACGAAAAACAACAAAAAAAAACGGTTTGTTCCACACCCGATGCGTTGGATTTCACAGCGACCATGGCGTGGACCAGCATTAATGTCGCCAACCCTCCAATTGCTCGCGACTTTTGCACCTTGATTGCCTTCCCAGAGGCTGATGGGGACGCGCTTGTGCTCTTTGCTGGCACGACGGGTGCTCAGGACGGCGACGAGGGCGATGCTGTTCATTTCAACGATGTGCATGTGTTCCAGTCTGGTAAGGGCAGAGTTGTGGTGTGAACGTTGTACAAGAGAGCTGAAACCCGCGCTGATTGTCGTTGCTTGTCTTGCTTGTTGACATTACTTGTGCAGCGTCTAGCAACTGGCGCCTTGTCGCGCCGGAGGGCAAAGCCCCTGCAGAGCGCTGGGGACACTCGGCGGTGCTTGTAAACAGCGAGATGATTGTTGTTGGCGGCACCAACGACACGTGCGACTTGAACGACACCATCGCGCTGACCCTTCCCGTGCATGGTATGGTTCAAAAATGGCATTTGTACAACTACCTCTTTGGCTTGTGGCTCACGTTGCTTTTGATTGGCGTTTCAATGGTTTTTCAATCACTTTGCAGTCGAGTCCAAGGTCGCGCAGCTCAAACGAACCATGCAAATTCCCGTGGGCAAGCCAAGCCAAGCAACCCCGAATGCCACAAAGCCTTCTGAACCCATTGCGGCTACTGCTGCTGCTGCTGCTACTACTACTACCACTACCACTACTTCTACTGCCGAAGCTGCTGCTCCTGTCACAGCTGCACAGAGTGCTGCCAGCTCGGTTTCGCCGCTTCCTCGCACAACGCCACCGCAAGTTTCGTACGCCATCAACACTCCCGTCCCCGCTCCTGCCCCGGTCATCATTCCGACCGTCATTCCAAGCAGTGCTGTTGGCAGCGACGTGACTGCGCCGGTTGATCAGCTGGAGCAAAACATGCTCTCCACGCTCAAGCAGCTCTTCGAGACGCTCCGCGCGCAAACAGCGCATGTCGACCACCGCTTGCTGCAACTGGAGGAGGACAACCGCGCACTCGAAGCAACGCGGACTGTGCAGACCGAGATTTTCGCTCAGCAGCAGCAGGAGGTCGAGCAGCTCATCCAGGAGCACAAGCGCGACAACGAGGCTTGGCTGGCCGCGCTGACTTCCGAGAATGACGTGCAACGGGCTGCGCTGAATGCTGAATGGGCTGACCTGCGCAACCAGCAAGCGCAGCTGGTCAAGGATCGCGAAATGTTTACCGAAAAGTCCAAAAAGATGGAGGCGATCATGCAGCAGTTTTCGTCGCTGGGTCAGTAGGCGGACTGCGGTGTCTGTGATGTGTGTTGTTTCTTTCTAGGGACAGCTTCTCGTCGGTTTTGTGGTGTGTGTATGTGTGTGTGTGTGAGGACAAGTCTCTTGTTTGCCCCAACGTGAATGTCGTTGCTTGAACTGCTCCGTCTCAATCGAAATTGTGCAATGAATTCTGCTCCTGATCCAATTTCATCATCTTTGCTCAAACCCACCAATTTTTTTTTATTCGCAGTCATTTCCCATTTCTTGTATCTTGTTGCTGGAGTTTTCGCTACCGAGTGTGATGATGACGGACACTGGAGTGAACGCCGCATGGCTGCTGTGCGACGAGCGCGCGCCTGCTGCCGACGACGACGCTGCGGGCCTTGAGGAAGAGCGCCTGTTTGGCCTGTTCATTGACGCCATTGACGCAGTGTTCCATCGCTGGACTGCGCTGCAGCTCGCGCTGGAGCAAGGCTGGGGCGGCAACGGCTCGGCGCGCAAAGTCGCGTGGATGAAGGACGACGTGATTGTGCAATTCAAGGACGCCCTCCGCGCATCGGAAGGACCCCTCAAAGGTAAAAACTACTGAGGTCGTTTTTTGCTCACTTTGAGTGAGGATGACGGCCCGGGTGTTGGGAGCGAGTGGCGCGAATGGGACTGCCGGACGTGTTTTCCTTGCTCACCCTTGATGCTTGATGTCTTTGTATGGGTTTTGACAGGATCACCAGTCTATGCCGACGAAATTGATCAGCAGTTGCAGGCTGCTTTGGAGGCTGATTTCAACATGCAGCTCGAGGACAACAGCTCACGAGAGGTAAAGATCACACTACAACAAAAGAGACAACAAGGCCCGATTGCTCGCGTTGTTCACCTCTGAGCGAGCGCGGTTTGGGGTTTTGCACGCATCGTCAAACCATGCTCACCAACATCACTTGAACAATACTACTCGAATGGCATGCTATGTGCGCGTGGTGATGCGGAAATTTCCTGGATTGCAGGTCGCACGATTGATTGTTGACGCGTTTACCAAGATTGCCACCGGACAAAGCCAGCTGATTGAAGAGTTTGTGGAGAAGAGCCAACGCCATGCTGGGGGTGCCCGAGCATCCCAGCAAGGCGCGACTCCCTTCAGTCAGGACAATGACGACGACGACGACGACGACGACGACTATGAGGATGACGATACTGCAGCGGCAGGCGACCAAGCTGCGACCAATGCCATGGTACGTACAGAACGTTGAGGCTATCGGGTTTGTCGAGATTGGCCTGTTGGACAAATGGGCACTGTTTCCGCAGTGAGAGTTACCCGTCAAACTCACTTTTGTCGCTTGTCTTGCACCTTGACGACTCAGCGCGCCATGTCCCTGAACGATGGGCCCAGCTCATCGTCCAGCAGCGCACCTGCAGGCCCACAAGTCGATGCCGATGGCTGGGAGGTGGTTTCGCCAAAGCGAAAGGGGCGAAAGTAATCCTTGAGCGATTCAATACTACAACTTTTGCTCATCATTCCTGTGCGTGCATCTGGATCCATTCAACGGATTCTAACCATGAACACTTTTATATGGAGATCAACGGTAGGCACCGTTTCCCGAGCACACACAACAAACACGAAAACAAAAAAAAAAAAAGTCATAACAGTCAAACAAAGAAAGATGGAAAGAAAGAAAGAAAAAAAAAAACAGCCTTTCGTCGCTTTTCAAAAGCTAACGTACATGCATGCAATGAGGAAAACAACAACCACAGCGTTCAAATCACAACAAAAAAGGCAATTTTTCTCAAACAAGAAAGCGCGGCAAACCACAATACAACGTTGCGGTCAAAAAGTTTAGAACTTGGTCTTCTTCTGGTTGCCCAGGGCAATGACAGTCTCGAGGCAGTTGACCACCTTGATGGGTCGGCGACCTTCCATAATGTCGTAAATGTTGCACATGGACTTTTCTGGGACGCCGAGCGTCTTGCAGCCTTCGAGGAACTTTTCGAGATTCTCCATGATGCGAATGGTGGGGAGGCTGGTGCCGGGTGCTGGCTCGACGGGCTCAAGCGAAGCTTCGTCGGGCAGGAAGGCGCGCAGCAAGTGGCAAGCAAGGACACCATCCTTGAGGCGGCGAGGCATCTCGTTCAGCACGTTGTCCTCGGTGACTCCGGGGACATCCATGCCGGCCTCCTCCTCGATGGCGAACATGATACGCAGCCAGCGATCGGCCACAGCCTTGTCTTGAATCGACTGGCGCTTGAGTGTCAAGCGCTGAGTGAACGAGCCACCCTTCTGACGGAGGCCAGACAGAGGACCAAACTCGCTGTGGGAAGGTAGGTCGGAAAGCAAAAAAAAACAAGACAAACGCAAGAAAAGTCAGTTCCTTCTTCCACGACCCGTGAGTCAGAGCCCAGTCAGCACCACAATCGTACTCGTTGTTCTCGCCAGAGACAGAGATGGTGGTGCCATCATCGTCATCGTCTGCCTGAGCCTCAGTCTCGGCAAAATCGACAAGCTCGTCGAATTGAACGCGGGCCTTGCGAAGCGTCGACTTGGCCTCCTTGGCCATGGGAGTAAACCTAACCAAGAAAAAAATAACAGCAGAGAGCGGTGAGTATACCAGTTCAGCGTCCCCCAAAAGTCTCAACGAAAAAAAAAACCAGACGAAAAAAAAAAAAAAAAAAAACGCTTGCGCTGCGCAACAAAAAACACATACTTGGTCTCATCCTCGTTGTCAACAACTTGGAGAAGAGCGTCAGAGGCAGCCTCGACAGCCTTGGCGGTGGCGATGAGCTGCTCCTCAGACACTTGACCACCCTCGGCGTCGGTCTTGATCTGCTCGGCAAGCTGTGCGGCAGCAGTGTGCATGGCCTTGGCCTTGTCGGCAACATCCTCCGACCAGCCGACATTGGTGCGGCGAGTCGATGCAGCCTGGCTGACAAGCATCGAGGTCGACTCGGCAATGGCGCGAGCGGCTTGGAGCAGCTGCTCACCAAAGCCGGGCTCTTCGTAGTCGTCGACGGCGTTGAGGTGCTTGACAACAGCCTCAAGATCGGCAGAGGCCGCAAGCAGCTCCTCCTCGGCCAACAACTCGAGCTCGGAAGGCTCGATAAGGCCGTTGGGGTTTTGGCGGTTGAGGGTCGACTTGCGCTTGATCGACTTGCCGGCAGTGAGCGTGGAGCCAGCGGCGCCAACAAGGCCGGCTTGTGCGAGGTACTCTTCCACCGTAGAGTCCGAAACAGACTCTTGATGCGGCACCGAAGCGACAACGGCCGGGCGGGCCATCGCAGCTTGACCAGCAAGGGCGGCATAGTTGGGGTCGTTGTACACGTTGCCAGCACCAGCAGTCGAGTCCAACGGCTTGACCGATGAGTTGGGGGAGATTGGGGTGACGGCGTTCTTCACCTGCAGGCCGCCAGCGCCAGCAGCGTACATGACAGCGCCATCCATCTCGTCGGCATCGAAAGCAACGCGACGGGGCTCGGCCAAAAAGTCGGTTTGCGTGCCAGCGTCCAAGAACTCGGTCGCTTGGACGCCAATGTCGTAGCGGGGCGAGCCCGAACCAGGCGGCGCTTGTTGAATAATGTGCTGGTGAATGATGGTAGGACCAGCCTGAACAGTGGCGGGAGCAACCTCGCCCTCGGCACCCAACGCACCGAGGCTGCAAAAAAAAAAATGACAAAGGGAACAAAACAAAAACGCACAAAAAAACCAGTGGTAAGTGGTTAGTCGCTTGAAGGTGCGCAGACGAAACAATGAAACAGGGCAACAAAAGTCTTCAATGTACCGGTTGGCAAGACGGCCGATGAGAACGTGCGTCTCTTGGTCTTCGGCAGCAGTCATGGCGCGCATGTTGCTGTCGTCGCCGCCCTCGGTGACATCGACGCCCTTCTTGGGCAGCGCTGCCAGCTCGGTGGCTTGCATGCGCTCACGAGCAATGAGCAAGTCAATGTCGCTCGACTGGCTAATGTAGTCTCCGGACTGTGTAGTGTTGCGAGGGAGAACAGCATCAGAAAACTGCAATGATGGATGCCAAAAACAAACAAACGCACAAACAAGGACAACACAAAACGGGAACACGCTGCTTACTGCGGGGAGCTGCCAGTCCCACTTCTTGCCAACGTTCTTGAGGCGGTTGCCAAAGACGTTCAGAGCGTTCTTTTCGGGGTAGCAGTACTCGAGCAGAGGGTGGTTGACCTTGTGCTTCTGGGCCTCGCGACCGCTCAAGAAGCAAGTCTGGCACACGTCAAAGCCAAAGCACTTGAGGCATCGGTAGCGCAGACCAACGATGGGGTTGCGGCCGCAGACCTTGCAGCGAGCGTTGTGCACCACTGGAACAGGGCAACACAATGTCAGATATTTCGGTTGTGTTTTTCCTCCTCCTCCTCCTTCCCCCCCCCAAACAGCCTCCTGTAGAGCACTTACCAGACTCGGCATAGTTGAAGCGAGCGAGAAGCGGCACAAAGACAATGACCGACTGGTCAGCGAGCATCCAGTGCATGAACGCCTTCAGAGGGAGCTTGTTGTCCTTCTGGGCGTGTGCGGCATCAAAGCAAGCAGTGACCGTCTTGTTGATGCCCTCCTCGGAAGTGTCGAGGTCGGCGCTCATCTCGGCAAGATCAACAACAATCTGTGCAGAGCAGCATGCGTGAGTCACCAGAACTATGCAAAACCCAAAGCTTGTGTGGCGACCGTCCATCCTACCTTGGCGAGCGACACAATGTACTGGGCGAGCTGTGTCTGGCTGATCATGCCGTCGTTGTCAGAGTCGACGAGGCTGAAGGCGTCTGCAAAAACCAAAACAAGTCAAGCGATGAGGATACAGAGGTCAAAGACAACGTGTGACGCAAGTGTCATCGCTGCACGTACAGCGGAACTTGTCAGCCAGCTGACCAGACACCAGGGTGCTGGTGCCAATCTTAAAGTCAAAGGCGCTGATGGCGCCAGTGCGCAGGCTACAAATGTTCGAGAAACGTCGGTGAGCAAAAAGGATGCCGGCTTCAACACCAACCGCGCTTCAACGAACGCTTTGTTTGTGGGGGGGGGACGTACCGGTCATAGACGCACAGCAGCCAGTGAACTGCATGTGTAGCGCACTCCTTGGGCTCGCTGATCGAAGCAAGCTCAAAGGCAAATGTCAAGCAGCGCAGCATCTCGCCAGAGGTGAAGGTCTGCAGTATTGCATGAGCGGGACACGAAAGACAAACGTGAGCGAACGAACAAACGGGGAGAAAGCTTCACTGCAACACGGTACGTACATCATTGCGGCCAGCAAGCATCGAGTTGTGGATGGCATCGAGCAGGTTGCGGAAGGACAGCTTGCGCACTGTGGTCGTCACAAAGCAGAGGTCAGCGACATCAACCACCATCACATCACCAAAAAAACAGGTGCAGTCGCAGCAACATACACGAGGTGTGCATCTGGACGTGGCGCAGCTTGATCACAGCGCGGTAGGCGGCAAAGCGAATGTTCTTGTACTCCTCTGCTCAGGTGTGGGCGTGCAAGTGAGCAAAGCCACACAAGTAGTGCAATGCAGAACATGGTTCATACCGTGCTTGAACTTGAAGTCGATACGGGGATCGGTCCACTCGGTTGTGCCATTGTTGTGGCTGTCGTGTATGAAAACAAGCGAGGGTTTGAGTGAGCAAAATCACACAATAAAATAATTCAAAAAACACCAATCTCAGCACAAGGTGGGTTTGTCGACAAAATTCAAAACATTTGGGGGTGTGAATGCTCTTTTTTGAAAGTTGGCACCTAATCTGAAAAAAGGGGGCGTTTTGAACCCTAAAGAATCTCCAAAAATCAAGGAGGGCGGGATTTTGTCATTTTTGAACTTTGAAAAAAAAAAAAAAAAAAAAAAGGCAAAAGCCACGAGATGAGCTTGTCAACGCTTGCACGCGGTTTGACGCGAGCTCAGCCAAACCGCCAGTACCACCCACGGGTGGCAGGCCATAGCGGGTTGTCAACAAAAAGGATGGATGACAAGACGTGGTTGAGCTGGGGGAAAGGGAGAGCCAATAGAACAATGTCGTCAAAATGCCGACAACCCAAAAAAAGAAGCTGTCAAAATGGTTGGAAAAAAAAAAAAGAACCTCCTCTTCCACAAGGTTGCTAGATTGCCCACGAATGCCTGACAAGAGAAGCCCCGGGGGAAGGGGGCGGGGGGGGGGGGCAAAAAGCAGATAGCGAAAGGAAGAAATGGGACAAGCCACTCAAAGCAGCACCAAAAGCGACGGTGGTAGGTCGTGGGGATGAGCGAGAGCGAGAAGGCGAATACTCACTCGACAAAGTACGGAAGACCCTCGTCCGTGCGAGACTGCTCCCAGCCAGACGGAAGGGGAGCTGAGGCAGCGAGAGCAAACACAGCAGAAACAGTCAGCGGTTAGGGTGTTGGAAGCAAGGAGCGCCGTGAGCAGCACAGAATACATGAAAAACCTAAAAAAAAAAAAATAAAAAAAAATAAAAAAAATCCATACTTGATGAGGAGGGCGATGCCTGGACGGCAGCGGCATTCACCATGGTCTGCGTAGAGGAGCAGCAAGGTCAAGCAGAATGGCAAGGGGGGGGCACAGGTCAGGTGAGTGGAAGCGGGGCAGTTTCAAAGATACGAGAGCAGGAAGCACATTTCGAAAAAGGACAAGTTTTGAAAAAAGAAAACCAAAAAAAAACTGTCAAACTCATTGCCAAAGGTCGCGTCACCGCAACCACCACCACAGAGCACAAAGGCGGGGGGGGTGGTTGGAGGTTGTCCATCTATTAATGTTCTAGCGCAGCAAGAGTGGGACGAGGGTTGAGAGGGTCGTGCAAAGAGCACAATCCACTTTGCTGTGAACGAAAACCGACAAAACAGGAGGTTCGTTCGCTTTTTGTTCTTTTGGTTTCTTTTTTGTTTTTGGGCTGAGTCGCCTTTTCTCAGCCCACACCGCAAGCAGACACTCCAAGGCGGCTTGTCGCGTTCATTGCTAATGTTGCTGCGACGAGAATCAGCAGGAAGAAATTGCTCCGGACGAAACAGGAAGCGCGAAACGAGCAACATACAGAAAATTGAAGGAAACCAAAAAAAGACTGACTGTCTTTCTTTCTTTCGCCTTAGCATCATGGAATAGAATCGGGACGCATTTTGTGCGCAGATAAATGGTCGTTCCGCGAGCAGTAATGAAAACAATGACAGATATGATTATGATGGTGATGATCTTATTATTGGAACGATTCGAGCGAAGGTGCGGAAGCCGGGTTTCAATCTCACGTCCATCCTCTTGACGCCGGTCATTCCCCCGTTCTCGATAAAATTCATGTATCTGACCCCACTTGAGTAACTTGCCAAAGGGTTGGGGCTGGCGGTACCTCCTGAGCCGACTTCGATTTGGCTGGCTGTCAGCGCTCAAGGCTCAAACCCCTTTCACCCCCCCCCCCGTTTGTACATATAGGAGTTTCACTTTGAGCAAAGGGAAAATACCCAAATGTTCTTCCTTCAAACTTCACCGCCCTTCATGTGTTTTTGGTTGTTGTTTTGTTTTTTTTCAATCGAGGTGTGAATAATTTCACTTACCACATGAAACCAGCCTCGATTTGTTTCACTTTAAATCGCTTTTACAGGATGATCCCATTGCACCAACATCCCAATGGACCAAAATTCACCCTCGTTTCCCCTTTTCTGATTGCCACCATCCTGAACATTAATAATTCAGAGGTGGTGGGCTAGGAACGGGCGCATCTCGCTTGAGAGACCCCCCGCTGTCCCCATCGTCACCTATCGCCTTCCTCCTCTAGAATTCGACACAAGACTATATTCCAAGCACCTGTCGGGGGGTGATCGGGACGGGGATAGGAAAAAGGGATTCGGTTTTTGACCTTTTTCTCTTCTTTTTGGTCTTTTGCTTGGGCCAGTGTCTATAAACCCATCATTGATTTATTCCACATAAAGTTTAAGTTAGATATAGGATGAACACGCCCCCGAGTTGTGTTTTGCCCAGGCCAAGTCAGCGAGACGGCAACCCTCCAAAGCGTTGCGGAGCTTTTTTTTTTTTTTTTTTTTTGTTCAAATTGAATGCGCGAGTGGAACTTTTGGTGTGATTAACCGATGGGTCAAGCGTTGTCGATGCCCGCAAGTCGGCCCCCCCCCGCTCCCACCTTCCTCAAGAATACTCAAACGAAAGCTAGTTACCTAGAAGCGCATCGGGGGACAACAGGGGACAAACAGTGGTGCTGCGGGGGGGGCTGGCCCAAATACCACCAGATGACCCCGGACACAACACTTTTGATCTTCTGATTTCAATCTTCTCATGGTTTTCATCCTTCTTCATCTTCCTCCTCCTCTTCATCTTCCTCCTCTTCATCCTTCTTCATCCTCTTCTTCATCTTCTTCATTCTTCCTCTTCGTTGCCTTGTTTCTTTGTCTTCATCTTGTAAACATTTTTGATTTGTTTTTGATTTGTTTTGTTTACTTCTCTTTTTTTTTTTTTTTTTTTTTTTTTTTTTTTTTTTCAATCTTTGTTTTTGTTTTTTGTTTTGATGATGAGTTCCTCCACTCTTGGCGATGGACCGCACGAAGTCACTGCTCATCCGCATCCGGTGAGCTTCAGCTCCACTGCGGGATGGAGCTGTGACGGTGCAAGGACTGTCCCTGGCGGCTGCAGCGGCGGCTCCGTGTCGGGCGCACGTCGGTTTCGGTGCTGCGAGCGCTGCAATTTTGATCTGTGTGACAAGTGCGTTGCTGCAAGCCTGAAGAGCCCGCCTGCTGCCGATGCTGCTGCTGCTGCTGCTGCTGATGCTGCTGGTGCTTCTGCGTCCAACGCAGCACCGATTGGCGATGATGAGCTCGTGTTCACCAAGCAGCACGGACATCCCGTCAAGTACTGCTCGCAGGCTGGTTGGAGCTGCGATGGATGCCGCGGCCGCCCTGAAGCCCCGATCAAGCGGTACAAGTGCGCGCAGGGCTGCAACTTTGACGTGTGCACGCCTTGCCTGATGAGCTCTCGGCTCGCGGCGGACGACCCCTCGGTGCTGCAGAAGGAAGTCGACGCGGCGACAGAGTTTTTCAGGTCGAAACTGTCCTACGCCAAGTCCCAGCCCGTGACCTGGATGGAACGCGTGACAGAGGCGTACACGGAAGTGCGTGCCCGGATTGCGACGCTGCAGGCCAACACGGCGTTGGCGACCAACAACGACCTGCAGGCCCTGATTGCACAGACGCAACTGACCATGGCAACGCACGAGGACAGCCTGATGGCGCAGGTGGCAGAGCGCAAGCTGGACGACGACAAGGGTTTTGTGCAGCGTCGGATTGCCTACGCCCGCCAGAATGGGCTGCGATTCATGGACCGTGTCGCTGAGGCACACACCGACGTGCAAACCCGACTGGCTGCGATGGAGACCAACGTGCACTACCAGCGCCTGGATCCTGGACTGCAGGCGTACATTGACGAGCAACGCGCGGCCGTGCAGGCGTACGAGCGCGAGCTGGCGCTGGAGAAGCGCAAGTCGGATCTGAGCGACGACATTGGCTACGTTCGTCGTCGGCACCAAGAGATTGTGAACAACCACCTGCCTCGTTTCCCCGACCGTGCTCGGGATGCAGCCAAGGAGGCAAAGCAGCGACTGGACAAGGTCGGTGACTGCGAGGCGTTCTACGGCCTGGACGAGGTGGACACGTTCCTGGCCGAGTTTACACCAAAGCTGCGCGACGCACTCGCCGAGGCCGACCGACTGCTGCTGGAAGACGCCGTGTCCAAGGCGGTGTGGAACCCCAACCACTTTGTGGGCATGGCCATCGACACTCTCGATCGTATTGGCAGCTACGGTGATCAGGCACTTGGTCACTTCACCTCGTCGGAGGAGGGCTGGGCGCGACTCGAGTTTGAGCACGAAGACTGGCTGCAGCAGCCCGTGTTTCTGGAGGCCAAGCAAAAGTTCCGCGCCAAGGCGGACGAGTTCCGCAAGCGTCACGACGAGGTGGTGCTGAAGGAGGAGGCCAAGAAGGCGTTGGAGTCGGCGAGGTCCCTGCTGAGCTTTGTGGAGAGCTACCGACGCGGACACTTTGGACAGGCGCTCGACTACCTGCGACAGAGCAAGGACAAGACCGAGGCCATTCGTGCCGACGCCCGCTTGACTCGTCTGCCCGAAGTGCAAGAGTTCCTGCTCGAGCACACGGCTGCTCTGGCCGCCAAGCAGGCCGAGCTCGATGAAGAGCTGCTGACCAAGGAGGTTGCCGATGCGACAAGCAAGGCACTGCAGCTGCTGAGCTTTGTGCCCACCTACTTCAAGTCGGGGCACGAAGGACAGGCGCTCGACTACCTCCAGCAGAGCAAGGAGGCCTGCGACGCAGTGCTGACTGAGTCCAGGTTTGTTGGCCGACCGGAGCTCGAGCCCTTCTTGGTGCAGTACGGCGAAGGTCGGAAGGCCTTCGAGCAGCAGTACCGCGAGACGGTGTTGGCCCGTACGTTCAAGGAGGCGACGGAGAAGGCGACACAGCTGCTGTCACATGCGTTCACCTACGATAACAGTGGACACTATGGGCAGGCGCTCGACTACCTGCGACAGGCCAGGCATGCTCACATGGATGCGATGACCGACGCGCGACTGCTGCAGGACATGCAGCAGGAGCTCGCGGCCTTTGATGGCCAGTTCAAGGCACGAGCGGCCGAGTATGAGCAGCTCTACAATGCCCGCACGTACGCTGAGCAGGCCAAGGAGGCTCGCGAGAACGTCAGCAGGCCGCTGGGCTTTGCGCGCATGCACCTGGACTCGCACCGCAACGGCCAGGCACTCGAGGACTTCCGTCGAGCCCAGTCTGCCTTGAAGGAGCTGCAGGACGATCCACGATTCGCTGCCGATGCTGAGCTGCAGTCGTTCGCTGCCCAGCAGAGTGCACAGGTCGATGCGTTCAAGGCCGACTTTGAACAGCGCGCGGTGAGCGCCGACTACAAGCAGCAGAGCGAAGGAGCCCTGCAGCTGTTGTCACATGCCAACACCTACTTTGACTCGCACCACCGTTCACAGGCTCTCGACTACCTGCAGCAGGCCAAGCGCGCGGCGGCGGTCGTCAATGGCAGCACCACGTTTGCCAACGCAGCGTGTCTGCAAGAGGCGCTGGCCGCGTTCCGTACCCGCTTCACCGCCGAGGCTGTTCGTTTTGCCGAGCGCTACGACACCGCTGTGCTTGATGGAGAGGTGCGCGAGGCGCTCGACACTGCGCGCCAGCAGCTGAACAACGCCAACACCTACTTTGACTCGCATCACGACGCGCAGTCGCTCGAGTACTTCCACAACGCGCGAGCACGCAGGGAGGAGATCCTTGGTAACGCTCGCTGGCGGGAACGACGTGGCGACGAGCTGCGTCGCTTCCAGACCGAGTTCGACGCGAATGCAGCAGACTACCTGCGTCGCTATGCGGATCGTGAGTTTGCCACCGAGCTCAACGCCGCAGAGTCCCTGTGTAACGACAACCTGTCGCATGCCAACACCTACTTTGACTCCCATCGCACTGGTCAGGCCCTCGACTACTACAGCAAGGCCACGGCTGCTGCCGGCGCCCTGGCTGCTGACGCCCGGTTTACAGGCGTGCCTCGTGTCACCGCCTTCCTGCCGGACTTTGCGGCACGCGCCACCGCCTTCCGCACCCGCTTTGCCGAGCGCGAGTTTGCCGACCGCTTGAAGGAGGCACGCGACAAGGTCAGCACCAATCTGTCGCACGCCAACACCTACTTTGACTCGCACCGCCGTTCGCAGGCCCTCGAGTATCTGCAGCAGGCGCGCACCGCACTGCTCGCCTATCGCGCCGACTCGCAGCTGTTGGCGGAAGAATCCACGTCAGCGTGGCTTGCTGATGTGGATGCAGGCATGCGCAGCTTCGAGCAGCGCTTTGCCGAGGTGGTCTTCAAGGAGCAGCTGGACAAGGCCATCGGCGGCATCACACAGCAGCTCACCTTCGCCGAGCAGGCCATCACCGGGCACGCTGTCGATGTTCCCCGCTGTCTCGCTGCGCTCAAGCTGGCGCGCCAGCAGGCCGCAGAGCTCGGTGCCGATCCGCAGTTCCTCAACAACGACCGTGTGCACTCCTTCCTCTCGCAGGACTTTGAGGCCACCACGCGCCGCCTTGAAGCGGAGGTCCGTCGTCAGCTCGCCGCGCAGCAGCTGCGCTCTGTGCAGTCGGACTGCACGACCAACCTCAACAGCTCGCGCATCTACTTTGCCTCACAGCATCGCAGCCAGGCCTTTGACCTGATCAACAAGGCCCGCGATGCCGTCGACCGCTACGAGGACGAGCTGAAGGCAGAGCCCGTGCAGCAAGGGGAGGCTCGTGCTTTCATCGAGCAGTTCAGGCAGCAGCTGGCCGAGTGCCAAACCACCTACTCGCAGGCGCTCTTCAACGAAGAGCTGAGCGGACTGGTTCGCGCTGCAGAGTCGATTCTCACGGACGCGGAGGGACAGTTCGCACAACGCCGTCGTGACGTGGCACTCGAGCAGCTCGAGAAGGCCAAGGATGCGGCGGAGAAGCTGTCGGATCCCAAGTTCTTCGGCGTGCCACAGGTGGAGCAGTTCTTCAACGCGTGGCGTGCTCGCATCGAGGCGTTCCACAGTGCGTTCAACAGCGCTGTGTTTGCCGAGCAGCTGACCGAAGCTGAAGACAAGGTCTGCTCGCACTTCCACCAGGCGCGTGCCTTGTTTGATCAAGGCGTGCACGATGGCTGTGCCGAGCAGCTTCGTGAGGCCACGTCCGCACTGGCGGCACTGGCAGGCAACCCCTCGTTCGTTGGCGTTGCTCGTGCCACGTCCTTTGTTGAGAGTGTTGGTGCCAAAGTGGCTGCCTTCCGTCAGGAGGCGAACGACACAATCCACCGACAGGCGGTGGCCAAGCAGGTGCAAAGTATTCGTGAGCAGTTGACCACGGCCAACACCCTGTACGGTCATCACGCCTACTCGTCGGCGCTCGAGCAGTTCAACGCCGCCAAGGACAAGCTGAAGGCGCTCGTCGAAGCCGATGATTCCGCTGTCGCTCAGCACGCTCTCGTCGTGGCCTTCAAACCCGATGCCCAGGCACTCATCGACACGTTTGCCAAGGCCTTCGCCGCTCAGCAGCTGTCCGTGCAGGCCCGCGACTTTGTCGTGCCACTGCAAACGGTGCTCAACGGTGCTCAGGTGCTCGTCACGCGAGGGCTGTGGGACGCGCCTGCCTTGAAGGACGCAGTCACGCAGCTCAACGCTGCCCTACGTGAGCTGCCCGACCCACTGCTGGCCCACCACGCTGACGTCCGTGGTCTCATCGATCAGGTGGCCGCCGTGCAGAAGCAGTATGCAGAGCGCGTGCTCACTCCCACTGCCGCAGCCCCGATTGCCGACGCTCTTCGACAGCTGGACGGCTACGTTGCCAAGTTCATCGATCGTGACCAGTTCGACAAGGCCCTCGAAGCCTTCGACGAACGTGTCCGCACGCCCACTGCATTCTTGTGGACTGCCGACACTGCAGCACTCTACGCTCTCTTGCCTGTCGTGCACGAGTTCTTTGCTCGTGTTGCCGAGTTCTGTCGTGTCCGCTTGGCCGGTCGTACATCGCTCATCGTCACGTCGGGTTTGTCGTCGTCTGGTGCGTCGTCGTCTGGCTCGTCTTCCGGCCCTCGTACTCTCCTGGCTGTGCTGGGTGGTACGCTCGACCCGCCTTCGTCCGATTACCTGAAGGTGGCGACCATCCCGTTGACCGTGGACATCAACCCGTCGATCTACACGGCCGTGAAGAGCGCCAACACCATTGCCGGCCAGTTCTTCACTGCCACGCGCGAGCTGAGCCGCGCCCTTGCCAAGATGGCGTTCAGCGAGCCGGTGCAAACGGACATGCACATCTGGCATTCGACGTTTGAGATCTTCTCGCGTGACACGGCGGGCTATCCAATCGAGTCCATCGAGCAATACATCAAGGACTACCGTCGCTGGGTGACCGACGCCAAGCAGGACGCACCCGAAGATGCCACCACCAAGACCTTCGTGGGCAACTTCGCCACCTTCGAAGAGCGCTGGGCTGAGATGACGGCTTTCTGGAAGAAGGCCTCGGCCATGGGCAAGACGCTTGGCCAGGTGATTCTCACCGTTGGCTTCCTCAAGGCCGCCCTCGAGCATGGCAAGGGTTGCCTTGGTCATGCTGGCGTCCCAGTCATCAACCTGCATCACTCTGCCAGCATCATCGGTGGTTGCAGCCTTCCCAGTAGCGCCTACGACTACGAGATCTTTTTGCTCGTCATTGATCGTTCTCGCCAGCTGCTGGCCAAGATCGACGAGCTCGAGACCGCCTGGGGTGGCTTCCCCAACAAGCCCACCTTCGTGAATGAGATCACCGAGCTCATCACCGAGGCGCGCAGGCTTCATCCCCAGCACTGCATCTGGGCGGCCATGCATCTCGCAGGCAACCTGTCTGGCTGCCGTGACAACTACGTGCAAGGACTGCGTCGCTTCCCCATCGCCCGCCGCGTGCTCAAGGAGCGTCTGCGTGCCTCGTTCTTCAAGAACCACAGCCGTCGCTTGCACACCATGAAGGAGTGCAAGCCCGTCGCCTACCACATCAACGACGCCATTGGCACACCCTCCGATGTCTTTGAGGAGACTGAAGAGGAGTACGCCCTGCCCTACCAGGTCATTGTGCCCGGACTCGCCGAGCCCAAGCAGCCCTTCGGCAACCGCGCCGACCAGTCCCAGTCATCGCATGCTTGGACGTCCGTGAGCAAGTCCTCCGTTGGCAAGATTTTCTTTGCCAACGAGTTGATCGACGCCAGCGTGTCGAGCACCTCTGCCTTCAAGTCAGAGTTCTCGGCGACCGACAACATTTACGGCCGCGCCTGGTGGCCTCGCAGCCTCAACAACTACGCTCTGGCACTCGACAAGAAGGACGGCAAGCCCATCTACGGTCCTGAGCATCTGTTTAACGGCTCGGCCCACGACCTCGAGTTCCTCCTATTCGTCACTGTCGATGGAAAGCAGGTCAAGCGTGAAGGTCAGATCGCTGGCGCCTTCACCTGGTTCCGCGCTTCGCAGCCAAACGCCCCCAGCCGTGGCGAACGTCACATCCCCGGCCAGGAGACCGACTTCTGGGCCTACTCGCAGACCTGTCGTTTGCAGGTGTCCCTCAATGAGATCACCCATGCTGGTGATGACTGGGTCAACGTTGCCAACCGCTTCCGCCGGCTGTTCAAGACCCTCTGCAACGGCTCGTCGCCCTCCTCGCACAAGATCAAGATCGATCTCTGCTTCCGTGTGGTCACAAACCACACGCACTTTGAGTCCAAGCCCGGCAAGGCCCCTTTCCCACTCGAAGACACGCCGATCAGCGCCCCCATCGCCTCGGGCGAGTTCACCGTCAAGGTCCCGGCGCGCCCCGAAGAGATCATCCTGCCAACCATGTTCCGTCGTCGCAACCCCGACATCAAGATTCCACGTGCTGTCGCCCTCGACTATGAGAATCAGATCAAGGACTGGCTCAACAAGGCCCACGGCTGGGGCGTCGGCGCCAAGGCGCTCGAGCAGACGTTCCACGTCGTCATCGACTCGGACTGGTACGTCTGCAACACCGAGTACTTTAAGGTCACGGCGTCCAATGGCCGCATTGTGCTCGAAAAGGAGCCAGTTCGCTATGGTCTTGAGTGCTACGTCTACTTTTACCGCTCGGTCGAGAAGGGCTGGTTGAAGGAGGAGATTGCGTGCTTCAACCTCACTGCTATGGCCCAGCAATCTCGCAACCCCGCCAGCGCACCTCCTTTCACTGGCGTTGCCGTCGGTAGCAACTTCACCTTCGATGCTGATCTTCTCCCCGACGACGTCCTCGCAAACATCAAGCGCTGCCCTGAACCGCTCCGCAGCGGTCTCTTTGACCTTGACAAACTTCCCCACCTTGACTATGCCTCTTGGGTTGGTCCTCAAGCACCAATGTTCTCTGGTGTTGCCGCTGCCTCCTCCTCCTCTTCCTCATAAACAGTTCGCCCTCCGCCTTGCTTTGGGTTTGGGAACGCAACATGTTTTGTTTTCTTCGTTTCCTCAAACCCGAAACCCTTCTTGTGCAGTTGTTTTTGTTTGTTTCTTTGTTTCTTTGTTTCTTCGTTTCTTTGTTTCTTTGTTTCTTCGTTTCTTTGTTTCTTTGTTTCTTTGTTTGTTTGTTTCTTTGTTTCTGTGTTTCTGTGTTTCTTTGTTTCTTTGTTTCTTTGTTTCTTTGTTTCTTTGTTTCTTTGTTTCTTTGTTTCTTTGTTTCTTTGTTTCTTTGTTTCTTTGTTTCTTTGTTTCTTTGTTTCTTTGTTTCTTTGTTTCTTTGTTTCTTTGTTTCTGTGTTTCTGTGTTTCTTTGTTTCTTTGATTGAACTCAATTCACGCGTCTGTCATGAGAATATTGTGACGAACTTCACCTTCAACCAATTTGACTCATGGAGAGCCCCACCCCCTTGCCAGCCCGCTGCTTCCAATCAGTTTTGCCTTGCTTGACATGATGTGAGACAAAAACAGACACAAGAAGGATTTTTATACTGTACTACACCGTCACAAAACACAATCGCATTCAAACACATCAAACACACTGTCGTCGCTTCAACGCCTCTGGACTCGGCATCAAGCGAGCGCATCAACAACGACGAGCAGCTCCGCCTTGAGCAAGCGTCTGCTCATTTAGTGATCGTGGGATTGGTGGCTGGAGGCGGCCGCAGGGGCGGCATCCCCGTAAAACCAGGCCTCTTCCTGGGGAGTCATGTGCAGGACGCCGGGCGGTGGCGGGACGTTGCGCTCGTACTTTGAGCCATCGATGGCCGACGGGAAAATGTAGGGGTCTGGGTGCCTCTTGGCCTCAAACTCGGCCTCGCCAGCCTCAACCAAATCGCGGATTTTGATCTCGTTGGTCTCGGCCTTGTTCAGGTCGAAGCGCTCGCGCAGAAGGAGTGCCTCCCTCCGCCAGATCTGGCGATCGATAGCCCACGACAGCGAGTGCTTGAGCGATTGGCGGTACAGCCGTGTGACGCGCACGGCCAGTGGCAGCACTTGAGCGGGCGAAGCCATGAGTTTGGAGCTGAGGATCTGTGCAAGCCATCGGAAAAGCAAGTGAGAAAGCAACCGACAAAAACGCATAGAACAGTCCAGAGTGTCCACCAGCACCAATGCACATGAAGCAGAGGTCGAGTGGTGTGTGAGTGCAGGGCGAAAATCGCGCAGCATCTTCCATTGCGTCGCAGCAGCAGGCGCTGCTTGGACCCGCGCCAACCGCCATTCCTAGCACCGCTGAATTCCAGATTCAACATGCCAGGGATGGCAGACAGCGCAGCTCGGCAGTCCTGTCGGAGGACGGACTTGCTCGTTGGCGAAGAGCTGTGTTTGCTCTCCTTTCTTGCTTTCCCTCCTCCGCCACCGCCACCGCCACCGCCATGACTAGCGCCGGTGGATCAAGGCCAACCATGGTCGAAATTGCAGTCAGCGCAGTCGGGCAGTGCTGTCGGAGGGGCTAACGGCTTTCCCCAGCGATGTCTTTTTTTTTTTTTTCTTTTTTTCTTTTTGCTTCTCCTTCTTCGCCGTCGCGTGCGTCCAGACCATCCCACCAAATGGAATAGTCCGAGCTCAAATCCGTGAGAGTCTCGCAGTACAAGGCAAGGCGGCCGTTCGATGGATGAAGACGAGTGGCGAGCTCGAAGCAAAAGAACAAAGATCGAAAAAAAAAAAGTATATGGCAATGCAATCCCAGCAAAAAAAAAAAAAAAAAAAAAAAAAAAAAGTTTACCAAAAAGGACTGCAGTCTCCATTTCTCAGTCGCTCAGCTTGGAAATAAATTACCAGTACGCCTGACAGTTTCAGACGGAAAGTGTATGCACAAAACCGCACAAAAGGCTGCATCGGCCGGTGATACGACCTGGCCAAACGACACAAAACTCTCAGAAGCCTGCCAAGCGTTCAAACCACGCACAATTTATTGCGCCATCTGCCGAAAGGCCTACTCCCATGGAATACAGTCGCGAATGTCACGCATAAAGTGGCCAGCATTCGCAGGGCCAACCGCGGTGGCGGCTAAAAACTCGACATAGTTGCCAAGCCACAGCTCGAGGGACATGCTTGGTAATTGCAGGAGTGCTTGTAATTGGGCATTCACGAACTGGCTGACGGCCTTGTTGGAGGAAACAAGCTTTTGTGCGCGCTCCACGGCAGCCTTTTCGGCAAAACTGCAGCTGGACGGGTTGGTCTGCCAGTCATAGTCTGCAGCAGGCAGCTGCTTGGAGTCGTACAAGTGCTTGTATCGTACGTTGTAGAGTCTGTCGAGGAAGCTGTGGGCTGCTTTGGCACGACTCGTTGACGCCACATTGCGACCCGTGCTCTGAGCAAACAGCTCGCCAAGCAGACGCTGAATGACAAGCGAAATGCGAAGGGCTGGCTCTGCCGACGAAGACTGCTTCGTTTCCAGCAGGACGTGTGGTAAATCGACACCAAACACGCGCTCCATGACCTCCGTTTCATCCGAGTCAGTCCAGACATTGACCGAGAAGGACATTTCGAGCGACTCGACCATGTGAAACCACAGGGGTGGCAGGTAGAGCATATCGCCTGGCTCGAGCACAACGACCAGGCCCGTCGCTTGATGCAGCTCGGGGAAGAGAGCGACGTCAGGCGACGAGAGGTTGGCGCGGCACTGGGCGTGGTTGGGATGCAAGAAGGGGAAAACGCCAACGCGATCCCAGTCGCTCGGAGGAAACAGCACAAAGCGCTTCCGGCCACGGAGTTGAGTGAAGAAATTGTGGTAGCCGTCATAGTGGCCTGGCGTGACAGCGCCAGCCGGGCCGAGCCAAACATTGACGGACGACCGCTCGGGTCGAAGCGAGAACAACTCTTGCATGGGCTGGGTATCTCGGAAGACAGTAGCGCCGAGCTTTGTGCTTTCTCCGCTGAAATAGTACGCGGGCTGTCCGGCCTGAATTGGCTTGGTGATGATCTGTTGGGCGAGACCGAAAAACAAAACAAAAAAAAAAAACAGGTAAATGTGATGAAACAGCAGCCGCTACAATGCCCAGATGCAACGATACTCTCCTCTCGAGAACACTCAGCTTCATGCACAACAGGAACCATCAGAAACAGAGAAAGCTGAGCCGCTGATACCTGAAAAAACTCAGTCGAAGTCATTTGCACATCGTCGGCATAAGGATTGATGGGACGAGTCAAGCCCAGCTGCGCCAGCGCACGCGACGGGTCATAGTACGGACCAAAGAATCGGTTGTTATCATTCCGATAGATTCCGCGCAACCTGAAGCAATTGGAAGAGCGCGAAAATTGAGCCGCACAAAAACCAAACACACCATCCATCAAACGATTTGCACAGACGTCATTCAATAGCGGGTGCTTTTCCCCAACCTCTTGATGGCACCCTCCAGATAACTGGGAGTCCAGGATGTTCGCGCAGGCCAAGTGTCCACCACTGAATGTCTGAGCACGACGGGCAATCCGTGATTTGCGATGGTGCGGGCGAACGGAGCGCTCGGCTGCCAGTGCACAACAGGAACGGTAAAGTTCAGCATGACCGATCCCGGCACGCCATTCTCCAGCGGCACGCCCGGGCGAGTGGACTCGAGCTGGCTGGGATGCGCGAGCAATTGGAAGAGCGACTCTGCGTTGTCAGTGCCCAAGTACGCCTGGCGCAGCGCTGCAGCCAATCTTAGCATGCATCAATACATGCAGATGTGTTCCAGATCAGACAACACAGAACAGAGGAACGAGTGTGAGCGCGGACAGGCTGACTAGAGACGGGTTGAGAATTGGCGCTTGCTCAACCACGACCGTCCATCGACATCGAGGACAGATTTCAAGGCAGCACAACATCAATCATTACCGCTCGTCGTTTTGGTGGGTGGATTGGTGCTGCTGGTCGGTAGAGCCGGATTCGAGATTGTCGGTCGATGAGCGGAACAGCACCAACGCCAATCCTGCAATCGCTACTGCGACCAGCACAGAGAGAGACGTGAATACAGTATTGTTGCGCCGATGTGCTTGTTGGTGTTGCCTTTTGAGCGCTGCTTGAGCAGAAGCCGCAGCCGAGCTACTATTGGCAGCGACCGGCTTCATCCAACCTTCTGAGAAATTTGAGATGAAAGAAACAAAAACAAGAACTGGCTTTTCGACTTGATTCGGGATGCTCACAGAATGCGATCGCGCATAAGCTTCCAGGTTCGCCGTATCGTCTGGTGAACTGGTGAAGCGTCGACCAACCCCGCTACTTCTCTGCTCCGGTTGCTGACCTTTTTTGTTTGTTTGTTTGTCTGTTTGTCTGTTTGTTTGTTTGTGCGCCAGTCGCGCGCTGATAGGTTTCTCAGAGACGAAGAATCGTTGGCTGGGTTTGCGTTGCACAGTCACTGTTTAAACAATATTCAAAGCGACCAAACAACTTTCAGAGACGATCCGAACCCTTGGCACTCGCACCGCGCTCCATTCGCGCAATGCGAGATCCGAACTGGATGGCGCGCTTGGCTAGATGCGCAGCACCGGGCAATCCAAGTTCCAGGGCGACACGGCGCAACAAAATCTTCTCGCCCAAGCCCCGCGAGAGCATCATGTTTGCTTTCGTGAATATGGGGAGTGAGGAAAGCAGAGCAACGACATTTTCGTCGAGGAAGGGGATGCGCGACTCGCGACCGTGGTCGGAAATGCAACGATCGTCCCGCCCGAGATTTCGCGCCGAAATGCGCCTCACATCGAGCGCCACCTCTTCCACGAGAGCAGGCCAGCCACCGACATTGTACTTGGTTCGATGTCGTCCATACCCGGCCAGCTGCTCGTCGGCGCCCATACCGACAAGGAGGACGCGTGCGTCCGTCTGCACCACCTCGGGTGAGGCGGGTTCTGTGGCCGACGTCCAGACTCTTCCTGAGCCACGTGCTGCAAACCACAAGGCTGCGCCAATGCTCAAGTCCATGACAGTTCCAAGTGGTTGAACAAGCGAGAGGATGTGAGGGGTCATCGCCTCCAACTCTGCTCGAGGAATGTCCGCCTGAATCAAGCGAAACCGCGCTGCTGTTGTTGTTGTTGTTGTTGTTATCGATGACGCGTGGTGTGCGTGCGACTGACATTGGACAGCGGCGCAAAGAGCGGTTGGGATGGTCTCTGAAGGGACAATCCGAATCGCAGACATGAGAGCCTCGACAACAGTGCCGCTTGTGATTGCTTGGCGCAATTCTAGCAGGCTAGCGCGAGCACTGAGCCGGTCGGGCACATTGTAAATGGTGGGAGAATCACTATTTGCTGCTGCTACGGCTGCTGACCCTGCTGATGACGTTGACGAGCTGGCAGAAGCGGGTGGTTTGCTCGAAGACGAGGCTCGGGCATGGTTTTCAAAGGCAACATTGATCAAGTCAACAGGGCAGTCCGTTGGGGCAAATACATGCGCCAACGCAGCAATAACTGTGCAGTCCACACCACCAGAGAACAAGACGGCAATGCCGTGATGAGACGCAGGGACTGCACAAACACGACGCCGAACCGCCTCAGCAAGAGCCAACAGCAACTGCGCCGCAGCCGTAGAAAAGGGGAGCTTGGAGAGCTCGTTGGATACAGGCTGCGTCGTGTCGAGTTGAACTGCTGTTGGCAATACCCGATTTAATGGATAGCGGTCAAGGCTGGCCAGCAACTGCGGCTGCCAGGTCGGCGTCTGAAGCTGCATCCTATAAATGCCACGCGCTGGCACCTCTTCCCAAAAGCTGGTACTGAGCTGTGCCATGGCGTCTTGTGGCGATGGAGCCGAGTTGTCGGCCTCCTCTTCATTTCCCGTTGAGGCCGTGGCAACCGAAACCGACGTAGAGGGCCCCGCTACCGACGAGAGCATAAATTGGTCAAGATAGGTCGATGCTGCTCCATGCCACAACAAGCTTCGACGACCAAAGTAGTCTCGACCAAAGAATAGCTGGCGCGTGGGGTTCTGTGTGTGCGTTTTGAGAAGAATGTAAAGGCAATGTTTGCGTCCAAAGTGTGAGGATTGCTCAATACAATCAGCGTCGTGTTGTTTCATGGATGCCGTGTCAAGCTCCGGTACATACATGGTAAAAGACAAAGGCAAATGGGCCTTGGATTGTGGTTTGAAACATTGCTGCAACAATCTCGGCGACAGCGTCCGAAGAAAGTGGGTCTCCCACGGCTAGTCGGTTGAGCAGCTCGTCCATGACTATTTGAGTGTCATTGGAATGAACTGAAATCTGTTAATCGCGGCAGGTGCGTTCGAGTGAGTTGAGACGGCGTCGAGGTGCGCGTTGCGCGTGCCCAGCCGATGCGTACCTCTAGGCCTCCAAAGACTTCGCCATTCCATGCAAAAACGTTTCCAGAAGTGGCATCCATGAGTGGCTGGGGCGTAACGGCATCACCGCGCAAATGCAGCACAGTCGACACAACGTGCATGTCGAGGCCCGGCTGCGCATGTTCGACCACGCATTGCGTTCTGACGCTGTCTGGACCTGTGTTGTCATTCAATGCACATGTTCAGTCCAACTGTGGAGCAGCGATGATGGCGTCTGATCCGCACATCCTGGAGGCGGGCCGGATTACACCAACCTCGTCGTTCCAGTGCAGCAGTCAGTTCGACGACCACGCTTGGTGGCGGCTGATCACTCTGCGAGTTTAAAGCCAATGGAAAATCATGCATGGTGAGTTTGAGCCTTGACCCACATGGTGGTACCGCCGACGAGATGATTTCCAGGGCGAACCGACCTTTGCAAAGTAGAGCGCAATGCCGCACATTTTGTACTCAACGTAAACGACTGAGTTGCATCGTGCAATAATTCACTGTAGTTCATCCCACTGAAGAGGCATTGCATGCGGTACCAAAAGCCGCTGCTGCGTGAACTCGCTGGCAGGCTCAAAAGGCAAGATTTTGGTTGACCGATCAACATCGATGGATGGCGGCTCCACGACCCCCGAGACAGAACAGCACTAGTTACTGAATTTGCTTTCTCGGCGGCATTATCATGTCGCGTTGTTGTTGGATATTGGACAGCGGAATGTTGGGCTTGTTTTGCGTTTGCCGGCTCAGCTTGTGGTGCGGTGAAAAAAGCTTGTTCAATAAAGTGTTCGTTTGCGGCAATATTTCGACAAACCACTCACAAGACGACCGCTCGTTGAGCTGTGCGGTCAATGTTGTTAGAGTGTGTATTTGTGAGTGCTTGCAACGGAGGGGGGGGGCGTATCCAGACCCAAAACGATCAAAATCCGTTTTGTTCAATGTGTCAAATGTGACAAGTTTGATGAGAAGATTGCTTTCGACGGCGCTTTGTTCGTCGAGTTTGATGGGGTGGACTGGTCTGCTCTCCGCTGTGCCTCGTCATCTCACTCATCCGAACGGCTGATCGACTGGCTTTGTCGTGATAAAATCGGGGCCGAGTCATTTTGCGGCGAAAGTCCTCGCTCGCTGTTTATGGACGTTGTGCGATTAACGTCTGTCCGGGTTTTTCTCCCCGAGCATGGCCGATTCAAGTCGTTGGGAGCACCAGCAGCGTGCAACCAGGCACACTTGGTCCATCCTCCTTGACACCTTGCAGGCAGCTCGTCCTCGCTCTTCTCATCCCAGCTGCACATCACCTTTAACCTTTTTCAAAAGTCATAGCTTTCGTGAGTTATTGACAATTTGACATGTTTTTAAACTTTTTTGGCTTTTTTTTTTTTTTTCAAAGCTTCGGGTTTCCTGATTTCCAATTTCTGTTTTGAGATTTGGGGAGGTTTTTTCCTACGACGCGTCTTCATCCAAACATTGGCCTTCCACGTTGCATCGCTCGCCAGCATTGCACATCATCGGCGACAACACCTCGCTCACACGACACCAATAGGCAAAAAATGCAATATAAAAAAAAAACTATTCCAGTCTTTTGATTTTTTTTTTTTTTTTTTTGTTTTGTACTCGCTCTTTTGTTCGTCCTGAGTTGGGCGTTTCTCTTCCCGCGCTGTTCGACCGTGCCACTCGCAAAAGCGGCATCTGAGAGTTCTCTGATTGCACCGTCGTGTAGAGGAAGAGCGACCCGAAGGCAGCACTCATGAGCGCACGGGGCGCCAAGCGTCGACGAGACGCACGAGAGGACGATGACGACCGGGGCAGTGGCGCCAGTCATGTCGCTGACGGTGCACCGCGCAGCGATCCGTCAGACGCACAGCACGACGAACCGTCGGAGCACAGCAGTGCTGCGCACCCTGGGCACGCGCGTGCCGAGCTTGACGGCGCGATGGCGAGCGATGATGCGAATCACACCGCCGAGGCGTCTGCTGCGCCGACCGCCGTCCCTCCAAATCCGCAGCATCATCCAGCGTCAGCGCCCCCGGAACGGCATCAGCGCAAGCGTGCGCGTGCAGCAGAACGCGGGATATCCAACAATGGTGAGGTGGAAGCACAACGAAAAACCCAAACGGCCAACATCCTTTTTTTTTTGCTTTTTTTTTTTTTTTTTTTTTTTTTTTGTGGCACGCGAGTTTTTGTCATTGATGCGTTTCAAGCCGTGGGGTTTGTGTTGTTGTTGTGGGCGCTGGTGACCGGGCTCGTGCCCTCTTGCACTCTCGCTGGTTTCACTTGCTCGCTATTGGGGAGCCTCTCGGGGCAGCAGCTGCGTCGTGGCCTGTGAGCATGGACAGCGAGCAACAAGCAAAATTCGTCAACAGAACCAACGACTTGATATGCAATTGTCCCGATTGAAAGGAAAGAAAAAAATGACAAAAATGACGGGCGTCTCGCTGGACATTGGCAAAGGAGTGGTGGGGTGGAGAGACAGCAAGAGCATGCCGCCGTGAAACAGCGAAGGGTCTTGTGGGAGCGGGTTGCGACAAGGAGGGGTGGGGCGGGGGGAACGGGTGCGCACAACGCTGCTCAAAGCTGCAGGATTGGCTCGTTTCGGCGATGTGCCCAGTGTTCTGCCTCCACTTTCAGCCTGGTCCTCTCGAGCTACCAGCGCTTGTCTCGGTCTGGGTTTGGTTTGGGGCTAGGCATCGTTTGGTAGCGGGAGGGGGGGCACAGCAGCGACAGATCCACACCATGTTTTTTAATTTCATTCCTATCGAAAAGCTCTCATGACGAAGCTTGTGGAAAGCTAGCAAGCTTTGAAAAGTGCCAGCTATCTGGAATGCAGGTGGGGGAAGGTGGGAGGCGGCAGCGGAGGAAGGCGAGCCAATCAAGGCAGATAGGAGGTGATGCCAGTTTTCTTTGTTGCTTTGACGCGTGCTTTTTTTGTTTTTGTTTTCCTGGCTGTCTTGCCGGTGAGAGGTCGAAGCAAAAGCCAAACACGCGACAAACAAGGCAGACGGGCAACTGTCCCTCAATGCCGAGACAAAATGCACCGATGCCGATGGATAAAACCATCTCGATTCGGGAGTTTTTCTTGTGACTCACACGACATTTTTTTTTCGTTTCATTTTTTTTTTTTTTGCTTTTTTTCTTTTTGGATTCTTTTGAAAACCGTTTTCTTCTTTTTTTTCTTTTTTTTTTTTTTGTTCTTTTCTTTCTTTTGTTGTTGGCTTTGGTCGCAGCTGCTTTGAAGCGAGCCATAATGCGCAAAGGTTGTGGGTTAACTGACATGGCAGCTTTGGCATCTTTGTTGGCCGAGGGATCAAAGAGGGGGTTGGGGAAATGCGCAAGGGGCGTGTTTGAGAAACGCATGGAGCAGACCCCTCCCTCCCCCCATTCTCGCTTCCCTCTGCCGATCTCCCTCGTGTTGAAGCGGGCACGTCTGTGAAGCGTTTTCCTCGTTCTCTTTAATGATGGTGGCATAGCAGCTCGCTGCGATTCGAGCGCGACAATCCCATCATTGTTGCAACGCATCGAATTTATCGATTGGCAATCCTCTTGTCCCCCTCCCCTTTCGTCTTTGCTGTGCAGTGTCTTTTTTTTCCTATTTTGCGGTGCATCGATCTGCGATGGCACAAACCGACAACCGATGGTGCTAGGATGGGCCCTCTGGCGAGATCAACAGGAACACCGTTCTGCCCTCGATCTCGTTGTTGGCACTGGCTTTTTTTTTTTTTTTTTTTTTTTTTTTTGATCGGTTTTTCCTCCTGTCATTCGCTTGTCATCCTTTTCTTCTCTTTTTTTTTTCCGTTACTCTATTGCGTCGTCTTCATCCATTTTGGTCGCAATTCACTGGGAGACGAGTTCAGAGCACAGGGTGTGTTGCACCATCGCAGTCATTTTTTCCCACAGCAGCAGTATGTGCGTTGTTTGGGTTGATGTTTGCGGGGAAAACAACCTAAACTCGCGCGATTTCTTTTTGTACTTTTGTTCTCTCGACTTTTCCAACGCGCTTGACACGCTCGTTGCAAAACAAACACCAAAAAAAAATTGCATGACACCTTGCTCGCCATCTCTTTGCCATCGTCGATGGCTTGCTCTGATTGCATGCGTGGCTTTTGACGCGGTTGTGTTTCGTTCCTATTTTTGCTGACCTGCCACCCTGTGTTGTTTTTTGTTGTTGGGGTTTTTTTTTTCTTTTTTTCAACCTCTCTTGGAACAGACCTGACGTCGACGCATTCAGCAGAGAGGTCGGTGGCTCAGTGGTCTGAATTTTCACATTCATCGGCGTCCGATCCGCGCAGCTCAAGTAGCAGCGGGGTGAGTTCGAAACGTACCGTGCTGATTGAATACCCGAGACCCAAAATGTCGCAAGCCCCGCCTCCCATTGCAGAGACTGCTGCTGCTGCCGCCGCCGCCGCCGCTGCAGCATCATCACAATCATCACAGTTCTCATCGCTATCAAGACCGACATTTGACACGTCAAGACTAACTCATGTCGGCGTTGTTGAAGGAGCGGCTGCAAGCATGCACCAACCTACAACCAGCCCCTCTCCAAGTATTCACCCTACAATTCTCCACCCTACAAGCATCCACCACCCTACTAGTATTCACGCGACAAGTATTCACCCGACAAGCATCCACCACCCTCCAAGTATCCACCCAGCGAGTATTCCACCCCCGGACACTAGCGCCGCCGCCGCCGTCGATCACCAGAACGCATCAGACTCGCCTTTTGCAAACATGACTCAGTTGGCATCTGCAGCCGCTGCTGTTGCCGCGGGAGACGCGCTTGCGCGGCATCGCATTGCGGCCGAAGCTGCGGCCGAACAACATTCCGAGAGCTTGGAGAATGCTGCCCATCTTCACCACGACAACCGATCATCCACGACCGGAAGCAAGCGCGCCTACCGCTACGAATCGCACAACGCTATCGAAAAGCGTCGCCGCGACCGCATCAATGCGAGTCTGGACGCTCTGTCGCGGCTCATGCCCCCGCACAACCGAGGCAAGCGACTCGATAAAGCCGTGGTGCTCGAATACACTGTCAACTATGTGCGGCAACTGGAGGAACGGGTTGCTGCCCTGGAACGCGCTGCAGCGGCTCCATCAGCGACCGTATCGGTCGTCCATACACCAGTCCCTCTCGCCTCCAAGACTGGTGGTCCAATCACCCCAATCGCGCCTATCACCACCACCACCACCACGAGCACCGCCGCCGTGACCACTCCTGCACCCTCCGCCATTGTCCCTGTGACCTCAATCGCTCCTATGTCGACCACGGTTGCCTCTTCTGCCGCCGTGGTGCACGATGATGCAAGGTCGGATGCCGTGTCGGTAGCTTCCATCCCTGCAACCCTCGTTCAGCAAAACCATGTGGCCGAGCTCAATCCTGCCCGACCCGCTTCGTCCCAAAGTCAGACGTCTGCGTCGATCTATTCGCAAGCGCCACCGCTAATTGTTGTGCCACACCGAACACCTGTGCCACCTGTGCCACCTGTGCGTGGTGTAGAGTTGATGACCAGCAACACGGCTATCCACTTCCGAACAGGGCCGCACTTGCCATCTCACCCAGCCGACTTAACTCCCCCGTCGTCGGCGCACTTTCCAACAGGTATACCTTATACCAACACGGAACCTCACCAGGAAACCCACTCGGCCTCTTCTTCGGAGCCAGGTGTAACCTCGGGCTCCTCTTCCAAATTGACGGCACAGTGGACGATAGATGACGTCTTTTTATGGCTCGATGCAATTGGCTTGGCCAATTACAAGGATTTGTTTGCGCGGAGCTTGTGCCGCACGGCCACGCTCAAGCCCAACAGCTATTCGCACGCTGACATTGTATTCGCCGTCCGCGAAGTACCCAACCAAATGCATCGGGAGTGCATGCTGATCAGTCTCCGAAACAAGCCCGGGCTATCACAAAGCGACGGGAGCGCCAATGCGTTTACCTCGGCCCAGCTGGTCACGGTGCATCCACCAAAGGGTCTTCCCAAGGTGCAGTCCCTCGTGGCTGTTCATTCACATGATCCACTCCAGTCGCCTCTCCTGCAGCAAACAGCGTCGGCTACCAGCACCGGCATGCAAACAGCCGCATCCGAGTCGACTGGCTCATCGTCGAGCTCGATTCCAACGCCCGGGGAGGTTGGCCGCAACATTGGCCTTCCATTCAGTCCAACAGAGGCTGCAGCTCAAGGCCTCAACATGATGCCAGTGGCCACCACTGCTGTCCAAGCGCCGCCATCCGCCTCGCACCATGGGAAAATCCCCTCCGACGCCCACTACCAGCCTTTAATCTTCGTTCCATCCAGCAACTCGTCTGTCGCCTCGAACTCGACCGCACGCGAAATTGGCTATCCCTATCCGTATGCTTTTGGTTCAATGCCCCCTACTATGGCGCTGCCCTACGCTGTCCAAAGTGGCGAGGCTCAGCGCATGGCATCATCGGCGTTGAACCCGCAGCCTGCCGCGAGGCAGGGGGAGCGATGGATGTACAACGTGTCTGCGTTCTCCCCTCGACCCACCCCACACCTTGTTTCGACGTCTCCTGGAACGGTGTACCACACCCAGCCGCATGAGCAGCCAGTGATGCTTCCACCTTCTGTAATGCACCATTCTCAGCCGTCGGGCGTTCAGATGCAACAACAACCAGCGCACATGCTTCCACCAATCCAGCCGCAACACCTAGTCTTGCAACAGCACCTCATTCCCCTACCTGCCCACGTGCGGTTTCCTCTGCAACAAGTGCCCTACATTCCGTCCAACTTTGAGCCGAAGGATGCTCAATCGCCCAGTGTTGTCGCGACTCAGCCCCAGCAGCAGCAGCAGCAGCAGCAGCAGCAGCAACAAACGCCGTACTTGTGATCAAGATTTGCGTTTTGGGGGCACGCACCAAAGGAGTGTGGGGTTTTTTTCGGAATCTCTTAATCATTGTTTTGGTAAAAATTAATTTAATTTTCTTTTTTGTTTGTTTGTTTGTTTGTTTGTTTGTTTGTTGTTTTGGACGGGTTTTGTGTGTGTGTGTGTGTGTGTGTGAAAGACAGCGAAGGGGGAAGGTTCAATGAGCCCTGAATGACCCCCTTCGAATTGGGGCAAGTGTGTTGTTGTTCCTTGGTTGGCTTGGTTGGTTTAATTATTTGCACAGACCGGCTGCGCACCCGCTCTGCAAAACAGCAACAACAACGACAACAACTACTACAACAAAGAATGCACTCAGACCTCAGTCGTGCTGGTCGCCTTGGAAGCGACAGCCGGACCCACTAGTCGCTCGGAGAAGGTGGTGAGAGACTTTGATCCGCGCACCTCGGCCGTCAACAAGGGCAGCTTGATGACGTGGAAATCCTCGTACAGATCGGCAATCTGGTCGAGGTACTTGCCTTGCAGTTTGACACGGGCATCGCACAACGTGCAATCAGCGACTATGATGATTCCACAGATCAACGCAGAAAGAAGCGATCAGTTGCAAGACACAAAACCAGTGCAATTTCCAAAAAGGAAATCCAAGTGCAAAAACCGTACCCGACTGCTCCACCAGCTGGTTGACAATAATGTTGTGGACATCGATTCCGAAACCGGTGAGCTCCTGGATCAGCCGCTCCGTCTCATAAAGCGAGAGGAACTCGGCAATGCAAACGCAAACAAACGTCGTGCGTGCAGGATCCTTGAACTGGTCTTGGACACGTTGAGTCAGGAGCTTGAGCTGCTCGAGTCGCGGAACCAAGTTGTTGATGCCGAGAAGCTCGCTTCGGCCAAGCATGGATGTGACCTGGTGTTGACACGATTAGTCACATGTATTCACCACCGTCTTTGGGAGGGGGAAAAGAGGGCGGCACTGTTCAACAAATGTATGCTATGCACTCCTTACGCTCGAAATCATGGGAGCAAAACGGTTCATGGCACCAATCGCGGCGGTGAGGCCCTTGTCGATGGCCACCGGCAGCGAGAGCAAACGCAGGGTATGGCCAGTCGGCGCCGTGTCAAACACAACCACCGAGTACTCTGTGTTGTCCAAGTGGCTGCAGCGAAAAGCACGCAGCACCACGCATGCATGCGCATTTGTCATTTGTGTGTGAGCAACCCGACGCCCAAACGCCCTCGCCCTGTTTTCTACATACACAGCACACACCCCACACACTTACTTCATCATTTCGGCAAAGCTCAAGGCCTCGTCAATGCCGGGAATGCTTCCAAGCAGCTCGTGGATTTGCTCGCTCGTCTCGCTTCCGCCTGATTTCGCATTAGAATACATTTGACGTGTCAGTGACTGGCTTGGATGTGGTGTGTCACTCTCACTTGGGCCCCCCCCCTCCCTCTCGCCCGAAACAAAACAAAAAAACACCACGACCAAACACACAAGTCCTAGTGCAGTCGAGGTTGACGATGATGACGATGATGATGTGGATGATCACCATTCGAGCAACAACGCAATCGTGCGAACGCATTGGAAGGCAGTTTCTTTGCTTTTTGGCCGAGTGTCCCGCTTACCAAGCATCTTGTTGACCATCGTGATATCCTTGGCATCGAGCTCGCAGACGTAGAGGTTTGAAAACCCGTTGGCAAGCGAGGGCTCCTTTGAGAACTTTTGGCCGAACGCGTCCGACAGGTTGTGCGCGGGATCGGTCGAGACGAGGAGGACGCTTTGGCGCACCTTGGCCAGCTGGATGGCAATGCTCGAGCTGGGTGGTGGGTGATGAAACATCCGAAGAGTGAGGGACGACCAGCAGCAGCAGCAGCAGCAGCAAGGACAGGAATCGGGAAAAGCGAGATCTCCAACAAAAACAATGAAAAAAAGCAAAACAAAAGCGATACGCGAGTTCACCACGCGGCCTAGCTTTTGGTAGGCGTTGCAGGCTGGCCGATGAGCTCGTCCGTTACTTTTTTTCTCTTTTACCTGCATGTTGTCTTGCCAACGCCGCCTTTGCCGCCAACAAAGATCCAGCGAAGCGAGTTCTGGTCGAGCAGGTTGCGGATGGATGGCTCAAATTCAGAGTGCGCCATGGTGCGTATGCAGAGTTGTAAATAGGACGAATGAAATCAAAACAAGACTGAACTTGAATTTCCAAAATGGGCATGCATCTCAGTCGACACAAAGTACAAACTACTGGCCAAAAGAACCATCCAGCTCCATCAGCGAACGAAAGAGCAAAAACGCGACACGAACACACTCAGGGCAAGAGCAAACTGTGAAGACTGCTGACGGCGGGTGTCACGGACTGGAGCTCCTTGAAGGCAAACATGCTCTGCTCGGTGAGGTGCGTCACAACAGGGGCGCGTGCCTCGAGGGGCAAGGCGGCCTCGGCCTGGTTGATGGCAGCAATGCAAAGCCGTCCATCTTCATCGTTGGTCAATTCGGACTTGCCAACAACCATCACCGTGCACTTCCGTCGTTGGGAAGACGGCACGAGATACTGCTTGACAAATGCCAAGACTTCGTGCGGGGTAATGGTTTGCAACTCGGCAGACTCACGCTCGAGGCGGTCGTACAGGTAGTCGCGGTCTGCCACCTCGTTCCAGTTGCGATCCACCTCTTCCGTCAGAGACATGACCTGCTGTAGCTTGTTGGAAATCAGAGCAGCCCGGTGGGACTCAAAGTTCGCACACATTTCGGCATCGTGCTTGGCAGACGCAGGAGCGCCGTCGTTCTTGCCGCTGGCGGATGCGTCGGTGTCAGATGCATCGTCATCCTCCTCCTCGTCGTCGTTGTCGTCGTCGTCGTCATCGTCGTCGTCGTCGTCGCTCTCGGTGGGTTGTGCTTTCGCAGAATCGACCTTGCTGGAAGTAGACTTTGCCGCTTTTGCGCCGCTCGCGCGTCCTGCTCCGACTTTGACGTGGCTGCGCGTCGAGGCAGCCGACGTCCGGACAGCGGAGGCCAGTGGTTTGCGAGTAGTCGTTGCCGCGCCGCTTCGGGCGGGGCTGCCACGCTTGGTGGCAATGCGCTTCACACCCTTGCTGGCGGCGCGAGCTGGAGCGACGGACGTGATCACCGGGCGAGGATTGTACTTGGCGTCCCAGCCGCGCACCGCCCCTTCCAATTGCGGAAGATAAACCTCGCGGATGAACGTTTCAACGCGCGAGTCAATGTGCGCGACGGTAAACTTGCTCGACTGGGCTTGCACCTGAAACCCAAACCCTGTGATGCCGCCAGTGTACCTGCAGCAGCAGCTCACGTCGTAGCCGAGCTGCTCTTTTGTGCGCAGGACATCGAAACACGGCTCCTCCATCAGGCATTCGAGCAGGACGGAGACGGTGACTTCGCGGAAGGGCAAGCTCGCGCACTGGTAGTAGACCTCCACCACCGAGTTGTCGTCATTCGGGTTTTGGCCACGCGTACGCAAATAAATAGAGCCCGGCGGGAGCACTGTTGTGCAGTCTTGAGGGAAGTCGCGAGGCGTCATTCGAGCAGGGATGGCTGGGATCGTGGCAGCTGCAGCTGCAGCTGCATGCGCCGTCTGCTCCAGATTGGCAGACGCTGGTGACTGGGAGCAGTCCATGCCGCTTGTCGTGCTGCTCGAGGGCGTCGCAGGGGAGACGGCTCGTACGGGATGCAGCGCCTCGCGATAGGAGGCCATCAGAGCTAGGGCCTGGTTGCAATTCATGTTGCCCTGGACAAGAACGTCGCAGAAAATGCGAGCCAAGCTGGCCGTAATATGATCACGCAGCTCGGTCAATGTCACGGCCGCCACAGTGTCGTCGTGCGTGGAGGACAATCCCGGTCGACCGAACGAAGCAACGTGTTCCGCCTCCACTTGCTCGTTGCGAGCATTGCGGGACATGAGCACCGTCTCGGCAGCACCGCCTTCAAGATGCAGCACACGTTCGGCAATGGTGAAGCGCCTCTGCTGCAAAAGGTCGAGTCGGAGCGTGCGAGCAAGCTTGTCCGGCTTGATGGAGGCGTTCTGATACCTCCGGAGCATGCGGTTGCGTGCGAGCTCAAAGTCTTCGTCGCGAATGCTCATGCCGACATTGGCAATGCATTGGATCAGTCGCTCAAAGAGAACAGGCAGCTTGTGGCTGAAACCAGTGACCTTGAGGAAGAGTCCCTGACGGACGTGCTGCAACGAGAACGACACTTCTGCCACATCTGCAGCATAGCTAAATTGCTTGGTGATGGTGTCCAGCACAGTGACGTGCAAGTCGGTGAGCACGACTTGACGAGCAGTCTGGTTGAACCCGGGCCCAGTGATGTGCATGTAAACGGAGGCGCGGGGGAGGCCAAAGACCGTGTCGCGACGGTGCCACAGATTCCAAAGCGCCGTTTGCGAAATAAGCACGGGGTAAAGGGGAGGGCGCGGCTGGTCGACGGGCTGCGACTGTCCGTCAACATCCATGCTGGTGACGCAGCTCGGCTCGTTCTTGCTGGTCGAGCCAGCTGGACTGGACACAGCCGTGGGTGGCACGACAGTGGTTGTCGCTGCTTGAGCAGCCCGTGCAGTGGCCAAATGAGCGGCAGCTTGGGTCGATGGGAGCAGTCGCGACGGAAGATGTTGCATGTAGTCGGCAGCGCGGACCTGGACCTGGTTCTCATCGCCAGTGACGAGGTTGAAGTCTGTTGCAATGAATGCGTTGGCTGGCGGCAGGAAGAAGGATGGATGTCGACCGCAGTTGGACCACTGCTCAATCCAAGCTTCAGGGAGCGGGCGGGTCGTGTAGGGCAGCTTAAACCACGGCTCAATGCTTTCAAATTGCGTGTCAACTCGAGTCTCGCCCTCCGCTGCCGGAGCTCCACCAGCGTGGCCACCGTGAAACAGCTGTGCAAAGTGCGCCGCACGATTGGACAGGATGAAGATGCGAGCAGTTTGTGGTGCGAGCATGTCCAGGATGGAGTTGATGGCGGCAGGATCAAAGTCAAAGTAGAGGTCTGACCCGCACACCACGTCCTCCTCTGGAAAGTACTGCATGTTGCCAGAGAGCATCTCGACATAGTCGATCGGCTCGATGGGCTCGCCAAACCGGAAGGACATGGCGGCAATTGCTTGCTGCTCGGCAAACAGTCGCTGCAGAGGCCCTTCGTCACGCAACAGCTGCAGGTACTGGAAAATGAAGAGCAAAATCTCGGGAATGTGCTCGACGCCAGAGTCTGTGAGAACCACCGTGCAATCAAACGTGTAAAAGGACGAGTTGGCTTCGTACCCAGTACCACCGTTGCCGGCATACAAGGCAGACGCCCAGCCAAGCTGCGTCAGCTGGGAATATATGCTACCAGGGCCTTCGTGGCCGACCAGCTCGGAAATGTAATAGAGCGGCTTGGCCCGGTAGGCGTGAGAAAGCGGTGGGAGCAGCCAGGTGAGGTTGAGCTCATGCAGCTGCTTGATGGGCTCGGCATAGGACACGGTGCAGAAGGTTTCCGGGGTGAATGCGTCCCAAGGACCGCCAAACGGCGGTGGGGAGCCGAGCAGCGACGCGTGGGCGTGCATCGGCGCGAGCACAGGCAGTCCCAGACCGGCAGCGTGAGCATCCTCTGCATTGCCGTTCTCAGGAAGCGGGAGCTGAAGAGCGGCGGCCAAGGGAGCGTAGGCCTCCATCGGCGATGGCGGAATGGCAGCAAAAATCTCTCGCACCCAGCCTTCCATCGTGTCAAGCGATGCCTGTCCGAGCAAGCACAGCCGCATCACGCCAGCATGGTAGTGCTTCTTGTGGAAGGCGACAAGCTGCTCGCGCACGTCAATGCCCTGGGAGACGGGCATCTCAAGGAGGCTTTTGGCGTTGCCCCAGCTAAACTGGCTGACGGGGTGACCCGAGCGACCGGCGCTGCACAAAAATTGGAGCTTTCGCGAGCTGTCGCTTGATTCGGCCATGGCAAACTCAGTGTCGACGGCGTTGCGCTCACGCTCCATCGTGTCGGCCTTCATGAGCGGCTGCACGAAAAACTGGGCGAAAATGTCCAGCGCCGTGTGGAAGTGCTCGGGCCCGATATCAAACTGAAAGATGGTGTTTTCGCACTCGGTGCTGGCATTGTCCGAGCCGCCATTCTTGCGGATGAAGGCGTCAAAGGCGTTTTCGTCTGGAAACCGCTCCGAGCCCATAAACAGCATGTGTTCGAGAAAGTGCGCGAGACCTTGCACCTCTGGCGGATCGCTAAAGCTGCCAACGCCGACGCACATGGCAGCTGCGGACTGTGTTTTTGTTTTTTGTTTTTGTTTTTTGGGAGCAGAACGGACGAGTTGCCGCACAATCAAACCATGGACAAAGGTCGAAAAGGTGAGAGCTTTTCTCGAAACGCATGCGTCAAACCATCCACCGCGCCTGACATTCATACCCGTCGCTTTGCTTCCTGTGCGTCTGTGTCTCCTGTTTTTCGTCGGCGATGGTGACCAGCTGACTCTTCGTCACTGTCTTCTTGGCGTTCCTCGGGTTCGTCTTGGTCCTCGTCCTCGTCCTCGCTGTCTTGATCGTCGTCGTCGTCGTCGTCGTCGTCACTGCTTGAGCCGCTTTGGCCTTCATCCGACTCTGTTTCAAACTCGTCATCATCATCGTCGCCATCGTCATCGACTTGCATCATCGCTGTGCCCTGGGGATCAGAAGAGGAGGCCGTTGTTGCTGGCTTGGCGCGCTTGCCTGGATCTGCGGAGACCGCCGAGCTGCTTCCCGGCGCACCAGCACCACTGGCAGCATCAGCATTACCATTCGCAGCAGTAGGTGAAGCACCAGAGGCGGCAGGAGCTCCGTGCGGGTCGTGGATGAGCAGCGCCACGAGGCCGTTTGGAAGCCGAATCGTTCTGCAAGGCAAAGAGTTGATGGGAAGGGAGGCGGAGACGGGGGAGGAGGTGGCGGTGAGATTGAAGCTCAGACAACGCAAAGCTTAGAAGAGAGAGAGAGAGAGAAGGATGAGGGGGGGAAAGTGTTGCGTGTTACCTGTAATCGTATGGATCGCTGGCAGACTTGACCGTGCAAGCTGAGACGGACAATGGTCCACCTGGCAACCTCAGCATTTGCATATGCAGGACAGAATAAAAGAAATTGAATAATAAAAATGAATGAGCTTGTGGAAGGGAAGGGAAGGGAAGGGAAGGGAAGGGAATGGGGGGCAAAAAACATCAGAACCAGCGCACAACGGCTTGCTCAATCATGGTGAAAACAATCGAAGAGACTTGAATTTTAGGAGGGGGGAGGGGAGGGGAGGGGAAACATTGGTATATTACAAGAAAAATGGGATGATGCGCTACAATGATAGGCAACAAACAAAATGGCGGGAAACAACAGTCTGAATGAACACGGAGGCAAGCTAGAGCTAGGTGTGCTAGCGCCCCCACAGTACGACAAGCGATAATAGACGGAGGTGGCAAAGAGTCCAACACGGGAGGCCACGCACATCCAAATCTCCAAGGCGCCTGCACCGAGGAAATTTGGGGAAGCATTGGCCCACAGCAGGGGAATCCACCACCACCATAAAAAACAAAACAGGCGACGGCTGAAGGGAACAGGCAAAAAAATGACACAACCAGGATACGAATCACGGAAATCGCTAGAAGGCAGGCAGGCAGGCAGACAGACAGGCAGGCAGAATACAGAAGAAACAGGAGTCGCCATTGAGCAAACTTTTGTGTGGGTCGCTTTACATCAGCACTGGCTGGTTGATCGAGGGCACCAGCTTGGTCGATGTCGCAAGGAACTCGGCAAGCTGACGAGCAAGCCGAGCATTCTCCTCGGTGAGGAACTCGACCTTGGCCTCGAGGTTGCCAATGTACTGCTTCTTGCGCTTGCGGCAGTCGCGGGCGGACTGGCGGTTCTTCTCGAGCTTGGCCACCTTGCTTTCGTCAGACGAGTCGTGCTCGGTGCTCGACAGGGTGGCAGCGTCACTTGCATCGGCATCGTGCTGCGACGCCGAGTCAGCGTCGGGACGCGCGTACGGGTGCGGGTGTCGTCGGCTCAAGGCTGCAGCGCTGGGTGCAGAGCCACTGGCACGGCGGACGCGACGCTTGCGCTTGGCAGCCTGAAAGTCGGAGCCATGCCAATCGTCGTCGTCATCGTCGCGGCGGCTGTCGGCGACCGAGCTGTGCGAGTCGTCCGATTCGCACTTGACGCTCGAGGGCAGGAACACGCCGCCGAGCAGCGTGGGCATTGAGCCCTGGAGCTTTGAGTCAGTGGTGGCAGGATCCGCGAGGTGCGGGAGCAGGTAGTTGGAGGGGGCTCCAGCAGCGTTGGACAACTCAATCGCCGGAGTGAGCTTGTACTTGTGGTACGGCTGCTTCTTTGGCACAAAGTCGGCAGGGACTTCGGTAGCCTGAAGTTGCTGCGCCAGCGGCTCAATGGCATCCTCGAGGGTCAACGCAGCCTCCATCTGATAGGGATTCTGGACCATCGCAGGGAAGGGCAGTCCCACATCGTACCGACGCACCGAGGCGGCATGCACCTGCTGAGAAGGCTGCTGCTGTTGCTGCGGTAGCAGAAGCGATTGTTGCGACAGCTGGAGCTGTTGGTACTGCTGCAGCGGCTGGAAGAATTGCGGCGGGGACAGGTCGTACTTTTCGGGCAAGTGCGGCGGCGAGCTGGCGTCGACAGCGGACAGCTCGACGAAGGCTGGCGAGCGGGCATACTGGAGCGAGCCCAGGTTGGACGAGTCAGTCGTGATGGTCGGTGTGGTGGCAATCAAGCTGGAAATCATGCTAATTTCCTTGAGCAGGTCTGGCGTTGAGATGGATGGAAAGTCAAAGGCGGCTTCGGCCATCATTTCTACCTTCATTGTTGGATGAGTGTGGTGGTGGTGGTTTGAAGGAGTTGTGGGTTGTTGAAGAAGCGTCGCAAGGAATCAGGCAGAGTTGGTTTTGCTACTCGGAGTTGTTGGTCACGAGAGTCGAGACAAAAAGCAAGTCGAGGCTTTGCGGGGAGAGGGGGGAAGAAAATGTAAAACCGGGTTTTGGCCTTATGGCGGCGTTCTTTGTGAGCTTGTCAAAGGCTTCGTTTAGGGTTGTGCTGTCAAACACGACTGCACAGACAGACAGACACAAGGAGAGAGACAGACGGAGGATGGTGTGAGTGACAAGCAAAAACAGGGCAACAGTTGTGACGGGGGGGCGATAAGAGGCGTACACAATCTTGGATTGAAATGAAAACTTTCAACAAAAAAAAAAAAAAGACTGGGCTGAGAAAACCCAAATCCAGCCAAACCACAAAACCACAAAATACCGCGAGCCAGAACCGAAAAAAAAAAAACGAGAAGGGCGCGACGGTGACGCGACAGCCGAACTCGAGTGGCCATTTCTGTTGTTTTTGGTTTTTCACTTTTTGTTTTGTAGAGAGGGAAAGAGTGTGGGCAGAAAGGGCACGGAAACGCGAATAAAACCGAAGCGCGCCACAGCCCTTTCTTTCTTTTTGTTCTTTCCCAATGTCTCCTTTTCTTTCCGCCCATTGTGATTTTTTTTTTCGTTTTTTCCCACGAGGCACAAACACTGTGTTGCGTGTGAAATGCTACGTTAGATCTATGCTTTTTTTCTGGTTCAGAAGGGTAACACAAAACAAAAACGGATTTGAAGCGTAGCATCGGAACTTTTTGCGTTTTCGATTGGTTTTTTTTTTTTTCTTTTTTGCCACTGCAACGCTGTCGAGCATTCCCATGAATTAGGGTACCGAGACCGCGAAGTCGACGAGAAAGTTGCAGATGAGCAGGGCGAAAAATTGGCATGAGATTCCACGGCTGCAAAACCCGCTCAGCCCATGTGAGGCGCGAGGGATTCGCACTCGTCAAAGAACAAGCCCAGCGCGAGCCTGTGAAATTTTCGGCTGACTGAAACGGGTTTTTCCCGTGTTTTGTGCTTTGTTTCTGGTTTTTCTTTTACACTCAATGTCGCACGCTTGATAACTTTGCTGCATAATAATACTGTCGTTGTTTGTTAAAACGTGAATGATGGAAGGACATTGTGGACGGAATTAAAACGTGCAACAAGAAAGACAAAAAAAAAAGGCAAAGAAAAACGAAGGGAAAGAAAAAAGAAAGAACGCCGCGATCCTTTTTTGAACTTTTTTTCCCGATTTCTTCTCTCTTTTTTTTCCGTTCCGTGCAGCCAAGAGAGCGCCATATCAAATACACAAGGGCATTCTGAACCCGTCCACAAGACCATAGCATGCGAATGAATGTGTTCTGCCACTTCTCTCTCTTTCTCCTGCAAAATCGATGCAAATCGCTGAGAATCGCCTTTTCCGATTTCAAACCCGATGCTTGCTCTCACGAGCCTCCCTCCTCACCTCTGCCTCCACTGTGGGTTGTGTATAGTGTCATGCATTCAATGACTCGATCGTTGCTCAATGCAACCCTCACGATCGGCGGGAATGCGGGGGAAAACCAACAACTCACCAAAGCAAAAAATATAGACTGAACCTTCCCGCCCTCTTTCTTTTACTTTAACTTTTTTTCTTCTTCTTCTTCTTCTTTTTTCTCTCTTCTTCTTCCTAGCTTTGCCTTCTGGCACGCCATCCACGAATGCGCAAGCGCTGTGGGGCATAGAACGTGCAGTCGCAAAATCACAAGACCCGAAGCAGCATTTTTCATGCCGCGGCACGCGCCTCATCGGGGACAGCACCCGATTGACACTGCGATCGGTCCCGAAGATCAAGATCGATAGTGTATGATTTTTTTTTTGTTCGGGTTCAAAAACCAATTATTTTTGTGTCACTTTTTGTATGGCTTCCGAATTTAAAAACCCCATTACAGTTACGAAAAAGAATGTCCCCGAAACCTGAAAAATCAATGCGGTCATGGAATTTAAAACGCCCGCGCGGTTTTTTTTTTTTTTTTGTTTGTTTTTTTGTTTGTTTGTTTGTTGCCAACCCTCCAAGCAGGTTGGTCATCGTGCTCTTCACCCCTTTTCACCTTCAAGGAGGCGGGTTGAGCGCATCCCTACACCGAACTCTGCCAGCCATGAAGCGCGGAAAGCAATGGCAAAACGCGCAACATCGCCCTACCCTCTCTCCTATTCACCCACACGTCATGTCATAGTTGCGATACGTCCAAAGGTGTGGATGCTATACTCTACCAAAAAAAATCCAACCAGAAAGAAATTAAAAGACTGCATTCATTGACAATTAATTGGAAAACCGACAGAATGAACTAGAAAAAAAAAAAAAAAGAGCGAAACATTCCGATCCAAATTCCACAGGCAGATGGGTCTGAGCAATTCATTTCAGAACGCAAAATGCAAGCGTAGCAGTGTTCAAAACGCACACAGAAAGAACGCGCATGAAAGAAGAAGAACGCGAGTATTTTCATAGCTGCATCGCCTGTGCAGCATCCGATTGGGCGGGCGGGGGTGCCAATTCCACACCCGCTGTCGCCGCATCGCCGGCTCCGATGCCGTCCTGCTCGATCGGGGCCGCAGCCGGCTCTTGTGGGAGGTCCGCGACTGCAGCAGAGTCATCCATCGCGACAGGGGGCGCTGGCACCGACACATCTTTCATCCCGATTGCAGGAACAGCAGGCGTGGCGCCAGATGCAAGCGGCTGCGGCGGGCAGTACGGAAGCAGTGCCGAGCCGAAATAGTTGTGGACCACAGCATAGTACTTCTCCACGTCGGGTGCAAGCTCGGTCAGCGGGTCGAAGAGACCCGAGGGAGTGGAGGAGACGCCGCGATGCTTGAGGAGGTTTCCCACGGCAGACTGTTTGTTGCATGTCCCGAAGCCGCCACCAAGCAAATTCAATGTGAGTCAAACGCATCCATAGAGAGCGACAAGGAACGACAAAGCGCACGTCGTGGAACACATAGACACAGAGACACCACAAAAAGAAATGGGGTGCCGAAAATCAAAAAAAAAAAAAAAAAAAGTACGTGAGAGAGGCGAATTTGGCAAGTCTAGCAGTCATCACATTTCTGCACGCGATCGGCATGCTATCAGTGAGACCAATCAATGATTCATTTTTTTTACGCCCTTCGTTCTCAACCTCCACCGAGACGTTAATAATCCTGTGAGGGTTTCCGAGGAATAAAATGACGCACCAGGTCTGGGCAAAACAAAGAAAAGGCCAGCGAGTTGCTGTGTGTCCGCAAAGTGATTGGCGTCACTGAATGAACAGCCACAGCGTATTCACATGAAGGGTTTGAAAAAAAAAAGGGAAGAAAGGAAGGGAGGGAACAAAAAACAAGAGGGGGAGGGGATCGAATGGAATCTCTCTGAAAATATCCAACACTCACCAGCAACGCGCCGTGAACGCGCTCGGCTTCTTCACGAACAGTCAAGACGTTTTCAGGAATGCTTGGATCACGCTTGAGGGCGAGCAACGCAACGTAGCTCGCAAAGTTGGGCAGAATGAGAGCGCTGATCGTTTCCGCGCCAAGGTGCTCCAGGCCGACAACGGCGCCAAAATGCGAGGTGAGCGGCTTGTGGGGATCCAAAAACACCTTGAGGAGCGTTTTGGCTGTGCGCGGCTGCAGCTGGTTGTGCGATGACGAGTACCTTCGGCAGATAATCGAGACAACTTGCGCCGCCAGCACGCGCAACGCCCAGTGGTTTTCGGTATGGCGCTGGCATAAACGCTTGCCAAGCACGCATGTGAGTACTGCTGGCATGAGTTGGTGAATCTGGAAATTGAGCACCGACCAGCAACAGGGTGAGTTTCATCGTAATTGATGGCTGGCATCCGAGTTCTCGGGCATTGGATTTACTCACATATGGCTCTAAATGGAGCTCTGGGTTGGACACAAGAGCCTTAGTCATCAACATGATGTTCATTAGCATGGGAAGGTTGTTCAGATTTTGCAGGATCTAAGTTCGGAATCCAAAAGGAGCCTGGAATGAGTGCATTGGACGATCGCAAACACAAGACACGAGCCCCCAGTTCCCGCCCCATGTCGTACCTTGTCGGCAATAAATTGAGACAGATAAGGAACAAGCTGGTGGAGACCTGGATCAGCAGCCAGCGAAATGAGCGCTGCTTGACGCGCGTTGTCGTTGACACCTGTGATGGCATCGACCAGGCGCTCGTAATAAATCTGCAACTCCTTGGACAATGTGTGCTCGACGAGGTGCTTGATCTCGTGAAGGCTTCGCACGGCCGGGAATGTGCCGGCAACGAGCGGGGTCGTGCTCGACGGAGGCGCAACACCCGACCCGGCGCCAACAGCCGCGGTCGTCGGTTTTCCTTGGGCGTTGACAACTGTCAGGTTCTTGTCTGTACGGTTGAGCATTGGCCTATTTTCGCCAAACACTGTGTGTCACGGCCAAAAGAAAAAGGGCAGAACCAAAGGTTTGGTATTAGAGTTTTCTTGCTGAACTGTCGCACCAGAACTTCTGGACACCAACGCTTTCACTATGGTGCACAACCGGATTGTGCACAAGGCGTCGGCGTGTCCAGAGCTTTGACGAATGGCCAAAAAAACAAACGCAAGAGCAAACCAAAAAAAAAAAAAAAAAAAAAAAAAAAGACACGTACTGGGCGGGTTCTGGGGAATGGCAGGTTGAACACCTTCGATTGCCAGCCAATGCGCTGCATAGCTGACAGGTGGTGCGACCTTTGGGAGAGGGGCAGCCACCAGTGCCGCGAGATCAACCTCTTCGTCCTCAAACTGCCCAGAGTTGGGAGCGTTTTTCCGCTTGACGAGCGGCGGGGCGGACGCACCATACCCATAAAGCGGCTTGGCGTTCCATCAAAAAGCAGTCACAGGCGACAATCATCATCATGGCCAGACCGTGAGCGATGAATCAATCGCAGCAGCGACACTGCAACAATACGAGGCGATTTGCGCTGGAGAGTTGTCTCACCTCCATGTCCATGGCGCGCAACGCCGAGTTAACATCATCCGTGGTCAGTACGTGTCGTCTTGAGTGGTACATGAACTTGAGTGACTCCTGTGGACGGGTTGGTGTGCAACGAACGTGAGCATTGGCAATACAAAAACGCGAGATCTCCGGTGCCCTGCTCTCTTCTCATCCGCCTCCTCGCCGTCGATCCACCAACCTCAACAAGCATGCGCAGGCGGAACTCAGTGTCCTTGACAAGCTCCTCGGCGCAGGCATCGGGCAGCTCTGGCACCACTGCTTTGATGGCCTCGCGCACAAGTGCGGAAGACATTGCAACGAGACGAAGACTGGCTTTGCTGGATTTGGATTGAGATGGGGCGGCTTCATCTCGGCTGAATCGGTTGTTTGGGCAGCTATCGAGCTGGCGTTTGGATTTTTGGATTGCGCGTGCGATAATCTATTCAATGGTACTAAAGCGAGCTCTCAAATGGCAGTTTTGAGGTTGCGGGTCCAGCTTTGTGCCGTCTTGCAAAAAGGGGTTTGAAGCGCATCCCAGCTCAAGCATCCGATGGCGAAATTCGAGATAGCAACACAAACTCGACACCATTGAATTGAAACTAACTAGCATGTGATACTCAGCAAGTACCGAGCGCATAGCCATTGTGCAAGTGCCTCTATCACACACGCGAAAGCCGACGAGAAGTCGATTTGGCTGTTCTGAGCTACCCGCCTCGACACCACCCTCCCCGACTGGACAAAATAAGAGTAAACTAATTTGTACACGCTTTTGCAATGACAGAAACGCTGTGGTGGACTTCCATTGGCATTGTGTGCTTGTCCCAATAGACGCATTTGGAATGACTCAGTCTCACATTGCACTTCTCCTCCTTTCGCGCTGTCCCGAACCTCGCCAGAGCACTCGACATGAACTTTAGGAAGGGAGGAGTCGAGCAAGTCTTCTTCACCGTTGAGGAGGAGCGCCAGCGGGAAGAGCGCGCCAAGGAATGGGAGCAGTCGAGAGACGCCGCTGACAAGGCCAAAGGTTTGTGCCGCGAGCGATTCAGCGTCGTCCTCCGAGCAAAACGGACAACCGGCGCTGTCATGATGATGACGATGAGGATGATGATGATGATGTTGTCGATGTGCGTATTGACTGGCGTGGTGTTTTGTCACAGACTTGGGACCGGACGATGGCAAGTCGCTGTTTGATCGCTTGGAGGCGAATCGCGCTGCCAAGGCTGCTGAATTTGAAGAAAAGATGAAGTATAGTAAGCGTCTACGGGGAAGGTTGATTGTGCACGACGGTGCGAGGGCTGGTCAGGGGAGGCGACTCACACTTCTGGAACACTTTGCTCTTCCAATCTGCTTCTGCTGTAGAAAACCAAATTTACCAAGGACTCGACGACGAAGAGTTTGAATTTGTGCAAAACTCAGCAACCAAACAGGAGGAGATTGAGAACGCTCGGTGGGAGGACGAGATTGCCCAGGTGAAGCAGTTTCGGGAAGCCGTCGCGCAGCTGGAAGCCGCTCCTGCGCCAACGACAACGGCCGAAGCTTCTGCGGAACCCGCCAAGACGGGTGATGTGCTATTGAAGGCATGGCAAGCACAACCATCGATCACTTCTCGATTGGCGGTTGGTGCAACGGCCAGCAAAGGGGCGTTGGGCATCCGGAAAAAGTCTGAAGCATCATCTCCCATGGCGTCATTTCCAGCGACTAGTTTGACAGCAGTTGCACCAAGTAAACGACCTGCGACTGAGCTTGGGGCATCTGGAGATGCTGCCGTGTCTGTCAAGCAGCCTCGCCTTGAAGCGACCACCGCCGGCTCGGCACCAGCATCCACCCCCAAAGCCACAGCAACCTCAGCCTCTGCATCCGCAGCTCCGAAACAGCAGCTGCTTGCACTAGCGGCGTATGATTCGGACTCTGACGCCGATTAAGTTTGCTTGTTCCTCATTCTATCCTAATACCAAAAAAACAAAAACAAAAAAAAAAAAAAAAAAAAAAAAATCCAGTCCATTTTGTTTGACAACTATTTTTCAGTTTCGTGAGAATGCCGTCGCCTCAGGACACTGCCGCAGCATCCAGCGACAGCACCGACTTTGACCCTGCAGTGGTAGGTGTTCATCATGTTGCCAACTCCAACACCCATCTTCCTGCTTTTCCAACCACGGATTGGCATCGCATCATCATCATCATCATCATCCGTCGTCGCTCGTCTTTGAAACAACAATCCAGAATGCAAAATAGGGATCCTCGCCTTTTTTTTTTTTTTTTTTTTTTTTTTTTTTTTTTTTTTTTCCCGGCTTGTCCGGCCTTTTGACGCACTCTCATGTGTCCGTTCTGTGTGTTTGTCGTTGTTGCTAACATCATGCCGGTTCTTCTTTCTTGGGTTTTGGGTTTCTTGTGTGTGTGTGTGTTGCCAGCACATCTACAACCTGAATGGCGCAGAGGCAGAGAAGGCGCTCGGCAACACTGCGTACGCAGCAGACGACCTGCCCAAGGCGCTCCAGCACTACACCAAGGCACTGACGCTCGTCCATCCAGGCAGCCGAGAAGCAGCCACGTACCTCAAGAATCGCGCCGCCGTCTACGTCAAGCAGGTTGGTTGTTGCATTGCGTTTTGACTCGACTTTGTGACTGTTTCACTGCTCTTTTTTTTTTTTTTTCTTGTTGGGTTGATGTGGTCGACCGTGTCCTTTCATGATTCGAGCCGACGAGGGATTGGCACACAGTGTCTCAAAGCCACTGTTGAAGCGTAAACTCACCGACGTGCGGTGCTGCTTGCTGGTTGCAGAGCTTGTTCAAGAAGGTTGTGGACGACTGCAACGCCGCTCTCGCCATCATCCAAAACGATATCAAGGCGCTGTACCGACGCGGACAGGCGTACGAGAAGCTCGATGCGATCGATCTCGCGTTCAAGGACATGCGGACCATTGTTCTGTTGGACGCGACCAACAAAGTAACGATTTCCGTGGTTTTTGCGCTATTTTTCCTCCAGCCTCTCTTCCTCTCACAACAAGCGCACCCTGGTTGCTGTCGTGCTCACTTTCACACTGTCGTCTCCGCATCATCTGCAGGAAGCTGCTGCTGCCGCTCATCGACTTGGCAAGCTCAACTCGGAGCGCGCCGATCTCCTGAACTCGACCGATGGTGTCATCCGAGAAATGCTCAAGATTGTCACATCGGATGCCAAGGCCGACAAGAAGATTCATGCCATGAACAATCTTGGCATTCTCGCTCAACAGCCCGGTAAAGCCGAACAGGTATATGCGAACAGTTTTTGTTCTTAAAAATTGGTCTTGTTTTTTTTTTTTTTTTTTTTCCCCGTTTTTGCTCATTCCTTCGTGCATACCGTCACTGCCACGTTCTCAAAGTTGGTCGCGCAACATGCTATCGAAGAACTGGCCAAGTACTTGCAATCAACCGACGATACCATTGCAACCGCTGCCATTCGCGCGTTGTGCTCCATCTCGCACCACAAGACATATCTGGCCAAGGTGGTGGAGGTCGCCGGCCTCGACACACTGACTTACCTCGTTGGATCCCAGTCTGTTGAAGTATCGCGATATGCAATCCAGCTGCTCTCCACGAGCTTGGCAAAGGAGACTGAGATTGAAAAGGAAGAAAAGGCACGCGAACTGCAGGCCACGCAAGACAAGGAGCGTCGTGAGCAGCAGCTCAAGGAGGAACCGTCAAAGATTGTCGAGATTGATCCCTCTGCCCCAGAGACGACGCCAGCTGCACCTTCTCCCGCATCAGCGACACCCGTCGCCACGCCTCTTCCAGAGCACATTCTCGACAGCAACGAGCTGACCCACGCACTCGATGCCCTCATCAAGACCATTCAAAGCACAACAATCGAGTCGAAGGTCAAGTTTGCTGCTTTCAACGCCATTATGCGTGTTGTCAGCACGCAGGATGCGGCCTTGCGTTTCGTGGCACGGCGAGGTCTCAGCGCCGTCCTTGCCAACGGTGCTCTCGGTGACGTCTTCTTCCAAGTCCCTGCCAAGGCACCCATCAAGGCTGACGGCGACATGGACGACGAGGATGAGGACGAGGCATCCCGCGCTCGAGCCAAGGCCGCAGCCGCCAAAAAGGCCAGCAGCGAGCCACCGCAGCCACCAAGCAACCTCCGCACACACGTTGCCTTGGTGCTGGCGCGCGTTCACGACGTGTTGGGCCCCAAGCAAGAAGACACGTTCAAAAACGTCTGTCTGGAGGCTGTGCTGCCGCTCGTCAACTCTGAGGAGGAGGAGGACAACGTCAAGGGCTTGTACACCATCTCCACCATTCTCCAGGCCAACCCCGATGTTGGCAACTGGCTGATCGGATGCGAGGGCATGCTCAACAAGGTGATTGAGCTGGCAGACACGCAGCACGAGGGCTTGATGGTTGCGTCCGCTGAAGTCATTGCCTTGGCCGCGTCCGACAAGAAGCGTTGCCAGGCCATCTTTGCCGACGGATTTGACCAACTCAAGGCTCTGTACAAGTCCGGTAAGGACCGCGTGCGTGCGCGTGCGCTCGTCGGTCTGTGCAAGGTTGGCACCGTCAGTGAGGGCGCGCCCAACCAGCGCATCCTGGCCGAAGGCTCGACTGTCAATCTTGAAAAGGCTGCGCGTCGATACCTCGTTGGCGCGAGTCTACGCGCAATCGAGGGCCCTGCTGGGGCCAAAGATGCGCCCGCCCACCAAACCGACAGCCGCTACGACTCGGAGCTGCGCAAATGGGCTGTGGAGGGTCTTGCTTACCTGACGCTGGACGCAGATGTCAAGGAAGCGTTGATTGAGGATGTTGCCGCTCTCAAGGCCTTGTTTGCGATGGCCATCAAGGAAGAGGACAAGGCTGTGCGTTATGGCATTGCCACGATCTTGGTCAACCTGAGCAACTCGCAAGAAAAGCCCGAGCGCATGCCCGAGTTGGACCAGCTCAAAAAGTTTGCCGGCGAGAAGGTGCCAGTCCCGCACCCGAAAGACGCCGACGAGTTCATTGCGCCTCGTGTCAAGCGTCTTGTGGATGTTGGCGTCATCCCCGCCCTTGTCAGCATTTCGCACCAAAGCGAAAGCGCGATTGCCAACGAGCTGCTGGCTCGCGTCTTTTTGACCGTTGCCACGGACACTGCCAATCGCGGTCTGATTGTTCGGCAAGGCGGTGTCAAGGCGCTGATGGGCCTTGCCAACAAGGGCACCCCCAAGGGAGTCAACATTGCTGCCCAAGCTCTCGCCAAGGTCGCCATCACCATGGACCCGAACATTGCGTTCGCTGGGCAGAAGGCTGCAGAGTTGGTCCGACCATTGCTGCGCTTGTGCCAGTCCGAGAGCGGCTTGCAAAACTATGAGGCGCTGCTCGCGTTGACCAACCTGGCCAGCGTGGGCGACGAGCTTCGCCAGCGCATCGTCTTGGAAAAGGGCATGCACCAGATCGAGTCGCTGCAGTTTGAGGAGAATGTCAATTTGCAGCGCGCGGCGACCGAGTGCCTGTGCAATCTGCTCATGTTCAGCGATGTCGCCGACATGTTCATCAAAGAGTCTGGCCGCTGCTACGAAAAGCTCCATCTCTGGGTCTTGTTTTCCGGCTCGGAGGATGTGGGTCTGTCGCGCGCAGCGTCCGGCGGCTTGGCCATGCTGTCGGATGATGCTGGTGTGTGCAAGCGCATTGCCGAGGACAAGAACGGCTTTGAGATTCTCAAAGAGCTGGCAATCAGCAAAGAGACTGACCTGCAGATGCGGGCCTTCCACATTCTGCGCAACATGATCAACTCGAGCAAAGCCATCTCTGAGACCTTCATTGACAAGGAGCAGGGTCTTGACATTGTCTGGGCCGTCGACGGAACCACCAAATCCCCCGTCATCAAGAAGCTTGCAGGCGAGATTGTTCAGCAGCTGATGAAGTACGAGCTGATTGATGTTGTCAAGCCCTAGAGGAGGAGGCACAGCCGTCTCAAGAGCTTGACCTCGTGCGTCGGTTGAGTTTTGATATCCCCATGTTTGAGGTTGATGAAGATGAGTTTCGTTTGTTTGCATCGCTGTCTTTTGCGTTTTCCGGGTCTGTGCTGTACTGTACTTGTACAACAAGATGAAAAAAAAAATTCAACAGAAAAACGAAAAAAAAAAAAAAAAACCAAAAAAACATAAAAAAAACAAAAACCAAAAACAAAAGGAAAAACACCAAGTTGGAGTACCCACCTCTGCTAACGAATGCAATTCGTGCATTCATTGCTCAGGCTTGCTTGCTTGTAATTTTATTCGTTTCACTCTTTTGTTTCCAAATTCAACGCTGCTCACATCATGGCGCTCAACTTTCGAGATGTGGGCTATGTGGCCGAGGACGACGACTACGGCATGGGCAGCTCGTTCAGCCCGTCGACCGCCGCCAACGCAACCTCCGCCATGGCATCCAACTTGCACCAGCACAGCCTCACGGATCCCCTCGGCGCATGGCCCGACGTGCGACCGAGCGGCGGCAGCGGCAGCAGCAGCAGCAGCATGAGGCCAGACTACATGGGCGCTTCTGCTGGCTACGCGCCCACCCGCACGCACTACGAGAGCCCTGCCGACGGCTTCGATGCGGATGACTTTGGTGGCGCAGACGCATCTGGCGAGGCTGCCCTGCGCGCTCGCGTCGAGCAGCTGAGCTTGGCCGATGGCAATGGCGAAGGCAAGGACGGCCAGCCGCTCGGCGCTCCGTTGACCTTGCAAGCGATCGATGCGCACGATGAGTTGATGCACGACCTGCCAGAGCATGCCTGCAAGTGAGTCCAGACGACGCGCTGGGCTTTGGGTGTTGGGGGCGGGTGTTGGGGATGGAGGATGGGATGTTGGGTTGGCTGGCGAGTGCATTGCAACAAGTACTCCCAATGTTCTACTGCTCTGATGCTCTTGAATGTGACTCGAGATCAACTCAACTTGGGTGCCGTGTGGTCATGGTTGCTGACATTTTTTTTTTTTTCAGATACTGCGGTATTCACAGCCCGGCGTCGGTCGTTTGCTGCCTCAAGTGCCGAAAGTGGTTTTGCAACGCGTCCCATGGCACCGCTGCGAGCCACATTGTGCACCATTTGGTCCGTGCCAAGCACAAGGACGTTGGGCTGCACAAGGACAGCCCGATCGGCGACGAGAAGCTCGAGTGCTACAACTGCGGCTGCCGCAATGTGTTTGTGCTGGGATTCATTCCTGCGAAAGCCGATTCCGTTGTCATGCTGTTGTGCCGGTAAGTGTCTGCAAACGCAGAGCATGTGCCGTGACATGCTCACCCCCTATCTGCACCTATCGGTGTGTGTGTGTGGGGTTTTATCGTCAATGTTAACATTGGACGGCGGGTTGGTGTTTTGTTTGTTGTTGTTGATTCAGTCAACCCTGCGCTGGTGCCGTGCTGAGCAAGGACACAAACTGGGACTTGTCGACATGGGAACCCCTGATCAAGGAGCGCGTCTTCCTCCCATGGCTTGTGTCTGTCCCGACCGAAGCAGAAAAGCAACGTTCCCGCCACCTCAATTCGTCTGAGGTTCAAAAGCTGGAGGAGCTGTGGAAGACCAACCCTTCAGCGACCTTGGAGGATTTGTCGCAACCTGGCTTGGACGAAGAGCCCGAGAAGGTGAAATTAAGGTCAGTCGGAATACCGCGTTTCTCCTTTTTTTTTTTCTTTTTTTTTTCTTTTTTCCCCCCTGTTTTCGTTTGTTCTGGTCGTCGTCGCAATGACTCATTTGGAAGCGATCGTCATCATTGTTCCTCCTACGACTGCTGCTCCTGCTACTGGAATAATGTAGATACGAAGATGCCTACAGCTACCAGAATATCTTTGGTCCCTTGGTCAAGCTGGAGGCGGATTATGACAAGCAGACAAAGGAATCTCAGGCAAGTTTGGAGGGATGCTGTCGGGTCTGACTGCTTGCCCACACCTGTGCTCATCCCAATACTTGCCACTCCTCATTCCAGACTTTCGACGACATTGTGGTCGAGTGGGGTGTCGGGTTGAACAAGAAGATTACGGCGCACTTTGTTCTTCCTCGCCAAGACGGCGACTATCGCACCGTTCACGGCGATGAACTTCGTCTGCGATATGCCGGCGAGCTTGGACGCCCCTGGGCCGGCGAGGGTCATGTGCTCGTGCTGCCTGGCAGCACGACAGAAGGCATCACGCTCGAGTTGTGGTCGAGTAACGGCGTCCCGACTCACCTGACGCACAACTTCCATGTTGACTTTGTGTGGAAGTCGACCACGTTTGATCGGTAAGGTTGGACTGTTGGTGTGCGTTGCACTTTTGGCTTTGTGCTTTTTGGTTTTTGGCTCATTCTCCTGTGCCGTAGAATGCAAGCTGCGCTCAAAACGTTCGCCGTGGATGAAAAGTGTGTGAGCTCCTACATTTTCCACAAGCTTCTTGGCAAGGAGGTCGAGCTCAAAGACGAGCATCGCGTTTCTGTTCCCGAAAAGTACGTAGACACATTGCCTCTGAAAAATCGTTCTGTGGTGTTTTCTGACTGCATGTTGTTGGCACAGTCTGAATGCTCCCAACCTGCCCAAGTTGAATGAGTCGCAAATGTCGGCCATCACTCGCGTCCTTCGGGAGCCTTTCAGCTTGATTCAGGTTTGTCGCGTTCAAGCATTTTTGTTTCTGCTTCGCGCTCGACTCTCTTGTTGTCACTCTTGTTGTCAGTTCTTGACTTTGTTCCCCGTCTCACTGTCTTGAAATGCTTGCCTTTTTTGTGTTAGGGTCCACCCGGCACTGGTAAAACCGTCACGTCGGCAACGCTGGTCTACCACCTGTCCAAGTTTGGACAGGTGCTGGTCTGTGCACCCAGTAACATTGCCGTCGATCAGCTGACTGAGCGCATTCATCGAACGGGACTCAAGGTCGTCCGCCTGGCTGCCAAGAGCCGTGAGGCGATCGAGTCCAGCGTCTCCTTCCTTGCCCTGCACAGCCAGATTCGCAACTCTGCGGCTCACCCCGAGCTCGCCAAGCTGATGCAGCTTCGCGAAGAGCAGAATGGTCTTGACGATGTGGACGAGCGTCGCTTCCGACAGCTCAAGTTTGCAGCCGAGCGAGACTTTTTGAAGGTTGGCAGCGCTTTTTCGCTTGTTTTGACTCACTTTTCGCTCCCTTCTTTATTTTTTTGCTCTCTCTCTGCTTGGAGATGTGATTGGCCAGTCAGTCACTCACAGCTCATTGACGCCTCTTCTTTCTGATTGTTTCTCCGTCTGCACTTCAGAACGCCGATGTCATTTGCACGACTTGTGTGGGCGCTGGCGATCCGCGTCTGGCTCGCATGCGCTTCCGCGCCGTCTTGGTGGACGAGGCCACCCAGGCAACCGAACCCGAGGCTATCATTCCGATTGTCATGGGCGCCAAGCAAGTCGTCCTCGTTGGTGACCACTGCCAGCTGGGTCCTGTCGTCATGTGCAAGAAAGCGGCCAAGGCCAACTTTACGCAGTCCCTGTTTGAGCGTTTGGTCATGGGCCAAAACCGTCCTATTCGTCTTGAGATTCAGTACCGCATGCATCCTTGTTTGAGTGCCTTCCCTTCCGACACGTTCTACGAAGGCAGCTTGCAGAACGGCGTGCTCGCGGCCGATCGTACTCCAAAGACTCCCGCATTTACCTGGCCGGATCCCAACAACCCCATGTTCTTCTGGTCGAACCTTGGGCAAGAAGAGTTGTCTGCATCCGGAACGTCGTACCTCAATCGGTGAGGGAGTGTGATTGGCTCTGGTTGCTTTTTTTTTATGCTGGTCGCCGGAAGATAATAGTCTTGTGTTTGGTTTGTCTGCATTCAGCACTCACTGTTTTTGTACTTTTTTGCGCTCACAACGCAACAGTGCCGAGGCCTCGTCGGTCGAAAAGCTCGTGACCCAGCTGTTGAAATCTGGCACCAAACCAGACCAGATTGGTGTCATCACCCCGTACGAAGGCCAGCGCGCGTTTATTTTGCAGACAATGACGGCCAACGGCGTCCTTCGATCGCAACTCTACCAGCAAATTGAAGTCGCCAGTGTGGATGCCTTCCAAGGTCGCGAGAAGGACTACATTATTCTGTCCTGCGTGCGTTCCGCCGGCATCGGCTTTTTGAACGATCCTCGTCGCTTGAACGTGGCGCTGACTCGCGCCCGTTATGGGCTCGTGGTCATTGGCAATGCTCATCGTCTTGCGCGGGTGAGTAGTGTTGCCCTCATTGGGTTTTGGCGATGCATTTGGGTCCGAGCTTCTCGATGCATGCTCAATAATCTCTATTTTTTTTCTATGTTCTACTTTCTGTTTTGGTAGGACCCGCTGTGGAACGAGGTTATCACTTACTTCCGGAATCACAAATTGTTCATGGAAGGCTCACTGACGGCGCTGCGTGACTGCGGCATGCGCATTCCAAATCCTGAGGGTGTCCGATTCTCCGCGAGCCGCCTGCGTCGCGCCGTCGACGAGCAGATCAACCTGCACGGCACGCATCCATTCGCTCAGCAGCAAGGCCCAGCTCCTCCTGCTCCGCGGAACTCGTCACGACGCAACGGCGGGCACAATTCTGGCTTTAGCGCACAACGCTCGACTGCTTCGTCTGGAGGTGAGTCATGGCGCCTTGCCTTGCCTTGCCCATTTTTTTTTGTTTTCTTTTTTTTTTGTTGCTTTTTTTTGGCCGAACCTGGACTCATGCTTGCTGTTCATTTCTCAGGCTTGTCATCGACCCAACTGCACAGCATGCACTTTCAAGACCCGATGCAGGCCGTGCCAAACTGGCACCTGGGACTGGCGCCCTCGTCGACCATGCCCGTGCCCAGCATGATGTTCTCGCAGGGCAGCTCGCAATTCTCGCAGCCCAGCTACTATTCGCAGGCCGGATACTCGCAAAGCTCATATTCTGGCGACAGTGCATACGCTGCCAGCGTTTCTTCCCAAGTCAGCGCGTCGCCTCGTGTGAAGGGCAAAGGCACTGCATCCAGTGTCTACTCGGCCGCAGCGTCTCAGATGTCTTCGCTTTCGCAGGTACGCACGGTGGCTGGCTTGGCTTGTGTTTGTACATGGATGGTTTGATCTTGATGCTCAACATTTTTGGTCATTTTCACCACAGGACACGATTGGATTTTCGCAGACGGATGATGGATATTGAGCGCGTTCTTGTCGCCTGTGTATTGGCGCCTTCTTCTATCAAACACGAGCATTTGCGCAAACCTGGTTGACACACTGCTGCTGTCTCTCTCTGTGTGTTCGTAATTCCCTTTTTTTCACATTCCGCCCTTGGGACGGATTGGTGGATTTCCACTCGATCTCTTTTGGTGAGAGCGCCGTCCCTCAAACCTAGCGCCCGACACAAGCAAGCTTGCCTTTCCCAACGATGAATTTTGCTGCTGTCGTTGATTGTGGCATTGTTTGTTGTTTTTTCCCCCCTTGTCGGAATGCAATTCGTTCTCGTGTTAGTCAATTCCCAATACGCTGTTATCCCAGAGTTTCATTGATTGGTAAAACCCCAAAACATGCGAACAATTGGGCGTGATACATATCGTGTGTATTTTCGGTCGCAATGCGTCGTTTCAAACAACCATACCAATCACTGTGTGGCCTGCACCGCATCCAATTGCAGTTGCACGCGCTTCGGCAGGTAATTGTATGACATCACAAGAGCAGTTGTTATGAGTGCGATTGCTGTTTGGTGCGTGGGAGTGCGTTCGGTATTCGACCACTGGTGTTGGCACGGCGGTCGGATTGTCGATCGGAAGCACAAGGTCTCCATCGTCTGCGGCAACATCCACGTGAGATGCAGCGCCGGTGGCTGCACCAATCCCAGCCAAGAGAACTTTGCCACTGGTGGTTACAAGTGCGCTGTGATAGGCTCCAGCATGGATGCTGGCCACGGGCTCGGGAAGATCAAACACTGCAGCCTGCACCTCACTTGAATCTGCTGACTGAGCCGCCACTGCTGCACTCGCTTCCAAAGCTTGTTGTGCCTTTTGCTGTTGCTCTGCCAACTCGACAGGCAGCTTGTTAAACGCAAACCAGAGCTGGGAAGGATGGCCCAAAGTCGCAGCCGCGACTTGGAATAGCCGGACGGGTGTTGGATAATAGTGCTCCTCTCGTAGCGGACGAATGCCAAGCTGACCCGCACTGGTATCGCCAGTGCCCAACACCATGCCAGCATTGGTCAAAAACAGGGAATGATACCAGCCGCCAGCGGCCCGAACAACCCTGGCGCCCTTCCCGCCGATCAGCTCGCTGTTTGGTGCCAGAGACTTAATTACTGCTGGGAGACACGAAGACAGCGGGACGTAGTTCTCGGTCGCAAGTTCCTTGAGCGGATTGGCGGCCAGCTCACGTTGCGTTTGCTGGTGTCGCTCGTGCACGGCCTCGCTTCCAAGCCGCCCTCCCTCGGCTCCTCCCCAGCTGTAAACATTGCCGTCGTTCAGAATAGCCAAGGAATGGTGCCGGCCGCACGCGATCGACGCAACGCGTCTCCGCAACTGCGACACAAGCCGGGGCTGCGGGACAATCGGGAGATTGGAGGGATCTGCACCACATTGGCCATGGCGGTTGAAGCCAAAGCAGTACAAGTCCCCTCCGTTCGTTCGGACACAGGTGTGGGCAAATCCGCAAGCAATTTCCGCGATCAGCTCATTCTCCAGCTTGTCCTTGACACGTTGTGGGGCTCGCTGGATGCTCCCTGGCTTTCCGATTCCGCAGGCGCCTTGTTTGTTCGATCCCCATGTATAGACGCGGCCGTTATCGCTCAACGCAACCGAGTGGTGCGCGCCGGCAGCAACTTGTGTTACTTTGACGGCGCTCAGATTCGGGATTGGTCTTGGTATGTGAATGGTCGCCGTTTCGCTTGAACTCGGGTTTGCAACGTTTGAGTTTGTATCAGTCGCCGCACTACCAGAGGCGTTGGTGCTCGTCGACGACGACGACGGCGGAGCAGTAATTCCGAGCTGGCCGGTTCGATTGCTCCCAACGCTCATGCAAACACCTGAAGCTGCGTGGAGATTAAATTCAACAGCGTCATCCCAAAAATGAGTTCCCGACAACAGTGTCATCCCAAAAAAGAGTTTCCGACAAGTAGCCAGCCAGCCAAGGTTTTGGTGAGAAATCCAACTCCAATACAAAACCGATCATCTCCATACAAACTCCAATGCAAACAGCCCCTCCCCTCAAAATCACTCTGTCTGCAATCCCGTCAAACAGCTCGCACTCGCCGCGCACCTGTGACGAGGAGTGTGTGACGATCGCCGCATGCAATCTTGGCAATCTCGGTGCCGCCCGACATGGCGAGGTGGAACTGAGCGACCGTTCTCGCGCGGGTGCCGTCGAGCAGAGCGGTGGCGATCTCGGCCTCGCTGCAGTGCTGCGCCTCGCTTGCATTGTGACTAGGCACTTTTGTGTCGGAGCGAGACTGCGCGTATGGCTCGTGGGCGGCAGACACGGCGCATTGACCGGCAAAGTTGTCGCCTGCAGCCACGAGGACGAACGGCATGACTGGCTGGCTCACAGGCCGGCCGCAGGTTGATGCAAAAAAGACTGTGGGTGCACCAAGCAAGGTCGAAGAAAGAAGAGATGCATGCATGCATGGGCGAAGCAAGGGGAATCTAATCATCACAAAAAAAAGCAGTGTATTGCTATGAACCAAAAAACATGGCAACTTGAGCATGATTACGGCTTCTGACTCTTGTTGAGCAGAGCTGCTCGCTCAGTCACTGTGCGGAAGGCTTGCTGTGCAGTGGGGCTGGAGCCCTTCATCGACTCAACGCGGAGAGGCGCAAAAGTCTTGCCTTGGTGAGCCTGAATTTGAGCGCGCACAGTCTGTGCAGCCGAGTCGTTGTTGACAGCCTTCTCGGCAGCAGAGCGAGCCATGCCAAAGAGGCCGGACAGCGGTTCTGCTGGTGGAGGCGGCTTGACTTTGCCGAGAGCGATATCGGCTTCGCCTGGCAGCGCCAAGAATTCAGGAACGCGGCACGGAGGCACAGTCGCCGGTGGTGGCTTGGTTCCGCGAGTCAGCCACGCTCGCATCGCTGGCAGTCGCATCAGACCGCCTTGAAGCAGACCATACACTTGCGTTGGAATAAGGTAGAACAAAAGGCCCTGTCGAATGTGAATGTGGTGAAAGCAGAGCGACAACATGCCGCAGAGGAATCAGTGACCGCAGGTAGCAACAAGCCCAAATCACAAGGGTGACTCGACGCCCCCCCCCCTCTGCTTAAACCCCCCCCCCCAAAAAAAAGCAAACGAATACGTACCGCCGGCATGAACAGGGTGAAAGGAAGTGCCACCAGCGGCAGACCGTTGACCATGAAGCGAATCATCTGCTTCGGGAACATGACTTGCTGGCCGGCCATGGGGTTTTCGAGATTGTACTGCAGCAGGGGTGCCAATCAAAGGAAATGGGGTTTGCGAAATGATCAGCACCCATCCAAACAAACACAACGCAAAACGTCCAACGAACAACCCAGCCCGTGCTGCTTGAAACAAAGAGTGTTGCACTTGCCTTGAGGGAAATGTAAACAAGAGCAGCGGAAACGAAGGGGAAGATGTGAGTGGGATCCTCCATGGTGAGCCGTGGCATCCAGCTGGGACCACCGGTGACCATGCTTTCAAGCGGTTCAGTCAGCAGCGAATAGATGGAGCGCCAGCAGCCAAAGAAGACAAGGGCCATCGCAAGGACGCCGAGAAGAGTACGACCAGGCTTGATGCCGTAGAGCTTTTGGTAGTCTTGCTGTTCGCGGTAGATGGCGAGAATGGTGATTTGAGGCGCCTTGGCGGCACGCGCGACATCCATACGACGGCGAAACTCGCCAAGCGCCTCCTTGTGCTGCGCCATCAGGGCAGTCATGCGCTGCGAATTGATGACAATCGGGAGAAGCACGAGACGTGACAAAACGCCACCCACAGCCAGAGTCACCCACCAGGGCATCTCGCCGAACGCCGACATGTGCTCAATGCCAATACGCAGGAAGCCCCACATTCCCGTGTCCAGGCCTGCAGCCGCGACCTCGCCAAGCACAGCGTGTGAGTTGTAGACGCCAGACGCAGCGGCGTCAATAACAGCAGTGGTGGTCGATTCTTGAGCGAGTTCTGCAGCAGCAGATGTCGGTGCTTGAGCTGCAGCGGAGGCGGCGGCGATCGCGCCCTCTGCCACGGGCGAGACAGTTGCGTAGTCGGACAGTTTGACAAATCCAGTCGCCGCGGTGGTTGCAGCAGCGTCCGTTGAAGCGAATCGGGCTCCAGTCTGGCACACCAGCATTGCAACCAAGACAGAACGAAGAACAAACAACATTGAGCACACACAGCCATTGCTTGTATTGCTGGTGGGTGGAGAGTACACTTACCACACCGGAGATTGAATAGAGCGACGGGATTCGCATCGGCAACGACGATGATGATGAAGCAGCAGGAAGGAGTCTATCCATAGGCGGCAAGGCAAAAGTCAAGTGAAGTGAGGTTGAGGAAGATGTTCAGCAACCAACCGACAAGGGCCCCCCCCTCAAGAACCAGTCATCATCAGCTTATGTCATCCTGATGGTGGTGATGATGGTGATGATGATGATGGTGATGATGATGGTGAGCGGAGTGTGTGTGGGTTAGGAGATGAGGTTGGAACTGACCGAGTGGAAAACCGCATGCGCCACGAGCCACCCGTCGCAGTCATGGAGGATGGAGCAGCCGCAACCGACGACAAGGCGGACGAGCGAGGAGCACACGCGAGCGACGATGAAGCCGAGGCAGAGGCCGATGCATAGCCGCGGACGACTGCTGCAGTGCGGGACGAAGACACGAGCGTCGTCGTCCATGCAAGACGACTCGACGCCATAGTGGAAAGCAGAAAAAAAGAAAAAAAAAAAAAAAAAAACGAAAGGAAGAGTGCAGTGATCAACGATGGAAATGCTGAGAAACCAAGGCACGAAAGGAAAATATTGGAAGAATGCAGGCGTGGTGAGAGAAAGCCATGGAAGAAGGGATGATGGGCCAAAGAAAACGAAAGAAAAAGAAAAGCCGGTTGTGGAAATGTGCTCGAATGTGCTCAAATCTGAGCGACGTTGACTTTGTCGACCAGATCAGTTTATTGTGGGGCGCGACCACCGAGAAGCGAGGAGTTTCGGCAGAACTCGTAGATTCAAGTCCACTAGTTCGTTCAGTCCATGATGCAGACATGATTTTTCCATCATCCAAAAATTTCATCGCGAATCACGCTTCAACCGTTTCAGTCAAACTTGTCGAGTACTTCCCGCTTTGGTTGCTCGATGTTAGTAGCAATCAACATTGTCGGCTCGAGCAAGCGTGCCAACACCGAACAATTCTTCGAGCGCGTCAATGCGAACGTCACTAAGCGCGCGGACGCTGTTGTCATGAGCTGTGTCGCGCAACGCGTCCACAATCGTCTCACGGAGGTGCTGGAGGGAATCAACATGCAGCGTGCCACTGCTGGTTAGAATTTGTTCGAGGGCAAAGGCTGCGTGTCGGCGAACAACTGGATCCTCATCCGTCGTGACTAAGCGCTGCAAGCCATCCACGGCAATGCTCGTTTGACTCGACGCCAAATTTCTGCACTCTTGCGAGCTGCCCTGCGACAGATGGACGATTGCGTCAATGTACGATCGACGGACCTCCCAATCGAGATCCCGATGCATGAGGTCCAAGCACTCGAGGAGCATTGCGCCCAAGGTTGTCGAGCAAGGATGCCCATTGCTGGTCGTGCATACACTTTCGCCCAGTACCGATCGATACAACTGCTGCGCAAGATGTTGCTGCACGACAGGCACGGATGCAACCCAGGCAGCGACGCAAGTGGCTCCAGCCCGGCGTGGAAACGCCTCATCGTCAGAGAGGAGCTGGATGCAGAGCGGAAGAAGACTTTCAGTCAAGCTCGCTTGCGCTGTATCGGGGTGCAGTGCCGACAGGAGGGACGCTCCTTGCCACAGCCAGGTGCTTGGGAGAAGGCAGCAGAGAAAAGCGCCGACGGAGGCACGAAGGTAGGTGTTGGTTGGCTGGCGGACGAGTTGCCGTGATAATATGCGAGGAAGAAAGCTACCCTGGTAGAGTCGCGATACCAGGCTTCGGTACTGAGCCAAAGCCGCAGGGGTCGGCTGCAGATCAGCCTCGAGCTCTTTCCAGGAAACAGCGAGCTTGTTGGTCATGTAATCACGAGCTGAACTCGACTCGGCTGATTCAGAATGCTGAAGGATAAACCAAAGAAGGAGGGTCACGAGTTGAACAATGCTATCGTGCGTTTCCCACTGGTCGGTCGTGAAATTGTTGAGCTGGCCTTCCAGTAGCGCAGCTGCAGCATCGAGATTGTTCATGGCGCACCCAATCCGAATTGAGAGCAGCATGGCACGCGCCTGGATTGTCGGATCAAACGCTTGGGTGGCGAGGGTGCTCAAGACATTCAAGCAGGGGGCAACGGCGGCCCCTTGAGCCGTCAATGTTTCTTGACGCAGAGTGACGGATAGGACGTCCAGCGCCGCAAGCACGCAGCGTCGCGGCAGCCTCATTGTTGACTGCTCAATCCATGCCCCAGCGCGCAGGGCGAAGAGGAGCGCATCATCGCTGGACAAATCGGCAGATTGGGCAAATGCGTGACAAGCGTGCAAAGCAGAGTAGACGGATTCTGGTGACATGCGGTCATCCATGGCCTGTGTGAGCTGGTCCAAAATAGCCAACAGTAGCTGTTGCACTGATTGCTTGGTCGCCGCAATCACACCAGCAAACTGTGGTCGCGGAAGCAGCAAGAACAGGGTGCAAAGTTGACCGAGGATGCGAAGCTGCAATCTCGTCGGGTGGGACTGCTGAACATTTACCCTTTGTCGAATGGGCAAGGAGAGGGCGTTGAACACGCGTGTTTGAGTGGCGACGAGCAAGGGTGCGCAGGGCTCGTCCTGATTGACAAAGAAACTCGCCCACAAACCATCGGATGGTGCTCGACATGCACAACGCAGCCAGGATTCAAGCACATCAAACGAAATAGATGCAAGAGCATGGCCTTCCTCATGAACAAGGGCCAGAGCGAGTGGGAGAACGGCATGCTTGTGCAGGTATGCACCGAGCGCCTCGACAGGGTGGATTGGGCATGCAGGAGACGGTATTGCAGATTGATACTTTAGCCCTGCATCAGGCACAGCCAAAACAAGGTCGGCATTGGGGCTGAGATGAAAGAGAGCGAGTACTGCGACGCTTTGGCGCAGGACAATCAGCGGTCTTATCGAGTCTGGAACACCGACACAGAATAGTCCACTGGCTAAGATACTTGAGGGCGTTGATGCCAATGTGGCACATGCGACAAGGTTGTAGATATCGACAATAACAAATTCACTCGAGTCTGGCCTGACCAACGTCTTGACGAGCTGTGCGCAAACGTCGCCCCAGCAGGCGCTGATGGCAGCCACGCCTTCCGCATGAGACAGAATACGAGAGATGGCATCCACAGCAGCGTGAGCGACCGGATCTGACGAGTGCGGATCACACAGCAAAGCGACCACCAGTTGCAACAAGTGGCTACACGTTCCCGAAAGTCAAAAGTCAGCAGCTGCAGAGGGAGATTGTCAAACCAAAAACACTTGATCAACTGCAATGATGAAGTGGTGGTACCTTGCTTGATCTACGCAACCGGCAAGCCCACTTTCCAGCATACGCCAGGTATCAGGACATTGCAACAAGTACCCGATCGCTCGCACCACAACATTGACCAGTTTTTCGTCGTTCGGACTGAGCAGCGCCGCCTGTCGTATTCGAGATTTTTTTTCATGCATTGCGAACGATTGTGAGCTGCATGGCAAGAATGAACAAAGTGCCTCTCGATGTATCGACACGGTTTGCACTAGAATCACCACTCTCCAACCAAAACACATGTAGCTAGCTGGGTGTGACAAAAACCACCCCTCACGCTCAGAAATTCGAGGCCGCCCAGCTCGATCAGCACGGCTCGCGATACAGCGCCCTGGTTGCTCGACGGCAGTTCGTCTGGTCTGGCAGATGGGTCTGCGAGAATGTCCACCTCCTCCGCCGGTCGTGGCTGGCTGGGAAAGAACCAGCAGCAGAGCCAATCGAGGAGCTTCTCGTAGCGCGTGTCGTCGTTGATCCGACTGAACACGTCGTCGTGCTCGATGGCTGCGCGGCCGCACGCACCGGAATCATCATCATCATCGTCGTCAGCATTGTCTTGCTGTTGCGCTGGACGGTCGGGGCTCGCGTGCGTGCGGTGCAGCTTCTGGCGAGCAGCGAGCGTGAGTCGCGTTAGGCTCGACGCAAGCGCGGATTTCGACTCGGCGTCGAGAGAGTGAGCAGTCATGACATTACTGTCACAACCAAGACACAAAACAAGAGTGCTGGGAGTCGCTAGTATTTCTGGTTTGTTACAAAAACCACAAACCCATGAGCAAGTGTGAGTCTGAGTGAATCTGTACCCCCCCTTTTTTGTTCAGAGCTCAGTCTTTATCTACGCCTTTTTGTTTTTTCTCTCTTTCTCTCTCTCTCTCTCTCTCTCTCTCTCTCTTTCTCTCTCTCTCTTTTTGTGTTGGTTTTTTCTTCTTCTTGTGTTTGCAGAATGAGTATTCCAAGCGACGTGCTGGAAGAGCTCGCCGAGCTTGACAAGGAGCTGCGCGATGGTACAAGCGCTCGTTTTCCCGCTCTCTCTCTCTCTCTCTCTCTCTCTCTCTCTCTCCCCCCTTTCTCTTTCTCTCTCTCTCTCGCTCGTTTTGCTCCAGTGGCATGGTGCAGCGATGCCTGTTTCTTGTATCCCCCCCTCCTCCCTCTTACAGCACTCGCTTTCTCTCTGTCTCTCTGTCTGTCTGTCTGTCGTTGTGGTTTTGCGTCGCGGTCATCGCGTACCGACCTTCACCCGCTCTCTCCCCCTTTTCCCCCGTTTGCCCCGCGGCTCGGAACTCGTGGCCTTCACCTTTGAGCTCTGACACTTTGCTGCTGTTGCTGCTGTTGCTGTTGCTGCTGTCGTCCCAGGCAGCGCACTCACTCACTCACTGCACTCACTCACCAAACAACGTCAAGCAACTCCAAAAAAAAAAAAAAAAAAAAAAAAAAAAAAAATCCAACCAAACATTCAGATTTGTTTTATGTGATTCGGGTTTTTGTTTTGAGGGTTTTTTTTTTTCAGTTTGCGCATCGACAGGCAAACGCGCAACACCGGAGAGAGGGAAAGGGAGATGGAGGGAGAGAGGGAGGGAGGGAGGGAAAGGGAGAAGGAGAGAGAGAGAGAGAGAGAGAGAGAGATCGAATCAAGATTGGCGAAACCTTGAAAAAAAAAAAAAAAACCACAACAAATGCAAAACGCGATCGGATGAACATTCCGTATAAAAGCTTAAAAACCCGGATTTGCCTCTTACTCTTTACTCACCAATCCACAGCCCAGCACAGCTCACCAGTTGGAACATTTGTCTTGCTCACCTTTGGCATTGAAAAAACATTTGCATGCTGATGTTATTAGGCGACATTACGCAGAAAGGATACGACAAGCGCAGGCAAAAAGTGCTCGAACCGTACGGTGGAGGTAACTGAATGAAAGCTTTTCAACAAAAAAAAAAAAAAAAAAAAAACCAAACAAAAAAACTCAGCAAAGGGGGTGTGCCTGCTCAGAATTGCCGAGAGGGGAAAAAAAAAGCAAAGTGTCTCACTCATCCCTGCTCTTCTGACACTCAGAGAACGCGCTGAAGCAAGGAACGCCGCGGCCTGCATCGGGCTTCTCCGCAGCTGCGAGTGCTGCGGCTGCGGCATCGCTGGGTGGCAGGCCTTCAAGTGGTGCCAACTCGCCGCTTGCACGCACGGGCAGCACGGGCGCAGCAGACACGCCCTCCAAAAAGAGCATTGGAAAATCCAAAGCTCGTGCCATGCCTTCCTTGACGGACGACGACGACGCCGACGCGTTGACACCAGACACGCGCACTGCCACTCCGCCGCCCATGCAGCATCAGCACTCGCAGGCCCAGGATTTGCGCGTTGCCGCGTTGAATCAGAGCGCAGCAACCGGAGCATCAGGGCGCGCAAGCCCGCTATCCTTTTCGGGCACCCCCGCCAGCAACTCGCCTCGACCCGCCGTCCCCTTGCCAGCGCACGCCCCAGCAGCGCGCACCAGCTCGGCCAACTCGACGCAAAACACGCCGCGCGCGGCAACCCCAGTGCTCCCAGCAACCCAAGTGCTCCCGGCATCAAACATTCCGCCAATGGGCGCATTTGCTGCTGCAGCATTCGCTCAAGCCACCGCCGCACAACATGGTGGGCGTGTTCCTGCACCCGACCCGCGCTCCGGTGCGGCCCAACATTCCCAGTACGAAAACGAGGACATTTACTCAGCCACGGATGAGCCGGTTGTCCCCAGGCGCGCCGAATCGTCCTTGAATCGTGCTGATCTTTCCGCCATTGCCACCGCCGTGGCTGGAAACGCAATGCGCACCGACTCGGGCTATTTGACACGGACCGACATTTCCAACTTGAGTCGGCAAGCCACGTCCAACTCGTTGCTCGCGGCCAGTCCGGCCGCGCCCCCTCCCGCTCCGCCGCCCCAGCCACCAGCTATGGCAGCCACGCCAACCCGGCACGAGCCCGGATATATCTCGCGCAATGACGTTTACTCTGCGCGTGCTGCCGTCGCCTCTCCTGTTGCGTCTAATCTGCCAGGCTCTCCAGGAGCCGCGGGGGCAAACACCTCGAGCTACATTGCTCGGAATGAGGTTGCTGGTCTTGCCGCCCGCAACGCGATTGCCGCAGCTGTCGGTGGCCAGCAGGGCCACGCCCGTACCAACAGCAACTCTCCCACGCCCTCCACGTCCTCGCCGGCAAATCGCGTGGTTGGTCCTGGTGGCGCTTCGCTGCAACCGCAAGGATCGCGGCCAGGCGCGCTGGTCACCCCCGGCAACCTGGCTGCCGGTCTCGAGCAGGCAATGGCGCGCAGGCGTGCCACATTCTTGCCAAACGTCGATGCTCGAGCCGATTACGACGATCCGGACGACTCTCTGCCTCCATCGCATCCCTCTTATGGCATGCCGGTGCCTCCGACTGCTGCGGCGACCACGTCGACCGAGGCATCCACGTCCACGTCCTCGGCATCGCCGCGTCCGCCCGCGCCACCTCCGACGTCCGAGTTTTCATCGCGCATTCACCAGCTTGTCTCTGCCCTCAAAGCGCCAAACCAACCAAAAGCCAAATTCAACGCCAAGACGAAAGCAGTGCGCCGCGATCCCAATGCGCCCAAACCGCTCGGGCCAGTGTTGCTGCCGGTGGAGGGCCAGCACGAGGCGTTGCAGCCAGACCCGTTGCGACTGACTGACATTTCGGCAACCAACACCCTGGCCGAGGTGCTCGTGTGGCGCACGCAGTTCCAGGCCAAGAAGGTTTGCTTATCCGAGTTTGACGTCCGTGGCAAGCTGGCTGGCAAGATTACGTTCGCCGGCCTGCTGGATCGCGCCCGGCGCGTGAGCGACCTGCTTTTCAACCGACTCGAGCTGACTGTGGGGACGCGGGTTGCGCTCGTCTTTCGCCCTTCGGACGTCATTGACTTTGCTGCGGCCTTGTTTGGCTGCTTGTATTGCGGCGTGGTTGCAGTGCCTGTTCGTCCGCCGACCAAAGTTGACGACGCTGCAGCCACCCAATCTGGCTTTTTGCTGAACAGCTGCGGAGTCAAGTTCATCCTCACCAACGAAGTCACGCGCCGCGCGCTGCCGAAAGATAATAGCGGGCGCATCGCCAAGATGAAAGGATGGCCGCTGGTCGAATGGGTCAACACGGAAGCTCTCGGCAAAGTTCCCGCCAAGCGTGTCACTGAGCCCTTCCGGCTGCCTCCAGCGGCCACGGCCATCATTGAAAGCGCGTTCATTGCCTCTACCGGCGAGGTTAAGCCTGTTGTTGTCACGCACAAGTCTCTGCTATTCCATCTGTTTGCCCTGATGAAGGCGGCGCAGTACACATCGTCCTCGGTTGTTCTCAGCTTGCTCGACCCGCAGGTCGGCGTCGGCTTGCACCATGCGACCCTGATGGCGGTGTTTGCGTGCTTCCACTATGTGAGCCTGCCCTTTGCCACGTTTACTGAAACGCCCATGCATTTGTGGAAGAATGTCACCAAGCTCAAGGCGACTGTCATCCTGTGTACCTATCCTGCCCTGGCCTTCAGCGCGTCTCGGGTGACTGACAAGGAGCGTCGGTCCATCAAACTCGACTCTCTTCGGCAGATTGTCATCGATACGGAGCGCACGTCGCCGGATTTGTCGCGCAAGTTCTGCGACAAGTTCCAGGTCTTCCCGGCCATCATTTCGACCACCTTCTATACGCCTGAATCGCTGACTGCGGCCTGTCGCTCGCCGTTGTCGCCGCCCGTGTTTTTGCATTTGGACCTCAAGGCGTTGGGACACGAAGTTGTGCGCGTAGTGCCGGCTGGTTCCAAAGGCGCCGTGTTTGTGCAAGACTCCGGCCTCGTTCTGCCACACACGCGCGTGTGCATTTGCACCGTCGAGGAGCAACCCAAGCTGTGCCAAGAGGATCAGGTCGGTGAAATTTGCATCTCGGGTGTCACAACGGGCACCTCGTACTACGGGCTCGAAGGCCGCTCGGAAAAGTTCTTCCGCCTGCGTCCGCAACGCCCAAGCGGCCAGCCTGTGGACAATGAAGATTATGTTCGGACTGGTTGGGTTTTGTCCAGCAGGGGCGTCTCTTTGTCACGGGCAGCGCTGCAGCGCAAATCGCTGCCGGCGACGGCGCTGTGCAAATCAACACGCAAGATATCCGGGAGTTGGTGCAGAGCGCGCAGCCGCCGATTGTCTTGAACGACCAAATTACCGTGTTTGCGACCGATCTGTTGGATGAGGAACGCATCATTGTCGTGCTCGAGACGTCTCGTCCTGCCAACGATCAGCTGAGCACTTGGGCGCAGACTGTCTTCCGCCAAGTCGAGGAGGCGTCCGGCACATCCATTTATACCATTTGCTTTTGCAAGCCGGGCACGCTGCCGATGGAAGGCACGAACGTTAGCGAGTTTTCGACCAAGAAACTCTACTTGAATGGCACTCTCAACCCGATCATGGTCACCATCAACATGAACGGTGTGACCAATCTCCCGAGTGGCGCAGCACAACAGCACGACGCCGCGCGCGCGATGGCCGATGCCATCACCGGCACACAGCTGGCTGAGATTGGCAGCCAGGAGGACAGCTCGTTGGCCATCGACGACGCCACGCTTACTTCTCTCGACAACTTCCAGACCATTGCCGAACTGTTGCGTTGGCGCGCGCTCGAAACACCTCAGAGTCCCATGTACACCGTGTTGGATGAAGACACGGGCAAAGAATCTCAGTCCATCACCTGCGCCAAGCTGCACAAGATGGCTCTCTCGATCGCCCACTTTATGATTGACAAGATGCAGGTCAACGCTGGCGACGCTGTCGGCATTCTTCTGCCCCACTCGCCTGCGTTTTCCGCCGCCATTTTTGCGTGCATGTACGTCGGCGCAGTCGCCGTTCCTATGCGTCCTCCCCATTCGTCCAGTTTGCGCTATGCGATTCCAACGCTTCGTACCATTGCCCAAATGAGTGCAGCACGCACAATTCTCACCAACGGCGCGATTCACAAGCTCCTTCGCTCCAAGGAAGCAGGACTCGAAAAAGTAACGAGCTTCCCGTCCGCCTTCTCCATTGATGACATGTCCAAGAAAAAGGAGGAGCTGACCCACTACTACCGTCCGCCCACGAACGAAATGCTCGCCGTTCTCGAGTTTAACATTTCGACCACTGGCTTGCTGGCAGGTGTGCGTATTTCTCACGACACGATTCTCTCCCATTGCCGCGCACAGAAGGTACATCACCAGTACCACGCGGGTGCGCCGGTTGTGTGTGCCATCGAGCCGTACACTGGTGTGGGCTTGATTTATTGGACATTCCTGAACGTCTACGCCTGCCACATGAACATTGGGGTGCCGGTCGACCAAGCCGTTCGAAACGCTCCGCTCTTCTTCTCAACCATTTCCCTGTTCAAGGCCAAAACTGCGCTCGCGAGCTTCCCTGTTTTGAGCGTGTGTCTCGATGAGCTCACCAGCAAGTCTGCCGCAGATCGCCTGAAGGACATTGATCTTTCGCACTTGGTGCGCTTGCTCGTGGACTGTCACGAGCGACCGCGCGCCAACTTGCATGGGCTCTTCGGTGCCGCATTTGTCAACCTGGGCATCAATGCCTCGGTGATTGACTCTGTCTTTGGTTCGGACGTCAACGCGTTGATTGCGATGCGTCCACGCGCCTCCAAAGAACCCACCGCGTGCTACCTTGATCTCGCCTCGCTGCGCAAGGATCGTGTCGACTTGGTCGAACGAGGCTCGCCAAACTCCGTGTGCATTTACTCTGTGGGCAAGCCTTTGTCGCGCATCCATCTGGCCATCGTCAACCCGGAAACCGGTCGGATGTGCACCCAAAAGCAAATTGGCGAAATTTTCGTGTCCAGTCCCCAGAACAACCGCGGCTACTATGGCCTCGAGGCTTCCCTCAACGACGCGACCACAGCCGAGACTTTCCAGGCGCGGCTTCCGGGCACGTCCAACTACTTTGCCAAGACTGGCTTCTACGGCTACGTCTACGACGGCGAAGTCTTTGTTGTTGGCGACATGGATGAGTCGATCGTGGTGAATGGTCTTCGTCACTATCCTGGCGATATTGAACAAAGCGTCGAAAAGAGCTCCAAGAAAATTGGTTTGGATGGCAGGTGGGTACCAAAGGCAACGAGCTGTTTTTTTTTGTTGGGTTGTTGTCGTTGTGGTTGTCGTTGTCGTTGTGTGCAAGTCTGTTTGTGTTTTGCTCTGACGATCCATGTTCTTTGGGGGTGTGCAATTGTCTGACTTTTCTGTTTGGACGTGTGTCTTGCTCGCTCTCAAATCAGTGCTGTATTCCTGTCGGAAGGCTTGCTGGTGGTCGTCGTCGAAGTTGGCGAACCTGCCGAAATCATGAATTTGCTCTCCCTTGTCACCAACACCGTCCTTTCGGATCATGGAGTCATTGCTCACGTCATTGCGTTCGTGCATCCTGGCACCATCCCCAAGAACGCCCGCGGCCAGAAGCAACGCGTTCGTCTTCGAGACGGGTTTATCCGCAACACATTCCAACCGCTCCATATCTCTTACAATGTTGTGGAGTAACTTTTTTTCCCCCCGCCTCCCGCCGTCTTTGGTCACCAGCTGTTGTTTTGTTTTGTAGGTGTTTGTGCTTTCGCTTGCTTGTTCGATTTGTGATTTTTTTCTTCTGCGAAACCATGTAGTTTACACCTGTTGCTGTAATTGACTCGACAGATATTTTTTTCTTTTTTTGGTTTTTGGTTTTTGGTTTTTGATGACAATTGCCAGTGCCCGCATGGTCGTGTTGCGCTTAACATGTATTTCGGCGATACAAAGAGAGATGATACAGAACGCACAACCCCGTGACACGCAGACAGACAGGCACGGAGGGCGGCGGAGAAGGGGGAAAAACACTAGTACTTCTTTTTGGACTTGGCTTTGGGCTTGGGCTTGGACTTGGCTTGTTGGCATTGCGGACGGAGACAGGTCCAGTCGTCTCGCTCGAAATCGTATGCACGAATACAGGGAACATGGTACCAGTACCCGCACGACTCACAAGCAATCATGTCACCGTCGCCTCGGCCACAGACGCAAACTGAGTTATCTATGGTGAAAACGGCTGTGGGGTTGTCTTGGCCTGGGCCTGCCGGCACCCAGATGATATCGCGAGAGAACAACGCTGCATTGGCAGCGTCTCTGGCTTTATTCAGTGCAGCATGATAGCTTTCTGGTGTAACCGAAACAGAGTTTACGTCTGTTGAGACTACAATTGAGCCAGGCGGAGGTGCTTGCTGCTGCAATTGGTGCCCTTTCAGGATTTGGTGCTGGATATCAAGTGCACTCTGTTGGAAGGGCTGTCCCGGTAAATTCAATCCTTGCGTCAGTGCTGGTGGGGCTTGTGGAGCCGATGGACGCATTTTCAGCAGCGCTTCCGCCTGTTGCTGGAGAATTTGTTCACGAGCCGCTTGCTCTTGGCGTTGTCGTTGGAGCTCTTGCTCTTGCAGAAGCTTCTGCTGTTGAAGCAGCCTCTGCTGTTGCTGTTCTTTCAGTTGCTGTTCTTTCAGTTGCTGTTCTTTCAGTTGCTGAGCCTTCAGTTGCTGAGCCTTTAATTGCTGTTCTATGAGTTGCTGTTCTTTGAGTTGCTGTTCTTTCAGAAGCTGCAGTTGGTGTTGCTGCTGCTGCTGTTGCTGTTGTTGTTGTAGTTGCTGCTGTTGTTGCAGCTGTAGCAATTGAAGCTGCGGTTCGGATTGTGATTGCTGTGGCGGTTGTGGCGGTTGAGACTTCAGGCTGATCTTGAGAGACGGCAACCCAGTCGTTTTTCCAAGAAGTTGCGGCGGGGCTGTGGCTTGCTGGACGGAAAGCAGCGGTGCAGTGGCAAGCGACGAATTGACAAGGGGCAGCGAAGGATTTGCAGTCGGCTCGGGCTCTTTGAGTCGTTTGAGTTTCAAAATCGGAGTGTTGGGCTGCTGCGCGGGCTCGGAACCGCGTTGAGTTGGCTCGACCGCACGGCTGATGAGAGTTAGCTTGTGGGGCACAGCAACTTGAGGAGCATCGTCGACATTGACCGCGTCGTGTTCGCGACTGTGCCGTTCCTTGTCTCTCTTTTCCTTTTTTTCCTTCTTTTCCTTCTTTTCTTTCTTTTCCTTCTTTTCCTTCTTTTCCTTCTTTTCTTTCTTTTCCTTCTTTTCCTTTTTTTCTTTCTTGTCCTTCTTGTCCTTCTTTTCCTTCTTCTTGCGTTCGTGGTCGGTCTGGGAAGGGGGCGCGACGAAAAGCTTGGTTATGTCGCCAGGTGCTGTCGTCGCGGGCTGCGTCCAGGAGGATGCGCTGCCGTCGTACATGCCGTTGCTGTTGCTGTTCTCAATCAGCAGCCCAGGGCCGGCGTTTGCTTGGAACTTGACAAAGTCCATGTCCGTGTCCATGGCAAATCCTCTCATGATGGCATCGCCATGCGAAATCGCGGGCACGCCAGCAGCGAAATCGCCGCCGAGAATGTCTTCCAGGGAAAAGGCGGGTTCGGAGGGCCCAGGAGCCGAGCTGGATGTCGTCGCCAGATGCGAAGAAACGGCTGTTGTTGCTGCTGCACCCGCCGCACGACGCGCTGTTGGTGCCGAGGCACTCATCATCGGGGTGGCGGCTGTGACGGCGACGGAGCTGGCAGTGAACGCGCCATGGCCGCCGCCGCCGACGGGCAACGAGCGCAAGTAGTGACCCGGAACAATGGCCACTGGCTCCGAGAAGGTGGCACCGAACGTGGCCTCCGCCATTCCAGAGACTCCAATCCCGCTGTCGAGCAGCGCACCAGTGTTGAATCGCCCAGAGCGAGAAACAACACGCAGCGAGTGATCGTCCATTGTGTTGAGCACATCCAAAACCACCACATTCTTTTCAATCACAAACTGGGGTTTGCGCGGGGGGACGACCACGCTGGCCGTCGATTCTGGAACAACCTGTGCAGCAGAGTTGGTGCGATCAGAAGCCACGGCTGCAGGATGTCGTCGAACACGAACAAATGAGGTCGCTGCTGCAGTGGCAGCGTCTGGGAGTGATGGCACTGCCGCCGTGCTCAAGGCGGGAGCGCCGCCGTTGGCTTCCGAGCTGCTGTCAGCAGCAGTGGCCAGCGTAGTCCCAGCGGCAGATACGGCCGCTCCTACAGCAAGCGATGCTTCCACCGCGCGTCGCGTCTTCTCGTCATCGTCACGAATCGCTTGCGCGGCTTCTTCTTGCTCGCGTGCCTGCTGGTCGGCGGCCGCTTTCTCTTGATCTCTGCGATGCTGCTCTCGCTCAGACACACCCATCGTCGCAAACCCAGCAGGAAAGGGAGGCAGGAATGACGGGATGAAGCTCCATCGCGCGGACGCCGCCGTCGTCGGTGGAGAGACTCTGTCTTCTGGGTCGCTCGTTTCGCGATCGCCTCGGTCATCATCAAGCAGCTGCCAAGCGTCGCCTGACTCGTGCGATTTGGAGACCGCTGCCACAGCTGCAGCTGCATCTCCGCTTGGCACACGTCGATCGATTCGAGCGTCTTGGCTCGCATGCATGGCGGTGGCGGCAGAATCAGAGGCAACGACAGCATCCGCCAAACTCGAACTACCAGTCCCGAGCAAGCCCGACGGCAGTTGGTCTCCTTGTGTTGCTGCAGCAGCAGCAGCAGCAGCAGCAGCATGATGATGATGTTCAAACTTGGCATCCTCCTTTGCCGCAAAGATTGGAGCGGGCGCTTGTTGCTTGTTGTCGAGGCCAACCGCCAATGACATTGGCTGCGCGGCCACCTGCGGCTTGCTCACGCGCTGCCTTAGCCTGCGCACACGATGGGGAATACGCAGTGGCTCGTGGCTGTCGTTGATGTGCTGGTAGATGCTTGCGGCGCCCAAGCCAACCTCGTTCAGCGCAATCCGCAAATCCCAAAAGTTGCCTTCGCTTCGGCCCGCTGTGTGCATGTCGTAGTTGTTGTTGTTGTTGTTGGTTTGATGCATCAAGCATGGAGATGATGACAGAGGCGGGTGAGGAATCAGCACAAGCGAGGCAGCAACAAGAAAGCACAGATCTCAGTCGGTTTCCCGCCATCATCAGACAAGACGGCAATGCACTGCGCCTTGCGATCTCATCAGTGGTATGCGTGTGGTATGTGTGTTTGTGTGTTGGAAGGAGGAGTGAAGTGGGGGGGGGAGTTGGTTACCATGAGTGGCGTAGCTTGCAGCAGCGCGGCCGAGCGACTCGATCAGCGCGGCGCAGACATCCGTGAGCGTCTCGCATGCAGCAGGGCGTGCGGTGGCGAGGTTGGCACGCGTGAGGAGCGCCTGGGCAGCGACGCTGCGGAGAACACTCCGCGCATGCTCGGCTGTGCTCATACGAAAGGTAAAGGGAAAGGGAAAGAGGAAAAAAAAAAAAAAAAAAAAAAAAGTAGACTGAAAGCAATATTGATCCAGATATTGAAATAATCGGACGTTCGGTTCACTGAGTTCAGTTCAAACGAGAACAGCACAACACAGAACAGACAGTCAAACGCGCCGAGAATCACAAAATCGTGACTGCTTTGACATCAAGTGCTAGATCTAGCCACACAGACAGCACATCCAGACAGACAGACGAACAAGTGGGTGATTGCATGTTCGGGTTGTTTGATCGAATGATTATGATGATGATGATGATGCTGGTGCTTGAGAGATGATGTCCATCATGCTCCCCTCAGTCTTTGTCCTTGTTTTAGCATCTGCTCTGAGCAACTCACTTTCAACAACGAAACACCTCAAACCTAGCCATGTCCGTCCAGTGCACGCAGCGGCTTCAGAAGGAGTACCGGATGATCCTGAAGGACCCGGTGCCGTACATTCGCGCGGTGCCGCGGACATCCAACATTCTCGAGTGGCACTATGTCATCACCGGGCCAGAGAACTCGCCCTACCACAACGGACTGTACCACGGCAAGCTCGTCTTCCCAAAGGACTACCCGTTCAAGCCACCCGCCATCTCCATGTTCACCCCCAGCGGTCGCTTCCAGACCAACACAAGGTGAGTGAGTGGCCAGAGCTCTGGCCAGGCCAGGTCGAGTCTGTAGATTTTGCCAACGTCACTCGCCGTAGCCGAGAAAGAGTCCGAGAGACCAAGAAGGTTGACGCGCTTGTCGGCGGCCACATCGGCAGGAACAGGCTGAGAGAATGTTGGTTGTCTGTGGCTCATGTGCGGCTGCGTGCATGGCGGGGGGGGGGGAAGGGAGCCAAGAGCCAAGAGCCAAGAGCCACGAGACCGTGACCCCCCCCCCTACTTCCCCCGAACTCCCTGCCCGCTTCGATTCGATGCCTGCACCCAATTGATCCCTTGTCGAGCACAATTAAATGGAGGCGGGGGTCGGCCGTTGTATTCGTTTTACAGGACATACAATTCGCCTTCCACCCGATCGCCGAACTGGGATTGCTGACTCACAGCATGTATGTCTGTCTGATTGCCTCAGACTCTGCCTATCGATGAGCGACTTTCATCCAGAGCTGTTCAATCCTGCTTGGTCTGTTGCAAGCATCCTCACAGGTTTGCTCTCGTTCATGGTGAGTTTCCATTTCGTTCTTGTTATTTGTTCGTAGCGGATTTCTTTGACACCGGGGGACGAGGGGAGCACCGCTACCTCGTGCTAACACTACCATGCGTGATGGCTTGGTGGCGGATTGGGTCACTGTTGACAGCTGGAAAGCACTCCCACGACCGGCTCAATCGAGTCGAGCGATGAGACCAAACGACAGCTCGCGCTGGAAAGTGCGGCTGTCAATCTCAAGCAGCCCTTGTTTTGCGAGCTCTTCCCAGAACTAGTAGAAGAGATCAAGGCCAAGGCAGCAGCAGCTGCTGCTGCTGCCGAGACCTCGTCCTCCTCTTCATCCGCGCCTTCGACGGAGAATCCAGCCAACAATGCTCCTGCTTCGCCTGACAACAAGCCAGTGGCTGCGGGAGCTGGAGCTGCCAGTCCTGCACGGAAAAATAACCGATCAGCAAAGCACGATCCCCCGACATTTCTGAGCAATGCCGTGGCGGCGATGCTGATTGGTGTTTTTGCGGCAATCGTTTACTGTGTCCTCCAGACTTCTGTGTGATGGGCACTGTCATGTTGAGCTGTTTGTGTTTGCCGGTTTTGTCGATACGTTTCATGTGAATACACATCTCGAAAGTGAGGGGAGGGACAAACGAGCGCACTAATTTTGTTTTTCGCGACTTTTTCCCCCAGCTCTTGAGAACCAATAATGGAATCTTTGACAATAGAAAATCAACCAAAGGCAGGGAAAAAAAAAAAAAAGGACAAAACACTTCGCAATCACTACTGTCTTGCAGACACCTCAATTGAAAGGGAAAGGCTAGCTGGCTCTCGCGCTGGAGGTGGAACGTACTCTCGGCTGTGCACAAGCACGTCCATGAAGCTGTCGATTTCAAAGCTCTTGCCGGTAATGACATCCATCAATCGAAGGCCGCTGACGCGTTGCAAGCCAGGTACAGCCGGGAAAAACTCGAGCGGAATGATTTTGCTCGCTTCAGGGAAAAGCTCGCCAAGTGACTGCGGATTAGCGATAAAAGTGAGCTGAACCCTTCAACTTTGTCAGCAATAGAGTGGCACCTTTCGATTATTCTTGTCTCATACCTGCCCTGAAACGCCGGCGGCCAGCACGCCAGTCATACGGCTTTTAACAGCAAACAGTCGTAAAGACATTTTATGCTCGCTGCATACATCAAAGGCCAGGGGTGGGAAGAGGAGTGTGGGGGGGGGGGAAGGGAAAGGGAAAAAGAACGAAGCCAGAGTAAGAGGTCAAATCAACCGAGAAGAAAAAACAAAAAAAAAAAAAACAACAACCAAAATAAACAAACAAACAAACAACCAAACAAACAAAACACCCCGAACTGCCTGCCTTCAAGCATTGGACAGGGGCTATCTCACCTGTAATTTGTAATCCGGCATTGCACGGTGAATGGGACTTCGAGCACGACATTGTCTGGAACCTCTACAACTGTGACGGCCAATTCCGTCAGAGCAGGCAACTGCGTTTTCAAGCGCAAGGGTGGGTGAGTGAATGCGCATTGTGGCACGCGAGACCAACAACGACGACAGTCGGCACGCAAAAACGGCCCCATACTTTGCGAGGAAGTTGGCTCGTTTGCAGCCGGCCCACTTCACCCATGTTTGTCTTCCAGAGAATATCCATCTTGCCAATCTTGTCAGCAGCCTAACGTGGGTCAAGTGCGCCATGTCAGTAAATTTCACACAGAAGACTCTTTGCAAGCAATGTTTGTTTGTTTGTTTGTTTGTTTATTTTTTCTTCTTTCTTGGTGGAAACTTACCCGAGCGGTCTTGTCGCCTTTGACTTTGGGTGACAACCGATACAGATATTGCCGGATGTCTTGTGGATTGACGTGATAGGCAAGCCCAAACGTTGTGGCCGGGCTCGCTTTTAAGCTGCAAAAAAAAAAAAAAAAACAAAAAAAAACCGTTCGAATCACAAAGTGAGTGACTGGAGAAACGAGCAAATCTGAGGCAAGCGGAATCCGAAAAGAAACACTCTTACCCGGCCTGATTGGTCGAGGACGAAGACGCCGAAGCGGCCGAAGACAGCACATTCAGGTCTTGAAAGTCAAACTGCGGCATTGCCTCAAACTTGACTGCCTCAATGTACATTGGTGCAGGTGTAATGTTCTGCACCTGTGCCTCCAAGAATATGTCGTCCTACGTGTCGATTTAAGTTTGAAAGTGCGTTCGACAACAGTGTGAGACGATGCTTGGTCGCTGGTAGAGCAAGAAAACAAACAAACAAACAACAACAACAACAACAACAACAACAACAACAACAACAACAACAAAAAAAAAAAAAAAACAGCAAAAGAAAAGTCAAGTCAACCCCAACTACCTCGACGTTGTACACCTTGGTCTTGACCGCCAACGGATGGAGAACGTTGAACTTGAAGAACTTGCGAAAGATCTTTCGTTCGTCATCAGCAGTCATGTAGCTGACAGAGCAAACAAGACTACAGAGCAGTCGCATCGAGTTGAGCGGCCGATTCTGGTTGTGCTTGATACACCCCACTCAAGCCACGGGAATCCATCCACTTACATGTGCACACCGAGCTCCTTCACTTCGTGATGAACGACAACATCCACGCTGGCGCCAGGTGACAACTCTTTGTCGGATGGCGCCAAATCCGACAGCGGAACGCGCTGCGAGGTGGTTTGCAGCTCGGCCTTGACGGCAACGTCGCGAATACGCATGTTGCTGTCGTTGTGCACACTAATGTAGCTTGAAAACGTCTCTCCCAAGAAAATGTTTCTGCATCAAGTGGGGCCGAGATGGAGAGCAAAACGCAACGCAGACACAAGGGCTGGTGAGAGCTGCACAAGCCCGCGGGCACCATCATCATCAAACACACACGACCACGGACGTCGTTTGGGCGCATTCAATTTCTGTACCCGAAGTTCTGCGGCAGCATGAGGAAGGAGCTGAGCGAGAAGAGCTCGGGCTGGCCAGCCGTGCTGACATCGGCCGTCTGGACTTCCTGCAGCACCGAGCCTGACGAAGCGCGGAGAGCAGCGCATCACAAGCGCAAAACAACAACCAAGCAAAACAAGTGTCCCATTCAGGGAGAGTGAGCCTCAGACCAATGCGATCCCAGTCGACGCGAAATGAGCGCAGCGTTACCGGCAAAGTCGGACGGCTCGCTCACGATGGGCTGGCCGATGACGAGGGTTGGCTTCGACAGCCGCATCACTGTGGTTGTGGAATCGAGCAGCCGGGTGGGGGGTGGGGTGGAAGGGGCGGGGCGGGAAACGGAAATGGCGTTTTGGAAGGAGAGTCGAGAAACAGTTAGATAAAGTAACGGGAAATCGAGGTTTAAGCCGTCAATTTGGATACGTTGCAAGCTCACCTTTGAGTACCAAATAGTGGACTTCTTTCGATCCGTCCGCCATTGTGAATTCTGAAATGCAATTGGAAGAGTGGAACGCTATCAGAGGTCTCAGAGGTCTCGAATAACTCGAATAACAAGGAACAAAAAAGAATAAAGACCAAGCTCCATACGGGGAATCATTGCATTTTCGAACAACTCAAACACACCAAGCTCACAGAGACAACAAGGTCACTTGCAACGCTCAATCGTCGCTACAATACATGCCGATTTGTAGTCCCCCCTCCCCCCCAAAAAAAACGACAATCTGCTGCTTGACGGCTTTAGTTTGCTGCCGCTTTCGAAGCCAGCCAGGCGTTAACAGTGGCGACTTGAGCTGAAACGGCCTCTTTGCTCGTACCACCCGCCGCAGTGTACTGCTCAACGCTGCTCTCAAAGCTCCAGACCTTGAGTACATCTTCCGTCTCAAAGACGCTCGAGATCGTGCCGAGCTGAGTTGGCGTGAGCTTGGCGAGCGAAACTCCGAGCTGCTCTGCCAAGCCAACGCATCGGCCTGAGAGGGCGTGGGCTTCGCGGAACGGAACCTGGTGTCGTAGTCAACATGCAGAACAGGTGCAATGAAGAAATTGAGTCATCTTGATTCGATGGACAAAAAGAAAAAGAAGAAGAAGAAGAAAAAAATAAAAACCAAAGAACCTCACCCCTTTCCGAACGGCAAAGTAGGCCAGATCAGTCGCCAGCATGTCGTGCGTCAAGGCCCGCAGCATCTTTTCGGGGTGGATCTGTAGGTGAGATGATGGATGTTGTGGAGGAGGGGCATAGGTTCGAATGAGAAGCGGGAAAAAGTGAGAAAAGCGCTCCGTGCGACCAACTAATCTCAACCATCCCTTACCTTGAGCGTTGCCAAAACGCCGTTTGCCACAGCAAGCACACCACGCATGGTATCAACAGTGTCGAAGAGGGGCTCTTTGTCCTCTTGCAAATCCTTGTTGTACGTGCTCGGCAAACCTTTCAGCGTCATGACCAGGCCGCTCAACGAGCCAAACACGCGGCCACTCTTGCCACGAATCAGCTCGAGGCTGTCGGGATTCTTCTTTTGCGGCATGAGACTCGATCCAGTGCTGTATTGCGAGAAGTGAGATTCAAAAGAAAAAAAAACCGTGAGTTTTCCAGATGCGAGGATAGTGCTGTTGCTTGTTGTTGTTGTTGTTGGTGTTGGTGGTGGTGGTGGTGGTGGTGGTGGTGGTGGTGCGTGAGGACTGACCTGTAGGCGTCGGAAAGAGTGACAAATCCAAACTCTTTGGTGCTGTAAATGATCAAATCCTCGCTCCACTTGCTCAGGTGGGTCATGGTCATGGTTGCCCAGAAAAGAAACTCGGCAATGAAGTCGCGCTCGCTCGTGCCGTCAAGACTGTTGAGGGTGGCGCCTGAGGTAAACCCAAGATCGACAGCAAGGGCAGCGCGATCGATGCCGAATGGATGCCCCGCAAGGGCACCGCTACCCAGGGGCAAAACCAACACGCGCTGACGGATTTGTTCCAGGCGCTCGTGGTCGCGCAAAAAGCCGGCCACATGGCTCATAATCCAGTGGCTCCAGCGGATGGGCTGAGCGCGCTGCAAGTGCGTGAATCCAGGCATCAGGACGTCCAACTCGGAAGCGGCGCGGCGCACCGACACGGCAATCAGCTCGCGCAGCAACGTGAGCAAGGCGCCAATTTCGTTTGCCAGCCAGAGACGAACATCCGTGGCGACCTGATCGTTTCTGCTGCGACCAGTGTGCAGCTTGAGCGCCGGAGCACCGATGAGCTCCTTCAGCCTGCGCTCGTTGGCCGTGTGAATGTCCTCGTCTGACGGTTGGATGGCGAATGTTCCGCTCGTCCACTCCTTGTCAATCTGAGCATTTGAACAAGACAAAAACAAACAACCAACCAAACAAACACAAACAAAAGGGTGATCAATGCAACCACCAAAACCATAAAGCTGATTGCTTGTGTCTGACATCACGAGCAGCACAGCACACGGCACATGTTGTTGTTGTTTGTCATTTACCTCCGACAGCCCGGTGACAATGGCGTTGCACTCGTCCGCGGTGAGCAGGCCAATCTTGGAGATTGCTCGCGCGTACGCCTGTCGTGATTTTCCAAGTGGCATCCGCAAAAATGTCAGAACAATGGTTTCGTGACGACAAATGGATTGAGAATGTTGCGTGATGCAGCAATAGAAGGAGGGGACGGCGAGTGGTTGAGGTGAGGCGGCGACGGATAGCGATAACAGATTCTTGTTATCACCCGTCCATTGAGGTACTGCACAGCAGCTCTCTCTCTCTCTCTCTCTCTCTCTCTCTCTCTCTCTCTCTCTCTCTCTCTCTCTCTCTCTCTCTCTCTCTCTCTCTATTTCTCTCTCTCGTCGCCTCAGCTTGCAAAATCGCCCCCCAGCCATTGAAGTGAATCAAGGACAGGCTCAAAGATCGACTTGGATGGACCTGACGTGGCTTGGCTTGGCTTGGCTTGGATGAGCATTGTGCGTCAATCTGTCCTTTCGTCCGTTCCCTCGCCAAGTCACCGTCGCCGGAGGATGCAGGGAGAGAGGGGGAGAGGGGGCTGTGGGTGGCTTCTGTCGCTTACTTGACTGCCGCGAATGTCAGCGTGGCACAGACGCTTGTCAAACCCGATCGACGCGTTGAAGGCCTCCATGATCGGATCCGTTGCGCCAGTGAAGCGGCCGCCCCACAGCTTGGAGCCCTCGGCAGCAGAAGACATTTTTTTTGTTTGTTTTGTTTTTGTTTTTGTTTTGTTTTCGTATAAAATGATGAGTGAGGAGGAATAGAAGAGATAAAGTAAAACAGGAACAACAACAACATGAGCACGAGAAGGACTTGATCCGCAACATGTTCAGGGCTGCCGTGTCGTCTGGTGAACTGGTGAGGCGCCGACCGACCAACCCAGCTACAGTACTTCGTGATTCACCTTTGAAACGAGCCATTCAACGCAGCATTCAGCGCAGAGTGTTATTACGCCGCGGTGTCGTCTGGCGAGGCGCCGATCAACCCAGGTACTTGTTGCTCCAGCTGTGCGCCGAATTCTCAGCAAAACAAGACAGTCTAATTGCACAAATACACCAACAGCATTTCAAATAGTAGCATTTCAAAAGCAGCATTCATCCTGCAAGCTGCAAGGCCAGAACCACAAACAAAACAAACAAAAAAATCACCGTTCGCACACATCCATCTACTTGCGCTCGGCAACCAGCTTGTGTTCGAGCACACTGGCAGCCATCTCGTTCAAAGTCTGGTTTTCGTCTCGGAACTCAATGTTGAGCTCGCGACGGATTTTGGAGTTGTCGAGAATCAGCGGAACGCCAACGTTGCGGCTAATGTACTTCCACGACAGCCCACCGAGAATGGGACCCACAAGGTAGATGAGGAACTTTGGCAGCTGGGTGGAGGGCAGAGGGTACTTGCCATAGTTGTCGCGCAGCGCGTTGGCCAACTGCAGCATCGTCATCGTCTTGTTGCAGCAAATGTAGCGACCGCTGGCCGCCGGGTTGAACGCAGCCTCAATGTGAGCGCGAGCAACGTCGCGAACGTCAACAATACCAAGGCCGAGGTTTGGCACACCCGACTTGCGAGTGCCGTCCAGGTAGTTGATCATGAAGGAGATGGAGCTCGAGTCGTTTCGTCCGCTCAAAGTAGGGCCCAGCACGAACGAAGGGTTGATCACAACGAGCTGCCAGCGGGTTTGTTGTCCGACCATCATCCACGCCTCGCGCTAAAGCAAATGAAGAACAAAACAAAAATAAGGAAAGTGTCGTTTGTCTGTTTTTGTTTTGACAAGCCCCAACTGTCTGGGACTGAGCAAGAACGCTCTGCAAGCTGCCACTTATGCGGGTATCGCTGGAGCCCTGGTTCCCAAACGACCACCAGTCGAAGCAGGGGAGAAGGGAGAGGAGCATTGAGAGGAAAAAAACCAGACAAGGGCAACCTCCACCATTCCCCATCAGACAAACCAAAAGCTTTGGTTTCATTTTCAGATTTGGCGACACGATCTGCCGCCTCGCCTCCTTCCCCCCCCCCCCAAAGAATGTTCCCAAAACAGGGTTGCCTGCCTTCCTTTTGCATTCCGCCATAGCTCAAAATTCGTTCAAATTCGTCCAAATTCGTTCAAATTCGTTCAAATTCGTTCAAAATCGCCCACAGTACAGAGCTCAGACTCTAGCCGACCCGTCGAGCCAAGTGGGGAAGATTTGAGTGTTTTGGCATTCGACAAGCTTACCTCGGCAATGGTCTTGCTGTAGCCGTACGGCTGGTGCTCGATCGAGCTCGATTCATTCCAGTCGCTCTCGGTGAATGTGTGGCCGCCCTTGCACCCTTCCGAGCGGTCTGCAAAGTCGCCGTGCACGGCCATCTGCGACGAGGTGAGCACGACGCGCTTGACAGTGGGCGCGCGGTTGACGGCCTCGAGCACATTCCGCGTGCCCATCAGCGCAGGGTCGATGACGTCGCGCTGCGGATCCTTGATCTTGTCCGACAGCAGGAATGGCGACGCCATGTGCAGCACGATATCCGAGTCTGCAGAAGCAATGCACGAGTTTCGACATCCAAGCGCAGTGTTTCAGGTCAGTCCGTCGGTCAGTCACAGCCACAGTCACACAGTCGTCGTTGGAGTTCCAATTGCTCAAGAATGCATGCAGCCGTTTCGTACCGTCCATCGCACCCCCCCCCACCAACATCTCATTCGCTCCATCCAAGCAGAAACAAGGAACAAAGTCCCTTGGGGGTGGAGATGGCGGTCTTTCCTGAGCCTGCGGAAACGGCGAAAATCCCGCATGCCAAAATCCAAAACCAAAACCAAATCCAAGATCAAAAAAAAAAAAAAAAAAAAATTCCGCCCAAAAACCCGTTCACCGAATCTCCGCACAGCCGACCGAAGAAGGAACGGGACAATAAAAATTCAAAATAATAATAATAATAATAATAATAATAGTACAACAACCAAAGGTAGGTAGAAACAAAGCGCAGTGAGAGCTGTGGAGGGTCGCGTGCGGAAGATTTGCGCTTTATCCCGTTCTCAATCCTCCAAGCAAAACCAAGCAAAAGAGAACGCCAAGCATGGAGCAACTTCCTCGCTCCATGGAAAAAGCAATCAGCCACTCACTCACCCTTGATGGCAGTGTCAAAGGAGCCGGCTTTCATGAGATCGGCCTCAAACAGCTCGAGCCGCTCAGAAGCGCCTTCCAGCCGCTTGAGGAAGCCAACCTTGGCCTCGTCAGTCGTTGAGCGCACCGTGCCGCGCACTTTGACGTCGCCGCGCAAAAGCAGCTGCTGCACGACATGCGAAGCAATATAGCCGCCGGCGCCAGTCACCACAACTGTCTGCATTGGTAGTATTTGACGAGGAGGAGGAGGAGGAGTGGGGTTGAAATGGAAGAGTGAGCCTCCGCTTTTGGGAGATTTGGTTGTTTTTCAATTTCCACAGTGAATTTCGACTGCGGAGTGTAGCTCGCTTCTCTCTCTCTCTCTCTCTCTCTCTCTCTCTCTCTCTCTCTCTCTCTCTCTCTCTCTCTCTGCGCGCACCTTTGCAGAAGATTGGTTGATCAGGAATGGCAAGCAACCGATGGATGGTCAATCCTCCTTTTTTTTTTTTCTTTTTCTTCTTTTTTTTTTTTTTTTTTTTTTTTTTTTTTTTTTTTTTCCTTGGACTTTCCGAATGGCTGGTCTGCAGCAGCAAACACCATTGCAGCCAACCACCGTTCGGTTCAATCCGGCAGTCGACCTCGCCACCCTCCAGACGTAAGCCTTGTGCAACCCGCTGACACTTGCCTTCTTCCCTCAGCCAACCCCCCCTCCCTGAGGGTTTGATGCTGATGGTGGTGCTGCCTATGATTCTTTTGATTTTCCCGCGCTTTTTGAATCTCCCGCTTCTTTTTTTTTTTTTTTTTTTCTCTTTTTTTCTCTTTTTTTCTCTTTTTTTCTCTTGTTTTCTCTCGCTTTTGACTGATGTTGCTCGCGTGCTGGTTCCAACAACAGCATTGTTCGCTGACACTTGCTCATTCACTGACACTGTTGCTTTGCGTCTGGGGCGGCGTGGATGGGCAGGATTGGACGGCGGACAAGGGACACGGTCTCATCCTGCGACGATGAAATCCACACTGTCGTGCGTGAAGTCGAGTCGCTGCTCGCCAGGCAGCGCGACGAGTGCGATCGGTCGTACCGTCAGCTGCTGCGCGAGTACGAGGCGGCCAATGCAGACGCGCGCGCCAAGCTGAACGCCAGCCAGGAGCAGTTTGTGCGCCTCAAGCACCAGGTCGACGCGTTCGACGCGGCCCGGAGAGAGCTCGAGACACGGCATGCTGCCGAGTCAGCTGCGTTGAAGCGACAGCTTGACTCTGCAACGCGGGATAGTGCGGTAGGTTGCCGGCAGAGAACCGGGCGCATGAACGGTTGGTGATTGGATTGGATTCAACTTGAACACTCCTCACCGTCCACTGTGGTTCTGTTTGCAAATCCGACTTTCAAAAAAACAAAACACAGGGACGTATCGCAGAGCTCGAAAACGCGCTGGGCGTGGCACGCGAATCCCTCGGCTTGAAAGCGGGAGAGGCAGACCGCGAGAAGCGAAAAGCGAACGATCTCGCGGGCCGCTTTGCCGAAACGCAGCGCGAGCTGCATATTGAGCGCGGTCGAACAGAGCAGCTCCAGCTCCAATTGCGAACGAACGGCGACATGTTGGACCAGGCACGGCAGCAAGCTGCGGCACGCCGCGAAGAAGCAGACCGGATTGCTGCGCGTTTCGCTCAGGACACTGCTCATTTGCAGCTCGAACTCGGTAGACTTCGCGACGAGTGTGGCGCGGCGCGTACCGAAATCGATCGCTCTCGTGCGCAGATTGAGGGGCTCCAGACCGCTCTCGCCGCCCGCACCGAATCTGAGGCTGCAATGCGAGAAGAGTCGAATCGCGTCCGTGTCGCTGCAGATGCGCTCGCTGCAGACATGGCACGCATCCAGCAAACACTCAAACAAAAGGAGGAAGTGATTGCAACCGTTCAGGCGACTGAGCGGCGAAATGCGACGTTGGAATTGAGCACGCTCAAAGAAGAAATCCGCGGCAAGGATTCTCAGATTGCCTTTTTGCGCGAAAACGTCCAGACCTACACCCAAAAGCTGTCACAGTATGTATCGAGTGACTCGGAACTCACGGCACAGTGCCTTGCGTCCCGACACTCGATTGAAGAGCTGAAGGGACAGGTCGCAGCGCTGAGTGCAGAGCTGCACCAGACTCGTGGCGCGCAAGAGCACGACCGTCTCAGACTCCTGCAGCAAGCCGAGGCCGAAAAGGCGGCGTTACGCGAAAACCTAAACCGAACTCTGGCAGACAATCAAACCCTTCGCAAGCAGCTCGAGCAACAGCAGCAACAGCAGCAACAGCAACAACAGCAACAACAAACCCTCTTTGCCAATCAAACCCGCCCGTTTGGCCCTTCATCTACTGCACACTCTGGTCTGGGTCTTGGACTGTCTTTGGCAGGTGGTGCTGCCGCTGCTTCTGCCGCCCCGAGTCAGCCACAGCAAGCTGGATTTCTTGCCCCATCCGTGGCCGCGAGTGGAAATCAGGCCTGGGCAGATCGCGAGGCGCAGCTCTTGCAGGAGATTCGCAATGTTCGACAACAACTCGCGGATGCGGACGAACGCGTTCGGCGAGCAACGGAAGAGGCGGTGCAGCAGACCAGTGCACGCTTTGAATCAATCAAGCAACATGCCGAAGACCATTACAAGCAACTGCTCAGCGACTCGCACAAGCAGCTGGAGGCTGAAAAGCGAGACCTTGAGCACAAGCTTGGCAAGCTCTTGTATGAAAATGACATTTTGCGAGCCGTCTTGGCCCACGATGGAGCTTCGACAAATGATGTTAGTGTGTTCGGCGCGTCGGGTCCCTCCGCTGTCCATATCAATGGGGGACACCCGCCAACGACTGCAAGTGCGAGCACAAGCGCTTTTGCTTCAAAGTCGGGGCCATTCGGGCAATCGCAGCAATCGTCGCAGCCTGCACCGCAATCTCGCCACGCCCCACTGACGGGTCAACCCAGCCAGCAACGGCAGCCTCCGCAACAACAGCAGCAACAACCTCAGCAGCAGCAGCAGCAGCAACAACCTCAGCAGCAGCAGCAGCAGCAGCAGCAGCAGCAGCAGCAGCAGCAGCAGCAGCAACGCCAGCCTCAACAGCAAGCGCAGCTTCCACCTCAACAGCAGCTTCCTCCACAACAGCGTCCACAGCAAGCGCAATCGTCTCAGCCACAGCAAGAGACGCAGTCACAGCCGCTGCAGGCATCTAGTCAAGCAGCAGCAGTAGCAGCAGCGGCGGCGGCACCGAAACCGATTCAGCAGCAGCATCAACCACCGCCGTTTGGGCACTCTGTTGTTATTCCTGTTGCTGGCGAAGACTCTGATGTTGACCGGACATTTTCGTCCGATCTTTTTGATGTATCTTCGTTGGGGGCTGCTCTTCCTTCGGGTGCACAGCTGTCTGCATTTATGGACTATGACCGGTCGACGTATCCCAGTCTGTTTGACGTCTCGTCTTCTTCGTCACAATCCCCACTTGCAAACGAAACACTAGAGCTCGTCGACAATGCGGACGAACAGTAAATCAGATTCGTGCGTTTGTGGGTGTGTGTGGGGTGGGTGTTGCAAGATGAAGGTTATTTGTTACTTTAGTTTTCCATATCCTTGTTGGTACTGTTATGAATATTTTGTGTTATTTTATCACCAGCTCGTGCGCGAGCTTCATCGAATGAAAAGCGTTCCTTCCATTCCTTCCAATTGCTCGTCAGCGTTCACTGGTGTCAAGTACCAATGAAAAAAAAGGAAGGACAGCGTTGTCACTCGGACGCGGTCGGGGTTCCGCGCGGTTGATCGGCAGGAGTTTCCGTAAAGCCTTCGGGAACCTTGAACAGCTCTTCCGGCTGGGTTTGGCCACTATACTCGAGGAATGTCACTTGCGCCGTCACTGTAGGGAAGACTGGCATCTCTGTTTGCACACGCACACACATACACGCACACGGCCACCAAATCAAACCACAGGTAAGTCACTCAATGCCCACAGACGCCATCTCCACGCCCATCAGCACACGCAAACAAACCAAGTTTAATCGGGAAGCCTGTTGGCAACTTGGTGGCCACAAACTGCTTGAGCTTGGTCAAATGTTTGTGGGCTGGTGCAAGAACCGTCAGCAGCTTGATGACGGTATCCACGGAGAGCGGGAACTCGTCGCACATCCACACGACCGGCTTGAAGGATTTGACAGACGACTTGAGCACGACGGCGCGGCCAAGTTGGGGTTGCGCACCGTCGAGCGGCATGGCCATATATTCGGCCCACGTGATTGGATTGGCCGGCGGAGGCGGCAAGGATGGTCGGTGCTCGACTTCGTCGTCATCTCCGGCAGCGTGTGAATCTCCTGACATGACAATGCTTCCAGTGTTGTTCGCCAACGATGCTGTCGTGGCTGCCGATGAATCGACTTCAAGGGTGGACAACGACGAGCTATTGAGAAGATCTGGCGTTGCGATGGACGACGACGTTGGTGCTGGAAGCAACGCAGCAAGCCCCACTCCGCCTTGGTCAGCCGGGGCGGAAATGGGACTATGAACTGAGCTCGATGCGGGAAATTCAGGTGCCGATTCGCTGCCAGAGTTGTTGTCGTCGTCACCACCACGATCACCGTCATCTGCGTCCGAGTCTGAGTCATCCGGATGCTGCTGGTGTCCGGGCGTGCCTTGGCGGAGTTGTCGCAGGAATTCACGGTTGGTGCGCACGTCTTCTTCGGACAGGTGCTCGCGACGCTTGCGCATGATGAGATTGGTACCAGACACGTTGTACACGCGAGCCGAGAACGAGCCGACAGTGTCGGTGCGCTCTTTTCGCCAGCCCCACACTCCCGACTTGGCGCGTGTAAACCCAATGTGCTTGGTGGGCATGCTCGCTGTACCAATGTCTGACGACATGATCATGTCAATTTCGTCTTCAATGTACTCGTCCACTGCGTCCTTTGTGACGCGCTGAAATGTCTTTTCGTCGTGCTTAATGGAAGTGATGGTTGCTTCGCCTGTGAGGAGGAGAGACGGAGAAAGGTTGGTGACGAATCAAAAACATTTTGGAAGGTCGCTCAAATTGAGCAAGCTTGCCTGCTGCGTCACACTCGAACAAGTAGGAAATGTTGCCTCGTTGCCATTTCATATCTGAAAAGTCCACCAGCGTCGAATCCAATCTGTTCCAGTCAAGTCGGACATTAGCGATGGGTCATTTGCCTGTCGGCTGCACTGAAAAAGAAAATAAACAAACAAACAAACAAACAAACAAAAAAAAAAAAAAAAAAAAAAAAAAAACGAGGCCTAAATCTAACCGTATGCAAGTTCCACGCTTGTAAATGCGGCACACGTCGTTGGGAAGGAGCCTTGAAGCGAGTGGAACTGGCAAAGTACAAAGCACGCAGAATATTCCAAGGCGTAAGAACGCGGCAACTTTGAAGCTACAAACTCGGAGGGATGAGAACTTACTCCATGTGTGAAAATCCCACTTGATTTGCAAATAAAAGTCGCCAAACTGAGGCATGTGGAGCAATGAAAGAAGTAACAAAATGAGAAACGAGCCCCCCCCCCCTCTTCCCAAACCAAAAAAAAAAAAAAAAAACACCACCAACAAAAAACTCAAAAGAAAAAAATGGTCGCTTCGCACCTGGTCGATCTGCTGGAGAAGTGCAGGAGTTCGAAGACGGTCCACCTGCCGCTCGTGCTCACGATGCAGTTGCAGCATTCGACGAATGAGGTCGCGGTCTCCGAGGGAAACCGCCTCTGCATGAGCAACGTCAATAACAAAGCAAAACAATCGTCAGTAGCTCGCACGCGATCGAGCATGTCTTGAACTCAGAGATCAAATCTCCACTTCAGCACAAACAATGGCGAACATAATGTACCTTCAAACGCAGACCAGCCACCGCGGTTGTTGATATTGATCGAAGCTCCAGCATTCAGCAAGGCGTCGATACATTCTGGATGATCCCCCAAGCCAAAAAACCAAAAACCAAACACCAACACCAAAACCAAAAACCAGAACACACACACACACACAAAAAAAAAAAAAAAAAAAAAAAAAAGCACCGCCATACGAAATCGAATCACATTCACGGCCATGCATATGCATGAGTTGGTGAGTGGTTCTGGTGGCATGCGCGAACCAGTTGTCTGATGAGGCCACTCCAGCAGCATCGCCCTCACCTTTGCGGTTGAGCATGACGGCAATGTGCAGTGGCGTGTTGCCAAACTTGTCCTGCTGGTCCTTGGGCGTCGGCGGCCCTCGCGAGGACTGGGTCCAGTCCATCGGGGTCGCGACCGAGGACGAGCTCGTGTTGGACAGCGTGCTGTTCCTGGACCCAGCGGCGGCCGCTTCGAGGCCACTGCTGCTCGCAGAGCTTGCAGAGGACGACGAAGCAGAAGCAGAAGCAGAAGCCGAGGCAGAAGCAGTCAGAGCCCCGCCGTGGGCGAGCAAGTGCGCAGGGAGCAGCGTCGATGCGGTCTCCGCGAGCAGCTTGGTCAGCGCCGCAGCGTCTGCAGCAAACACTGCGCGGTGCAGAGGGAAGGTTTCGAGCGCATCCGCCGTGTAGCTAGACGAATCAGCGGCGGCAAGAAGAGTTTCGGCAGCCTCAGCCATGGACGTGGTGTGGTTGGCTGAACTGAACTGAAGTCCAAAAACAGAAAAAAAAAAAGAAAAAAAAAGTGAGCGCAGGAGCTCGGCGTACATTGCGCGACACGATCTCTCCGCAAACGTTGGTATTCAACAAGAAGTTTTATTCGTCAAAATTAGTGCCGCATGGTTTTACTCAAAGGACAGACAATCAAGCAAGCAGAGGCAAAAGCCGAAACAAACGAACAGACGAACAAACAAACAACAACAACAATCAACTCCTCTCATGATAGGCGGGAACGCGCTGCAAATGACGAGCAAGAGGCATGTCCAACACAAACTGCGCGACATCTTCAGGTACGCGAAGATCGGGCTGCGGGACGGGTGGGACGAGTCCAAGAAGCGCATCAATGTTGCTGACACCAAGCGCTTTGGCAACTGCTGCCTCGCTCCCTTCGTGCCGCCACAGCTTGAGTCGGCACAGCGAGGAAAGTCTCAAAGGCTGCGCTTGCTCGGCCATTTGCAGAATCTGCTTGAGAGTTTCCTGGTTGGTTACTTCCACTCGGTCATGCAAGCGAGTCCACTCCTTTTTGAGTGCTCGGTCATAGGGATGCTTGACATTTGGCCAGCCACCACGTGATGATGATGAGACGAAAGCGAGGCATTTCGAAGGAGAGAGTCCCCACGCAAGCAAGCATCCGACAACCAGGCGTTGAGTCGCCGCCGCCACAAATGGATGAGCGGAATTCCACCAAGATTTGTCATCGAAAGCAGGCAGAGTACGAAAGCCTGCAAGCTCAAACTGGTAGAGCCAATTCGAAAAGTATGATGTCGGGTTGTCAATGAAGTTCTGCCGGCCAAGTTCAGGTAGCCACTCAAGCACAGTCGCCATATCCCACCCGGGCACGTTCGTGAGCCAATCAGCATAGTAACTAAGACGAAAACTGCTGTATTCGACTTCTTCAGCCTCCTCGGTCACGCCAAACTTGTCGTAAACCGTCGGACCCGTGGGCCGTGGCGGATGCACACAGTCGTACGACGCAGGCTTGCGCTCGGGATACAACCACTCCAAGACGAGCGTGACACAGTTCCACGCATTCGGTCTGCGGCGATCGACATGGTTGATCAGCCAACGAGCTAGCAGTACCTCGCGAAGACCGTGCATCTCCTGGTAGTGATGCCTTAAACAGTACCGAAGCATGTCAATGCTGGTCGAAGCACAGTGCTGAATGATATCTTTCGGTGGTCGTACACGCTCGACGAAAATCCAGTAGCGGAACAGCATGACCCACACAGCTGATGGGGTATAAAATTGGTCGCAGTACATGTCATTCCCCAACAAGGCCGTGGACAGCGTGAGGGACCGACCAACCCGAATCGTCTCCAGCGCGTCAAACAGCTCCATAATGGAGCCAGTCATGAGCGGGCTCTCAATGTCATCCCAGTACCGAGTGTAGCGGCGCGAGTGCATTACCCAGCCAGTCTGTTCACCGCCAGTCCCGCTGGAGAATGAAGCGAAATAGGGATCTGAGTCACCCCAGTGGAGTTTCGCGTCCAGAGGCACACCAGTCGCAACCAAGTCCATCTGCAGTGTCGGGTCGCGCAGCAGGTCTCCATGAAACGTGAGACGGTCGATGTTGGACTGGTTGATTGAGCACGAGGTTGCTGTGGCTTCATCGACCATGAAAATGCGAGAAGCATTGCGCTCGGCACGTCGCAGACAGCGACGTACAAAGCGGGACTTGGTGTCGATGGCGACTCCTCGATGCGAGAAGCGCACACGCTCGGCTGACTTGGATGCCACGAACGAAGGAAGCAGACGACGCCCAACTGCCCAGTTAAACTCGGGGCTCGCGTCCAGTGGATTAAAGTCGGGCTCTCGGTTCACTGGGTGGTTTTGGATAAAGCCATCCAGGGGAAAGTCTGGGATGGATTGTCAAGCAGAGTGATGCGGTAAAGCGAAGGTGAGTCGTTTGCTATTTTTTGGTTGTCGCATTGCGTTGCAGCGTTCAGTCGGTTACCTTCAGATCCATCAAAAATGTCCCACCAAAAAGACAGAGGGGCTCGATTGGAATCGGCCGTCTCGACGCCGGAGCTGGAGCCCGAGCTGGACGATGCACGCGCGGTCGTCGCTTCTGAGATGGAGCAGGATGCGCCAGGCCGCACGCCTGCTTTGGCCGCTTCTGCGACTGCGAGCGCCCATGGCGTGGGAGCCTGCTCTAACTGTGATGAGGCAGCCTCGGGTGCAGCAGCAGCAGCAGCAGCAGCAGCAGAGCCCTGCTTCAGCTGGGTCGGGACCGGTCGCTGGCACTTTAGCATGGAAATCACCCACTCCTCCGGGTCGAAGCCGGCCTCGCGGATGCTGTTCCACAACGGGTCTGTCGCGGGATCGCGCTCGTGAAGAATGCCGACATAGCCGAATCGCGCATCCTCGCGGTACATTGGGTGCCGTCGATAGTTGAGCTCGTCCAGCGTGTCGTCGTCGCTCTCCCGATCGTCAAAGCCCACAGCTGAGTCGTCGTCGCTGTCGTCATCGGTAACGATGTTCCTAGCACTGCTGTCCGAGTCGAAGCCATAAAGGTCGATGGAACTGTCAGAGTCGTCAGAGTCGTCGGACATTGGAAGCGGAACAAAAACAGAGGAAAACAAACAAACAAAAAACTGAGATTCGAACAAGGACTGCAATTTTCCCTTGTGTGCTCGTATCAAAAGGACTCCGTTTTGTTTGAGCATTATTCTTACTCTTTCTTTTTTCCTCGACATGAGACTGTACTGCACGTTGTTGCTGTTGCTGGTGTTGAGTGCATCGCTTGCATTGGCGCAGTGGTGCCACGGCTCCCGCACACCCGTGTCCTGGTACCTGATCTTCAAGCCGTCGCCCGCCGCTGACTTTATGAGGCGTTCTTAGTCAAACACATTCAGCACCTGTTGCTTTTGAGTCGCATGTTACTCGTAGTTGGTGGTTTCAAGGTTTTTGCTTGAGGGTTTTTTGGGTTGTTGTTTACTTTTGCAATCGAGCGGTGAATCCACACCTTCACACCGCCAAAAAGCACAGACAGAGGAGAATCATGCATTTCAACGACAAACACGTCAGAACATCGCCATACAGGTCACATTAGACAAACGCTCAGGCCGGCGGAACAGGAAGAGTCACAGGTACGCGCAAATCAGCTCGAACCGCGGTTGCAGCACGGTGTTCGGTACCGCGTGTGATAATGCCGGCGCCAGTGGGGAAGACATAGTACATCGGTGCAGAGAGCGGCGAATCGTACGGACCAAGCTGGAAATAGGACAGATCGAGCAAATAGGCAGTGCTATTGGAGCCTGGCACAAGCGTCACGGCAAGGATGGTGGCGTTCGCAGCAAACACTCCCGAGCTGGCGACGTCGAAGCCCAAAAGAGCAAAGCACGAAACGTCGAGAGATCCGCCAGACGCCGCGGAAAAGACCGGCTCGCTGAAGTCGGCACGAACCGTGGCGACACGCAAAGTGTCAAACGGAGCAAGCACAGTTGTGGTATTCGTGACATTCCACTGAACGAAAGCGAGCTGGAACACTGGCTCAAAGTTGAGCTGCACGGCTTGTGTGGGCTGGAAGATGGGCTGCTCATTCGCGCCTTCGACGTTAACGGCGGTGGTTGTGATTGTGTCGCCAACGGCAAGTTGCCGACCGAAAGTGACAGTGACAACCAAATGCACCTGCAGCTGCGCTTCCTCATACACGACGTTTGTGACATTTCCAGTAACGGTGCCGACCGAGGACACGGTGGGTTGCAGACGAACAGCAAAGTTGTTTGGCCACAGGCGCTTGGGACGAATCCAATCCAAACCCACAAACTGCGGAGGCGGAACGGAGGTGCGAACAACTGGATCCGAAAAGACAACCGCCAAAACCACAGTGCCATTGGTGTTGCTCGTCATTTCCAACGCAGAGAAGGGCTGGAGCACCGTGACGGCCATTGTGGGCTGCTTGATGAAGGAGAGGACGTTGTCAGCAGCTGGAGTGTCCAGTTTGGGCGCCTTGTTCAAAACCCACTCGAAGGCCGAAAGCCGCGAAACGCTCAATGGGAACGGTTTCATGATGCGAAGCATTGAGTAATCCAACTGAGTGCCTCCGGAAGGGGCTACCGGCGCGGACGTGGCCAGTTGCAAAAACATGGGAATGTACGTGTTGAACCGACGGTTGCCAGTCAACTTCCTGAAGTATTCGTTTTGCGAGTCCGGCATTGTCTGCAACATGACACGTTCTGAGCGCCGCACAGGCGTGCCAAAGGTCGAGTTCCGTCCGTAGATCTTGAAGCGCATTGGCGGCAAGGTGGTATTCGACCCTTGATCGACAGATTCCAGCCTGTTGCCGGCGCCGAGCGTAATGGAGCCATCAACCGAAACAAGGTGCAGCTCGTCGCCGTAGAACACTGGCTGCTTGTCGAGAGTGATGAGGAGGAGTGGCGAGATAATCCTGAAAAAGTGGTTCTCCCTAGTTGAGAAAGCAAACCGTTCGACGACCTGGAAGCTGGCACTGGCTTGGTCGCGTGCCCAGTCGCCAGGCTTGGTATTCTCGCAGGACCAGCGCCACCAGTCGTCGTCGTACGCGTAGTAAAACACCTTGTCGCTCCGATCGCGGCTGTACGCAAACATGTTCTCGGTCTGCGAGGGAAACATGGTACCGTGTAGCGAACGCAAGTCGCCATCCGCGTGCACTGAGCACGGCACCGCGCTTCGAGACCGGGGAATCCCTCAAATTGGTCCTTGTTCAAAACGAGCGACTCGACCTGGAGCGTCGAGTATGGGCAAGAGCCTTCGTTGCCGATCACGCTGAATTTGTACGACGGTTTCTGGGAGATGAGAATTGGCGGGAAACGCGATTGGAAGCGAATCGAGTTGTCGTCGTTGGACGCGTACATGCACGAGCAGAAGCGCTCGATGCGCAGAGCGACGACTTGGAAGGCTGCCAGAGCATTGCACGGAGAGACAAAGACAGACAGAGGACAAACAGCACAGGATCAAATGAGTGTCAGGTACAGGCTTGCGTTGAGACAGAGGCAACGCAGTATGCAACCAAACGGGGGAAACTTTTGAAAACTTACACATGGAATCGCCCTCATAGGTTTGCATCGGAAAATCATGGGTGGCGTTCGAATAGTCAAGACGAACACCCAGGAATCGACTTGTGCTGCTAAGCACGCTGACCTGCGACGAGATTGCCGAGGGCGCGGAGGCAGCCGCAGTCGTGGCGCGAAGCCGATAGCCTTCGTTGACACCGGTGAGCTGGTCCAGCGTGACAAAGTCTCCATAGCGCAAAACTGTCTCATCGCCGGTGAAGTCACGGTCGCCGCCATCGCCGCAGTTTGCTCCACTCACAGACTCGCAGTAGCTCGCAAGGTAGGATGCAAGAAGCGTCTGCTTGTCGGCAATGTGGGGGTCTTCAGGAAAGAGAAGGGCGTCCAGGAGCTCGATGATTGGCGCCACTTGCATGCGAATGGGAACCGGGTTGCTTCCGACAGTGCGCGCCCAGTCCTTGAGAGAGGTCAACAGATCGTCGGCCGAGAATTGACCGAGGCCTGGCTCACCGCCGATAAACCACTCGGTCGATTTTGAGGTTGAGGACATTGACATGGAGCGCGCTTGCTGAGACAACTTCATGGACATGTCAAAGCCAATCGATGCCGAGAATGCCCCAAACCCGCCAGAGATTTCCGTTGCAACAGTGGATCCCGTGACAGTTTCGTCCAACGTGGCTGCTTCGCTCATGTCGATGGAAAATCGCTGCATGCCACGGCCGCCCATCGTCACCTCGTGCATGTAGTGCGTGCCAAATGTTTCCAACAAATCGTCGTACGCTGAGCACTCAACAGGGAAGCAACGGACATCAGGGTCCGCGTCCGGATTGACTGTGATGCAGCATTGACTAAACAACGCGGGGGGGTGTGAGACGCTGCACTGCGTGGCGAAACTCGGCCGTGAGCTTGAGCGGCAATGTGTCCTCGAGCCGCGCACGGTATGACACTGTTTCCGCACGAGAGTCCAAAAACATGCTCTCACGCTTGAGCATCGAGTCGCGAACCTGCTGGTATGACTCGCTGGCAGAGAACGATCCCTTGGCGAACGGACCATACGAAGCACTTGCACGAATCTTCAGGTCGCTCTCGAGCGTGGTCTTGTAGCTTTGCTCGGAACGAACAAGCTTCGAACTTGACTCAAATCGGTTGACTGGCTCCATGATGACATCCACGTTATCTGGAACATAGAACTTGCCGTCGGCTGTCATGCGGCGCTCTGCATGCTCCAACACCATGATGGACGCGCGGATGCCAGGGTCGACCTCTGTGCCAGTGCTCTGAGGGTTGCCGCGAACGACGTCGTAGCCTCGCCCGAGATAGGCAATGTTCTGCAGACCTGATTCGGGCGCAAATGGGGCTCGAAGCAGGGTTTCGGCTGTGATACCAGGCAGCAAGTCAACCAGTGGCCGTCAGCAAGCAGAAGTGCGCTCAAGTAGAGGTTGCGTCAAACAGCAACCCCACTCGTCTCTCTCTCTCTTTTTTCCTTCTATTTGCCCCACCACCACCACCACCACCACCACCGACACCAGTTACAAGCACCATCACCACCCATCGAACAACTCGCGCACTCACCTTCAAGCAGCGAAGTCTTGGCCTGAGCTGCCTCGGCGGCCGCACGAGTCTCCATGACACCTTCCTTCATTCGTGCCTGACTTAGCGTTGTATGGAGTGTGGCTGTAAGACGTGCGAAGAGTTGTGTGAGGCAAGTGAGACGCAATTCTGTTCATGCGCACAAATGGCTTCATTCGTGCCTGACTTAGCGTTGTATGGAGTGTGGCTGTAAGACGTGCGAAGAGTTGTGTGAGGCAAGTGAGACGCAATTCTGTTCATGCGCACAAATGGAACCAACCTTGGTGTTGCTCGCTCAGCAGCTGTGCAAACTCTGTCCGCTCGTTCTGAGCAACGATGCGGCTTCCGCGCATGCACGCGGACTCAGCTCATTAGCGTGGCCACAACATCTCGGCTTGATCACACAACAAAGACACTCACTGTCAGCGCGACTGGCTCTGGAAGGACAGAGTCAATGTACATAAAGTCAGCCTCAGGCGACGGCTTGAAGATCAGGTACCAGGACACGGGTGTGCGGGAGCCGTGGCACCACTGCGCCAATGCAAGCGATGCACTCAACACCAGCAACAGCAACAACGTGCAGTACAGTCTCATGTCGAGGAAAAAAGAAAGAGTAAGAATAATGCTCAAACAAAACGGAGTCCTTTTGATACGAGCACACAAGGGAAAATTGCAGTCCTTGTTCGAATCTCAGTTTTTTGTTTGTTTGTTTTCCTCTGTTTTTGTTCCGCTTCCAATGTCCGACGACTCTGACGACTCTGACAGTTCCATCGACCTTTATGGCTTCGACTCGGACAGCAGTGCTAGGAACATCGTTACCGATGACGACAGCGACGACGACTCAGCTGTGGGCTTTGACGATCGGGAGAGCGACGACGACACGCTGGACGAGCTCAACTATCGACGGCACCCAATGTACCGCGAGGATGCGCGATTCGGCTATGTCGGCATTCTTCACGAGCGCGATCCCGCGACAGACCCGTTGTGGAACAGCATCCGCGAGGCCGGCTTCGACCCGGAGGAGTGGGTGATTTCCATGCTAAAGTGCCAGCGACCGGTCCCGACCCAGCTGAAGCAGGGCTCTGCTGCTGCTGCTGCTGCTGCACCCGAGGCTGCCTCATCACAGTTAGAGCAGGCTCCCACGCCATGGGCGCTCGCAGTCGCAGAAGCGGCCAAAGCAGGCGTGCGGCCTGGCGCATCCTGCTCCATCTCAGAAGCGACGACCGCGCGTGCATCGTCCAGCTCGGGCTCCAGCTCCGGCGTCGAGACGGCCGATTCCAATCGAGCCCCTCTGTCTTTTTGGTGGGACATTTTTGATGGATCTGAAGGTAACCGACTGAACGCTGCAACGCAATGCGACAACCAAAAAATAGCAAACGACTCACCTTCGCTTTACCGCATCACTCTGCTTGACAATCCATCCCAGACTTTCCCCTGGATGGCTTTATCCAAAACCACCCAGTGAACCGAGAGCCCGACTTTAATCCACTGGACGCGAGCCCCGAGTTTAACTGGGCAGTTGGGCGTCGTCTGCTTCCTTCGTTCGTGGCATCCAAGTCGGCCGAGCGTGTGCGCTTCTCGCATCGAGGAGTCGCCATCGACACCAAGTCCCGATTTGTACGTCGCTGTCTGCGGCGTGCCGAGCGCAACGCTTCGAGCATTTTCATGGTCGATGAAGCCACAGCAACCTCGTGCTCAATCAACCAGTCCAACATCGACCGTCTCACGTTTCATGGAGACCTGCTGCGCGACCCGACACTGCAGATGGACTTGGTTGCGACTGGTGTGCCTCTGAGCGCGAAACTCTACTGGGGTGACTCAGGTCCCTATTTCGCTTCATTCCCCAGCGGGACTGGCAGTGAACAGACTGGCTGGGTAATGCACTCGCGCCGCTACACTCGGTACTGGGATGACATTGAGAGCCCGCTCATGACTGGCTCCATCATGGAGCTGTTTGACGCGCTGGAGTCGCTTCGCATTGGTCGGTACTGCGATGGAGACTACCATACGCTGTCCACAGCCTTGAACGGGAATTACATGAACTGCGACGAATTTTATCCCCCCTCGGCTGTGTGGGTTATGCTCCTCCGATATTGGATTGTCGTCGAGCGTGTACGACCACCGCAAGACGTCATTGATCACTGCGCCACGACCAGCATTGACATGCTTCGGTACTGTTTAACTCACCACTACGAGGACATGCACGGTCTTCGCGAGGAACTGCTGGCGTGGTGGCTGAAGAAACACGTCAATCGCCGCAGACTGAATGCCTGGAATTGTGTCACGCTCGTCTTGGAGTGGTTGTACCCCGAGCGCAAGCCTGCGTCGTACGACTGTGTGCATCCGCCACGGCCCACGGGTCCGACGGTTTACGACAAGTTTGGCGTGACCGAGGAGGCTGAAGAAGTCGTTTGCGGTGTTCCTTTTGGGTACTATGCCGATTGGTTCAAGGAGGCGGCGGGGTGGGATATGGCACCTGTGCTCGAGTGGCTACCTGAACTTGGCCAGCAGAACTTCATTGACAGACCGACACTGTACTTTTCGAATTGGCTCTACCAGTTTGAGCTTGCAGGCTTTCGTACTTTGCCTGCTTTCGGTTCTAGTTGGTCCGGCGATGCTCATCCATTTGCCTTGGCGGCGAGTCGACGCTTGGTTGTGGGATGCCTGCTCGCGTGGGGACACTCTCCTTCGAAATGCCTCGATTTCGTGTCATCAGCATCATCACATCTTTTCTGGCCAACTGTCAAGCATCCCTATGACCGAGCACTTGAAAAGGAGTGGGCTCGCTTGTCTGACCGAGTGGACGCAACCAACCAGAAAACTCTCAAGCAGATTCTGCAAATGGCCGAGCAAGCGCAGCCTTTGAGACTTTCCTCGCTGTGCCGACTCAAACTGTGGCGGCACGAAGGGAGCGAGGCAGCAGTTGCCAAAGCGCTCGGTGTCAGCAACATTGATGCGCTTCTTGGACTCGTCCCACCCGTCCCGCAGCCCGATCTTCGCGTACCTGAAGATGTCGCGCAGTTTGTGTTGGACATGCCTCTTGCTCGTCATTTGCAGCGTGTTCCCGCTTACCATGATGAGTTGTGATTGTTGTCGTTGTTTGTTTGTTTGTTTGTTTGTTTGTTTGTTTGTTTGTTTGTTTGTTTGTGCTTTGAATACAGTACAGCATGCGACACATGTTTGGACGAGTACAACTTTGTGCCGAATCACGACGTTTGCGACGAGCATTTTCAGAAATGGTCGTCGAGCCAGTCTTATTTTTCACTCGTGGTCCCACCTGCACCAATCACACCGCCGCAAAATGTCGCAATTCAACGTCGACACCAACTTGATTACGCTTACGCGCCACATGATCCACGAGCAGAAGCAGCACCCGAACGCGAAGGGCGACTTTACGCTTGTGCTGGCGTCCATCCAGCTCGGCTGCAAGTTTGTCACCTCGCTCGTTCGCCGCGCCGGCATTGCCAAGCTGTGAGGTTTCTTTTTTTTTTTTTGCATGCCCGCTGCTCGCCCACCTGCGCTTCTTCATCCATCGTCAACGTGTCGGTTGAGTGTGACAAGCCGGTTGTTCATTTTCGTACTACTGTGCTTGTGCTTTTTGGATGTGTCCGTCCTAAACCATTCGCTACTACTGCGACTCGCAACCCAGCCCGGGCGTGCAGCAACGCGATGCATGCTCACGTTGATAGTCTCGGCGAGGTGTAACAGGCGAAAGGGGGCAGGGAAGGGGGCAGAGGGGGCGGGTTGGTCAGGGAGGTCCGCAATGTCACGCCTCAGTTCCTGACGCTTTAAAGTTCAACAGACTGACTGACGCTCCTCGTTTGCTGGTTTATCGTTGCGTTCTGACATTTTTGTGTTGTTTTGCTTTGTGTGTTGTTGTTGCTGTTGTTGCTGTTGCTGCTGGTAGGAATGGCACTGCAGGCACCGCAGACACGAACGCGTCGGGCGAAACGCAAAAGAAGCTCGACGTCCTTGCCGACGAGATTTTCATCAACGCGCTCGCGTCCTCGGGCAAGGTCGCCGTCATGGTCTCTGAGGAACAGGAGAAGGCCATCGTCTACGAAGACGGCCGTGTAAGTCCCGCGTCTGCGCACGCGTTTGGGGCTGGGTGGTCGTGCAGCGCATCAAACTGATCTTCGTTGTGTTGTGCTTTTCAGGGCCCGTACATTGTCGTGTTCGACCCTCTCGACGGCTCGTCCAACATTGACGCTGGTGTCAGCATCGGCACCATCTTTGGCGTCTATCAACTGGTAAGCAACCCCATCCACTCGTCAACGATGACAACTGTGAGAGTGCGCGATGGGGTCACAGTCCCAACATTGTCGGTTTCTTTTTTTTTTTTTTTTTTTTGTTGCTCCGCTTTCGCTTGTCGTTTGCTCCGTTGAGCATTGCTCGAGTGCGTATCAGAAGGGTGTTGAGTTGATTCACATGCTCTTGTCTTTTTCTGCTGTTTGAGCCTTTGAGGGGCAGAGCACGCAAGCCCAGGTTGGTCGCTAACGCTCCACTCACTCGCACGTGAAAACCAAAAAAAAAAAAAAAAAAGCGAAAAAAAAAAAAGACGAAAAAAAAAAAACCCAAAAAAAAAGCTCCGTTTTCGACAAAAACCTACTCATCTTGAATTTTTGTGCCAATGGAACTGACAATGTATGCGCATGTTTTGTGCAACAGCATGACGGCGAGAAGCCCTCTGAGGAGGCAGCCCTGCGCCCTGGCCGCGAGCTGGTTTGCGGTGGTTACTGCATGTACGGCAGCTCGACCAACCTCGTCCTCTCGTTCGGCAACGGCGTTCACGGCTACACCCTGGATCCCACTCTGGGCGAGTTCGTGCTGACCCACGAGAACGTAAGACTGCCATTGATTGATTTGACACTGTTGTGGGGCAAAGGTTTTGCTGTAGTGGCCTTTTTTTTTTTTTTTTTTTTTTTTTTTTTTGTTTTGAAAACCGCGACACTCAAAAACACACTCCTCTCGATTCTCCCACCTAGATCCGCATCCCATCGCGAGGAAAGATCTACTCCATCAATGAGGGCAACTCGATTTACTGGGAGAAGCAAACCTCGCAGTGGGTCAATGGCGTCAAGAACCCCGAGAAGGGCAAATCCCCGTACTCTCTCCGATACATCGGTAGCATGGTCGCCGACATCCACCGCACCCTCTTGTACGGAGGTGTGTTCTTGTACCCCGGCGACAGCAAGAGCCCCAAGGGCAAGCTGCGTGTCTTGTACGAGGTCTTCCCCATGTCCTTCCTCATCGAGGCTGCCGGCGGCCGTGCATCGAACGGCAAGCACTCCGCCCTCGACATCGTGCCCAAGAGCATCCACGAGCGTTCGCCCGTCTTCCTTGGCTCGAAGGAGGATATCGAGGACATTGAGAAGCTTGCTTAAAGCTGCCCAGGGTTTTGTTTGTTTTTTGCTTGTGTTTTGCGGCTGTTGGGCCATTCTCGTTTGCTTGTTTGTTTTTTATTTTTGAGTTTTGACATTACATGGCGTAGGCATGTTTCTCCCATGCTTGATCACAATCCATCACGTTCGCGGAAAGTTTGTTCGATCTACTCTATGTCTGTTTGTTTGTTTGTTTTGAAAAGGCTTCTGAAATTGGGCCACCTTCGACGCACTGTACTTTTCAATGAACATGTTGTGCATTACAAGAAATAAACACCTGAAACCAAGAGATTTTGCTCAAATATCAATGCGGCCAACTTCCCCGCGGACAGCATTCTGTTGGCGGAAGGTGCCAATTGTACTGATAGGATGGCCGGACGACCTCCTGTTTGGCGCAAATACGATTCCCACTCCCTGGTTCTCTCGATCGCTTGTACTTGTCAATGATGTCGGCCGGCAGCAGCGGATGGCTCACCAAGTATCTGTCGTCACAGCCTCGCGATTTGAATTCCGTGTCAAAGCGCGGATCATGAACTCGATGAATTAGCAAAGGTGCAAGCCACGTCCCGACGGAGAGATCTGCATCATGACCCCAATCAACAACCTGACAGGTGAGGTTTTTTTTTTTTTTTTTTTTTTTTTTTTTTTTTTTTTTTTTTTGTTTTTGCGCCCACCAGTTTCCTTCCCTTTGTCGTCAACTTCAAAAGGCATCCGTTACCTTCGTTAAAGTACAACTGCAGTAGTGGTGCCGTGCGTGCTATGTGCCCAACAAGATCTTGGGAAAGAACATAACCACCACCCAGCGCATAGGGCAGGTAGTTGTTTGAGAGAAACCAGGACGATTCTCCCCACTTGCCAGCCTTCTTGACAGGTGCGCGACCGTCCATAAAGCCCCAGTACAGCCTCTCTCGATGCAGTGTAATGGCAAGATTGCGGTCAGCCGGGCCAATCCGTTCCGGACGGGCGGTGTGGAGCATGGGTGGGAAGACGGTCGTGGGCACGAACGCCGGACCCAGGACTTGGGTGATGCTGTCCTCCTGCTCGACAGCGTGCAGTAGTGGTACCATCACATCAAGTCGGACATACGAGTCCATATCGCACTTGAGGAGGAAGCTGTAGGTGAACGGCAGCGATTCAATGGCGCGCATCGAATGCAGCACTTTGAGCGAGAGCCGACTATAGCCATCGGGCACGGCAGGCAGGAACAGCAGATCGCCGTGCTGGTCTTGTTCATCCATCAGGGAGATCAGCAGCCGCTGCTTTGCGTCCTTGTCCATGGACGAGTCCGAGTAGTCGTTCTCGGACGGATCCAAGCCCGAAGTGCCAATCGCAAAGAAATGTCTCACGCTGGCCGGTCGCTTGACCGCCGTGGTTGCAGCCCCCGAGGCCAACCATTCTTGCTCAAACGCCCGCCATAGCGGCATGTCGTCTTCGAGGTACTGATCCAGACCGTCAAAGTCGGCGCCAGGAATTGGCAAATCCAACTCATCCACGAGTTCGCCATCGAGCGATGCATCGGCGGGAGCTCCTGCTTGTGGGGCTGCCATCTTTTTCTGCTGCGCTAGCGCCTGTTCACGGGCTCGAGCCTCTTGCTCCTTTGAGAAGGGGCGAATCGTGTTCACGAGCTGCGTTTCCAATCGCAGCCACGTATCCCGCAGAATATTACGCATGGCCTTTGTATTCGGGCCGCTTGGAATGACCACAACTAGAGTATAGTGCGGGAGCGTCTATCAGTATGCATGTTGAATGAACAACGGTAATGTGAGAGTGTACGACTTGACAACGGTTTTTGCCGAAAGTCTTTTCGGCAGTACGCTTGGCGATCTTGGCTTTTGTCCCCGTTCCACCGCCCGGTGGGTACTGTAGCCAACAAGTGACAACTCAAAGCCGCCCATTCGTTTGCTATTGCAACGACGCGGTACCTCCTTTGCCCTCCACCCTCCTCCGGTTGCTCAGGGAACAAAACCGGTTTTGACCTTTTTTTCGCATCTGGATGCTTTTTTCTGTTATTTTTGTTTCCCCCCCCCCTTTCCAATCAAGTATCGCCCAACAGTGGGGACTGCACTGCATCGCTTACATCCGAATCGACATTGCTAAACAGTGCAATGGTGCTCGCAGCCAGATCCTCAACGGTGGTCGCATCGCCCAGCTGGCGGGTGTGCTTTGGGACACGGAACGGTGCCTGCACTTCCTCCCTCTGGGCCACGTCGTTGCGCTTGCCCGGCGCCGCTTGCTGCTGGTGCTGCTGCTGCTGCTGCAGCTGTTGCTGTTGTGGTTGTTGCTGCAGTGGGTTTTGCCCGCGTCGCAGCAGCTGTTGTTGTTGTTGCTGTGCTGGTGTGTCTGCGTTCGTTGCGGATTGCTGCTGCTCCCAAGCCGGCCGTTGTGAGCGGCTGCCGTGGTAGTACGCCGCGCCACAGACCAGCCCAGCAACAACCATCATCAGAGTCGCCACGATCGTGACCACGGGACCTCGGCGGCACAACCGCTGCAGCGCTCGCATGACCATCGGAGTCAGTTTAGTTGCTGGAAATCCAAGTGTGAAATCACAGTTGAAGACGACTGATCCGAAACAAAACACTCTAGCTTTGCGAAGACAAGACAAAGAATCAGCAGAATAACAATAGACGAGTGAAAGTCCAGTTCTCTATTCTAGATTGGTTTCGTTTCGCTCAGACGCTCAGCATCAGACAAACGGAGCTCCAAACCAACAAAACCCAAAAACCCATAAAATGGTGTCAATCAACCTGCGCGACCCCGTTCGGCGCATGCAGATGCAGGTGATTGTCGCCACCTGGTTTGCCTATGCTGCGACCTACCTTCTCCGCAAGCCCGTTAGGTACCTCCTCGTTTTCACAGCATCAAACCGTGTGTGTGTGTGTGTGTGTGAGTTGCTGATTTTTTTTTTTTTTTTTTTTTTTTTTTTTGGGTTTGTTTGATGGCAGCGTTGTCAAGAACGCCATGGCAGAGGAGCTCCAGATGAGCACCGCGGTGCTTGGCTTGCTCGACACGGCCTTCCTGATGCCATACGCAGCACTGCAGCTCGTCATTGCCCCGTTCGCAGACCGTGTTGTGAGTCGATGGACCTGTTGTGGTTGTCCATTTTGGCTACTTTGCTGCGGGTGTGCGGCTGCGGCTGCCTAACCCCTCCCACCACCTTCGCCTCGCCGTTCTACCAGTGAATGAAAAGAGCAGCCACAGCAGCGTCTGATTGGGGTTGTGGGCCTGCGAGGCTCAAGCGAGCCCTGGAAACTCGTTTCAGAAAAAGTCGTTTCCAATCGTTTGGGTTTTCGGTGTCGGCGTGGCAAATCAACCTTCTGCTCTTGCTCACACTGCTGCATTGCGAGTGCGACTCGCTTCCAGTGCGTTCTCTGCGCTGGCTGAATGGAAGACAGCTCTACTCACCGAGGGAGCAGGAGTCTGCTGATGAGTTGCATCGACCATCCCCCCTCCCATACGTTTCACTCCTCACTCAAGGTTCTGCCTTGCCCGTTCGTCTTGTTTGTCTTGTTTGCTCGGTTTGCTTGTCTGACTATCCGCATCATTGATGCTTGAACTGCAGGGCGCACGGCGCATCCTGACAGCGGCCTTGATTGGTGCTGCCGTTTCAATGTTTGCCCTTGGATGGCAATCAAACCAGATGGTCATTCTCCTCATGCTGTTTGGCAACGGACTGTCTCAGGTTGGTTCTGCGTCTTTCTTTTGTCATGATACTTGCTCCCGCAGTGGGGGTTTGTTTTTTTTGACTCCCATCTCGACTGACTGATTTAAACCGTTCAATCCATCCTCAGTCGAGCTCGTGGCCCAGTTGCGTCAAGGCGCTGGCTCCGTGGATTCCTGAAGAAAACCGCGGCGTCGTGTTTGGCCTCTGGGGTACCTGCCAGTCGATTGGCGGCGTTCTCGGAACGCTGATTGCCGTCCACCAGTTCCAGACGGGCACTTGGCGCGACACCTTCTTCCTGCCTTCAGCGATCGTTTTTGTTATCGGAGTGGCGCAATTCTTCTTGACAAAGACACCTCAAGAAGCTCACATGCAGCCACCAAATGAACGTGCTGCAGCAAAAGCAGTAAGACTCCCCTCATTTTTTTTCTGTTTTTTTTTTTTTTTTTTTTTTTTTTTTTTTTTTTTTTTTTTTTTTTTTTTTTTTTTTTTTTTTTTTGGGGGAGCTTTGCACTGAAATCTTCCTCTTCGCCTTCCTTCCTTCCTTCCATTGTTGACGCTCACAGCTCTCGGATGCCCACTCGGTCGCGGTAGTGGATAAAATCACCCTTTGGGAGGCCATTAAAATCCCAACGTTTGTGAACGTCTGCACGGCCTTTTTCTCAGTCAAGCTCGTCCGATATTGTCTGCTGATGTGGCTGCCAATGTACTTTTTGAAGCACCTGAACTTTGACATTGCGACTGCCGGAGTCATGTCGACCACTTTTGAGCTTGTAGGTGGTTTGTCGGCATGACCTTTTTTTTCGTTTTCGTTTTCGTTTTCTTCTTTTTGCTTTTGTTCTCGTCGAGCCGTTGTGTCTCACTCTGGTCTGCCTTCTCTTCGCTACTTGATCGACTTTCCGTGTTGCTATCAGGGTGGCGCCATTGGCACTCCGTTCATCGGATTGCTCTCCGATCGGGTCTTCCATGGCAAAAAGCTTGCGACCACTTTTTGGTCGCAAACCTTGTCTGGCGTCTTCCTCGTCTTCTTCATTGCTGTCACTCCCTACAGTCGCTTCCTGGGCTCTATTTGCATGGGTCTCGTGGGCGTCTTTTCCACGGGTCCCGACATGATGATTACTGGTGAGTGAAGGCCTCGTTTTTTTTTTTTTTCATCATGGTGGTGGATTTCTAATGCTGTGCGCCGTCGGACGTTATACGTTCCATGGCATAGGTCCAATTGCCACCGAACTTGGCGAGTATCAAGGTCGCAACGTTCAAGCATCTGTTGCTGGTTTTATTAACGGTAAGGAAGTGCGCATCTGGTTTGTTGACCATTTTTCAAATCGCTCGGGCGCACTCATCGCGACTCCGCCGCATGGCTCTCGTGTTTCCTTGCTCGATGCGCCTTTTTGACAGGTCTTGGCGGCATTGGTGCAGTCATTCAAGGCCCACTGATTGGCGGCATTGCCGACTTTTTTGGCTGGTCGGGCGTGCTCATGTTCATCATGGTGCTCTCGTTCTTTGCCGCCGCCTGTTTGCTCCCTGCTCTTCGATACGAGCGACGCCGCTCCATGGGGCTCGGCACTGGCTAATTTATTTTCGGAATGTCTGCTCGGGCGGGAGGCTTTCCGCCACCATTCTTCTTTTCAGCAAGTTTCTCTCAGTCCTGTACAATCTTGCATGCACTGTGTTCTACGCGTTGGACTACATCATCCAACCTTTAGGCTTCTCTACATCAAACCATGTATTGAAATGTAATCGACAACTTTTTTTTTTTCTTTTTCTTGTGTGGTTTCTTTTTGGTGGTTGTTGTTTGTGATTTCGTTCAAGACTGCAAAGCTCGCAGTTGATGCCTGAAAAAAGCTACTGGAAGGCCGAAGCAAACATCAGTAACAACCAGAATCTGAGCAGGCAAGCAAGCATTCCGGTCCGCTCTCAGAAAAGCAGCACAGTTTGGTTTAGCGTTCTCTCTCTCTTCTCTGTCTCTTTCTCCCCCTCATCAGATTTGACTACAGCTCAAAGATAATTCGCACCCCTCAAACACGCAACAGGTACCGGAACTCCTTTGCAATGGAAAGGTGCAATTGTCATGAAACTACGAAATTCAAGATGAAAAGAGCTTTCAAAATCGTTTTTGGACAAGTTTCAGCCATCGCCCAAAACGGACCGACCTCTCTTTGCTGCACTGCTTTGTAAGTCTGTCCGGATGCCTGGCACTATCCGACGCAGGATCATGCCTTCTACACGATTACGAGGGGCTGGGAGGGTGGTGCAATGGAAGGTCTGGCAGAGAAGGCCCTGCAAAGTTCGAGGGAAGTGGAGGCAATGGGGTTTGCAGCAAATTTCGACTCGAATCCGAGCCAGCGCCGCTACATTTTTTTTTTCTTTCCCGAGAGATGCTTCCTCCTGCGGCAACCGCTCCCCGCAGCCCTTGTTGCTCCCCAGATCCAGCACGCACATTGCCTTCTCTGCCGAATATCGCTCGGCCGTCGACCAGCCCGCCATTCAGAGCGACACACAAAGCGCGACGAGACGAAAACTGGAAATACTGTTTGCTCATTGACTTTTTTCCGTCCTTTTTGGTTTTGGCCCTCCCCCCCCTTTGCCCTTGCCTGATTGGAATTATTGCAGACGCATACACACATTGAACAAAGAATGACGACCGCTGTCGAGGACAAGAAGAAGGAGGAGGTCCCGATCCAGGAGATCGAGGAAGGTGAATCGTCCAACGACGAGGAAGAGAAGGGCGAGGATGTCGCCGCCGAGGGCGAGGACAAGCACAGCCGTGGCGAGAAGAAGGCCCGAAAGGCCATCAGCAAGCTCGGCCTGAAGCACATGCCCGAGGTCACCCGCGTTCAGATCCGCAAGACCCGCGCTTTCGACCTGACCATCGCCAAGCCCGACGTCTACCGCGCTCCCGGCTCGGACACTTACATTGTCTTCGGCGCTGCCAAGATGCAAGACTTTAACCAGCAGCAGAAGCAGTACGCCAACGCCGCCGAGCAGTTCAAGAACCTCAACCTCGGCAACGCTGCCGCCGAGTCGGCCGCCCCCGCCGCTGCCGCCGTTGAGGATGGCCCCGTCGACGAGACTGGCGTCGACGCCAAGGACATTGAGCTCATCATGTCCCAGGCACCCTCTGCCACCCGCGCCCAAGCCGTCGCCGCTCTCAAGAAGAGCAACAACGACATTGTCAACGCCCTTCTGTCCCTCACCAACTAAGTGCTTTGTCCACCATGCGAATAGAGCCAATGTTTTTTTTTTCTTTTGCGATCTACCCCGCCCTCTTCTTCCTGTATATTTGGCAGCTCAATGGTTTTCATCATTTTTCACGCGGTTTTGGAGGGTTGGTGGTTCAAAGTTCCCAGGTTGAATTCTTCGCTCGTTTGGTAGATGGAGGAGGGAGTGGCGAGTAGCTAGGAAACAACGACGACGATGCATTTGGCTCAAGAACGAACAAGCCGAGGATAAAAGGGCTCCACACAAACACATAGAAACACACGATCGCGCGTAATTTAGAGAGGGCGCGCGTTGCCTTCAGCGCCGGGCGCTTCGCAGCGTTCGAGCAGCCTCTCGATGAGCATGACCATCAATTTGATGCTGGCAGATAGCGACGACGTTGCGGACTGAGGAAGGACCAGCCACTCTTTCAGCTTGCGGTTGGCAGACTTGAGCACGACAGGGGCATGTCGCTGCACCATCGAGTTAGACGAGTCAAGAGCCAGAACAGCCGGTTGCAGGTAGGAAATCTTGGTCTCGATGTCCTGCAGTGTGGATGGTTGGGTGGGAGGGGTGGGGTTGCCGGTGAGCAAGAACAACAACAACAACGACAATAGAGAACAAAAAAAAAGTTGCACAAAACAAAACAAAACAAAAAAGAAAAAAAAAAACAAAAACACAAAACAACCAAACACCCTTATGCGGTTGTACACATACCCGAGACAAATCGAACGAAAGCTGCTGAACCAGCGACAGCAGGATGGCGGGCGACAGAGGCACGGGGGACTGACCAAAAATGGTGGCAACCGGAATGCCCGAGCACAGGCGCATTAGCACTGCAAGGTCTGTCGCGCCGAGAGCTTCAGAGAAGGCCTTGTCAAACTCTTGAGCAGCAACCAATTCTGCAATGTGCTGCCAGAGTCGCTCCTTGTCACTCGTCGCCGCAGGCGCAGGCGCAAGCGCAGTAGCAGAGGCAGAGGCGGGCAACGGAGTGGCACCCTGCTGCTGCATAGCACTAGCGGCCGCACCGTCCAATGATGACGCTGAAAGGGCGGCCGAGCTCTGATTCGCCGAGGAAGACGACCGATCGCTCCGCTCCTTGCGATCCGACTTGCGCGATACGACAATCTCTCGCAAGTCCTTTTGGACGCGCGCCAGAGACACATCGACCGCGGCAGTAGTTGATCTCTGGCACTCTGCTGACGCCTGCTGGACTGACTGCTGAATCGAGACTGCGAATGCTTGGAGCTGTTGGCTGTTGAGAGCGGCTCCAGTTTTGGCGCCGTCCAGAGCATACAGTTGCTGGAGGTCTGCCAGACGACCAGAGTAGCAACAGCAGCAGCAGCAGCAGCAGCAGCAACAACAACAACAACAACAACAACAACAACAACAACAACAACAACAACAAAAGTAACAACAAGAACAAAGAAAGCTGAGCTACCAATTGCACACACACGCGTTAGACGCAAATGCCGCAAACGCGTTGGTTCTTACAATCCCGTGTGCCCTGATCAAACGTGGCGTTCACTTGCTGCATGGTCTGCTGCAGGGCTCGATCCAACGCTGGGATGACGTTCTGCTGGAATGTTGAGCGGAAGGCCTCCTGAATGGGGTTGCGCAGCGAGCTCGCAATCAGTTTGGCGACATTTTCGGCCAGCGGCTTGTTGGCCAAGGCAGTGGTTGTAGCAGATTCCGCGACCTAGCGCCCCGACAACACCACCACCCAGAGTGAGAGCAAGTCGCGTAAAAATACCAATGAAATGGAACAAACGCAAAAAAACAAATTGCCGAAACATGCGACTCTTCCTTTGTTGTAAGCAAACCAACAATCAAGAAAATCTCTCTCACCAGATTGGCAGCTTGTGCAGCGATGCTCGGGACGAGTTCAGTCACCGTTTGCTTCACTGATGCACTGACTGTTTGCTGCACCAAAGGCACAATGAGTTTCTGGAACTCGCTGCTGATAGCGCGGATGGTCGTCTGGGCAGCCAGCTGGGCGGCGTCTTCTCGGTCTTTTTCTAGAGGAGAGTGCAAATGGAGTCAAACACATCGATTGCAAAGCAACAAACGAGTGCCAGTCAATAGTTCCCAATTAGCGAGTAGCGCGCGAAAGCAACTGAAAAGAAGAAGAAAAAAAACCAAAAAAACAAATCAAGCAAATCACACACTTACCAGCTTGCTTTTGCTGTTGAGCAATCAGCTGTTGCACAAGATTGAGCGTGTGCTCTTGCGACTGATGAATCTCATCACGCATCTGATGCAACAGCGCCTCAGACACAGGGGCGGCCACAGCAGAGCCGGTGGCAAAACCCTTGCCAGTGCCGGCCCCATTCGGTTGCCGAGTTGGTCGGACAGTGTTGGCGCCAGACAAGTTCAAGCCGCGCTCGGTCGAGTCTGTCAGAGAAGCAGGCAAGCTGGAGCTGGCGGTCGCACCCGAGCTCGTTGTGAGCCATGCAGGCAGTTTTCCATCACCGCCAACGTTGTGAGGCGCTGAAACGGCAGCAGTAGGCCCAGCAGCACCAGAAGCCGTAGCAGCAGCAGCGACAGGCGAGGGCGCAGCCGAGTGCTCCAGAGACGGAGGCGTGGTGGACGCGGGCGGATGTTGCACAGGCGCAGCGGATGACGGGAGCGGAGCACTCGCCTTTAATGCGCGGATGGCGGTCGCATGGGGTCGCGAGACCGGTCGGTAGCGGACAGCCAGCTGCTGGATGACCTTTGGATCCTTGACAATCAACTGGAAATCGAAATGAACGTTCATCTCTTGCGGTGATGTCACGTCAAACGTGACAGCAGAGCGCGCGACGATAAAGCTAATCAGAGCGTCAGTGAGGTGGAATTCGGTCAGCGTGGAGAATCGATAGCTCAGAGCGGGAGACCCGTGCGAGCCGGTTGCAGCGAGGCCCAGGGCGTACAGAGACTTGCGATGCTGGTCTGCAACCAGCAGGAGACCGGTCGACACAAAGCAGAAAGTCGGATCGAGTGCTAGTTGGAGGCCCAGGGGAACGCCCGTGGTCGTCGCGGGTGGCGAGTCAAACCGAAGCGTCTGGAGCAGCTGCAAATCCCTCGAGCGCCACAGCTTGATCTCGTGGTTGAGCGAGGATGCCGTGACAAGCAGCGGCATCATCTGTGCCTGCGTATGCGCGAGCTGGTCGACGCTGTTTGTGCCGTTTCCCATCGGCAACACTGACAAGACTGTTTGTTTGCCGTGCGGCGCCCAATCGTGAAGAAGCTGTCCCGTTTCCGTTCTCCAGAACTGAACAGATTCTCCACCGCACGTAAGCAAGACTGTGCCATCCGCAGAGAATGCGAGGTCGTTGATGAGCTGTTGCTGTTGTTATCGAGCAAGCGAGCAAGCAGGCAGGCAGACAAGCAAGCAAAGTGCGCGAGCACAAACAATCAAAAGTCAATTTTCAAAAAAAAAAAAAAAAACGTCAGGAACAGAAAAGCATCACCTCCCCTACAACTAGCAATCAAGAAATTAACGCACCTTCTGATCGGAACGAATAAAGGTGACCCAGTTAGGCTGGAGTTGGGCACGTGTCGCCTGAACAGGGTTGCCGTTGTTGGCAGCGAGAATGTCGTCGACCTTCCACAGGGTGCACAAAGAGCCGTAGGCCACGACCAAGCACAGGCCCGGATGCGCGATGGAGGCAGGGCTCCACGCGAGACGATGACGCGGGAAGGACTTGATGACATTGTCGGTCGGAACATGGAGGATGGATGTGACGACAAGATTTCCATCCGCCGCGAACGAGATGCGGCTCACAACCACGGTGCCATCGCGATCGATGCTCGCCAGCACGTGACGACGGCCGGACGATTCGAGATCGGGCAGGCCAGACGCAGCCGAACCGGACGAGGCAAACGCCATGTCCAGAATGGCCGCCGCCGTGTGTCCTCGAACGAGCGCACCTTTACCCGTGGCAATGTGCAGCACGCGAACCGTGCCTACTTGCGTTCCAGCCGCAGGGAGCAGCCGCAGCAGCGCTTTGAGGCGCCTTCATCTTCAACGCATACGGCCATGAATTCCTCGTTTGCAGCAACCAAGTGGCCCGTGCTGAACGTGAGTTCGGAGGGATAGAATGTCACTGTCTCTGCCTTGATCTTGTTGCTGGCTTGTATCATCGCAGCACGCGAGCCAAACTGCGCGCGGTCAATGGCGATCGCTGGTCCCAGCTCGGCAGGCAGAATCCAAGCGTCCTGCTCAACGTCCGTCTCGCCGCCGTCCGAAGCACCTGTCGCCTGGCCATGCACCACGCTTGTGATTGCAGGGGCATTCAGGAAGGACTGCGCGGGTGCAGCAGCAGCAGCGGCCAGCGTCGATGATGATGACAGGCTACAACCAAAAAGTCATTCAATGCAAAGATGAGTGCCAGCGTCCATCTCGCCCACTCCCACTCATGCCCACATAGCAGCAAGCTGGGCTAGCCATGGTCGAGCCCGTCGAGGTTCAACGCCGGACAGCGGGTGAGCGGGTGAGCGGGTGGGGGGATGAGGAAGGAGATCTCTGGAACTCTGCTCGTACCTGGATGCAGCGACGGGGGACCCAATCGGCGGCGGTGACACTACAGCGAGTGCAGCAGGTGACGTTGCTGCGGCTGAGGATGATGATGATGGCTGTGGTGCATGGGCGGCAGGCGGTGGCGGGAAGAAGTTCCGAAGCGGATTCGACTGCTGCTCGGCTGCTGCGGCTGCTGCTGCTGCGGGTGCGGGGAACGTCGACTCGTATGCGTTCGCTTCTTGGGTGTTGCTGTTGGTGGTGGTGGTCGCTGAGGCAGAGTTGACGCCAAAGTGGGTTGGGCTCAGCAGCGCGGCTGGTTGCTGTTGCTGCTGCTGCTGCTGGTGGAACTGCTGCTGGAACTGCTGATGCTGCTGCATGGGTTGCATGGGTTGCATGGGTTGCAAGGGCTGATTGTGAGGCGTGAACGCAGCGAAGGGGTGGTGCGGCTGCTGCTGGAGGGGCATCTGGCCGTAGTACTGCTGCTGCTGCTGTTGAAGAGCGAACGGGTGCTGATGCTGCTGATGCTGCTGATCGTACTGACCCTGATGCTGGTGGTGATGCTGGTGATGATGCTGGTGATCATATTGCTGCGGTGGATGCTGTTGCTGCGGCTGAGGAGCACTGTTGCCGCCCAGGTTGAGCATCGACTTGAGCATTGCCGATGGATCCGACATTATGTGCAGTGTGAAGGAGTGAAGCACTTGCAACAAGACAGAACAAAAAAAAAAAAAAAAAAGATGTCAAAAGGAAAGAGAGAAATAGACTGAGGAGGTGACTGGATAAACCATTGCGCTGGGATGACTATGACAGTACAATACTGGACATTACATTGGGAGTACTGTTCAAATCCAAGCATCCACAAGTCAACAACAATCACTCACTCACTCTCATTTTTTTTTTCTTCTTCTTTTGAATAAACCTGATCAAGATGAACCGACGACCAGGCAAAGGCAGCGGCAAGGACAGCAGCCGCTCAGACCGCCCCAAGAAGGTCGACAAGTGTACGTTCGTCATCCACCTCGATGATCATTCATTGAGTCATCATCATCGTCATCATCAGCATCAGCATCATCATTATCACTGATGTTCGATATGGTCCCCTGAAGTGGTGGTTCTGCGACTGACTGACTGACTGACTGACTGAATGGGTGATTGACATTGTGCAGACGGTCCCAAAGTGCAGCACAAGGGCCAGCAGCGCACCTTCTCGGACGACATTTCCGCCATCACAGAAGAGAACATGGTAAGAAGCACAAGACTCTTTGAGGGGGTGATGGCGGGGTGGGTGCTTGTGTGCAGTGAGCAGCAGAAGGAAAGAGAGAGAAGAAAAAAAAAAAAGCGAGATCTTCGCTCGCAAGCCAAGCCAAGCCACGCCAAGCCAAGCTGAGCCAAAAGCGCAACCCCCGGCACATGCGACTACGGTTGAGCATGATTGCAACAACGGCATTGGCTGCGTTGGCTGCGCGCGGCTCCAACAACCTCCAATGCTGCATGGCGGCGGCGGGGCTCTTTCCCATGTGCTTTGAACCACCAGCAGGGCAGGTCGGCGATTTCATCACCATTGCACTCACTCATGAGTTGGGGATGGGTGGGGTGTGAATTGGTGGATTCTGGTTGTAGATGTCCAAGAAGCGTCGTGGCGGCGATGACGACGATGACGACGACGACAGCGACGAGGAGAGCGGCAGCGAGGAAAGCGGCACCGAGGAAGAGAGCGATGACGAGGACGTCAAGAAGAAGCCCGCCAAGGCTGCTGCCAAGGGCAAGGCTGCCGCAGGTGGCAACCGACGAAAGCCTGATCTCCCGGTAAGAGTAGGCCCAAAGTTGGAAATGATTCGGGCCTTTGGAACCGAACAAAGAAAACAACAAAAAGGTGAAACGTTGGTTTCTCAATCGTTGCTTTTTCGCCGTTTGTTTCTGTTTTGGCCTCTTGACAGCCAAGCAGCAGCGAGGAAGACGACGACGACGACAGCGATGAAGAGAGCGACGACGAAAAGCCAAAGGTAACCGTCGTGCCACCATCACAAGTCAATCTCCGCACAAAAACGCTTTTGTTTGAACTGATTTTGAACGCCGCTCTCGTAACTACAGCCCGTGGCGACTGGCAACCTGAACCGACAGCGGACGGATGCTCCTCGCAAAGCCGACACCAAGCTGAGCGACGGCCCAGCACCCAAGGCTGAGCTTTCCCGAAGGGAGCGGTAAGTCAAAAAGAAAAGTAAAAAAAAAAAAAAAAAATTACCTTGCTGCAGCATTGTGCGCTCATTTCCATGTCCACCCGACCTGCTCCGACCAGCGAGGAACTCGAAAAGGAGGCTGCTCGCCGCCGTTACGAAGAATTGCACCGCCAGGGCAAGACTGAGGAGGCCAAGAACGACATGGCTCGTCTTGCCATCATCCGCAAGCAGCGCGAAGAGGCTGCCCGGAAACGAGCGCTCGAAACCAAGGCCAAGGAGGAGGCCGCCAAGCGCAAGTAAAACCACGGTCGGAGTTTGATAGATTTGCGTTTCTTCACGTTGTATTTTTTTGGTGATGCTGTTGCTGTTGTGTGTACCTTGTGTGTTGCTTGCTATTTCTCCCCGCCCCCATCTTGTTTCAGAATAGATTGAAAAGTGACATGTGTTGCCATTCGCACTGCAATCACCCTTCCACAACAAGCAGTCCGAAAAACTGAAACAGCAAAAGAAGCAAAATGCGAAAAATCTACTTCGGAAATAAAAAAAAAAAAAAAAAAAAAGTACCATGCGAGTGAACTCTTCCGAAAAAAAATCCCTCTTTGTTCATTGACGAGCAACCAAAAAACAAGCGGTGGCCAAACTACGATTCAACGACCAGAAAATCACCAAAAACAACAGCAACAACAACAACAACAACAACAACAACAACAACAACAACAACAACAACAACAACAGCAACAACAACAACAACAACAACAACAACAACAACAACAACAACAACAACAACAACAACAACAACAACAACAACAACAACAACAACAACAACAACAACAACAACAACAACAACAACAACAACAACAACAACAACAACAACAACAACAACAACAACAACAACAACAACAACAACAACAACAACAACAACAACAACAACAACAACAGCAACAAACAAACAAACACTTCCTTCAAAAACATTACTCTTGCAAAGACTCCCGCTTTACTTCTTGTCAGAAGTGGCAGGTGCCTCGGCGACAGCAGGAGCAATGCCCCTGGCAATGTTGCGCTTGCGGGAGAGAGCGGCTTCCCTGAAGGCGAAAATGGTGGCCAAGTCTTGCTCGACAAAGGTCAGCTCAATGGCCTCGTCGTAGTGTCGGATTGCTTCGTCAATGTCTTGCAGTTGGAAGAGGAGCATGGCAAGGTTGCAGCGAGCCTCGATGCACGAGGGATCAACCTCGATTGCCTTCAGGTGAAGCGCCTTAGCCTTCACGGCGTCTCCAGACGACTGCATGATCAAGAGACCCTTGTTTGTGTAGCCAATGGGCGAGGTAGGGTCGAGCGAGATGGCGGCATCAAACTCCTGAAGCGCCGGCTCCACCTGGTTGATGCCCTGCAGAACATAGCCCAAGCTGTTGTGGGCCTCGGGCTTGGTCTGGTCGATGGCGATGGCGCTGTGGAAGCTCTCGATGGCACCGTTCAGGCACTGTGCCATGATTGCCTCGGCTTGCTGCTGGCCCGTTTGAGCAAGAAGCAGGCTGAATTGGTAGAGCGAGAGGCCGCGCTGGTTCCAAGCGTCATAGTCCTTCGGGTTGAGCTTGAGCAGCGCCTCGTAGCACTCCATGGCAGACTCAATGTTGCCAGTGTGCTGGTGAGCCTGTGCGCAGTGATACAGGGCGACCGTGCGCGTGGTGTCGGCAAGAATGGCCTCCCCGAGCGTCTTGATGGCGGCCTGGTGCTCTCCCAGCAGGAATTGCACATTCCCCTTGCGGACGAGTGCGTCCACGTTGTTGGCACTCAAGGAGAGGGCCTTGTCGAGAACAACAATGGCGCCCTTGAGATCGTTCGAAAGGTGGAGGAGCGTGCCTTGCTGAATCAGGGCCCAGACGTTGGTGCCGTCCTCGGTCACAGCGCTGGTAAAGTCGGCCAGAGCGCCAGGGTACTGCGCAGCGCGAAGACGAAGCTCGCCGCGAAGTGTATAGATCTTGCTCTTGGCAGCGCCCGACTCGGCAGCCTCAATCTCGGCCGTGAGCGACGCCTCGTCCTTGCCCTCCAACTCCTTTGCATACTTGTCCTCGCGGTCGGGCTGTTGGAAAGTGCCCAGGTACATTTTGATGATGCGGGCCGGGGGGAAGTTGCCATGCTTGGCAGCAGCCGATTCCTTGGCCTTGCTCGAGCCAATCGATTCCAAAATGCGCGAAAGAGCCGTTTGCAAGCTGGCTTCCTCCTCCATCAAGTGCACCGCGACACTCAGATCGTCAATAGCTTCCGTCAGTTGGCCGAGTGACTCGTGCGCAAGACCACGGCGCTGAAGTGCCTTGCCGTAGGCAGGGTCGATGGCGAGAGCAGCGTTGCAGTCTTCAATGACCTGAGCCAGGGTAGCAAACGGTGAATGGTTGGTGCAGGACATTCAAACAACAACAACAACAACAAACAGGCAGCACAATAGCAAAAGCAAGAAAGCAAAGGAGCTTACAAGAGCATGGGCAGATTGCTTGGCGTGGCAGGCGGCGCGGTTGCAGTAGAACTTTGCGCGCTCCTTCTCGGTGGCGGGGCAAAGCTCGATGGCTTGGGTGTACTTGGCGATCGCTTCCGTGTAGTTGGATGCGTTGAAGAGCTTGTTGCCCTCGTTCTTGAGCTTGTTGGCAGCAGCGAGCGGGGTTCCATCGTCGATTTCCTTGGCAGGAGCGGCGGCGCTGGCTTTCTTGTTGACAGCGGGCGTGTTTGGCGACGCAGCCGAGGCAGCGGCCGTCTTTTTGCCGCCCTTGCTCACTGGAGTAGCAGGTGCAGTGGAAGTGGTGGTGGTGTTGGTGGTAGCAGCAGCAGCGTTCTTGCCCTTGCCAGTCGTCGAAGTAGTAGCAGAGGCAGCCGGGGTCGAAGCAGAGGTGGAGGCAGCGGCAGACTTTTTGCCCTTGCCCTTGCCGGCAGCACCAGCAGCAGTAGCAGCAGTAGCAGTGGCAGCAGCAGTAGTAGTAGCACCAGTAGTAGTAGTAGTAGTAGAGGCAGTGGTCGGAGCAGCAGTGGTGGCTTTGTCAGTCTTGGCGCTTTCGCCGTCCTTGTCCGTGGCGCCGCCTTGGTCGGGCTTGGGCTGCGAGCGGCCGCCGCGCGACAAGATCCAGGCAGCACCGACAGCAACGACTGCGGCCGCAGCAACGCCGCCGACGATGAGCAGCTGGTCGTGTGTGAGCGGGAGTTCGATCGTGCGGCCAAAGACGGGGATCGCAACATTCTGCGACGAGGCAGAGGCAGCCGACGCCTGGGACGCCGCCGCCGCCGCCGCCGCAGTGGAAGCAGATGCAGGCGATGCAGGAGATGTCGCGGACGGAGCGCCGGCCGAAGCGGGTGTCGCCGCACTGGACGCTGTGCCACGTGTGACGGCCATTACAAAGCAAAGCGCGGGAAAAAAAAAAAAAAAACTGAGACAAGCTGAGAAAGTGGGGAAAATTACAAGTAATCATACTAATAATAATGATAGTAATAATAATGATAGTGAACAGTGAGATTGGAACAAACCATCTCCCCCTTCTTCATCGACATGGTTTCAGCAGTGAAATTGTATGGAAAACAGCCAAATTGCAACTTGGGCTTTGGATTGCACAGCCAAAGAACAGAAGCTTAACACGATGATGACACGAAACACACATCACATGGCATGACATCTCGGATCTCCCTGGCGCAAGAGAGTTACTTGTTTGGTTCCCATTGAGCAGGCCCAGCCGGCGTTTTTGCTGAGAACTGAGCTGAGCGACCAATATTCCCCCCCCCCCAATCCATGTCTCATCACCCATGCTCACCGGTCGCATCCATCAGCCCAATTCTCATCTCAAGTCTGCAGTGCAATTCATTCAGCAGTCTTATTTTGCCGCGCAGCAACCTCACTCATTCACTCAGATTCATTCTGTACGGGCCGAAACCCCCACCCCACCCCCACCACCAGTGATTCGCACCAGGATGGAGCCCCAGCGTGGGTCCGATTCTGCCGCTGCGTCTGCCGGCTGGCGCGGTGGCGGAGGACCATTGGCAGGAGGAGGAGCGGCCGTCAATATGAATGCAGCCATTCTCGCTCGCCAGCGGCAACGGCAGGCACTGCGTCAGAGTCAGTTGCAGGCACAATCGCAGCCGCAGCCACAGCCACAGCCACAGCCACGGCCACTGCCGCCACCTCAACCGCTGCAGACGGCAAGACCCAGCGACAACGGGCTCGTCGTCATCGACCAGCAGCCACTGCGCACTGCGACTGCGATGGCGCTGCACGAGACGCCTCAGACACAAGCACACGCGACCCGTGTGGTCACTACTGCGGGAGTGCCACTCGTGGGACAGCGAGCGAGAGGAGTCGCTCCACACCTGCACCTCCACGCTGCTTCCGCGCCTGACCGAGCGCAACGAGGACGACGAGGACGACGACGCGAGACGACTCCTACTACTGTTGCTGCTACCTCTGGCGCCGAAGCAGAGACAGACAGCCCGCGCGGCGTCTGGCGGTGGGCCAAGAGCAAGGTCAAGCAGGTCTGGCTGGGCTGCATCTGTGTGCGCTGGAACGATCCCGCACTCTCACGCTGGCAGGTGGTCATCACGGTCGGACTGCCGTGGCTCAAGCGCCTATTCATCCTGTTCCTGATTGTATTCACCTTGGCATTGTGCGCCAACGTGTTTGCCGAGCCTGGCCAAGACGAATCATGGTGAGAACTCAACCTCGAGTCGTTGTTGTTTGCCTCTGTCATTGCGCCCCCCCACACACACACACACACACACACACACACACACCTCCCTTACCTTTTTTTGCTTGTACAGGCTGTACTGGCAACCATTCCGCGGTGCACTCGTGTTTTGCGCCGTCATTATTGGGCTGGTGCAGCTGCTGGCCATTGGCCTGATTGTCTGGCTCAACTACCAACAAGCGAACGCTGGTGGCGTCGGCGTGGTTGTCTCGTCGAGCGTCTCGGCTGCACAAGGCGGTGTCATTCTCCCGAACGACTCTCGCAGCACCGCGCTGCTCAGCGCTCGTCCACGGCGAAGACGCGGCTGCTTTGAATGGTCGCTCGTTCGGAAGAATCTCGAGTCCATTTTCATCTTTCTCTTCTTTGAATGGACCGTCATCAACGTGACGACACTGTTCGTGTCTGTCTCGGCACTCGGTCTGCCTTGGTTTTCTAATTTTGCGACAGGCTTTGCCGTCACATTTTGCAGCTGCTTGATCCAGTACTTTATCTTTGTGCGGCAGTACCTCAAGCGCAAGCCCGTCCTGCAGTGGTCGCGGCGCGATTCGTTCATTGTCATCATGCCAGTCACGGGCTTCTTGCTCGGTGCGGGGTTTCTCTACATTGTCTCGATTGGCAACGCACCTGCCAAACAGACAATGTCCAACTGGCTCGCCGTCACCGTTGTTCTCGGCCTCTTCTCGCTGACGGTACCACCGCTCGCTCTTGACCAGTGCATCGTCAAACGGTACCAGCGGCGCGCCGCCAAACGCGCCAGGGTTCAGCTCCAAGCCTCCACGGCCCACCGCCTCCTCGCCAGCTCTGGCAGCGACAACAACTCTGGTGCAAGCAGCAGCAACAACAACAACATCAACTATAACAATAACAACCACAACAACACTGTCTCTATGCTTGCTTCGCACAACGTTTTCGGGACATGGGCTGCCTCCTCAGCCGTCACATCCCGCAAAGCCCTTGCGCTCTCCATTGGCCCCGCGGACACGCTTGTCGAACAGAACATTCGCAAGCGCTGTCGCGAGCTCGAAGTCGAGCGCGATCAGCTCCAGTCGCTCATGCTCGTTGGCATGGATTTGGAGGACTTGCAGTGTCTTGAGGGCTGCACTGGGTTGCGGCGACTGTACTTGTCCAACAATCGCATCAGCTCACTGCAGGGAATTGACCGGATTTGCCCAGGTATCGAGTGTCTGCACGTGGACAACAATGCGTTGTCGTCGGCGCTCGATTTGATGCCCCTTCGGTCGCTTCCACGTCTCTCGCGTCTTGCAGTGGAGGGCAATCTGCTCTGCACCGCGCCCGGGTTTGAGCTGGCGATGCTGGTGTGTTTGCTTCCGCAAGCTTCGCTGATCAACGGCCTGACAGTCACTCCCGAAGCGCGTGGGCGCGCAGCGGCTCGGCATGCTGGCTGGCTGCAGGACTTGCGGCTGGCCTACCAAGCGCGGCAGACGACAGAAGCACTTCGAACAGCAGCCGGAGGCCAGCTCCTCGCGTGGCACAGGCTTCGTCTCCATTTCGGCGCGTTTTCGGCGCCGTCGCAGCTACGCAATCGCGATTTGGTTGCCGGTGGTCTGGCGCTCAGTGATCGCGGTGCCGAGCTGACGACTCGGCTGCTGCTGCTCGCGGACGAGTATTCTCGGCAGCGCGCCGTTCCTCCGCCGGTTGCGGTCGCTGCGCATCGGCGCGCGGTGGCAGCCAACCCCACCATGCGTCGCATTGCCGCTGTTGCCGCTCTGCCCTTCAGTTTGCCATCGTTGCAGCTGCAGCCGAGTCATGCGCCGCAGAATGCCTTGTCGCGGCAAGCAAGGGCGTCAGAAAAGCTCGTATTCTTTGCATCCACCGCGCTTCCAGTTGACCCCAGTGTGGCTTCACTGCATCCAGAACTTGTTGGCTATGCTCCAACGAACGACGCACTGCCTCCTCCACACGCTCGCCTCTTCCCGGACTTGCCCATCACGCTTCGCAAGGTGGTGGTTGTGCCCGATTTCTCCACTGAGCGTCCTCACAAGGCAGACCAGATGTCGACCACCAGCGATCTGCACTTGTCATCAGAGTTCCCGTTGACAGTGCTCGTGAATCACGACCCTGAGCTGGGCTACAAGCCCGCTCACCTTCCCGCAGTGGTTGAGCTTGAACGAGAGCCTCTCGCTGCCACTGCTTGGAATGCGTCCGCTTCTCTCTCACCTCGACCACAACCAGCCCACCTCGAGGACATTGAGGAATCGTCATGTTAGCTTTAACGTTAGTTTGTATTTTTGTTGTTGTACTTGTTGTTGTGCGTTGTCTGAATTCTCGTTCTTGTTGTTCGCCTTTTGTTGTTTATTTATTGTTAATCGAGTTACTTTTTTTTCTTGCTGAAAGATGTCGACCATGGCACACACACATACACATAGAGTCTCAGTCTTTATTCTCCAATGATGGCAGAGGACCAGCAACATCGACTCTTGAAAGAGATTGCTGCTGCTAAAGGTAGAGCGCGTCAACCGTCCACACACTCTCATGCCTGTGCGTGATTCTAACAATGGTTGCAAACAACCCCCCCCACACACACACACACACACCAATTTCCAGATCTCATTGATCAGCACAAGCGAGCGACGCAGCACCTGCAGCAGCGATGGCGAGTGGCGAGTCGAGATGAACCTGCGCCACGACCAGTCGCTCCAACAGCCCAGAGTCAAGCACAAGCAGGTACGTCGAAATCAATCCCAAGTAGGCCTGTCGACTGGGCGGCAGGTGCACCGCGACCGCGCAGCAACGTGTGGGTGGCGCCCACTCCATCTGCTCAAGCAGCAGCAGCAGCAGCAGCAGCAGCAACGACTCAGTCCACTCAGTTCACGCAAGGAACGAGCATGACTGGGAAAGCTCCACTGCGGACATCCGCATCTCTATCGCGGATCAATCCATCGCAAGTCCAGGGCAATTCGTGGCATAGCACGCAAGGTATGCAGCCGCCGACAAGGACCAACCAGTGGAAGAATCCCGCCGTGCCAAGTTCAAGTTCTCACGCAGCCACCCAGTCGGCAACAACATCCCAAACTCAAAGCAGCAGCTTGTCATCGATGCCAGGAGGTCAGACGTCGCCGCCGCCGCCGCATGGTTTGCCAATCGCGACGCCTGCACAACCAGCATCCCAACCAGCGCGAGCAACAACCAATTTCACGAGCAAACCTACCGCAAATGACCCAAACGCTCCTCGATCCAATCAATGGATACGATCCTCGACAGGTCAAGCACCTACGAAGCAACCCGACGCTGCTCCAGCGACTGCCGTCAGTCGAATGTCGAACGTCTATATCAATCCGACTATTGCGGCGAGCAATCCTCCAGGGGCGACTGCTCATCAACCTCGTCCAGCTCGACCACCCTCGGTCCAATCCACCATCAGCCTGAAATCTGCTCCGTATGCTCGCGGTACACGGACGAAGGGATTGGCGCGTGGTCGCTCGTTCCGCTCTCAAAACGCTGCAGCGCTTCCTGCAGAGGAAAAGGTGACCATTCTCGGCATCCCATACCTGAAAACCAATCGAGGTGGCAGCAGCCGTCGGGCCAAACCTGGAAAGTATGTTGCGATTTCTTTTTTGCAGTCGTTGGTTTTCTGTGCGGTTCTTTCAGCATATGCGATTTTTTTAATTGATGCAATGTCCTGCTTTGGGTTTTGTTTTCTTGTTTGTTTGCGTGTTTGTTTGTGTGTGCGTGTGCGTGCGTGTGGGATTTTGCAGCATGACACTCGTTCGTGACATGGCAGTGATGAAGCGAGCGACATCGACCTCCAATGATCCTGGTCATTCGACTCGGACGGCATCCACCCGATCGGGTCCTCGAGCGCGCCAATCGTCAAGATCGCATTTACACGGGTCCCAACCGCCCAAGGAGAACTGCACCTATTTCATGAAATATGGTTTGAGAGAGCATCCTTTTTGTTTTTGTTTTGTTTGCTTGGATCCGTTTTTTTGGTCCTTTTTGGTTTGTTTCTTGTCGTGGCCCAAAAGCAGCACGCTCATCGGTTTTTGCCATTACCACTCAACGCTTGCAGGGAAATGCCAGCGCGGACTCGCATGCCCTTTTGTGCACGATAAGGCGACGGTCGCCATCTGCAAGCCGTTTCTGCACGGTACGTGTCCGGCCACGGACGGGTCATGTCTGCTGTCTCATCGCCTGTCTCGAGCGAAAATGCCGGTGTGCTCCTTTTTCCTGCAAGGCCGGTGCTCCAACGACGCCTGTCCGTACTCACATGTCAATGTCGCTCCTGACGCGCCTGTTTGCGAGAACTTTGTCAAGGGCCATTGTCCTGACGGCGAGCTTTGCAAAAAGAAGCACACGTTTGTGTGCGAGGACTTTCGAAGAACTGGCGCTTGTCCTCGCGGGACAAAGTGCAATCTTCAGCACCGAACCGCAAAGCGACGTGCACAGCCGAAGCATGAAACGGGTGCCAACGACAACGAGGAGGCACCCACAACCAACCATCCGACCACAACGACAAGCGCAACTACCGAGACTGAGGCTGAGCCCGGGTCCGAGTCCGAGTCCGATTCTGACGTCGAGGACGAAAGCTATGTGGACGACGAGCGTCTCAAGGATGCAGAAGACTATTTACAGCTGGAAATCGACAGTGGTCACGGATTTTCTGCCGCCCAAGACGATGACTTGGAGGCTGATGGTTCCAGTTCGGAATTTTACGATGAGACGAGTGATGGCGATGCACCGAGCAGCGACGGTGATTCAGACTTTGACGATGATGATGCTGAAGTAGATGAGGAGGAGTATGAGGAGGAGCAGAACGAGGAAGAAGGAGCGAGTGACAAAGGCGCAGATGATGATCTCGGTCGGGTTGACAACCCTGCGGCAGCAACAAGTATTGCAATCTTGTCCAGCCACGGCCCACCAGACCTCCCAAGACTTTCAGAGAAACGAGCGCTCGTCGCGCAGCCTGAAATCATTCGCTTGCACTCTGATCTCGAGTCGACGTCATCTTCCGATACAGCGGCTGTGAAACGGTCACGATGGGAGTCATCCACCCTTTCAGCTGATGCCATTCGTCCCCGATTCCTCCAGGCCAAGAAACAGTGAGGCAAGCACAAGATAGAATCGAAACAAAGCAGCACAGCGGCGGGAAATGCAAACATTGTCAATGAATCGAATCTTGTTAAAACAATAAAAGCTGAATACACAATGGAACGACACGGGAAAGAAAAAGAAAAGAAAAAGACAAGTCTTCAGGCCGCCATTCGCGATTGGATGTCTGTGGAAAGCAACAAACAAAAACCGGTGAGAAAATAATGTGAGAAAGAGATGCCCCAACCAAAAATCTCAACACCGAACAAACAAGCAAACAAACAAGCAACCCCCCCACCACCACCACCACCACCACAAACTTACAATCTGTCAAATCATCGTCACCGCACACATCCACAGGCCGCTCGTCGTCCACGTTCGTGGCCTCTAGATCCGCCCCATGGTCAATAAGGAATCGCACCACATCCTCAGCGTCCTCAAAGGCAGCAAGATGCAAGGGCGTCGCCAGGTTGTAGTCCACAGCGTTGATGTCGGCACCCTTGCTAATCAAATATTCCACGATTGGCAACTGGCCACCCTGGCATGCGACGTGCAAGCAGGTGCGCTCCAGCTCTGTCGTCGACGTCACGGACAACTTGCCGGCTTCGATGTACGACTTGACGCGAGCAAAGTCGCCGTTGCGAGCGGCATCAAAGAAAACGGCCGTGTCGACAAACTTGACCTTGGAGCGCGCCTCGCGTGCAGCGTCTTCGGCCGCTTCGCTGTTTGCAGCAGCAAGCTCTGCAGAGTCTGTCACAGCAACCGCCGTCGCAGCAGCAGCTGGCGATGCCACCTCCGACACCTTGGCAATATCGGCAGTAGCCGCAGCGGCAGAAGCCGCAACTGCAGCTGAGGGTGCACTGGATGCGGCAGCCGAGACTGGCGCGACGGCCACAGCCGCGGGCGTAGTGGCAGCCGTGGCTTGAGCGGCCCCTGCAACGGTAGCCGGCGGGTTGGGACCCGAGGAACCACCGATTTGCGAGAAGCCTGCGGTCAGGTCGCTCACGCTTCGCAGGAGCGGTGTGACCTGATCGACAATAGTGCGCGGCTTGTTTGTCAAGGCTTCGGGTGCTGCGTGGGAAACGAGCGACGACGAGGAAGCGTTCATGCCCGACGCCGCCAGCTGGGACAAGGCCTGCGTGCGGACGGAGCTCACAACCTCAATGATCTTGGGATCGGACGCCGCGCGGAGCAGCGGCGGAGGCGCAGCAGCATTAGCATTGTTGGCGTTGTTCAGAGACTGCACCCGCTGCAGCACGGGGCTGCCCAGGTTGAGAGCGGGCATGCTGGACAGCGACGGCGAGGATGGTCCACGCAAAACAGGCGAGCCTGGCAACGGGGAACCCATGATTTGCGAAACAAGGCCTGCGTTTCCTTGCAAAATCAACGCAGCATTCTTGAATCGCTTCTGCACGGGGACTGGTTCCTCGTCCTCCTTATGGAAGACATAGCCGATAAATGGCAAGTGATTGCCAAAACTCGTGTCCGGCACGATGGCCGACGAAGCGCGACGTGTTAGCGGCTCCAGGGTCATGGCGCCCTCCTCCGCAATGGGGTCAAAGTCTTCAAAGAAGGCAGTGTCAGTGCTGGAAGCGAGTTCCGGTACGAATGGGGTGCGGCCTGTCAAGTCACAACAAAACAAAAGCAAGAACAAAGCAATTCAAGGTTGTGGGTGGGAGTGGGGTGGGGGTGGAGTTTTTTCGAGTGAGCGACTGCCTACTACGGCAAAACAGACAAAGCTAAAAAAAAGTTTCAACGCCAAAATGAGAAACTCACTCTTTCGCAGCTTGGTCCATGAAATATCGGCAAAGAAGGGATGCTCCATGATTTCATCCACGCCGAGTGAGCCGATACGATCGTCGCGGCCTGTGCAGAGTCGTCGAATAAGGTCTTTTGCGTGATCGCTCAACGGGACATCGTTCGGGAAGTGAAGCGAGGACTAAAGGTGATAGAATGAGAGGGGAAAGGAGAAACAGACATGGTGAGCAAACACCAACAAGAACAAGAACAACAACAACAACAAGAACAAAAACGGAAAAAAAATATATCAGAGAAAAAGACAGAGAGAAGGTTGGTGAGAACGAAATGTCAGCCAGATCGCGCATTGGAGTCAAAACGTGAATTCGAAACCAAAGAAAGCGAATCAAGAGGCAAGGTGTGATCTTCCACGCCGCACACCGGGGGCGTCATGCAGGGTCAAAAAACCCGTGAGCGCCGCCGGAGTTAAAGGAGTGGGTGAAGTGAAGTAGACGATGGTCGGTCGGTCGATTCATCAAGGAGAGCGGGAGAGGGTGGGAGGGGAGGTGTGGAATGGGACAAGAAACAGCAAAACATCCACATACCTTGTAATTCTTAATGTTCTTGTACAACTCGAGAACCGAGTCGGCGTAGAAGGGCGTCTCGCCGACAAGCATTTCATACATGACGCAGCCGAGAGACCACCAATCACAGTCCGCGCCGTAGATGGCGTCCTCGTCTCCCTCCATGGCGGCCAAGAGCTCGGGCGAGAGGTAGTCAGGGGTGCCACCAGAGAGGTAGGACTCTGCTTCGTCCTCCTCGTTCAGCGGGGAGCACGAGCCGAAATCGGCCAGGTAGACGTGGCCCTTGTTATCCAAAAGCAGGTTTTCAATTTTGATGTCGCGGTGCACATAGCCAAGCTTGTGCACCGTGTCAATTGCAAGCACAAGCTCGGCAATGTAAAATCGGGCCATCTCCTCTGAGAATTGCTCGCGCTTCCCCAGCAGACCAAGCAGGTCACCGCCAGCGTAAAAGTCCATGACAAGGTAGACGTTGGTGCGGTCGTGGAAGGCGCTCTGCAGCGCTGTGATTCCAGGAGCCCGCTGGCCATTGTGTAGCGACGAGTGGGCGGCAAGGATGAGAAAATCGAGCTCGTTGCGGAAGCAAACCGACTGTGAAGGGCAAAAAACGGGTGGATAACAAAAAAAAAAAAAAAAAGTGAGTCAAAAAAGCCAAGATAAACGTCAGCAGTGGCAAGACAAGCGGCAGTTCGTCACACCTCTGAGCGTGTGAGCAGTTCTGCTTTAGCCATTTGCTTGACAACACAAACGCGTCCGTTGGACTTTCGCTTGGCAAGGAAAATCTATCCATAAACAAGAAAAAAAAAATGCCCAAAAAGTTAGTCCCAGAAGTGAAGCATGAAAACTGAATGAAAGAAGAGACATACCTCTGCAAATGAGCCGCGACCGATGGTCTTCAGCATGACAAAATCTTCCTTGACAAACTGGTGCAGTTTGAGCATGGAAATTGTCGATTCGTCTACGGTGCAAGAAAAAAAATATGAGCGCAAAACCAACAAACACAAGAAGAGGCGAATAAATGGCAACTACGACGTGTCCAGCTGAAAGATAGCAAAAAAAAAAAGCGCTACGAGGCATGGGGGAAAAAAATCTGACTCACAGCGCTCGAGGAAATCGGCCAAATGCTGCTTGCTGTTGCGAATCGACTGGGCACGAGCTTCGGCATACAGTCCCATGAAGCCATCGACGAGCGCATCGACAGTGAGGGGAACTGGCAAGCCGGATTCGGTGGGATCGTAGACACATGCGTCCATGATTTTCTTGCGCTTAATGTTCGCGCCGTCCTCTTGGTGGATGTTGACCGCCTTCTTGACCTGTGCCTCGAGTTCGCCTGTTTTGTGTGTGTGTGTGTGCATGCATTCAATGAAATTCATCAGCGGACGAGGCAAACAAAAAAAAAAAAAAAAAAAAAGCGAAGCATAACCCTGGAATGCAACAAATAAATAAAAACGATGCACAAAAAAAGGAACCAAACAAGAAAAAAAAAAGAATTTCAATCCTTGTCAAACCGATCATTCATGTCGTTGACGGCGCACTTGAGCCCCAGCAGTCCCCTCAGCTCGCACACAAAAAGACACACACAGACACAGACACGCAGCGATCATGGTGGTCCGGCTGGACGAGGAAGGGATGGGTCCCAGGCTGTCAAAAAGTGCCAAAAGCCACCAAACCGCAAGCTAAAACACAGCGAAACCGACAATGACGATGCCCGCATTCTCCAAGCGATCCAGTTGGCTCCCTCCCTCCCAGTCCTTCCGCGCCTGAAAGCCAGAGCTCAGACAGAATAGAGAGGGAGGAAGCTGCAAGAAAAAACAAAAAAGACCAGCTCGAAAGAAAGAAAGAAAGACAGAAAGCGAAAAATCATAAAAATCCAAAAAAAAAAAAAAAAAAAAAAAAAACCAGCGATTTTTTTTTTTTTTTTTTTTTTAAGGGTCAGGGTTGGCGGGACGTACGAATGGTATCTTTGGAAGCTGCGAGCAGGGTTTCGGCATTCTTCTGTGCGGCCAAGGCCTCGTCCAATCTGTCGACACAAGGGAACAGGTGGCAAGAAAGTACACACAGTGAGTGCAGCCACACGGGCCGATGCAGTCGCGATGGCGCGAACATAAAAAAAAAATTGTAAAAAACGAGTATGAGGCTTGAGAGAATCGCCACAGTCAGCCCAGCGAGGACACAGGCATCCCGTGCAGAGTATGTACAAAGGCTGTGATGCCGCTCGCAGACAGCGCAAAGAGCCCAGCTGTACGAGCGACGAGCTTGAGCCCCGATGGAGATGCGAGGGAACAAAGCGACTTTGATTTTTCAAGATTTTTTTTTTTTTGGTTGCCGAACACTCTTGAAAACGCACTTTCGACACAGCACCAGCTCCGACACGCGGGAGCCACAATTGGTGGACCATAACATCACTTGTCACTGTCAACCAAGGCGCCAGTGCAGTTGCAACGGTGCTTTTTTGAAGGAAAAAGGTTGAGGATTTTTTTTTGTTTTCGCAAAATAATAACAAAAATCTGCATTTTTTAATTTTTTTTTTTTTTCATTGTTGTAATTTTGAAGGGATCGCTTTTTTTTTTTTTTTTTTTTTTTTGGTTTTTGGGTTCTGGTTGAGGAAGCAGACACGAGCTCGTGTGCGTCAGCGGTGAGAAACAGAAAGGGGGCAAAAGAGCGAAAGCATTGCAGTAGCAGCTGTTCGAAGGTTGCACAGTCTACGTGAGATCTGGACGCAGCAAAGAGGCGCGCAGAACAAGAAGGGAGGGCACGAGCTCCCCACACACACAATCCCCTGCATAAATCTGAAAGCCCGCAGGCGAGGCAGTGCTGCACCAAACCCCCTCTGGAAACTCAGATATTCACGCAACCAAATTGCAGAGGGATGGGAGTGGGCGGGCGGGCAGGCGAGCGAGAGCGAGAGTGTGAGACGCACTGCTTGCGAAGAGAACCAGCATCTGTGGGACCGCTCGAGCCTCCTGCGGCGGGTGCAGCAGCAGCGGGAGCAGCAGCAGCAGCAGCAGCAGCAGGAGCCGTAGAGGCAGCAGCTGGGTTGGCCGCGGCCGGCGTGTTGTTGCTGATGCGCATTCAGATAGCAAAAAAAAAAAAAAAAAAAGGAATTAAAAAAAAAAGGAATTAAAAATAAAAGAATTAAAAAAGAATCGAAAAAAAAAAAAACGACTGCCGAAAAGTGAACCGCTCGTTTCAATCATTTCTGAGCGGGACAGTCACTCACAGCTTCGGGATGCGTGAATGACGTGTTGCAGTAACTCGTCCAACAATACCAGAGGCAAAGTGTAACACCAAATTCTGTGACAGATTGGACACTCTGATCCAACTTCACTCCAAGTTTTTTGTTTTTGTTTTTCGAGGTTTTTTTCGATTTTTTTTTTTTTCGACTCGAATCGAACTCCCGTTTGAACTTTGCTTCAATTCGCCGCTCCCCCACCTCTGCAGTCGCCACTCTCTCAGCTGTGTCGTCAACCCTTGATTCTTCCAAACTCCGCCCATGTCGACCGTGGAGAGCCGTCGGAAGGAAGTCTACACATACAAGGCGCCGTGGTCGGTGTACACTTTGAACTGGTCCAACCGACAGCGCTACCGCCTGGCTGTGGGCTCGTTCCTCGAAGAGTACTCCAATCAAGTAAGCACGATGCTTGCTCATACGCGACCTGCTTTTGTGCCACGCGCAGCTCGCTCGCGGCTCTGCGAAACGCAATGAAAGCTTGGGGAAAGAAGAAAAAAAAAAAAGCCTCTATTGGCGCGCCAATTCAAATATGCGGCCAATGCTTTCCCAGCCACAGCTCTTTTTTTTTTTTTCCCAGCGCATGTTCGACCGTCGCTGCCGTTGTGGTGCACAGCGTTGCACTGTTTGGACGAGCACCGAGTGCGAGTGCGGAGGGGCTCAGGATTGTTTGACCAGCCTTGTTTTTCTTTTTTTTTTATCTCGTCTCAACGCAAAACGATGACCTCGCTTTGCTATGCTCTGCTTGCGAACTTTACCCAGCTTGGGCGTGCTCTCTCAACTTGTACTGTTGTTGTTGGTGCTCCTGTTTTTTTTTTTTTTTTTTTTTTTTTTTTTTTTGCTAGGTCACGATTGTCCAGCTGGACGACGACAAGAACGACTTTGTGTGCAATGCCACGTTCGACCATTCGTATCCCGCGACCAAGCTCATGTGGGCACCCGAAAATGTAATGGGAAACAAAACTACCATCACGCAGCAACATTCCATGTTATGAGCATGACGATCGTGCTTGCCCGTTGCTTGGACCTAACCATTTCGCTTTTCTCTCGTTTCTTGTTTCTCCTTTCTCCGGTTTTGTTTGTTTTTCCCTTGCACAGGCCAATTGCGACCAAGACATGCTCGCTACAACTGGCGACTATCTACGATTATGGCGTGTAGACGATCAGAACAAGGCCAAGCTTGTTGGCATTTTGAACAATGTAAGAATCTCGAGGTTTTTTTTTTGGTCTGCTTTTTCTGCTTCTCCTCGATTTTCACTTCCGTCGCGCTCCTGCTCTGACCTTTTTTGTGTGTGTGTATCATGCCGCTTGTGCAACAGAACCGGCAATCCGAGTACTGCGCACCGTTAACCTCGTTCGACTGGAACGACGTCGACCCCAACATTATCGGCACAGCTTCAATCGACACAACATGTACCATCTGGGACGTTCAGGTACGTGGAGAGTGACCTGTTCTTGTTAGGAAGAGACTGCGTCAACGCCAGTGCTCACCGTTGTGCGATTTGACCGATTTCCAACTCACATTTGCACCAACTTAATTCCGGTCAGGCCCAAGCTGTACGCACCCAGTTGATCGCCCACGATAAGGAGGTCTATGATATTGCATTCGCTCACAGCAAGGATATCTTTGCATCTGTGGGTGCGGATGGGTCTGTTCGCATGTTTGATTTGCGGTAAGCCTCTTTTTTTTTTTTTTTTTTTTTTTCTCCTATTTTTCTTTTTCGCTCACCCAACCTCCTCCTCTCTCCAGCAATCTTGAACACTCGACAATCATGTACGAGACGGCCGAGCTGACACCGCTGCTCCGCATTGAATGGAACAAGAAAAACCCAAACTATCTGGCGACATTTATGATGGATTCGTCCGAAGTTATTATTATTGACACGCGATTCCCCTCCGTCCCCTACGCCGAGCTCACTGCTCACCGTGGTAGTGTCAACGGCATTAGCTGGGCCCCTCATTCGTCATGCCACATTTGCACCGTTGGTAAGCGTCCTTTGTTTTCTTTGCTTTTTTTTTTTCCTTTTCGTTGTTGCTTTTCGTTACTGTGCTCATCGCTTGATTTTCCCGACTCCCAAATGCTCAACTATTCAATAGGCGACGATGCGCAAGCCTTAATCTGGGACATTTCGCAATCCATGCGCCCAATCGAGGATCCAATCCTCGCGTATTTCTCTGGCGCCGAAGTCGACCAGGTGCAGTGGTCAACAACCCAGCCGGACTGGATTGGAATTGGTCTAGGCAATCGCGTGCAGATTCTGCGAGTGTAGATATCGAATGTTGAGCTGCTGGGTTTGTGTGAATCGTTTTGTTGTCATTTTTTTGTCGGTTTTTTAAGAAACAGTAAACAGTATTCGCTTGTTCCCCCTGTTCTCCATTTTCTTCGCGTGTAGAATGACTGTAGCTGGCTTTAGCAAACATCCAACTGAATACTTCCAACCCAATTCTGAATCGGAAAACAAAAACAAAACAAAAAAATTAAACGAATGTTTTTTCTATTGCGATACAGATGCACAATCACTTCTTTTGCTCGCTAGGAGCAGCAGCAACGGCAGCTGGAGTGGCCTCTGTCTTGTCCGACATTGCATACCTGTGCGACCAGGAAACACCAAGTCAACATCAAAAAACAAAAAAAATCAAGGATTGCCAACAAGACACAACGGGAAAACAAAAAGCACACAACCGCAGCATGGCAACTGCGTACTTTCCGTAACGGAACAGCTGCGTCAATTGGGCAGCTTCGTTGGCGACGTGGCACGCGAACAGTGCCGGGTTGGGCGGGGAAATGGCGAGCGACCACCGCATAAAGAACAAACTGTATACGGCGAGGGCTACGTTTACGTCGACGGGTCGGTCGAAATATCACAATCAAGACGATGAGCATGCACATTTAGCTTCAACATTGTCGCATTGACCAAGCATTGACCAAGCATTTACCTGAAGTCATGCCAGGGTTGATCCTGCTGGGGTCGTCGGTGATTGATGCAAAGGCCTGTCGCCACAGAGACACGGGGCATACAAGTGAGATCCATTTACAAGCCCGACGCAACAACAGCAGCAGCAGCAGCAGCAGCAGCAGCAGCAGCAGCAGCAGCAGCAGCAGCAGCAGCAATGGCAATCAGAGAGCGGAGGACGTACAGCGACCGGGATCATCCAGTTGGCGACTGTGATCACAAAGACAAGCAAACGAGCGGGCACCACAGTCAGCCAACAAGCAAACGACGTACACCACACGTACACACACATGCACCACGCACGACCACGCTGAAGCGCATCCCGTCGGGGTCGTGCTGTGACTTGATCCAGCTCACGCCACTCATGCACGCTCCAGCCGTCACGCAGTATCACGCTCACACACTTCCCCCCAACTCCGACTCGAATGTGCTTAGTGCATGCGTTGTGAACGTACAGGCGCCGACCATGCCAACGCCCTTGATGTAGCTTGCAGACTTGGCAGCCATTGTCAATACAACAAAACACAAAACAAAGAATGGATGAGGAAAAAAAAAAAATCCAATGGAAAATCCAATAGAAAATGCACTCATTTTTTTTTTTTTTTTTTTTTGGCTCTGCCGAGATGGCTGCCATTTCCCAGCTCCCGTCGTTCCTGCGATTCCTGCGCCCCTTGGAAGGCAATGCCAAGCTGTTTTCCAATGCTGCCGCTCTGGCGCTCGAGAAGCGCGTCCCGCTGTTTGCCAAGTTCAACGACGGTGCGCGCTCTCACTCACGCCACTTACTTGGCTGCTGTTGCCTCGCTCTGTGCTGCATTGAAGCGTTTTTGTGTTGCGGTGGCTGTGCACATCTTACATCTTGTAGCTCACAATTGTGTTGATAACTTGCTGGCTCCCTTGCTTTGGCCATCTCGGCTTTTGCTCTCTTCACAGTGACCTACAGCGCTCCGGTACGTCGTCGTCGCCGACCTCGCGTGTTGCTTGCTGTTTGTTGGCGCTTGCATGTCTTCTAACTTGTTCTCTGCCTGTTTGTTTGTTGGGACGTGTTGGGTTTAGGCCGCCAAGTGGAGTACGTCGCTCGCTTTGAAACACCTTCACTTCTCCTCACGACACGCAACCAAACCATCGTTTTACTCATCGCATTGTCGCTGCTCCCGTTGTTGGTAGTTCTTTCGATCGTGCCGCTGATTCAAGCCTTCTCCGGCAACCCGCCAGTGGAGAAGATCGACCTGAAGCAATCTTCGTGTACGCGAGCTTTTCTTCAACCTTTTGCTCTAAACCGCTTCGGTGTGTCTCACTTCTCTCCCTCGTGTTTCCCCAAAAAACAACACAAACTTAAACAAACAACCACAGCCCTCTTGTTCACAGGAATGGTCTGGGCTTACTATGCAACCCTGATCACGCCACAAAACGCAGGATCGCGCGCCCTCTGCATCTGCAACATGGCCATGGCGAGTGTGCACGGTTACAATGTCGCGCGTCGTGCCCGGCATGACCTGAACAAGCAATAGATAGCACTGCGTAGGATGATGAAAAATGAGGGTCCTGGCGAGTTCCGTCCCTTTTGTCATTTGAGCAACAAGAAAGCTCTCTTTGCGCACCATCACTCCATTTCGAAAACTCCAATGCGTATGGTAGACGCTCAGACAAGCAAACAGAGAAAAAAAAAAGGAAAAATTTCATTCGCAACAAACACATCACGCATCGAGGGCTGAATACATTGAAAAATAACCAGAAAACAAAAGAAAAAAAAAACCAACGAACAACAAAAAAACAAAACACTCCTTGATTAGTTTGGGTTGTTTTGTTTTTTACTTCTTGGCCTTGGTCTTGGCCTCGGCTTCCTTTGCCTTGTCGATGGGCGCAGCCTTGACAAACTTGATCAGCTCGCGGTATTGCGCGGGCATGTACATGCGCAAAACCTCGGGGACAACGATGCCCTCCTCGGTTTGGTATGTCTCGAGGATGATGCAAATGACGCGGGTGAGGGCGCACATGGTCGAGTTGAGCATGTGGACAAAGGTGGCATCCTCGTTGGCCTTCTTGGTGCCGTAGCGGATGCGGAGACGGCGCGACTGGTAGTCGGTGCAGTTCGAGCACGAGACGAGCTCGCGGAAGGCCTTCGAGCCGGGGAACCAGCCCTCGACGTCGTACTTCTTGGAGGCGGCGTTGTTGAGCTCGCCCGAGACAATGTTGACGACGCGGTAGCCAATGCCGAGGTTTTGGTAAAAGTCGGTGGCGTTCTTGAGCATCTGCTCCATCATTTGCCACGACTCGGTGTCGTGCGGCGAGGTGATGCAGAACTGCTCAATCTTCTCAAATTGGTGGACGCGGAAGATGCCGGCAGTGTCGCGGCCGTGCGAGCCGACTTCCTGGCGGAAGCAGCTCGAGTAGCCCGCATAGCGCTTGGGGAGCTCCTTGGTGTCCATCCACTCGTCGCGGTGGAAGGCAGCGATGGGCTGCTCGGACGTGGCGATGAGGTACTTTTCGTCCGTGGCGTTGTCGTTGGGGTTTTCCGACGCCTTGGCGTGCACCTTGTACAGCTCCGTGTCAAACTGCGACAGCTGTGCGACCTCCTGCATGATGGACTTGTTCATGAAGAACGGGGTGGTCAATGGGGTAAAGTCGCGCTGGACAAGCATCGTGAAGGCGTACTGGATGAGGGCAAACTCGAGCATGACGGTTGCGCCCTTGAGGAAGTAGCCGCGGTTGCCGGCAACGGTGACGCCTCGCTCGAGATCGACACCGTCAATCATGTGAATCAAATCGACGTGCGAGTACTTCTTCTCGCTGGTCGTGTCGCCGACGGTGTGCTCAATCCTGTTGTTGTCCTCGTTGTTCGAGACCGGGACGCTGTCGTCGACGAGGTTGCCAATGAGGCGCAGGGTCGAGTCGCGAGCAGCCTCGCTTTCAATGACCTGCTTGTCGACATCCGCCTGGCGGCCCTCGCACAGGAGCTTGGCAGCCTTGAGCTGGCGCATGGTCAGGGGGGCAAGCGCATCCGTGAGGGGCTGGCCTTTGAGGTCGACCAGCGTGTCCAAGCTGAAGCCAGCGGGCAAGTCGTCCGAGTCGCCCTGGGCCTCCTTTGCCTGTGCCTTGACACCGTACTGCTTGCTGCATGCCTTGGCGGTGCGGTTCCAGTCGTCGGCGCGGCCGCGGACTGTGTTGAAACGAGCAGCAAGACGCAGTGAGTTTGAGCGCGACTTTGTGACAGCAAAAAGGTGGCATGCTTGCCAAAAATGCGAGTGAGAACGTCGAGTTGAATGGGTTGAGAGTTGGAAAGTGCACGTTAAAGGCATCGACAGCGCATTGCATTGCATTGCATTGCATTGCATCAGCGCACATGGAAAATCATCATCATAAAATAAAAATAAAAATAAAAAGAGAGAGAAGCGAACTCGCTTTCAAGACACGGGACATGGACGACAGTGCCGCTGCGTCTCACAGGCACACTGTGTCGCTGCAACACAGACAGCGACTGGGGAGGCGGAGTGGTGGGAGAGAAGAGCCGGGGAAGAGCGCAAAAGCGTTGAGCAGGCCGAAAAAAAAAAAAACAAAAAAAAAACGAGCGATCTCAAGGTGCTCGGCTTCTCCCACTCCTCGTTCGTCGACAGTGCCCTCCGGCTCATGCGCAGTTACGACGTAGCACAAAACCAGGCATTTTCCCATCGTGGAGACGGAGCCGGACTCGGCATGGGGAGGGCTTTTCAAGGCAAGAATGTGCGCCTTCGTTCCATCACACTCAAACTGTGCTGTGTGCGGTGTGCGTGTCAGTGTCAGGGTGTGTTGATGCACGTACGGGCACGCCACTTCTCGTCGAGGGCAATGACCTGGTCGACGAGGGTAATGTCGGCATAGCGGCGTCGCTGCGACTCGCGGACCTTGTCCGGGTTGCCGCCCTTGTTCACGCGAAAGAGCTCAATGTCCAGCATACTGCAAAGAAGTGTTTGTCACAAAAAGAACAGACTGCGCACGCAAATGAATTAATGAATTGGGGGTTAGGTTGGTAAAATGGCGCATGTAGAATTTGGTAGCATTTTTTTGCGCGAGGATGGGTAGGTGGGAAGGGGAAGGACGTGCAGCTCGAATTTGGGAGCTCCTGCAATGATCCTCGCAGCCTTCATTATCATCATCAGCAGCATCAACCACACCAAGACTCATCCATGAATGCTTGAATGCATGAATTTTGCTGACATTGATCCAGTCTTTGCGTTTCCATTCATTCGCTCGCTGCCGTTCCATTTCGCTCCTTGTTCCCAACTTTCTTTTTTTTTTTTTTTTTTTTTTTTTTTACTTTTTGCCTCGAAACCCCCAACCATCGTGTCGCATTAGTGCTTCAGGAAGGACACGCGCACATGCTGGACGACGACGAGTTGACGTGGAGCAACGTCGATCACGGCAAGTTTGTGCTCCACGGTAGCATTGTGCTGCTCGGGCTGGACGTGCTCTTCTATCCGCTGGACGTCATCAAGACCCGCCTCCAGATGAACGAGGTTTGCAACCGTTCCCATGCACCTACAGTTTGAGCCCTGCCTGCTTGGTTGCACGGCGAGCGGAAGGATGAGAAGGCCGACGAGGAGAGAGTTTGACGTTGAGCAGCGCGGACGTATGGGTTGGTTCCTCGTGGTTCGCGGTTTCCACTACGTCCGACCCATACGAACGCACGCGCAGCTCTGGCGCTGTTCAAATAGCGTCGTCGCTCAACATGTTCAATCGATGGACTCCCGCTTGGTTGTCACATCACATTGGTGTGTCGCGGGGGAGGGGAGAGGAGGAGTTTCAGCTGGATTTTGAGGATGTTTCAGTCTTGGCGATTTTGTTCTGTTCACCAAATCCCCGACTTCAAGCTGCGATCGCCCGTGTGGCTCACTTTGACACTCGTGCGCTCATGGGGGCAGATTATTAATGTGCGAGTCAAGCTGGCAGATATGGTCAAGGGAATAGCGCGGCGAGAGGGCTTCTTCGGTAGGTTGCCGCCATCATGCTGAATGGCCCTGATTGCTCAGAACTCTCGTCGACCAATGATAGCTCAAAACGCCTTTTCGCAATCTGGTTATCTGCGACAGGATTTTTCAAGGGATTTAACGCCACTCGTACGATACTCAAGATGCTCGTGTTGCCAAAAGCTTGATTGGCAATCGTGAATTGAACTGACTTCTTTTGTTTGTGATATTGCTGTTTTGTTTTTTGACTTCACCTGGACAGTGGCTTCAGCATACCCTGGTCAGGCACTCTACTTTATCTCGTACGAATTCTACAAGGACCACCTTCTTGGCTTTGCTTCGCGACACCAGACCAACAACTCGATGCTGAATGAAGCAATGGGTAGGGCTCGAACTTTTTGTTTTTTTTCTTTTCCGTTGTTTTCATCAGCACCTGTTTTTGCACATCCTCCCGCTTGCCGCTCACATGGACTCTGTCTTCTATGCCTTGGGGACATCAGAGTTTGGTGCTCATGCAGCGGCAGGCTTTCTAGCAGACGCATCATCACTCGTCATTTACGTGCCGTCCGACATTGTTTCGCAGCGGCTCCAAGTTGTGGAAGACCGTGTTCCAGCCAGCAGCGTCGGTATGAATGGCGTTGAATGGCTAAGGGGAGGTGTGTCCAAGCCTGTGAGAGTGAGTCGACTCATCCCACGCTGTGGTTTCGACTGGGATTTGGACAGACGTGGTGCGACGAATATGGCGCGCGGAGGGCATCCGCGGGTTTTATCGCGGCGTCGGAGTCACTGTCGCCACGTATTCCGTGGGGTCGGCCATCTGGTGGGCCACATACGAAATGTTCAAGACACCCATGGGAAGGCTGTTTGGCGTGAGCCGAAATGGCTTGCCACTGTCCTCGACGGACGCTGCTCCCCCTGCTGCTGCAGCACCAGCAGCGCCCTCTACTTTAGCAGGCGGATCATCGCCCTCAACACTGGCCGCTGCCTCGACATCGCTTGTACCAGGGCTGTCACACATCCAGCCCTCCGTTTCGGAAGCCACGTCTTCTTCTTCTGCACCGCCTGTGCACGATTGGCGCTACCACTCGACGCATATGACTGCTGGAGCCCTGGCAGGATTGGTGAGCGGCGTCTTGTCCAATCCCCTGGATGTGGCCAAAACGCGGATGCAAGTGCCAGAGTACAAGTCGCACAGCGAAGCGTCTGCCCGCGAGCACAAGTTTTTGCCCGTCTTCCGGGGTATTTACAAAACCGAGGGTATCCGCGGCCTGTACAAGGGCATTGTGCCTCGCATATTAATCTCCATGCCATGTTCTGCGCTAACCTTTTTGGGATATGAATATGTCAAGCGCATGAGTCGGCTGGAGACTCCTGCCTAGAACGTGGGAGTGTTGTTAGATTCAGAGAGAAAAAAATTTTGGTGTTCGCTTGTAAAATCCATAGCACTGTATCCAACTTGCCACGCAATTGTTTCGATGCAGTCTCATTGAAAATCGATAACGCTGCACTTTTAGAACAACAAGCCAACAATCACCTGAACACACACAAGCAAATAAAACGCACTATCGAATAATGGCAAATACAAAAACGAGAAAAAGAAGAGACAAAGAAGCGACCCAAAAGTAGAAATCCAACACTCAATCAAAGCAGCCTTCACGCAGCAAGACTATCTACGGTACTGCCGATGCTGTAGAATTACCGGAGGCATCATCACCCGCGCTTGTGGGCTGGCTGCTCGAAGTTGATGGCAGCGTGATTGGCGGCTGGTTGTCGAGAACTGGAAGCTGTGGCAAATTGTGAAGCGGATTTTCGCCCGCCAAGAACGCTGATGGCTCTGGGGCAGGCACAAGGAACTGGTGCATTGTGGAGGCAAGCGCCTCCTGATTGCCTGAAAAGTACGCCGAGATGGCGTTGTGGAAGAGCAACAGCTGCTTTTGCAGAACCTTGACGCGGTTTTCATCCAAGAGGCGCATCTTGATGTTCAGTTGGATGCGCACAGCGTCAAACTTGCCTTTGGCAGCGTCAAACCGCTCGCGCGCGTCCTGGGCGGACTTTGTGAGGCCCTTGCCAGACGCCTGCATTCGCTCCAGATCGATGCGAAAGGCATCGTAGTTGATACGCGCGTTCTCAAACTCCTTGAGCGTGTCGAACGTGTCCTCCATGGTCTTGTTGCACAGCGTGTGCAGATTCGAGGCGAAAAACCTCAACGCAGCCAGCAGAACGCGGCCGTTCTTTTGCAGCGCAACCTGCGTCGCATGATTGAATGAAAACTCTGTCGCGAGCGCGGGTGTCTTGATGGCGGCCTCTGCGAAAAGCGATCCCAGCTGGTGCTGGGTGCCTACCAAGGTGGTAAAGTTGTTGACGTAGCTCTCAGCCAGCTGGAGGAGTCGCTTGCACTGAGTGTGGTTGTCGCGCATGGTGTCGATCTTGCGCTGCAGCTCAATGTCGACCGTGTACGACCCTCCGCCCAGCTTCTCTGTGAGGAACTGGCGAGTGAACGCATACGTCTCGTAGCCCCAGTCCATGAGCGTGCCTCTCGCGGCGGCCGACTGATGATGTTGCACAGGCAGGCTCGAGGATGCTGGATCCGCGCCGCCCCGCTGCTGCTGCTGCTGCTGCTGCTGCCCTGTCTGTGTCGTTGCAGCAGCGCTCGGTTGGTGCTGGGCGTGCTGAGTGTATGGCGGCGGTGGTCGTGCAGGTGCGTGCTGCGACGGTGATGATGATGTCGCGCTGCTACTGCTCGACGACCCTGCCAAGTCAGCAGCTTTGGCTTGTGCATTGGCATCGGGAGCAGTGATGCTCGCTGCAGTCACTGGAGCATCCGAAACAGCTGCATCGCTGTCGGCTGGGATTGCGTTGGCGTTGTCGACTGGCATCTCACTGCTGCTGCTGCTGGACATTTTTGGTTTACAAGTAGATGGACTGCCGCCGAGAGCAGAAGAAGGTCAAGCTCAGCCGTTCTAATAACCTGATAATCCAGGCATTGATGATTTTGAAGTTGATTCATTCAAACACCTCAGCATCAGTCGTTTGTCATTGTCTGAAACACCAATATTTTGCTTTCAGCTCAGTCCAAACAAAATTTCATGTCGCGATTGCCGACCATTCGACGACCAGCCAGGCGTAAGTGCGCGCGCACGGTTCCGCTCAGTTGACACGGCATCAAATCAAACGCACGATGGTTGATTGTCACTGTGCAAGGGTCGTGTTCACAGCATTTGAGCGAGCGAGCCAATCCACCCAATGCACTCACTTTCACAACGGGACGGATGCGACAATTTTGACAAGCACAGCCGAGCTGGAGCCACAGAGCTTCAGATACCTGCTCGTGCTCGACTTTGAAGCTGTCTGCGACGAGGTCACTCGTCCCAAGCCTCAGGTAACGGAGAACACCGGGGGCGCATGGTTGAGCTGATGCTGAAAGCGTTGCGTAATCTCAGACCCTTTGTCGGACGTGTCGGACGATCATCCCCCACGTCGTTGATGTTGGTTGGTGATGTGAATTGACGTGTTTTTTTTCACTTGCTATGGTTGCAGGAGATTATCGAATTTCCAACAGTCGTGCTGGACACGACCACGCTCGAGATTGTTGGCAGCTTCCACAAGTACGTGCGACCAGTCTCGCATCCCATCCTCACGCCGTTCTGCACAACGCTCACTGGCATCACGCAAGACATGGTATCAGGTCAAGCGACATTTCAGGAGGTGGGTCGGATGCCCTGTTTCGTTTTTTTTTTGCAACTTAGATCTGGTTTTGTTGCGCAGTCGGAATTACTCACACCCGCTGGGAACGTGCTCTCGTTGCGTGTCTTGAAATCTTTCATGTTGCATCTTTCGCCCCGCCTTCAGGTGTTTGACGAGCATTTGGCCTGGATTCAATCATTCTGGAAGAGTTTGCCTCCCGCAGCGAACGCCGACGCGGATGCCGCAAGCACCGCTTCCTCGTCAATCCCAAGCGAAGCCCCGACGTGGGCCTTTGTGACATGCGGCGACTGGGACTTGAATCGCGCCCTTCCCGACCAACTCGCGGCTCTCGGCAAAAAGTCACCTGCGCCCTACCGCCAGTGGATTAACATTAAGAAAGAGTTTGCCGTCAAGTACGGAGTCAGCCCTCCCGGCATGACGGCAATGCTTGACATGCTGCGCCTCGACCTGGTCGGACGTCACCATAGCGGCATTGACGACTGTCGCAACATTGCCGCCGTCGCCAAGGAAATGCTTCGCGATGGGCATGTTTTCGAGATTACCGGCACGCGCGGCGAATCCAAGGGCAGCAAGGCATCGTGCTGATTGCTTCACCCCGCCTCCTCCCCCATCATGACCATCAGTGTGTTGATGTTGCCATCCCCCTTTCTGCGCATCTGCATTGTACTTGGCTCTCACTACGAGTCACTTTGAGTGTTTTTGGTCGTTTCTTTGTTTTGTTTTTGTTTGTTTTCGCTTGTCGCTGGTTTCTTGTCTTTTTTGGATTGATGGATGTGTAATTCGTTCATCATCATCATCATCATCATCATCATCATCATCATCATCATCTTCTTCTTCTTCTTCTTCTTCTTCTTCTTCTTCTTCTTCTTCTTCTTCTGCAATTCGTTCTGCTTCAGTGATTTTGTATTTTGTATTTTGTACTTTGTATTTTGTATTTTTGTATTTTCATTCCAACTTCTTGTTTTAGAAGGAGTCCTTTTTTTTTTTTTTTTTTTTTTTTTTTTTTTTTTTTTTTTTTGGCTTCTTTGCAGCCTTTTTGATTCGCAAACAATCGTAACATAAAAAAACGCGTCCTTTGAATTTTAAGTTGTAGCAGCGAACGACCGAAGAGCGAAACGATGAGCTTTGTGAAGCAGGGCGCACTAACGCCGCGCAAGTCGACGGAAGGTCCGACGACGAGTTCTCCTACCGCTGCTGCTGCTGCTGCTGCTGCTGCGACTTCGACTCCGACGACTACTCCTGCTCCGAGTACTGCTACTACTAGTACTACGAATGCTGCTGCTGCTGCTGGTGGTGCAGGTGCTGCTGCGCCGGCCGCTGCAACGCAATCCCCGCGTCCAGCTGTGACCAAGATTGGCTCGTTCTCAACCATCAACTCTGGAGCGACGACCACCGCTGCCACTGCCACAGCCACCGCCACTGCCACCACTCCAAAGCAAGCTCCGAATGCGACTGCTGCGACTGCTGCGAGTACACCCACGGCAGCCGCGGCCGACGCAGCCAAGTCGAGCGATCCTCCATCGAATGCAGCCACAGTGTCATTGGATGCCGCTGCTGCTCCAACCACCCCAGGCAAAGCCAAGTGGCAACCCAAGCCGGTCGCTGCCGCATCATCGCCTGCAACTGCTACTGCTGCTACTACAACGACGACTGCGACGACTTCTGGGTCTACTGCTGCCGGTGCTGGTGCAGCAAAGCCGACAACGGACGCCAAGCAAGACGTCAAACCCGTCGCTGCGTCGGATGCAAAGCCTGCCGACGCTGCACCGAGCGCCGTCAAGTCCGACGTCAAGGCACAGTGGCAAAACCGCTCTGCGTCTCCCGCCGCGACCGCCAAACCGCCGTCGCCTGCAGCAGCGACTCCCAAAACGGAATCTGCTGGAGCCGATGCGACCCCAGCTGCTGATTCCGCAGCTGCAGCTCAACAGACTGCTGATGCTGCTCCGAAGAGCAATGTCAAGGCTCAGTGGCAAGCAAAGTCGTCCACCCCAGCGTCGCCAGCACCTGCTGCTGCGCCAACGCCCGATGCCACCTCCGGCAAAGCTGCTGCTGCTGCTGCTGCCACCGACAGCTCGGCAACGGCTGCTCCAAAAGCCGGCGTAAAGGGTCGATGGCAACCAGCCGGAGCGCCTGCTGCTGCTGCTACGACGGCTGCGGCCGCTGCCAGTGCTGCAACCGCCGCGCCGACACCCTCATCCCCTTCTCCGCCGCCAACAACAACCGCTGCCTCGGCCTCGCCAGCCGCAGCCATTGCATCGACAATGAATGCTGCCGCACGAGGCTCTTCCGGTCTTGCCAGCGGCGTGGCCGGCTCGTCGAGCTTTGAAAGCAACATTGCCAAGCTGAAGGGCGCCAAGCGCATCATCAAGGTTCAAATTGTCAACGATGCCTTCTCAGACACTGCCTCTGTTGCACCCACTGCCGGCAAGGACTGGCGCGAGGACCTTGGCAAGCTCCCAGCGCTGGCTGACGAAGAACAAGCCTGTTACTTTTTCGTCAAGGAGGAGGTTGGCAAATGGTTGCTTGTTACCTGGATTCCCGAGGCCAAAGTCAAAGTCAAGGAGCGCATGCTGTACGCTTCGTCTGCAGATGGCGTCAAGAAGGCGTTTGGTTTTGATTCCGTCTTTGAAGAGATGCATGCTACCTCGAAAGTAAGGCTTCTGGCCCACGACGCAGTAATTTGTCAGTCATTGTTTCTCACCTTGACGATCGTTTTGGGGGGGGGGGGTTGCATCCATTAGGAGGACCTTTCGTTGAAGCACTACCAGGATATGCGCAAGGCCGAACGCGACGACCTGCTCAGTCCTGCAGAGAAGGCTCAGAAGGAAGCGGTAGGTTGAAAAGCTCGTGTTGCATGTTGCGGCATGGAGCGGACGTTGAGCTGATTCTATATTTGGAATGCATTCGGTTGCCCGGGCGACATTGTATCGCGTGCAGCACGCGATGGAAGAAGTTGCGAGAAAGGAAATGGCTGCAAGCCAGGGCGCCGGCAGCCGACAGCTGTCACTCGCGGATCTGATGAAATCAAGCGACACTCGCATCGAAACGCCATCGAATGCCAAGGGCATCGGTGGTTACCATGCTGTTCAAGTGCCATTCAGTGATCCCGCCCGCGAAAGGCTGGAATTGCTCGTGGCTGGCGATGAAAACGTCAACTGGCTTGTTTTGGCTTTGTCGAGCGACCAAAAATCCATCGTGCTTGAAAGCTTTGCCGGCGTTCCAGCCAGCGGCTTGTCGGCGCTTGTAGTCAAGGACGAGCCTCGCTTTTACATTTACCGCCTGAAATCAGGCGGCGATATTGGTAAGTGCTGCTGCTGTTGCTGCTCCCGAGTAAAGGTGTACTTGTCTCGCTGACTCGGCGGATTTGCTTTGCTCGCACAAGCATTCCTGTACGTCTGCCCTTCGTCTTCTCAACCACGCCAACGCATGGTCTATTCCACAAGCAAAGCTTCCGTCACCCAGACGCTCAATCAAGTCGGCATCGAGCCTAAGAAGGTGGGATTTTTGCTTGAACGGGGGGTTTTTTTTTTCTCTTCGCTGGCTCGACAAGTTTTGGGTCACTAACTCGGCTTCCCTTTGCTCCTCCCAATGTGATTCACCTCGCTCAGATCGAATCCTCGGATCCGAGCGAAATTTCAGACCAGTTTATCCGTGATGAAATTGAATTGGCTGCTCGCGCTGTTTCGACAAGCCACGCCCGCACCAGCTCTCCCGCCGCCCCGGATACCATCAAAGCGCAGCACCCCGTTTATGGCCTAATGGGCGCGTCTGCTGGAGGAACGACAACTAAAAAGAAAATCGTGATGCCCCCAGCACATGCATATGGCTAAGGGCTCGCTGTGTTTGTGTGTGTGTGTGTGCATATGTCACTGATTCTCTGAAATTGTGTCGATATCCTCGCATTTGTTCGTTTGTGTTTGTGTTGATCGCTGTTGAGCTATTCAGTGGTTTTTTCTTTTTTTGTTTTGTTTTGTTGGTTTTTTGCAAAGGTTGCCTGGTGGCTTCAGCGTGCAGTCAATCGAAAATGGTACTGTTGAATGTGATGCAAAAGCACCTTATGTCGATACTATGCAATTCTCGACAGTGCTGATGGAACAAGCTACACTTCATTGCGCGATCTGCAGACTCGACTCGCCATGCATTTAGGCTGTTGAGAAGGTGGGATTGGCCATATGCGCCACCGGGCGAGTATCGGCTCCAGACGGTTTGCGAGCATCAGCGCCCATCGCAGCACGACGGCGTCGGAGAGCAACGACAAGAAGGGCACCCAACACTGCGAGTGCCAGCACTCCAACAACGATACCGGCAGTCACTGCCGCGGAAGAGGAAGACGCTTCCTCGTTCGGGTTGTCAGGATCGGCGGAGGTTGCAGACGCAGCAGATGTCTGCAAAGTGGGCGAGATGCTCGTGAGAGGGGCTACTGACGCCTCCGAGACAGTCGACGGAAGCAAAGCGGAGGTCGAGGCCACAGGGGGAGGCGTAGATGAGGTAATCGGCAGGGCGGACGAGGAAACAGCTAGAGCAGTCGAACTGGGGCCCACCGAGCTGGATTGAACACCGGGCAGAGTCGATGTCGAAGCGCTTGAAGTAGAAGACACGGAAGACCGCAGAGCGGATGCAGAAGCACCAGAGACAGATGCCGCAGAGACAGCAGAGACAGATGCAACAGAAACTGATGCACCAGAGACAGATGCACCTGACACAGATGCAGCAGAGACAAATACAGCAGAGACAGCAGAGACAGATGCCGCAGAAACGGCAGAAGAAACAGATTCAGAAGCAGAGGCCGCTGAAGCAGTAGAAGCGAACAGAGCAGATACAGTAGAGACAGACGCCACAGAAGCAGCAGAAGCCGACAGGGCAGAAGCGGCTGAAGCACGGGACGCGATTGATGCAGAGCGTGTGGAGGCCGCCGACGCCGACATGTCGGACGCAGAGCTCATCGACGCAACCGATGCGGACAAGGCCGATGCCGCTGAAACAAGAGATGCGACGGACGCCGAAAGCGATGCAACCATTCGAACAGAAGACTTGGAAGCGCCAGAGACCGAAGACACGGAAACTTGCGACCCGATAATTTCAGATGCACGTGAAGCAAAGGATGCAAAGGACGCGGAAGCAGTGGACGCCGCAGAGGCAGAAATTGCAGAGCTGGCCGATGCGATGGACGCAGACGACGCAGAGGTTGCCGACACAAGGGCTGCGACCGACGCAGAAGCCACAGAGGCAGCTGACGTAACAGACGGGGACGCCATGCAAAAGTTCATTCCAACGAGTTGATAGCCATCGTAGCACACATTGCACTTGGTTGTTGAATTGCAAATCAGACAGTTGGCACTGCAGCACGAGGCAGATCCAGCCGCAAAGCAGGTTGAACAGGCCGTATCACACTCTAAAACACTCGCCCAGTCGAAGGTCAGTGATGACGAAGACACTATGGAAGGACGCAAGCACTCTGGGCAAACTTACTCAGCGGCCGGGTTGCATTGCCATAGGTGCTGGGCGGGGCCACAGTATTACCCGCAAACGTAAAGTTGTTTGGTGTCAAGAACTTGTCGGATACAAGCCAAGAACCGAGGGCCAACGATATTCCATTGCTCAATCCCTTGAACAGTCCGGGCGGCAAAGTTGTGAATGGATTGCTCTCCATGTACCTGCAGGGGTGGAGCCAAGTTAGCCATTGAGCTGGGTAGAGCGTTGAGATTGCTTAACTCACAGGGCGTAAAGGTCTGTGTTGGTTGTGAGCGCTTGAAATGCGTTTGCAGGAAGGCTTGTGATCTGGTTGGAAGTCAGACCGCTAGAAAGTGACGTAAAGTATCTGAGCTGGCCGTTTTTCAGTGGTAGATAATATCGCGCATTCGTACTTACAGAGACTTGAGACGAGGTAATCCAGCAAAGTCAGTCGAGGAAACCGCCGAGATCTTGTTGCCAACCAGGAATCTAGCAATCGAATGTTGAGTGCTCGAACTGCTCTTGTTGCATCACAAGCAACAAGAGCTCGTGTGCTTACAGATGCCGCAGTTGTGAAGCAAAGCTCGTCATGGCAGCTACGGGGACGCTGGTGAGCAGGTTGTCGTGGACGTAGCTAGGAAGAGGGTGGACCGGTGAGCGACGTGCACAGGCCAGCTATCCCTATAAAACACGTTGCTTACAGTGTTTGCAGGCTTGTAAGGCCGGCGAAGGTGGCTGTGGGGATGCTAGTAATCTCGTTTGCGCCCAAATTTCTGGGCGACCGCAACCATTTTAGCGCATTGCTCCTTGCCCCATAACCCGAGGACCCATTGCCGACTTACAAATCGATCAGCGAGGTAAGAGTTGCAAAGACATTTGCAGAAAAACTGGTGATCTGGTTGAGGCGGTTGTTATCGAGAAGACTGGTAATGGGGCGCCGAATTGAGGAGGAGCTCGATGCGAAAAGGCTCAACAAAACAACAATTGCCAACTTACAGATATTCCAGCTTGTCGCGGTACACGAATGCCAATGAGTCAATGCTAGTGAGTTTGTTGTACTGCAGGTGTCTAGCAATCACACGTCAAGTGAGCCAAGAGTCTTGGTTCAAAGCAAACAGGCAAATCTACTTACATGCTGGTCACAACGCTCAAGCCACTGGTCGCATAGGCAGAAAGGCTCGTGAGCTCGTTGTAGGCCAGATCTCTAGTGGCCGTCCAGTCAGCGAACAGCTTGCGTTGACGTCACTTCCCGCAGAATTTGTTTCTTACAGCAGCTTCAGCGACTGCAGTCCAGTGAGCGCACCCTCGGGAAGGCTTGTAATGCGGTTGTTGTTCAACGAGCTGTTTGTTGCGTTCGGACAAGGTGAGCTGCATGGTCTTGCCTTTCTAGTCCCGTCGCTTTCTTACAATGTTGCCAAACGAGTCAAGTCTTTGAAAGCTTGAATAGCAATGCTTGTGATCTGGTTGTAGTGCAGATAGCTGGTGTCGAAAGTCGCGTAAAGTGAGGGCGAAAACCAAACGGCTCGAAAAACAAGGTGATAAGATACGCTGTTTGCCGAACTTACAAGGTATTCAACTTTGACAAACCAGGAAACGCGGTCGTTGGAATGGTCGTGATGCGATTTCCATGCATGTCCCTGATTCATGGTGCAGCGTGAGTCGCCTTTTCCTCTTGTATCCAGCTCAACAATGCTCACTTACATCTCCGTCAGCAACGACAGTCCTGAAAATGCGTTGGCGGCAAGGCTGGTGATGTTGTTGTTGTACAGCCAGCTACAGAAGTGCAACACGAGTGAGGCTCCATGCTACAAAGTACTTGTCATAAAGTTTGCTTACAGAGTTTGCAGCGATGTCAGTCCCGCGAATGCATTGCTTGGAATGGTTGTAATTTGGTTGTCATGAATCCATCTGGTGGTAAGGCTACACAGTGAGCATGTGGCTGCATTCATGACAATCGTCACTCGGTTGTCCTCTTACAGGGTCGTCACTTGAGAAAGTCCTGCAAAAGCATTAGCAGAAATCCTGGTGATCTTATTGTCATACAAGTAACTAGAGAAAGCATGCCAAGTGAGGGCCTCGGCATATCGCACATACACACACACACACACACACACACACACACACACACACAGTTCTTTGTCTAAACCGAGTCACACTTACAGTGCTTGGGTAGTTGTCGGGATGTTGGTTGGAATCTCTGTGAGATCGAGACCGGTGCAGTAGACGTTTACAATTGGAAATGGGCAAACGCACACACCGCTGGTGCCGCAAGCGTCTGCGGCCTGCGACAGCTCGATCTTCAGCGCTGCGCACAACAGGAGCAGAAGCCAAGCAAAAGCAAGTGATTTGCTTCTCATGTCGGATGAGAAATCTGTACAAGTTGGCGTGAATTGTCAGTAAGGACGATGCCACCAAACGTTTTCTCGTGTCTCATCAAAAATTGAAGCGAAGAGGATTTCAAAAAATTGCCAACCACAACATTGCGAGCGAGCAAAATCAAACAAGTGGAAGGGGGGGGGGTAGAGAGAGTTGTTTGGTTGTTTGCTTGTTTTGTTGTGTTTTGTATCGTTTGATTTAGGGAAAAAGAAAGGGGAATTGAGCTTGGGTTTAAGCTTTCACAGCCACGACCATAAAAACATGAGAGGAGAGGGAGACGGGTGGCTGGGTGCCTGGGTGGCTGTCGGCGCCCGAATGCTCAGACACTTCACCGCCGCCAGCAACATCTGCACGAATGCGTAGGCAAGCAGTGGCGAAGGCGCATCCCATTCAAAGCCAACAGAAGCACAAAAGAACAAAACCAAAATAAACGACGGCAACAACAACAACAAACAAAAAAAAACAAAAAACAACAACAACAACAACAACAACAACAACAACAACAAAACGTCACACACAACAATAGAATGGCGCGCGAATCAGACGGTGGCAATGCATGATCCAGACAGAAAGTACAACTGACTGATCAATCGCGACTGCCTGCGCTGACTCGTTTGGGGGGTAGGGAACGCAAAAATATGTTGGGCGGAATGCATATGGAAATAGCACAATTTGCTTCTTGAACCGCCAACTCCCACGACGGCAAGCGATGTAGAGCAACCCGAAACAAATAAAAAGTCGTTCCAATCAGATGCACTTTGGGGGGGCGGTAAAGAGCATGGTGGCGGTTGGAAGGAAACAGAATTTGTAAAACAAAACCAGGTTTTCGTGACATGGTGTTTGTGACTTCGACAAACCCTCGCAATCCCACATGCCACATGCGTTGATGTGCAGGCACAGTCGCTTGTGCTTTGATTGTTCGGATGAGACCCCAAATTTTTATGTGCATAGAAGCATTGGGGTGCCGAGTGAGGAAGAGTGTTTTGGAGGGATCGATCAATGTTACCAGTTGCTGAAACGGGACACAACGGCTCCTTCACTCGCTCCCCTCTGCCGCCCAACGCACTTCCGCTGCGCCCCCGACCCTCGATCACACTGATGGCATGGTGTCAACCCCACAGTCAGTGCCCCAGCGACGGAAAGCGACGTAGGACATGTGCTGGATATGAACGACATATTTTGGGTGTTCATGCTACCTTTTTGAAAAAAAAAACACCGGAAACAAATACAGTCAGCGAAACTGTTATGATCGAAGATCGTTCCACGAAGATACGAGTAATGGGTTGATGATAAGAGAATAATAGGGAAACAAGAGACTTACTTCACTTATACAAAGCGACGAGTGAACGCACTCCAAATACAGATATGGGGATGTTTGTTTTTTTAAAAAGGTAGCATGAACCCCCCCCCCAAAATATGTCGTTCATATCCACCACCGTGTCCTACGTCGCTTTCCGCCGCTGGTGCTCTGATTGTGTGGTTTACGCCATGCCATCAGTGTGCTCGAGGGTCGGGGGCGCAGCGGAAGTGCGTTGGGCGGCGGGGCGGAGCGAGAAAAGGAGCGGTTTGTGTCGCGGTGTGATTTCTCAGCCAAGCTTTTCCCAGCCCTCAATCTGTGCCACTGCTACATTCTGTTGCGGGTTCATCTTGTCCAACAATAATCGGGGCGCAGTAGAGGGCGATCAGCCCCAGCACACTTGGTCAAAAAAAAAAAAAAAAAAACCTCTTGCATGTCCAAACCGAGTGCTGAACTGTCTTAGGCACTCTCTCAGCTTCCGGCTCCTCCTGCCCCTACCAGCCATTGTCCCGATCTCCGATCTAAAGAAATATTTGATGTGGTGTGGCAGCCCGCTGACACTGATCTGCTGCGACGAGGTTGCGTTGACCGTCACACCTTCTCGCGGCAGTACAGGCGCCGGCGAGACAGCGGCGTGTGGTCTGATGCACCGAGTGGCATGGACACATGGTCTACTCTCTCGGGCTGGGGTTGCAGGGCAGGGGAAAACAATTGCAGAGCTCAGCGACGCGATGGGAGTGAAAGACATGGCGATGCTACCTTTTTAAAAAAACAGCCCCATCTACATCAATCCATAACAGAAACACTCAAACAGATCTAGGGAGTTCAATGTACCGAAAAAGCTCACTCTGTCTTTGGTCCACGCTTTAATGTAACCCACAGTTTGAGCATACTGTAACACTTTGAACGATTGCACGATTTCATGATGGAAGGTTGCCACTCAAAAACAGTACCTTTAGGATGGGACAACGGGTGAACAACGGCGCGGTGTAATTGACTGGGCAGATTTTTCGTCCTGTCAAAAGTGCAAGTGAGCCATGCTCAACGCAGGTCGAACAAACAAACAAACAAGCAAACAAACAAACAAAGCGATCATTGTCTCAAGAGGTTTGAAGACACAGATTCGACAGCATCGCTTGCAACGCGTTCTTGCGAGCCTTGTCGTCGTCGCCAACCACCGTGACATCTGACAAGTCGAACAAGACAGCATACAACTGTCCGGTTGGGTTAAGTGAACAAGCCAACGTGACGCCAGTGCAGGTCGTTGTGCTCAAAGCCACAGTTGGCCATGTGCTGGACCGCGGCGCGAACTGCATCCTGGACCTCGGGCTTGCTCTGATCAGCCTCGGTTGCCGGGGAAATGTACGGCATGATGACCGCCCATGTGTGGTACTCGATGACCCGCACATCTTTGAACAGGGTGTTCAACTCGACGGGCCAATCACGATTGCCCCAGATTGCGTGCCAGCGTTGCTGCTCTTCCTTGCACAACGTCTCAGCCGTGGCTTTGGGATGTCGCAACTTCACCACGCAGACACCTGGACGGGCTTCAGTCGCAACTGAAGCCAACCACGCGTCGCCATCACGACCCTGGCCGAGATTGACAAAGCAGTCCAAAGACGTGGCTTCGGCACCCCGAGCTGGGGTATACCGCCACTTGTTGAGGTCCAGCGCTGGCATTGCCTTCTGTTCGTAAAAGTACTGGTAAGCGGGCGACTTAGTTTTGTCGTCGCTGTCTTGGCGAGAGACGGAAGCCTCCGTCAGCCGCAAACCAGAACAAGCGCCGTCCAAGCTGGGTTGGAAAATCGTCCAGTGCCACGCCTTGTAAATGACGCTGCGAAGGATATTAATCAGAAGTGGCCCGTCGCCTTGCAACTTTAGAACGCGAGTCGTACACAGAAATCGATCGGGCTCTGGTTTGCTTTTCACATCAAATGAAGATTGATGCGGATTGCAGAGCGTCGCGGGGGGCGCATCAGGACCCAGAGCCGTGCGGGTGGAGCGAAGCTCGCCGAAGCGATCATTAATCGCCCTCTCACGGCGTGCGGGTTGTTTGTCGTGTTCGTCGATTTCGATTTCAGCTCTCGTTGTTGCACTCGCACACCGGGTGGTGAAATCATCCTCGCACCAGACAAAACGCCACTCCTCGTAAGTCGTGAGGATGCCAAAGAGCGGTCCGACGCCATAATGCAAATGGCAACGATGAATGCAGTCGTATGTCTGACCGGCATTGTACTCATCGGCCATAACGGAGGAGCCTGGCATCTTGACTTCGACAATCACCAGCGGGCGATCGCAGTGAGTGGGAAGGAGAACATCTGGCGACTGGCCGAACATGGTTGTATTGACCTCCGCCAGGATATTTAGGTTGAGGGTGAACGCAAGTGAATCGAGCACGAGCGCGACGAAGCTTGCCAAACCGTTTTCACTGGAGATTGACTTGGCTCGCCGCAGCTGTACGGTCAAGCCATCAATAATCCCGAAATCTTGCGGGGGACGGTATTTTGCTTTCTCGTGGGTTTTCGAAACGCTGGTTGAAGGGCCAGTGTGCTGGATGAGAGGAAACGGAGGGAGCGAGGTAGGAAACTCGTGCTGCCCCTCGGCTATTTTCAAACGCAAGGCAAATGCAGTCAGCACAACGCACCCTGACTCCAGTCACAACATTTGGTCGGCTCGCTCACTTTGTTTCTCCAGGGCCAGCCTTTGCTTCTTCTCGAGCCGCGCTGCCTTCTCGGCGGCCAGTTGCTTAATCTTGGTATTGAGTTCTGTCGTGAACAGCTCGACGAGAGCGTTTCCCCACACAAACTTCGCGAGCTCTGAAATTGAGGGGAAGCCTTTCGCGTCAAGCGCGACGCTCATGTTTTCTCGTTGCTCGGTGCTCGGCTCCGCCACGGCCATGTCATTCTGCAGAGCCACTGCATCAGCCTGAAGCTGCATGATGTTAGCATCGAGCTGCGTGATTTCAGCATCGAGCTTGCTGATGTCAGCATCAAGCTCAGCAAACTGTTTCGCCAGAGCATCCTGCTGGTGGGCGGCCGGAGGAGCGCTGTCAGCGATGACCAAGCCGGTCCTCAGCTCGGAAGCGAGTGTCTGAACCACGGGATCGTCGCTCATCGCCAAGAAGGACCGGGGGAGGGAGAAGAGGAGGGGACAAACGGTTTCAAAAGGACAAAAACAAAAAAAAAAAAAAAAAAAAAAAAAAAGAATGGCCATTTTCCACAAAGACCAAAAATGTTGGGAGCTAAATAATCCCCCCAACAATACGTTGACGCGGCGTGGTAGGGCTTCGTAGCACCCGTGGTACGTTGACGCGGCGTGGTAGGGCTTCGTAGCACCCGTGGTACCATGAATCGATTGAAGCAAAGCAATACATGGCGATCAACTGTGCCATCGGAAGCTTTATTCCAACATTGCGAATAAGAAAAAGGAGAAAAAAAAACTTTATGGTGATGGTCTGATCTGCGCGGCTTGTTGCTGGGATGAGATGCATCCTGGTTGAGACGAACGCAAGGGCTATCACTGGTTCGTTTACCAATGCTTCCTCAACCGCCAAAGCGGGACGGTGGCTCAGTTATTGAGCGGGCCTCGACGACCGCGATTGAACAGATTCGTGCTCCGAGGAACAACAGGCGGCGCTGCTGCGTCACTAAACTGCTCTTGGGTCTGTTGTGTGAGAAACATTTGCTGGTCTTGCTGAAAGTTTGACAGGGCGGACTGGTTCCACAGTTCATTGCCGGGAGCCAGTGCTGCCGAGACATTCAGGCGAACGGCTCGTGCCGGTGACGGTCGACTCCAACTGCCACTTTGACTCGACGGCCGCTGCATGGAGGTTGCAGTGCGCAGTGGACTGGACGCCGTCGAGGTTTGCGAGAAGACGGGCGTCGACGAGCCAGCGTCCAATGTCGACAACGTCGAGGTGGCTTCCAAGGATGCAGCAGTGGCGGGTTCGTTCGTTCGGCGTGCTCTCGAAGGCGGGACGGGGCCTGACAGTACCGAAATACCAATAGGAAGCGGTGGCGGTCGTGTGGCGGATTTTGTGGCGAAAGCCGGGAGCGGACTGTCGAAATTGATAGCGTTGGGCTGAGGTGATTCCACAACGGATGTTGTCAAAGTGCTGTCGCGCCGATAGTGCGCCAATACAGACCCATCCGAGTTGGAGCGGTGCTGAAGGTAGGGCAGCGGCAGCCCGTTTTGATCGAACGAAGCGCGCCTGGACGCAGGACCTCCCACCACCTGTCTGACTTGCTCCTCGTAGAATGAAGCCATGGCGCGCGAGACCTCCCGGTCGTCGACGTCTGGGGACTGCGGACCTGACTGCCCGATAGTTGACTGCAGTGATCCTGCCAGCTCGACAGACTCCAAGCTCAACGCTCGAGACGGGACACTGGCAGGCAGGAGATGCGGGGCGTTTCGCGGGTCTCTGGGAGTTGTTTTTGGAAAGGCCGGCACAATTCCAGTAAGAAAGTGTGCCTGGTTTGGCTCTCCGCTCTGCAACGGGGACACGGATCTGGCAATTGACATTGCGGCTCTGAGTGTGGCTGGCGACCAGCCGTCGTCCGAGTCGGAATCGCTGTCAGCATCATCTTGGCCCGTTTTCGCTGGCTGATCGACCTCGATCACTGGTTCCCGCGGCAAGGCGGAGGAGGTGGCCGTGAGAGTTGGCTCGTTTCCAGCGCATGCTGACGACCTGCGACTGGCAGCGCGTGCTGCTTGAAGCCGCTCGTCACGCTGGAGTCTGTCTGCTGATTCCACATCAATCATGTGCTCGGGAAGTGCCTTGCGAGCGGTAGGGGACACGAGCGGCGGTGGGCCTGTTGCTTTTGATGCCGACGTACCGATCGTGGCCCTGTTAATGAGAATGACTGGAGGTGGAGGTCGAGCGGCAATGGCAGATTCGGCTTGTGTGGAGGTGGCGAACGACTCGGCAGCGTCCGACTTGATGAAACCTGCTCGTCCATCTTTGACATTTGAGACCGAGATGGATTTGAAACTGGCAGACCAAGCGGCTTGCGCTTGTGTGTCGCCAAACCGCGTGTCCAAGGACCGCCTCCGATTCAAGTCTGCCTTGTGCGTGATACCAAGATGGGTTTGATCGGGCTGACTTGCATCAATAGAGAGTCGTCGATCGAGGGATTCCGCGTGAACAGGTTCGGGTCGACACTGACGCTCATCAGCCACCAGAACATCCAGAATGTTCAAAGAAGGCGTGTGCCAGGCTACGTTGTACCGAGTCACGTTCAGATAGGGGTTGCGTGCCAAATCATCGAACGAGGCGCGTTTTTTCGCATCCATCTGCAGGAGACTGCAGAGCAAATCCCGGAAAGGCTGACTGACAGAAGGAAGCGGTTGAAGCGCTGCAATTTGCCGGGGAGCAGTGAGTGTGGCGTACTCAAAATTCAGCGGTGGGAGAGGTGTTGGCGTATTCGCGGTGCTGCCGTTGATTTGACCACCACCACCAGCAGTCAGCTGCGGCTCTGGCGATCTGTCGGGAGGAGGGTTGCGGAGCGTCGCAGGTGGGGAGGGCGTTACCGATGGTTGCAATGCTGAGACAGCCTGCGAGCCCAAAAGAGGGTGCGGTTGGCTCTGTGCAGCGCGAATGGCATCGAGAAGAGCAGGTCCGCTCGCGGCTCGGTACGGGACGTGGCCAGTGATGCACTCAAACTGGACAACTCCGGCAGACCACAGGTCGACCGATGGACCGTATCGCCTCTGCATCAAGATTTCCGGAGCCATGTACAAAGGCGAGCCGCAGATTTCCGAATGCCGCTCCTCCGCTTGCTGCTGACAAGCGAGCCCAAAGTCGGCCACTTTGACCATCAATTTTCCGTGGGCAAATGGCTGCAACAGAAGGTTTCGGGGCTTGATATCGCGGTGTGTAACGTTTGCGCTTCGCATGTGCAAGAGCGCAGCAACTGCGTGTCAAAGTGAGGCGAGTGAGAGAGCCCCAGGTTTCAGATCTCGGCAATGCCCAGCACGTCACATCGCGCAACACTGTGTACAACCACCGCCGTACTCAGCTGTGTCATGATTGATCTTGTTACTGCCTCGGATAATCGCCCTCGCTCGTCAATAAAGTGCCCGAGATCGCCCGCTGCGCAGTATTCCATCAACAGGTAGATGTTTTCTCTCGTTTCCTGCAGACACAACCGAGTCCAGTTCATTGACACACAACTCGATCACCAATCTAAAGCAATATCAACGAGCGGCGAGCGTACCTTGGAGCCGTACAATCGCACAACGTTCGGATGGTTGAGTCGACGCATTGTGGTGAGTTCCAGTCTGAGAGTGACAGCCGCGCGTCGCGTATCGAGCGCGTTTCGCTTGACTTGCTTGAGTGCTGCATAGTGTCCGTGGATCTAACGCACATCCCAATATTTATCGACTGTCACTTGGTAACTTTGCTTTTCAGGTGTTGGAGGTGGGAGGGGGAACCAACAACGCGCTCGGTGCGAAAAGTGCTTACAAACTTGTGCGTGGCGCGATAGACGCGTGCGAATGAACCGCCGCCCAGCAAGTCCTGCTCGACGTGATAAAAGTACGCACCTACAGACTGGTTGCAGCAACCAGAAGCATGAGGATGACCAAGGGCGAGTTGAGTTGAGTTGAAGTGCGCGCCTATTCCAACCGAAGGTTTGGCGCGAGTGTTGGAACGACCCCATCTCTGTCCCCGCGCCCAGCGGCTTTGACGCTCAGTCAAACACTAGCAAAAGTGTACATGGTCATGCACAAGATGGATGGAAGAGGGTGGTGGTGGGCTGTTTGACTCAACTCTGAACGGGACTGCGCCACTGCTTTTGCTTTCATTGCTGCCACGGCTGGTCATCAGAATCGACCCATTGGCACCATTGGCACCATTGGCACTATTGGCAGTATTGGCACCACCAGCATCGACTGCAGCTGCATTCAAGGACCGACTGCTCGCTGATGGATGCAGGTGATGGTTGCTGTTCTGAATGCTGGTCACAGCATCGCCACCGAACTGCATGACGCCTCAGGCGAACTGAACTGCCTCTCGCTTGCCAACGCCAGTATGTAGGAAGAAGGACTGACAAGGCAGTGACGTGGGTATGCATTAGATCCATTCGTCTGGAGATACCAGCCTCAGCCTCAGCCTCAATCTCAGTCTCAGAGCTCAGTCTCAGTCTCAGTCGGTGAGCGCGCGAAAATGCTGCTCAGACAGCAAATGCGAGCGGCTTACACGCAATGCCTCGCGACGGCAGTGCAGGAGTGCATTGCGACCAGGACGCGTGCATTCTCGTGCATTGGAACTGTGGCACTGTCGCCATCGTCATCGTCATCGTCATCGACGGGATCATCATCGGGCGCGGGAGCAAGGACAAAGCGAGCGACGGGCGCCGGGTCCGCGTGGAAAAACCGCTATGCTGCGTCCGCTGCCGCTGCTGCCGAGGCCGCTGCAGGAAATCAGGCGCAATCGACCGCATCTCATGCGAATGCCAACCGACGGCCAGAGAGGGCGGGCGATGGGACGAGCCAAGCGCCGCCGAGAGACGTCCAGGTCCAGTTCAAAGAGTTTCTGCTCAAGGTCCATCCAGACCGGTTTGGCGCAGTGCCCCAGGTGCAGTCTCTCAATCAAGTAGGTCTACGTTGGAGAGATTGAGGGCTGAGGGGAAGGGAGGCGGGGGCGGAGGAAGCGGGATTTGGACGACGAGTATCGATTGGGAGCCAAAATCTGCTCGAAAACCATGCACTCACTGCTGCTGTGCGAAACAGGCTTCGTTGCAAGAGGTGAACGCGCACCTGCAAGCGTGCGAGGATGCAGCGCGTGTCGAAACACTGCCGACGTCTGTCCGAGTGGCGTTCTATGTTGCAGACACAACCGCCGGATCAGCGTCCACCGAAACTCAGATTGCAGGCCACCGAGAAATATCCGGCCTGCTGACCAAACCCACTGCTGATATTGTCATGCGCACAAGTGGTGTGCCTCACGTGCAGTATTACGGGGTCTCGGCCGCCGAGCGGGGTAAACTGCGACGAAAGGTTGCCATGCAACTCTTTCTCGACTCTATGCTGCCAGCGGCAAAGTCCGTGTCTGGTAGCTCTCGAGCACAACAACAACAACAACAGCAACAGCACAGCACTCAGCGCAAAGCACAGTCGGGATCACATCCCTTGAAACATGCCTCTACCAGCTTCAGCTTTGACCCTCAAACAAACACAAAAACCTGGCGAGGAGACGCGGCCACGCAAGAGGACGACATGTACGACTTTGCGGCGATGATTCGAACTCAAGCTGGAGGGCTTCGTGCCCAGCTCGCCTCATTGGGGAGTCGTGGCCCTGAAAACGACGCAAAGCAAGCGACGTCCATTCTCAACGCTGTCAAGCGAAATTCTCCCACAACAACGATGGATGACGCCATGGATCGGACGTTTTCACGATGGATGGAGCGCAACGGATCCAGACTCAAGCGGTGATTGCGCAATGCGTTCCTAGGCATATCCGGTCATTCAGTTGTGCGTTGCGAGAAGCGGATCGATTGCTTGTCTCCTTGGTGTCCCATCGTCTTGTTACAAGGGTGTCTTTGATTCGCTTTTGTGTGTCAAACGCTTTGATATGAGAGGCGTGATTTATTTATTTTCAAAGAATCGAGCATTGCTCTCCAATTACTCTTCATGTGTCTTGCACCGCTATCCATTGACCAACAAACCAACATCTCGAATAGAATGGCCGGAGGCCGAAGCAGAAAAGAAGGAGCAAAGATGATGGAACGAAGGACGAGCATCTGGATCTCGCTCCCAGCAGCGATACATTTGCTCGAACGTCGCAACAGGACAAGCGTCAGGCTGCTCGAGCCTGCGTCCAGATTCGATCGCGGCGAGTATCTCTGGGCCAGTTGTTTTGCCATAAGGCGAGGCGCCGTATGCATAAACTTCCCCTGCAAGGTAAAAAACGAATCAGGGTCAATCAAACACCGCGAAAAACAAAATCGATTTCCCCAAACCCTGCTGGTCCCCTCTGTCACTTACAAGCCAAAATGCCAAACGCCCACACATCACTTTGATGCGTAAACTTGCGGAAGAGTAAACACTCAGGGGCCATCCACTGTCAAAGTTAAAAGAGTCGATTTTGTTTGTTAGTTTCAAGATACACTTGTGTTGCACTGTCCACCATTCGCAACCACTTGAGGGCTCACCTTGACTGGTAGACGTCCTTTCGTCTGCATGCGATAGTAATCGCTTTCAGCGGCCAGCGAGCGCGAAAGACCAAAATCTGAAATTTTGACCGCCAGGCCAGCTCCCACGAGACAGTTGCGCGCCGCAATGTCGCGGTGCACAAACCGAATGGACTGCAGATAGTCCAGGCCGGACGCCACTTGCGCAAGGGCATGCGCAAACTCACCCACAGACCACTCGATATTGCGAAGCTGGGATTTTTGCAGCACGGCACGCAAATCGCCATACGGCATCAGCTCCAACACGCACATGAACGGCTCTGCCTCGAGCAGGGCGGCAATGGCACGAACGACATTGGGATTGCTGAACTGCGTCACCATGCGGACTTCCTCGATGAATTCTTTGCGATCCTTGTCGGTGGCGTCCGGGAGCATTTTCTTGACGGCGACATCGAGGTACTGCTGAGTCGGGCTCGTCAGCAGGTACTGGGCATCGGCTGGCACCAGGTTTCTGGGCAGCTGACCGCGCAAAACCACGCCAAAGGCACCCGAGCCGAGTTTCGCTCCCATCAGAATACCGTCACGCAGCGATCGGGTCACCGGTGCAGCCGAGCTGTAGATTCGCTCGGATGCCGCGTACGCATACTCTGGAGTGCTGTAGCCAACCTGGCCGACCGCAGCATAGGTTGGATCGGCCGCAGCAGCTGCGTGGGGCATTTTGGCGGTGGCGTACGTTGGCTCCTCCATGACGCCTGATGAGGCCGGGGAGAGCTGGACACTCTGCATTGGCACCAACGGCACACTGGTCTTGCTCGCCGATTCCAAATTGTGGCGCTGACGCTGGCGCCGTCGGCGAAGCACGAGCAACGCAACAAGCAGCGCCACCACGACGATTCCTCCTGCGACGCCTCCAACAACACCGGCGACAGAGCCGCCGCTGCCTGAAGCTGCCCTCAGTCCGCTAGTAGCGGCTCCAACGGAGGCCGCAGACAATGAGCTTAGGGAGGCGGCTGACTCGGCAACAACTGCGCTGGTTGATCGAACAAACTCTGCAGATGCGGCGGAGGCGGATGCCGTGGATGCCACGGATGCGGATGCGGTCGTTGCGACGGACGCGACGGATGCGACGGATGCGAGGGATGCTGAAGCTGTAGAAGCAGCGGAGGCAAGAATTCCGGCGGAGGCTGAAGCAGTAGAGGCCGCGGATGCCGACGCAGCCACCAGACTGGAAGCTTGAGATGCGACGGATGCAGAGATGGCGGAGGCAAGAACTGCGGCGGAGGCTGAAGCGGTGGAAGCAGCAGACGCAGATGCAGCCACTAGATGCGAAGCGTAAGATGCAACGGATGTAGCGATGGCGAGGGCGAGAGATGCAGCGGAGGCAGAAGCGAAAGAGGCAGCAGACGCAGATGCAGCAGTAGCCGAGGACGCTGACCTGGCAGTCGCACTTGTCGCAATGAACGCTGAAAAACTCGAAGCGGCGGATCTGGAGGCTGCGGAAGCCAATGACGCCACGGAAGTAGAGGCGGGCGAAACGACGCAGTAACCACTCTGCATGATGTAGCCAGGATAGCAGGTAGAACATGTTGCTGCGTCGTCACAGTAGAGGCAATTTGTTGGGCAGCAATTGGAGGCCGAGGAAACGCAAGTTGCGCAACTGGCACTGCACACTGGTGGTGTCAAAATTAGTGTGTTAGCCACGAAAACTTGCACAAGGTCAACGAAACGTAAGCGTGCTTACTGGCAGGGTTGGAGGCAGAAATGTAGGTGCTAGGCGGCGCTGTACTGCCACTGAAGGTAAAGTTGTTTGGGGCCAACACCACCGAACTTAGCGAGTACAGACCTTGGAATAATCCCGGAGGAAGCGTAGTCATCGGTGAGTCTCGAAGATACCTACAAGGATCAGCGGCAGGTGCAACGTTGTGAGATAACGCGGTAATAAAGGATACAGCAACGGCGCAAAAAATGAACCATAACACCGCACAATGTCACAAGCTGATTGAGTCCGGAGAAGGCGTTGAAGGGAAGTGTCATAAATTGAGATGTCGAAAGATCTCTGTTGGATAAAACGGCGAATATGAGCAAAGCAAAAGCCGTGCTGTGCAATCGCGGTTGGAAATTGACGAGACAATGCTCACAAGAACTTTAGAGCCGACAGTCCAGAGAAGGCGTTGGATGGCAGAGTGGTCAGTCGATTCGTTCCAAAGGTCCTACGATGAAAGATGACAACGGCGCAGGCACGAACGGATGAAAAGTAAGAAGCAAGAACGGTCGCCTTCACGCTCGCGTCGGCTGTTTGGCGGAACGAACAGTCTGGTGAGCGAGGATGGGCCAGCAAAAGCGTTCGGCGCTAGCGTTGAGACAGGATTATAGCTCAGAGCTCTGTTTCGGTCCGAGTGGAGGAGGAGTTGGTATCATTCGCACGTTTACGAGCACTCCGCACACGGCACAGATCAGCAAGCATACATAGTCATGAGCGAGGTGAGTGATGAGAAAGCAAACCCGGCAATGCTAGTGATTTGATTGTAGGTGAGAGTTCTACAGGCCACAAAAACAACACCGAATGAGTTTCGAGACCAGTGAAAGCATGGCATGCATGGGTTGGGGTTTTTTCGAATTCGGGCTTACAACATGGTCAAGGAAGTAAGCCCTGCGAACGCGTTCGATTCAACCGAAGTAATGTACGGATTGGAATCGATTGTCCTGTTCAATAATGATGCGCAATAAGGAATTCGCACGTTCACTCCTACCACGCAAGCGCACATTGAGTTGGGGGGGGTGACCTACAGCGTGCTCAGAAGTGTCAAGGAAGTCAATGCCGTTGTTGGAATGGCAGTCAGTCCGGTATTGGAGATTGAGCTGCGCACCGGCGATAAACAAACGACGTGAGTTCAATTGCATCCGAGCGGTAAACACGAATCAAAAGCGACATCAGCGATGAAAGTACAGCGTTTGCAAGGCAGTCAAGCCGGTGAAAGCGCCTGGTGCGATTGTCAGTAATTGCTGATTGTTGTTAAAGTACCTGTGTGTGTGCGGGTGTGTGTGTGGGGGGGGTGAAGCAGATGACAGACATTCATCGAGTGAATGCAATGTTTGCGGCGAGATGATGATCGGTGCACAGCAGAGATCTCAATGGTGACAGTTACAAGATTGTCAACTGATTCAAACCGCTGAACGCATTCGCGCTGATCTGAGTCAGCTGCATATACGCGAGATTCCTGGTGAGCAGAAAGAAGAGGGACATGAAACCAAGGTTTTTAAAATGATGGTTAGTCTCGTCCCAACAACCAGTACAGCGAAAACAAATCATCAAAACAAATCGAGGACGAACGTACAGAAAGGTTGTTTCGACTGGGAACGTTGGCAATGTTGTGAGATTGCTTTGACACCCAGAGACACTTGTTCCTGCGCAGTAGCAGACACCGGGAACGACCGGCGGGCCCGGGAAGTCACACGCATAGACTGCGTCCACAGGCACACTGGCAAAGTGGACGACGCACAGGCACAGGCAACCGAGCGCTGCGACTAGAGCTGCGAAACTACGGCCGAGGTGAGTCGGGCGGCGGTTTCCTCGCCCTGTTGCAGCTGGAGGACGATTCGGCATGTATGTTGTCGGGCTGGTTGCTTCTGTAGCTTATGGGTTTTGGCTCCCGATGGAGATGGAAGGTGAGTTTGTCGCTGAGGTGAACTGCAAAAGGGATCAACAACAGGGACCAATGATTAAGGGGTGAGAAACCTACAACCGCACGCAACTACTCGTCTCCCCCCCCCCTCCGACTCGAACCACCCTGCCGTCCTTCCACTGCTGCTAGCGTGAAGATGCTCTACGGCCAGAGGCAGCGGCGTCGGGAGAGGGGGGGTGTCCTTGGGTGATTATGGAAGCCCAAACACTGCACTTTTGTCGAATTCCGCAGAAAAACAAGCTTCACCACCGTTCTCTCGCGTCTCGCTCGCGCTGTCTTCAACGCAAGCGGTTTATGAGGGAAAGCAGACGTCGACGTACGCGGATTGAGTGGGTCGGTCAGGTTGCGCCGCGGTTGGGAGTAGAACGGCTTTGAGTTACAGCGGGTGATTTGTGAAAAACACAAAACAACAACAACAAAACAGGAATCACGAAAATTGCAGGGATGATGAAAGACTGCCGCCATTGAAGGCATTGTGAAGCCATGTAGCAGTTGAAAAGAGGACGAGATGGAGACCCCGCGAAAATAAGAAACAACCACAACAACAACAACAACAACAACAACAACAACAACAACAACAACAACAGAAATCCAACGAGCTGAACAACTATCTGAGAGAAAAAGCAACCCAAGAGGTGGATTTCAACAAGAAATCAGGCAAAGCACAAACGCAAACCACACGCACACGCACACACACACACACGCACACAGACAAAACGGGCGCGCTGAATGGCGAACAAAGTAAACAAAAACTCAAAACAACCAGCAACGCAACGATAAGCCTCGCAGCAACAAAGGGAGGGGGTCTTAGCCGAGTCCAGCAGTGGGGCCACGAATGCGTCGTGCCAGTTGAATGTCGGAAACGAACAGCGTCACACGCTTGGCGTGCAAAGCGCAGAGATTTCTGTGAACAGCGGGTCAGAAGGGGTGAGAATCGGCGAGTGCGTGTAAACATCGAGCCCTGTCCCGTGCCACGAGGCCAGATCGGCAAACGAGCAAAGACAAACATCAAAAAAAAACCACCACAGTAGAGACATACGCGTCCTCAAACAGGTGAACGAGGAAGGCTTCCGCAGCCTCTTGCAAGCACATGATGGCGTGTGCTTGCCACCGCAGACCGTCGGCGTGCTTGCTAATTTCAGACGCGACCTCGCGCACGACGCGCGCGAACGGCAATTTCCGGAGCAACAAGTCGGTCGTCTGTTGATACTTGCGGATTTCGCGCAGTGCGACCGTGCCTGGTCGGTACCGGCGCTTGGTAATACCTGTAGAGCCACCGACAATGGTGTTTGTGGATGCCTGATCTGTGAGTAAAGCAATCGTGATGACATTGTTTCCAACCAGGCTTTGACCCCCCGCTCCCCTCTCAATCTGCTGACGGACATGACTCGACAGCGATCAATGCAAAAAAACCAAGAGCGAAATTTTGACAGGTTTTTCAAGTTGGGGATGTGGATTTGTCGCCGTGCTTGTGCTCACATCTGCCGCTCCCCTCGCATCTCATGTCGCGATTGGCTAACAATTCTGTGGCATACTCGAGTGGCTGAGCGGAGCCATGGACGAGAAGCGCTGAAGAGCAACCCAAAAAAAAAAAAAAAAAAAGCGAGGAAAAAATTCAAATTCAAAAATAAAAAAAAGAGCGCTTTTTTTTTTTCTTTTTTGATGGTTGGCTTTGGTCGCAACGCTGCTGTTCGCGGATCAGCCCGGTGCGCTGTGACGAACAACGGCACACAACATTGAACGCAATGTGCAATCCCGGCTGCTGTAGCTGCCAAATGCAACATCAGCAGCGATAAGATTGGGCCTTTTTTTTATTTTTCCTTTCTTTTTTTTTCTTTTTTTTTCAGTGAAAAGCGCAATGGGAAGGACAAAGCGGCAGCGAGCCGTGCTCTTGGACACTTCGGAGCCGCGATCTCGTCGAACGCACCACTCCAAACGCAGAGTGTGAAGCGCGATGGCAACGAAACGGGAAAAATCATCCGCTTGATTTTTTTTTTTCCATTGAGTTGTTCCATTGAGTTTTTTTTTTTTTTTTTTTTTTTTTGATTTTTTGATTTTTTGGCCATTTTACCACGATGCTTGCTGGGAGTGTCGCTCTGCTGCTGCTGCTGGCTGCTGCCTCGGCTGCTGCTCTGGCTGCTGCTTTGGCTGCTCAGAGGAAGACCGCCTGCGCTGCGCTTGGCCATGCCGGTGCGCACGGGTGTCGACACGGCGCTCGAGCTGCGGCTGGACGAGTGGCGGGATGCAACGCTCGGCGTATGGTGTGGCGCGCGAGGCATGGGTGAGACAAGGACTGGACATCATCCTGGCAATACAAATATCATGCAGTTGGATGAAATCATCTTGATCAGGTATTGGGGGGGGGATGTTTGGCCGCGGATTCAACGCGGGGAATTGCTCGTTTGTCAAACTTTTTTGTTTTTGTCGCTTTCTTCTCAGCAGCCATGATGATCGATTCGGGTTGGCGGTTTACGAGCGGTTTGAGGGGCTTTTTTTCGGTTGACTGGTTTCAAGGGTTTAACAGCTATTTCATACTTCTTCCTTGCGATCGATCGGTTCAGGAACGAAAAGAGCTTGGTTTGGATTTTTTGCACCTTCCAAAGCGCACAGCTTGACGCACTTTGCGTGTAAGAACAGGCTCCGTACCGCCGATCTGGATGGATACAAGCCACCGTACAAGAGTTGTTGAACTGCTTTATTGGACAGCATTGTTCAGCGTTTTGAGATGGTGGGTGGTCTGTTTTTGCGTTCATTGACCCAAAGCGCTGTAACGCGCGCGAGCGTTCAACTTTTTGTTGCTGAGACCGCGATCCATCCCCGCTTCCTCTTCTCTCCCACCCCAGCTGAGACTCCTTGGTGATTCGCTGGTGACTCTTCAGAGTCTTTTCTTACAAACAAACAAAATACAAAGCTGACAGCAGGACCATCCTCAGCACGAGGCTGGACTTTTGCGTTCTGTGACCTCGGACAAGATATTCCGTCCCTTACTTTGTCAGTTACGCGTGCTATCTGTGCCAGTGGGTGGTTGGCGGTGCTTGCCAATCCAAACTTTCTGGCGTAGGAGTACAACGCACCCGTCCCACACCCCTGTTTTAGAAACGGAAAACCGCACCAACGAAGCGCTTCGACGCCTCAAGTATGGAACCCCAAGCCGTGTTCGCTGCGGTTTGGTAGCGGTTTCAGTCTTTTAAAAAGCCCTTCTCTTGTTTTGGAAGCAATATCAGTCTCGTTATTTTTCCTATCATTTCCTTGAAACATTGCCAAAATGCCGTCTGCTAACGCGCCCACAATGACGTCCGCGACTGCCTCCAACCGAGGCAAGCGCTCGTTCTCTGCACCAAAAGAGGTCAACCGCTCGCTGCTGGACGAGCACGACGCCATGAACGACGCCATTTTCGAGGCAGAACACGATGCTTCGGCGATGGTTTCGCAGCCTGGCCGAAACGGAACCGGTTTCTCCCTCGCTTCGTCCATGTCACACCACGAACTCACCATCGTAGGAAGCTCGGAAAGCCTCAATGACATGAGCTTTGCCACTCTTTGGCGCCACCAACGGTCAGAATCGCTGGGCGATTTGTCGCGTTCAACTTCGTTGGATTCTTCGCCATCCAACTCGCCACCCGGTGACAGTTATCGCGCCCCGTCCTTCTTCCACCGCCTCAAGGCACGCCATGTCGAGCGTCGCTCCAGTCGGTTGAACGATCGCGAAATTCTGGCGGCCTCGGACATGCCCAAGGCGTGGAAGGCCTAAACAACGCACACGCGAGCGAACGAAAACAGAACAACAAACATTTTGGTTTGGTCTCAACGCGCTGGCCGCCTTGTCGCTGATCCCATCACTTTTGCACATTGTACTCCTTTCCACTTCACTTGCGCCATGTTGGTGGTGTTCATATGTCAAATAAAGCCCTGTATTATATTGAGGACCTGCGGAGTGCATTTCTGTGTCGAACCTTTTCGTGAAAAGAACTCAAGCAGAAACAAAAAAAAAAAAAAAAAAAAAAAAGGAACCAACAACCCGATTCTTTTGAGACATGGACCAGACGCCGCAGATGGATGGCAACTCGAATCCCATAGACCCTTTTGGAAATGAAACTGCACAAAAACAAGAAAGGAAGGACAGCGTCAGGGCGACGACTGGAAAATCAGATCGTGTTGTTTTTTGTTCTTGTTTAGCATTTGTTCGGCTTGCTTTGAAGTGACAGCACGGAATTACCGAGTCAATTGATGCCTGGCTCTCAGTAGCCCCTCGACGATGGTTGATGGGGAAAACAACATTGAATTGGGTCACAATGCCATGTTAAGACGAGCTCACTTTCGCTTTTTAATGAGTGCTCCATCGCGTTCCACCTCACAGCGCATGACTGAGAGACAGCGCGAGTTGTATGACAGAGTCACGAATGCTAGCGGAGTGCTTATGTGAGCGAAAGCCCGAATTATTGGACCAGCACAGCGCGCTTGTACTGACGAAAAAAATGAGAAACAGGCTCCACGAGATTGACGATTTTGCAGCCCGCGCGATAGCTGAAGCTCTAAAGTTAAACACGACGCTGACTACGCTCGTGTAAGGCATCTCACTTTGACTGATGCATGTGAGTGATTCAGCCGAGCATGATGAGTGCTGACTGCTGGTGGTGATGGACAGGCTGAGCGAGAATCAGATTGGCGATGCTGGCGCTCAAAGCATTGCTGAAGCGCTCAAAGTGAACACGACGTTGACTGAGCTTAGGTACAGCATCTCCCTTTTGACTGGTGCATGAGAGTGGAGTGCTCGCTGATGGAGAGGATGGACAGACTGGAGTTCAATCAGATTGGTGATGCTGGAGCGCAGGCGATCGCCGAGGCACTCAAAGTGAACACAAAGCTTGGCACGCTCTAGTAAGGCATCTCACGTTGACCGATATTTGTCGTTGGGTGGTCCAACGGAGGGCGTTCGAAGTGCTCACTGATGGACGGGACGAATAGTCTGCGACAGAATCAGATTGGCGAGGTCGGAGCTCTTGCGATTGCTGAGGCACTCCGTGTGAACAAGACGCTGGCTTTGCTTTAGTAAATATCAATTGCTTTAGATGCTCTGATAGACGCTAAATTCATGCTACAGGCGATCTAACCGACAGCAACAGTTTAGAGAGTAACTTCCTGACCAAAGCTGAGATCATTGCGCTTCGACAAACCGGCAACACCTGTCACTTGAAGTAAGACTCTCTGCTTTATTGGATCCTTGCATGAAGTCAAATGCGGACAGCAAAGCCATTCATCTGCGTTGGCGAAATTGGGGCTTCTTGGGTGGCAGAGCTCTTGACAACCAGCGTACTCGGTCACCAGCCGAACAGGCCGCAGTAGCTAAGAATCAGCAATTGCGCACCGAGCTTGCTGCCAAAGAACAGGAGCTGCAACAACTTCGCTCCGATCTGAAATCAGCTCTTGATCGGATCGACGCTCTTGAGCGCCACCAACCCGCTGATGGATTCGCATCGAACGTTGATCAACCCATCCCCGAAGTGCCTCTCGCCACTCTCGTCTCCGCCACGAAAAATTTCGCTGATGATTCTCTGCTCGGCGAAGGAGCATTTGGTCGCGTGTACCGCGCCAGTCTGCCTGGGCCTCCTGTCGCGATCAAGAAACTGTCCGCCGAATCGATCAAAGGCTATGCCTCATTTCAATCAGAATTGGACTCCTTGTCGAAGTTCCGTCACCGAAACATCATTACCATTCTGTCCTATGCCAAAAGTCACGATGCCTACTGCTTGGTGTATGAGTTCATGCCAAACGGTTCTGTTCGCGACCGTCTCAGCCGCAAAAACAACACGCCTCCGCTGACTTGGTCCCAGCGCCATCAGATTGCGGCTGATGTTGACCGTGGCATGCATTACGTCCAGACAGCCCTCCCTGATCAAGTTCTGTTCCACCTCGACCTCAAGACGGACAACGTTCTGTTGGACGCACACTTTAATGCAAAAGTGTCTGATTTTGGTCTCGTCCGTGCTGCCGAGCATCTTGATGACAAGAGCTACCTTCGCACAAAGGTTCCTCAAGGCACAGCTCCTTACATGTGTCCCGAGTTCTTTGAGGAAGGTCGCATGACAGTCAAGACCGACGTCTACGCGTTTGGCATGATTTTGCTCGAGCTTGCAACCGCCGCGAAGCCTGGGACTCGACTGAAGGCCGAAACGCGGAAAGCTGTGTCCAACCAGAAATTCATTGAGATGTTGGACTCGGCACTCAAACCAAGTGACGCAGAGCACCAGAGCATCACCGGTATTGTCACTCTCGCCCTCAAGTGTCTTGACGATATTGCCGACGAACGTCCCTCCTTTGGTCGCCTCATTGCTACCTTGGATGCCTGATTTCCCACGTGAAGATTGGTGCCAAAGCATCCTGAACTGTGCAGTCTGTCGTTTGTCATTGGTTCAGAATTAAGCTTGTCAACACATGTCATACTGTAAGAGCAATAGGGAACATTGTTCAACACGAGTCGACCATTCACAAATCATGTCCAAAAACGTGGATCTCAGCCAACTTTCAACACCAGCCAGCCAACCATCACACAGCTTTATCAGAATGACAACAAGTTGCAAAGGAGAAAGCCGCGAAAACGCAACTGAAAATAAGACAAACACTCGTCCGAAACACACATCCAACCAAAAAAAAAAAACAGGTAGACAAGTCGAAAAAAAAAAAGCCATCATCCACTCGCGGTCGTTGCCGATGTGGGAGTCGCCGGTACACTGCCATCGTCATGGTTGGGCTGTTTGGACTTGCGAACAGCCTCAGTGCTTTCGAGCACACCTACAAAACAAACGAAAAAAAAAAGGTAGCAAAGAACGCAAACCCCCCCCCCAAAAAAAAAAAAAAAAAAAATCCAACAGCGTGAGAAATTATCATGTTCAAAACAAATCGGCCCATCCTAAAGCACGCAACGTTCAAGTGCTCACCGGAAGCCAGAGAAAAGTGGCGTCCAGCGATATCTGCTGGCTTTTCTGCAGGACTAAACCACTCCCAGACAGAGCCGACGATTGGCAAATGACGAACAATGCCCTAACACAACATCCAACCATCGCAATCGTTCGATATTGAGAAAAGGTCAAGCATCGCGGTGCAATCCTATACAACAGCACGCTCCTACGCACCCCTTCGTAAAACTGGTTGTCGTTGGCGCGCTTCAAATCCTCCTCGGCCTGACGAATGGACTGCTGAATAGACTCGTCGAGGTATTGGGGCAGATGCAGGTTTGCCTCGACATCGGCCGAGCATCGAGAAATGGCATCAACAATGGCAGTGATGGTTTGCACGGTGGCGGGCACGGCATCCACACCCACAAGCAAGCACGGTTCACCAGAGCGCGTTTGGCCAGCTGCAAACATGGTGTGTGAGCGTGCAAGCGTGGCGGCAATCTCCTGGTTGACACGATTAACGGCCGCGGCCGTTGGACCGGGTGCAGCGCCAGCCCCAGCGACGACCGACCCCGCGGTCTCTGGCTTGCCAACTTGGGCAAGCAGCGGCGGACGATACCGCACAGCACCGAGTCCAGCAATAGGCTCGAGGTCGACCAGTTCCAAACTGTCCGAGGAAGAGATGAGACGATGGAACAGAGCGCGCTGGGCGAGGGTCGAGTCGAAAAGCAGGGCAAGGCGGTCCAAATCGCCCACCAAGGCGTCAATCTCGCCATCTTGCGTGGCCAATGTGGGCACGGTCAGAGCAGGTTGATACAAAAAGACACACTTGCCGTCAATGCGCGTTAAAATGATGCCGACGCGAGTGTTTGAGGCGACGACGTGGGTCAAGAGCTGCGAGTGCACCTGATCGGCAAGGGCAACCATGCGCTCAACAATCGCGTCAGAGTGGAGTCGGCTCGGGGCTCCAGTGCGCACCAGCGAGCTGTCGGGAGCCGGCGATTCCGATTGAGACGCCCGTCGCTCGACCGACTGCGGTGGTGCAGATGTTGTGGTTGGCGTGCTGAGACCTGACAGGGTGTCATCCTCGGATGGGGGGAAGGACACGCTTGCCCACTCGACAGTGGGCGAAAATGTAAAGTACACTGCTCCGGGAACATGAGAACAATCGGGGAAGACCTCTCGCAGTGTCTTGAGCTGCCGAAGCGAAGCACGCAGCTGGCTAGACAGCGCCGCCGCGCGCAGGGCATATCGCTGGAACGGGCTCGCGGATGGCACCGATGGATTGGCCGGAGGTTGGCTTGCTGCACCAGCGGCGGAGGCAGCGAAAGGGACGACGGTGCTTTGCTGTGGGCCGCCGTGGGCGGTGGGCGATGACGAAGAGGTTGCTGTGGTAGGGGTGGTGGCGTCCCCAGTGCTGCTGCTGCTGGATGACGTTGGTGTGGCCGCAGCTGACGAGGGCGACGATGAGGACGCAGCGGCGTCTTCGGTGAGCAGCATCCAGAGTGGCATGGGCACGAAGGCATCGTTAATGTCCATGGACAAGGCGGCAGCAGCCAGAGCGGAAGCGTGGCCAGTGTACTTGCTCGCAGACAGCGCACCACCGCCAGCAACGGGCAGGAGCGGCCCTTTCGGTGTCGAGCGGAAGACGTATGCGGGTGGAATCAAGCCTGTGGGCAGACCCAGCCAGTCGCCCAAGCGGAGCGCGAGAGAGTCGCTCATGGTGGCCAGCTCGCGCAGCAGCAGCGTACCGGAAGGTAGAGTCAGCGAGGACAGCGCTTGGCCGGTGAGATGCACCCAAAGCGATGCGGCAGAAGCAACGGCCGCGAGCTTGGCAATTTCTTCCTCAGGCCGCGGCAGCAACAGCTGGGCCTCCGTGTCCAGCACGAGGAGCAATGGCACGCGACCAGCCTGGGTGTCGCGCTGGATGGCGCTCTCGAGCGCGCGCGCAGAAATGCCGTTGCCGCCAGGGGTGGGTGCGATTGCGCGAATGCAGTTGAGCGGCAGCCCGAGCGCGCGGCAAAAGCTGTTGCTAAAGCGCAAGGTGGTGCTCACATAGACAACCGGAAGTCGCGACTGGAAACACCGGAAACCCTCCAGCGCATAGTTGGCGTATTTGCGCTCGATGGCGGCACGGCAGATGAGCTCGAGCCCGGAACCGTGATGGAAGGCGACCGTCGGCATCAGGTCGTACAGGCCAAACGCCGCCCGCACCATTGCCGCCGTTGCTGCGTGCATCCTTTGCGACAGTCTCAGCAGCGCCTCGCGCTCGAGGGTGGATACGAGTTGCAGTCGGATGAACTGAGCAGCGAGGACTGCGCGCGTGCGATTCGACACCTTGCGGACGCCCGCCGAGAACGTGCTGACACCCCAAACAAAACAAAACAAAAAAACAAAACAACAAGGCAGACGCAAAAATATCGAGATTGACATGGTGAGAGGGTGAGAGAGGGTGAGAGGGGGTGAGTGCGCAGGTTTCAGCCAAACGGGCGGCAGATTTCGTTGTCGTCTCGTCCCAAAAACAACCCCAAACATTTGTACCTTTCGCCTGCGTTCTGAGCAACGTCTGGCAGAGCTGCGTCGAGGAAGGCGAGGATGGCCTGCGGATCGAGCTTGGACGCTGCGTCCTGCGTCGGCAAAATTTTGAATGAGAAGTTCAACGTTGTGTTAGTCAGCAAAGAGCAGCCGGCGCTTCAAACATCCCGCGACACACACTCCACGACTGATGGATGGAAGTTTTGATGTTTTCGTTCAAAGCAAGGCGACGATGACTGAGACTGGGGGGAGAGGGGAGAGAGAGTTGGAGGTTCAAAACTGGCGTCGTGGCAAGCCGCTCAAGTCAGTCAGTCAAGGTTGGGGGGGGGGGTCTCGCGCGTCGTTTGACATCATGAGATATGTCTGATGGGACATTGCAGGTGTGTGTGTGTGATGAGGAGTGGGATGGTCGTGGCGGGCGGTGGGTGGTGGAAAGCGGAAGGAAAGCTGGCTGGTTGCTGCCGTCCTTACCCGGTCGAAGGCAGTGAGCAGCGCACGAAGCTGAACAATCTCACTCGTCATAGTGTACTAAAAAGTACGATAGAACCAACGAGTAGAAGGAGTGCAATTGAAGCAAAAAAAGAACAAAAGAACAAGAGAGAGACAAAGTTGTGCCTATGCAGTCCTCTGGCTCACTCAGAACTGCTCCTAGTGCTAGTGCTACTCCGCATGTATGAAGGGCACACAACCCCAAACGCATCTATTCATGTATGAAATGCCGATCGGAACGGCACTCCTCAAATCCTCACTCCTCCTTGGTCTCTGAGCCACTTGGAAGCAAAATGTCCCTCAGTCCAGCGACCATCCTGGCTGCCGACGCCGATGCGCGTCGTGCCATTGTGGCAGGCGATCACTCTGCGTGCAAGGTCGCGCTGCTGGTTGATCATACGCAGCTCAAGCAAGAGTGCACGACTGCTCACATCGTCGCGCTCTGTGCCCAAGCACGCGAGCACGACTTCCGGTCGGTCTGCATCCCGCCGTCACGCGTGGCTCTGGCGCGATCGCTACTGGTGCTGCCAGCGCAGTTGTCAAAAGCAGATGCTGCTGGTGCTGCGGTCCGAGTGTGCACCGTGGTTGGCTTTCCAAACGGCTACATGACCACCGCCGCCAAGGTCGCCGAGACAGCGGACGCGGTCGCAGCCGGTGCAGACGAGATTGACTTTGTGCAGAACGTCGGATGGGTCAAGGACGCAAACTGGACGGACACTCGCAACGAGTACAGGGCGATCGTTGCTGCTGCGGGCCCGGCGCGACTGGTCAAGGTCATTCTCGAGACAGCGCTGCTCACCCCCGACGAGATTGAGCGCTGCTCGACCATCGCAGTCCAAGCAGGCATTCACACGGTCAAGACAAGCACGGGCTTTGCTGCGAGAGGCGCATCTCTGGCGGACGTCGAAGCCATGCAACGAGGCATCGAGCTTGCGTTCGCAGACGGCTCAACACCCCGACGTGTGGTTGGCATCAAAGCGAGCGGCGGCATTCGTGATACTGTGACAGCACTCCAATTTATCCGCGCTGGTGCCACGCGGCTCGGCACGTCGTCGGGAGTCGCCATTATTTCAGGGCTTCAGCATCATCAGCCGGGTGAGTCAAGCGGAGCTGCGGCAAGCACGAGCAACTACTAAGCAGTGTAGTCATGTATTGGTGTGTCTACTGTGTCTACTTTTTATGTATCTCCAAACGCAACTTCAAAGAACATTTAAAAAAAAAAAAAAGGCCTGGAAAAGCTACATGTCATACACACAAATGACATAAACCCCACAGCGCCACATTTGCGCAATAGACAAAACCAAAACAAGGACGGAAAGAAAACCATTTTTTGTACAGAGAGGCGAGAGAGATCCATTAGCGCTGCCGTCCGAGCACCGACGCAAACTACGCAAAGGGATTGGTGGCTGCGAACGTCCGTTGACCATTGGCATTCACAGCAGGGTTGAAAGCAGCACCAGCGGGGCTGAAAGGTGCACCAGCGGGGTTGTAAGCTTGTTGAGCACCGCCGTAGCCGGAAGCGTGAGGCGCGCCGAAGGCTGGGTTGTAAGCAGCCGCATAGTTTTGCTGCGGCTGTCCGGGCGAGGGCATAAAGCCGACCGCAGCTTGACCGCCGTACGGCGCACCGGCGTACGCATTGCTCGGCGAGGCGTAAGGGTTGGGAGCGTGAACAGGAGTGCCAAGTGCATATCCGGCTGGAGTGGCAACCACCGGCACGTAAGCCACAGGGGCCTGTGCAGGCGAAGACATGTTGTAGAGCGACATGATGTCCTGTTTGGATGGCTTTGGTGCATTGGCTGGGCTGCTCGAGCTTGCCGCAGCCGACGACGACGAAGCGGGGACTGTTGGCAGCGCCGGGGAAGGTTGACGGCTGCGACGGGAAGGTCACTGCGGGTGAGCCACCCCAGGGGTCACCGGGAGCGAGCTGGCAATTCCCCCCCCCCACAAACAGGGCAAAAGTAAGTGAGTAAGTGGGTCTGTTTTCTCGAGGATGTGGGGTTTCGTTGTTTTTTTTGGGGGGGGTGTTTTGCTTGAGGTACTTACAGCGACGGGAGCGGGTGCAGGGGCAGGAGCGGGTGCGGGGGCTGGCGGCGGGGCATTGGCAACAGCAACGCTGTTCCAAGCGACCTGCGCGCCAGGAGCGGGACGGGCGGGCTCACCGAGAGAGATCAGCGAGCTGTTGCCACCTGTTGCAGCCGGTGCACCGCGACCGGGCTTTTGCACGGTCGCATACAGGTCGTTCGGGTCGGGTTGGAACGTGGCGTTCGGGGGACGGGCCGGGGAAGGCTGCGGCGGACGGGCAGGAGCTGCGCTCGGCGTCGACGGCTTTGGAGGACGGGCAGGTGGTGCATCGCCCGACTCGCGAGCTGCGTTCGTCAACAGCTCGTCTGCAGCACGATTAGCATCGCCATTCGCCTTCTCCAACGCATAGTGTGTGGCAAGGTCATCTTTGAAACCCATGTTGAGAAGCAGGCGAAGCGCCTGCTGGTATGCCGTGTTTTGCGTCTGGGAAGGGATGTTGTTCGTGGTGATGTCTTCCACAACGGCAGAAATGTCGCCCTTGTTTCGTTCGAGAGATCGGAGGTTGTAGTCGCGGTTTTTGAAGCCCATGCTGGGAACGAACAAGGCCAAAACACAAAACAATAATCAGAAAAAAAATCAGTTTCGGTTCGAGCTCTGCACGCAACAAGATTGAACGCCGGTGCCCACACCTTTCCAGCTGTGCGAGTTGTGCAGAAAACTTGTCGGCAAGACTGCCGGGGATGGGACGGAAGTCAGATTCGACCGCCGTGTGAGCCGGAGCGTGCGTGTACTGAGATGTTCCGGGCAAATGCAGGGCTTGTGAGTCCTTGGCTGCCAATCAAACCTTCTTTGTAGAGCCACAAAACCCCGCAAGCGAAGGGCTTACAGTGCTGGGAGCGCTCGTAGCGTTTACGTGCCATTCGCGCTTGACGTACTTGCGCCGCACAAAATTGTCCATGTCCGTTGGCAGGTTGAATGGCTTGGGTGCGCGCGCCAGGTACAGCTCATTGCTGCGCGTGTTGCCCATGTTGCGCATGACCTGGACAAGAAGAAGGCATTCGGAGGACGGAGGATTTGGTGCTAGTTGCAAAGCGATTTCAACAATGACCATTTTGTTCTGTTACCTCGACTTGGTCGGGCGTCCAAGTGTCGAGCGAGACGGACTTGATGCGCGAGTACTGAACGCCAAGCTGGCGGTGATGCCCTGCGCATTCCATGCACAGAAACACGCCGAGCGTATGCGAAGCCCATCTGGGTGCTGCGTCATACACCAACAGCAACATAGTGAAATCGAGATGGTGAGGCGCAACACAATTTTAGCGGCTTCTTCTTGTCAGCGGGTCTCGCTTGGGAGCTCCTACCTTTGGCGCCGCAGTCAGCGCACGTGCGATTGCCATCCAGCTTGAGAAGCTCCTGGAGCTGCTTGGCCTCGGCGTCGGAGCGAATCGAAGTCGACATCAGCGGGAAAAAAAAAAAAAAAATGATCTGCTTTGAATAGAATTCTGCTCATAAAGTTGAAAATTGAGGATGGGGGGGGGGTCAGAGGCACTCACCATCACAACACAACGGAGGATGGAGCGTTGCAATGCGCTTGGATGAGTTTGGCTGGGGTTGTGGTCGTGGTCGGGGAAAGGAAGCGGAGATGAGGAAAATAAAAAAAAAAGGGAAGGAAAGCAAGCTGTTCGCCCAAAGGACGACTTCCCACTGCTCGGTGCAAACAAAAACGACCATCCATGGAAGACGAGATAGAGAGGGAGGATTAGAAAAGCGCGGGCGAGGTGGAGAGAAGAGAGAGGATGCGGATGCCATAAGTGCGCGTTTTCGCAGAGTGCGCGTTCGGCGTGTCATCGAATTTGACGCTGAAGGACTTCGCGAGTCTCCATTCACCGTCACCGTCATCATCATCACCACCATCACCGCTCTGTGAGATCTGCAGCGGACCTCGAGTCTCTTTGCGCGTTGATGGAGAACTTTGCAAGGTCGCCGCTGACGTTTTAAAAAGCGGTGGGGGAAGGAATCGCATGTCACCCAACAACGCCTCCAGAAGATTCTGAGAACTTACAGAAGTGGGGAAAATAAAGAATGAATGAGCATGCACTACACGACGTTGAAATGGCATCAGTGACCACCGTGCTCCAAACTGGGCGCTGAATCCGCTGGCAAATTGTTCGTTCTGATTCAGATTGTCCAGTATGCTTGACCTTCCACAGTGTGCTTGGCTGAGTCGAAGTACAGTAGACATGTCTTCCAAAGTAGTCGTAGTAGTAGAAACGAAACGCCGCTCACTCCAGATTTCCAATCCAGACTCACGCAAAATGTCCACTTCCGTTTCGTTCGTTGACGACGATGCCATCAAGCAAGCGTTTGCCAGCGTCCGCGCTGACAGCAACAGCACCACCTGGTAAAGCGCGAATCTGACATCTCCCCCCTTCTCCCCCTTCCTGCCAGTTGGTCTGTTTTTGTGCTCTGCTGCAGAGTCAGATCGTGTGAGTCAGCGCAAGAAGACGGGGCGGAGAGTGGCACGGCCTCACAGTTCGGCCAAGATGTGTTTTCTCTTCTCCCCTTCTCCCCGCTTCTCCCCGCTTCTCCCCGCTTCTCCTCTACTCCCGTTTCAACTTCCATCGCCTTCATTCACCCCATCTCCACTGCACTCTGCAGCTGCACTTTACCGTGATTCCGCATGCTTTTTTGCGGTTCCATTCCATTCGTGGAATGTCGTTCACTTTGTCCTTCCGCTCTTTCGTCATTTCGTTCATCCCCCCGCCTCCGCCTTCGAAAGCAAGGATTGTGACAAATCATCCATTTTGCAGTGCAATGTTGCCAACATGCATCCAAATCCACTCGAAAACAAGACAAAGAAGGGGAACAAAAGAATTAAAAAGCATAGGGAAAAAAAAAAAAATACTTGAAACCTGCCTAAACTGGAAGCTCAATGCAACTCCCATACAAAAAAAAAAAAAAAAAAAAAAAAAAAAAAAAAAAACTCAACCATTGTGTTTGTGCTTGATTGTGCTGCGACCTTCTTCTGTGCAGGCTGCTGCTCGGACATGCTGAAAGCAACCCGAACGTCGTCGAGCTCCAAGCAACCGGCGAGGGCGGTCTCGATGAGCTGCTCGAGCGCCTCGACAATGCTCAGTTCCAATACGCACTGTGTAAGTCAAGCAATCAGCTTTTTGGTTTGTTTTTTTTTTTCCATCGACAACAGTCACTGACCGAATCGCTCTGTGGGCCACAGTCCCGCACGTCCGAGGAGGTCGATCTGAGCCACACTGTCAAGTTTGTCTATGTTCACTGGAATGGCAACGACGTTCCGTTCGCAAAGAAGGGCCGCTTTGGTGTCGTCCACGGCGCCGTTCAGGAGCGCTTCCACCCCTACCACATTGACTTTGACATTTCAGCACACAACGAAATCTCCGAGCAGCTCATCCAAGAGAAGCTGGCCGATGCCAGCGGCACTGGCAAGAAGGTTCTCGACCCCCTCGAAGCCGCCACCCGCCAAGCGCGCACCTTCACCGCCTCGCCCTCCAGCCAGGAGGCTCTTCTCAACTCGAAGACTGGCGCCAAGGCCCCACCGATGGTTGGTGTCAACAAGGACGCCGTCGGTACGTGTGTGCAGAGCTTGTGTTGGGAATGGAAGATTTTGGTTTGAGAGCTGACTTTTTCTTCTTCGTTTTTATTGGGGGGGGATTTTCAGCTGTTCAAGCTGATGACTCTGCCGCCGAGGCCATCGCTGATGTCCGAAATGACGCCACCGAGACCACCTGGTAAGTACGCGCAAGGACGCTCGGGGGCCATGTTTCTTTCGCTCGCCTCGTCTCATCGGTTGTGTCACTCCTGCAGGACCATCTTGAGCTACCAGGACAACGATGTCAAGAAGCCCATTATCGCCGTTGCTTCCGGCTCTGGCGACCGTGACCAGCTCCGGCAGCACATTACCACTGAGATGGTTGCTTACATTCTCTGGCGCACCGTAAGTCCAACTTTCTCCTCTCGGCACTGTTCCCGATGCTTTAAGCACTGCGCGGTATCGCTTTTTGGCTCACACTCTCTCGCACAGACCGACGTCTATGAGGGCATCACCAACGTCAAGTTTGTCTCCATCACCTGGGTTGGCGATCAGGTCAAGCCGATGGCAAAGGCCAAGGTCTCCACACATAAGGGTGCCATCACCCCGATTATTGGCGTAAGTGTTCATCGAGTCGTGAATTTGAGCTTGAATGGCCGCATTTTCAGAGATTCTCACTTTTGCATCCTTTTGGTCGGTTCCGTTTTCGTAATTCGACTGGTGCAGCCCGTCCACCTCGCACTGAATGCAACTTCGTACAGTGAAATCACCCAGACCATCAAGTTCAACTACTAAACACACAAAACGCCGTTGTTTTGAAATGCTCTCATTGGTGGGGTTTTGTTTTCCGTTTCATGAGGTGTTCTTTTTTTCTGTTGCAAATACAAGTATCCTTTTTTTTATGATCCATCTTCATGCAACGCTCGCGAGCTTCTGCACTCTCAGTCTACCTTTTGTTTTTTTCCCCAAACTCCTACTCTCACAAACAAAATGGAAGACGACGTGACGGCAATGCTGGCACACGTCCCGATGGGCCGCCTCACTTGGCGGGAAGACCCCGCCTCCACCTTTGCAGACTGGACTGTGGTTGTGCAGGATGCTGCGCTTTCTGGGTGCCAGTATGGTGACGTGCCTGCGCTGCTCGAGTCGTCGGCCGCTGAGAACGCAGCAGCTGAAACGACCACTGTGACCAGAGGCGATACAGCGTCCCCGCCAAAACCAGGCACGTCCTCCCCACCACCGCCGCCGCCGCTCCAGGCTCAGCAACCAGGACTGCTGCAGCAGCAACAGCAGGGTCAAAGCTCACTTGCTGGCGTGATTCCCGGTGCGAACGGAGCAGCAGCGGTCGGTGAACCCCTGCAAGTCGCTCCTGTGGCTCTTGTGACAACGCCGACAACAACGCCGCAGCCAGCCGCAGCAGCCGTACAGCCGCCCCGACCTGCTGCCCCGACCCCGCTGCGACCCAACCGAAATGCACAAGTGCGTGGCGCTCGGGCTGGTGCGGGCCCTGTGCAAGGAGCATTGCCAGCGGCAACTCCGACTCGCGTCATCATAGCGTCAGCTCATCCTGCACGGCAACAGCAACAACAACAACAACAGCATGCGACGCACAACCCACACCACCACCACACTCATCACCAGAATCACCATCACCAGAATCACCATCATCACCATCAGCAGCAGAACCAGCAGCCGAATCCGCGAAGCCCGGCCATTCGACTTCCTTTTCGGGGTTTGCGGCACGAGCAGCAACAACAGCCCCAATCTCAGCAGCAACAACAGCACCAGCAATCCCAACAACAAGGGCAGTCCCAGACAGACAGATCAGATGCTCAGCAACACCCACCTCCGATGCCCCTTGCATTGACGCAGCCCGGGGAGGCAACCTACCATGTGCACGCGTGCATTCTGGCCGTTGGCAGCCGCGGTTCTGGGTTTTTCAGAACGCTCATGCAGACCCCGCTCGAGTCGACAGAGCGACAGAGCCGAACCACCATCTTGTATCTTCCTCAAGCGTGCTTGCCAGTCTTCCCGCTCGTGCTGGACTACATGTATGACGGTAGTTGGGACGCCGTGACCTCGAGCACGGCGGTGCCAATGCTGCGGGTCGCCCATCAGCTCTGCATGGCAGATCTTCATGCTCGCTTGATGCGCTTTATTGACGAGACCATGTCCACGTGGACGGCGCCAGTCTACCTCGCTGACAGCTTGGTTCTGGCGCTGCGCCAACTGTACGATCGCGCGCTCGCCGTTTGCGCGTCCGACTTTCTTCAGTACGCTGCCGATCAGTTTAACGTGCTTCCGGTAGGCACTTTGATTGAACTGCTCCAGCATCCAAGTATGCATGCACCTCCGGCGAACATTTCCCATTGCATTTGCTCCTATCTGCTGGCCAACGAAACACTGCCGCTCTGTCACAGCGAAGACACTGCCCCGTCCATCTCAGACGCCAATCCTGCCTCGACGCCAGCGACGTCCTCCAACGGCACTGCTACGGCCGTCCCGGTAGTCGGCAAGAGCTGCGTCTTTGTCGTTGGGATGAGCCAGCCGCCGACTGCTTCAGCGTCGCAGTGCGGCAGCGACGCGCTCGTTCGTTCCGCTGACGCCGTGCCTGCCCCCAATTCCGCGGACGCCGTGCCTGCCAACAATTCCGCGGGCGCCACACCTGCCTTGACCATGTCGCCGGTACTCGACCAGAAGCATCCGTCCACCTCCACGGATGATGCCCTCTCTGACGAAGAATTTGACTCGTTAACTGCCGTCCTCTCGGACGTCGCTCGGGATAGCGCCGTTCCAATTCTGCTCAGCGCCTGCGCCCACCGCAATCAGCGTGTCATTGCGCTGGCCTCCAAGTCCATTGCCGAGTCCTTCTTTCTGAGGCAGGTCGGCGAGCTCGACGACGTCCCGTGCGAGGTTCTCTACAACATTCTCGTGCATGAAGCCTTGGCGGCGCATACAGAGGATGTCGTGTACGACGTCATTCAAGAGTACTTGCAAAACTCGTCGCACCGTTGGCACATGACGGACGCGGACGTGTCGCGACTTTGGTCGGCATGTCGGTTTACGTGGCTGTCCATGGAGCGGTTGACCCTGGCCGCGATGCAACCCTCGATGCCGCCGGCCTTGATTGCTCAAGCCACGCTTGCTCGCTGCTGGCGACTGGAGCGCGCGCCGGCAGGCGTGCATGCACAAGCCGGCGCGGTCTTTTCGAGCACTGCCGCGCCAGAGCGCGTGCGAACCGAACTGGCTCAACGAAAGACCTATCTGCAAACGCCAATCTTGCGCTGGCATGTTGGGCCGCTGCGCAACACTGACGCCACCCGGGGCGGTAGCAGCGGTGCCTCCACGTCGAGTGGGGCCTTCTCCTTCTCGGACATCCCGTCGTCGGCCTCGAATGTGTTTTCAGCCATGGCTGTGGCCCCTCCAGTCATCTGGGTTGGTGCACACGCTGCCGCCTTTTCATCACCGGCACCGAATGCTGCAACGACGACGACGACGACGACGGCTACTGCGGCCAGCAATCAGTCAGTCCCTAGCAGCACCAACCACCGACCCGGATTTGCTGCGCCGACGGTCAGTTCGACTGCCGCTGCGCAAGCGACGTTCAACAGCGGCATGCCGACAACCACCATCTTCTCTTCTGGCATTCCGTCGTCGTCGTCGAGCAGCGCACCGACTTTCTCAGTGTCTGGGACGGCCACCCAAAGCGCCTCTGGTTCCATCGTCAACAACAATGTCCGGTACACGGCCGAGCAGCGCCAGTTTACCGTCTTGACCCCCGAGCACCGCCTTGTTCGGTCTGTCGAGACGTTTTCCCTGTCCGAGTGCTCGCGCGTGTACGTGGAAGTGCTGATCAACAAGCTACATTGCTGTGGAGGGATTGGCATTGCCGACCTTGGTCTGCTGAACACCACCCCGAGCCACCAGCAACCTGCTACGTGGTCGTACAGCATGGAAGGCGTCATCTCGTCGCGCGGAGTCCGTGTCACCGCGATCAGCCCGACTGCATGGGGCACCAACGATGCGATCGGCATGCTGATTGACTTGGCGCAGCGGCAAGTCCAATTCTATCGCAACTCTGTCTTCCAAGGTCGCTGCGAGGACATTGCAACATCCAACATTTGCGTTATTGCCGACCTGGACGGCAATGGCTCGTCCGCCAGCTTTTCGGCGACGACTTTGGATGTGAGCGCAATGTTGCAGCAACAGCAGCGCATGTAGTTCTGTAGTACTGTAGCCTTTGGGGGCACTACTCTTGTACATTTTTGTAGAGAATTCGTGAATTTTGTGTGTGCGCCTGTTCGAGTCGTTGAACGTGGTTGATGTTGTGTTGTTTTCAAGCTCGAAATCGAAACCGAAATCGAAATCGAAAGCAGTTCATTCATTGATTTTCTTTGTTTCTTTTTTTTTTTTTTTTCCTTTTTTTTTTCCATTATGCGAGCAGCCATTGCGCTTTTGCTCGTGCTGAGCGCTGCTGCTGCTCACTGCGCAGTCGCTGCGACTCCTCCCATCGCGTGCACGGCAGTCGACTCGGCCACCTCCACCAACTACGATCTCTCCTCTCTCTACAAGACCACCGGGTAAGCGCGCTGGTCCGGCCTGGAAGCACAATCGCTGACTCTTGGGTGGCCGTTTTTGGATTTTGCCCTGTTTTCGTTGGCTTGCTTGCTTCGCATCCCTTTTCTCTGCTCGCTCGCGATTGCAAATCCCCACCGAGACCAAATGCCGTCGAGGCGGAGGGTTCAACGTGAGCCAGGACCCACTGCTCCTGTGTATGAACGGCATCGAAAAAAAAAAAAAAAAAAAAAAAAAAAAAAAGGGCGACCTTTCACACATGTGATGTTGCTCGTTTTCCAAGCGCCCGATCGCTGCGTTGGGACGAGACGCAGCCAAGTCTCAACAGCCCGACGGCTGCGTCCGTTGTGTCGCTGCTTGACTCGTGCCAATGCTGCAACGGCCGCTCTGCACACGACACGGAAGACCAGATTGAAGAGCACGACATCACTTTTTTATTATTTTTTTTTTTTATTATTCTTATTATCATTACAGCCATTCCTTCCCCCGGTTTGATAGCAGCGAATGCGCGAAGACCCTTCGCCCTGTTGGTCATGCTGTCTCTCTCTCTCTCTCTCGCGTTTGACTCGAGATCCCACAACGCCAAGAAACAGGCGATCCGACTCCTGGCGCTTTCAAATGCAACTACTGCAGTCATGCGTTTTAGTGCGACAATGACGTTGGCCCAAAAAAAAAAAAAAAAAAAAAAAAAAAAAAAAAAAAAAAAAGATGGCTGTGCTTTTTGCTGCGTTGGGCTTTTGAGACAATCGTTGATTTGATCTGCAACCAACCACCAACCAAAAAACACACGGTCCAAAACTCACTCTGCGTACCTTGTGTGGATGTTTTGTCGCTAGAAACTGGCTCGTTGAAGACCTGTCGCGCGAGCACCGCTACTGGATCAACGTGTGCGGGCCTTACAATGACCAGCCGGCGGACAGCTGCACGACTGGCGACGACACCAACTCGGGCGGTTGCCAGGCAGTTGGTGCGGGCTCGCGCTCGTTCAACTTGGGCAAGGCCTCCAGCCCCACCTTCCGCAACGGCGGGCTGCAGCTCTTGTACGAGGGCGGCGACGCTTGCCACTCTGGCGCGTACAACCGCTCCGTCCTGATTCGCTTCACCTGCAACCCCAACCAAGTGGTAGGTCGCGTTTTCCACACGCAGCTGATATTATCAGCTGCTTTGGTTCTTGCTGCTGCCGCTTGTTTGTGCCATTTCACCTCAACCTCATCCGGGTTTGGTTTTTTTTTTTTTCTTTGATGGCTTGCTTGTTCCGCCACAGGGCGCTCCCGTCTTTGTCGAGGAAACCCCCGAATGCCGCTACATTCTAAGCTGGGCGACCGCGGCTGCGTGCTCGGGTGGCGTCACGCCTCCCGTCACGGACGCTTGCACGGTGACCAACGCGAAGGCTGGCGTCCGCTACGACCTGTCGCCGCTTCGCAAGACGGGCAGCAACTGGTCGGCGCTCGGCAGCATGAGTGGCACAAACTACGAGTTTTCCCTGAACGTGTGCGGCCCACTGGTCGCTGACGGCTCCACTTGCGGCGCCGATCAAGGTGGCTGCCAAAAGCAGGTTGGCGGTGGCACGAGCACTTGGAATCTCGGCGCGGCGTCGTCCTCGCTCGCTCTTGCCGACGGTGGCTCGGCGGATGGCGCCACTGACACGATCAACCTGATTTACACTGGCGGCACGCCGTGCCACTCGAACGCCTACAACCGCAGCACGCTCATCATGTTCACCTGCAAGCCAGGCTCGCTCGGTCAGCCCAAGTTTATCACTGAGACCGACGAGTGCCGCTACATTTTCCAGTGGGAGACGTCTCTTGCCTGCGTGGACGAGGACGACATCGGCCTCGGCAACTGCCGCGTGAAGGACACGTCGAGCAACGTGATTTACGACCTGTCGAGCCTGACCAAGTCCACTGGCGGCTACCAGTTCCAAGACGACGACTACACGTACCTCATCAATGTGTGCGCTCCGATCGGCGGCACCCCTGGCACTTGCGTGGACAGCCGGACGGGCGCGTGCCAGACCGCCAAGTCCGACGGCCGTTCCTTCCGTCTCGGCGCCGCCACAGACGTTCTGGAGTACGCTGGCGGCATTCTGCGACTTCGTTACACCACTGGCGATGCATGCCACAACAACCAGTTCAACCGCTCGCTGCTCATCACCTTCTCTTGCGCTCGTGGCCAAGTCGGCGCTCCTCGCTTTGTCGACGAGACTGGCGACTGCTCGTACTTGTTTGACTGGGCGACCGACGCTGCCTGCGGCCCCGCCGATCCGGACGACAACACCCTTCAGTGCTCTGTGACCGACCCGACCAACGGCAACCAGTTTGACCTGTCCCCGCTCACCCGCACCAATGGCAACTGGGAGGCCGTCGATACGCGCCAAGGCGCCTATTTCAAGTACCTGATCAACGTGTGCCGACCAGTCAACCCCGTCGCGACCGGCACGCCCGGCTTCAACTGCTCGTCCAAGGCGGGTGCTTGCCAGACCCGCAATGACCAGCCTGCTGCTGCCTTCCATCTCGGTGTGCCCTCCAGCCCTTACCTGCTCAACGGCGGTGTCGCGTTGCAGTACAACTTTGGCACGCCCTGCCACAACAACCAGTACAACCGCTCCATGCTCATCACCTTCTCTTGCAACCCTGGTGTGGTGGGTGTCCCAACCTTCATCACTGAGACGCCCGAGTGCCAGTACGTGTTTAGCTGGGCGACGTCGGCCGCATGCGTCCTCAACCCTGGCGGTGGCGACGTGGTTGGCAGCAACTGCCGCGTCACAGACCCCATCTCGAACAATGTCTTTGATCTCTCGGGTCTCGCCCGCTCTGATCGCGACTACTCGGTCACTGCCAGCGACGGCTTCACCTACAAGATGAACGTCTGCGCGCCGCTCGTCGACCGCACCAAGTGCACCTCTGCCAACGCAGGCGTTTGCCAGACGCTGGCCTCTGACGCTACGTTCAGCAAGCTTGCTGGTGTGGCCAACTCGCGGCTGACCTACTCGAGCGGCGGTGTCCTCACACTGACCTACCCGGACGGCCAGTCGTGCCACAGCGGCCAGTTCAACCGCTCGACCGTCATTTCCTTCACGTGCGCTCGCGGCCAGGTTGGCGCGCCCGTGTTTGTCGATGAAACGGACGATTGCTCGTACCTGTTCACCTGGGCCACCGATGCTGCCTGCCGCCCTTCAGACGATGACGAGATTGACTGTGCTGCCACGGATCCCAGCACGGGCATCGAGTACGACCTGTCGCCGCTCTCCCGCGCCACTGGCAACTGGGAAGCGTCCGACTCCCGTCAGGGCTATGCCTTCCGCTACTTTATCAACGTGTGCCAGCCCGTCAACCCGGTTGCCGGCTCGCTTTGCCCAGTTCAGGCAGGTGCGTGCCAGGCGCTTGCCACCGACCTCTCTGTGGCCTACAGTCTCGGTCGCCCTGCAGCGCCCGTCTTCGCTGACGGTTCGCTCAAGCTCGAGTACGACCTTGGCACGCCGTGCCACTCGAACGCCTTCAACCGTAGCATGCTCATCACCTTCACTTGTGCTGCCGAAACGCTTGGTGTCCCCACGTTTGTGACCGAAACAGCCGACTGCCAGTATGTCTTCCAGTGGGCCTCCTCGGCTGCATGCGCCCCCACCAACGGCAGCTCTTCCGGCGACTGTCGCGTCACCAACCCCAGCACCAACCAGATTTTCGACTTTTCTGGCCTCACCCGCACCACCGGCTCCTACTCGGTCACGGTGGGCGACTACCAGTACGACCTGAACGTCTGCGGAGCTCTGCCTGCCTCGTCGCCGTGCTCGTCCAAGGACAGCAAATCGGCTGCCTGCCAAACCAAACCCAGCGACTCGTCCTTCAGCAAGGTGCTTGGTGTCACTGGCGGCGAGCTGACCTACTCGAACGGCTTCATCACCCTCGAGTACGACAACGGCCAGGCGTGCCACGACAGTGAATTCAACCGCTCCACGCTCATCATCTTCTCGTGCGCTCGCGGCCAAGTCGGTGCGCCCGTCTTTGTGCAAGAATCGGCCGATTGCGTGTACATTTTCAACTGGGCCACCGACGCTGCCTGCCCTCCCAGCGACCAGCTCGAGTGCATGGCCACCCATCCCACCACAGGTCGCCAGTACGACTTGTCGCCGCTCATCAAGACCATCGGCAACTGGGAAGCGTTGGACTCTGCCGAGGGCGACTCGTACCGCTACCTGATTAACGTCTGCCACGCCATCAACCCAGACGCGTACTCGAACAAGTGCAACGTTCGCTCTGCGGCTTGCCAGCTCAAGCCAACTGATCCTGACTTTGCCCACGACCTGGGTCTCCCCGCCGCGCCCACGTTCACCAACGGCGCGCTGACGCTGCAGTACAGCCTGGGCTCGTCCTGCCACAATGGCCAGTTCAACCGCAGCGTCCTGATCACCTTCACGTGCAAGCAAGGCTCGCTCGGCGTTCCCAAGTTTGTGACTGAGACTGACCAGTGCCAGTACATGTTCATGTGGGAAACGTCCGTGGCCTGCGACGCAAACAATGGCACGGCCTCGACCGGCTGCCGCACCGTCGATCCGCTTACCAATGAAGTGTACGACCTTTCTCCGCTCTCTGCCTACCAGGCCGACTACTCTGTGGCTGGGAACGGCTACATCTTCAAGCTGAACGTTTGCGCGCCGCTCAAGGCCCCCTGCGGCACTGCGACCTCGGCCATGGCCTGCCAGACCCAGCCGCTCAACCCCAACTTTAAAGACACTGCCACTGGTCTGGCGACTCCTCAGACGAGCTCGATCTCGTACTCGTCCGGTGTCATCACGCTCCAGTACACTGGCGGACAGTCGTGTCACGATGGCCAGTTCAACCGCACGACCATCATCATGTTCACGTGCGCCCGCGGTGTGATTGGCGCTCCCGTGTATGTGTCCGAGTCCAGTGACTGCACCTACACGTTCACCTGGGCAACCGACTTTGCCTGCCCTTCGTCGGATGCTCTCGAGTGCGTTGTTCGCGACCCCAAATCCAACACCATGTATGACTTGTCCGTGCTGACGCGCGCAGACACCAACTGGGAGGCGCTCGACTCGCGCCAAGGCTTCAACTATCGCTACTTTATCAACGTGTGCCACGCGATCGTCCCGACCGCCGCCACGGCTGCCTGCAATTCGCGCACTGGTGGCTGCCAAGTCTCCAACTCCAACTCGAGCAAGGTCTACAGCCTCGGCTACCCGGCCGCCCCGACCATCTCTGCTGGCGGCGTGATTAGTCTGCAGTACGATCTCGGAACCCCGTGCCACTCGAATGCCTTCAACCGCAGCATGCTCATCACCTTCACCTGCAAGCGCAACTCGCTGGGCCAGCCCACCTTCATTGACGAAACTCCCGACTGTCGCTATGTCTTCAACTGGGAAACGTCGGCTGCCTGCGCTCCCATTTCGAACGGCACCACGGGCGACTGCCGCGTGACCAACACGCTCACGGGCGACGTTTTCGACTTTTCCACGCTCACCTCCAGCGGATCCGACTACCAGATTGCATCCGGCGACTACGTCTACAACCTCAACGTCTGCGGCCGGACCAACACCCAGTGCGGCAACAACCCCAACGCTGCCATGTGCCAAACCAAGCCTTCGGACGCGAGCTTTGCCAAGAGCGGTGGCTCCGTGTCCTCGACCTTGACATTCAACAATGGCATCATCTCGCTGCAGTACTATGGCGGACAGTCGTGTCACGATGGCCAATTCAACCGCTCGACCATCATCACCTTTACATGCGCCCGTGGCCAGAAGGGCTCCCCTGTCTTTGTCTCCGAGTCTGATGACTGCGTCTACTTTTTCACCTGGGCTACCGACGCGGCATGCACGGCCGGCGACAGCATCCAATGCATTGCTCGCGATCCTGCTACCGGTATCCAGTACGACCTGAACCCGTTGGCCCGTGACTCTGGCAACTGGCAAGCGGTCGACACTCGCGATGGCGGCGCCTTCCAGTACTTTATCAACGTTTGTCGCGCCATCAACCCGGTTGCCGGCACATCCTGCTCGGTTCAGTCTGGTGCCTGCCAAGCGCAGACCAGCAACATGCTCAACTCTTGGAGTCTGGGTCGCCCCTCCGGCCCGCAGTTTGCGAACGGTGTTCTCACCTTGAAGTATGATCTCGGTACGCCGTGCCACTCGAACGCCTTCAACCGCTCGATGGTGATTACCTTCACCTGCAAGCCCGAGTCGCTCGGCGTTCCCAAGTTTATCACCGAGACGAACGACTGCCAGTACATTTTCCAGTGGGAAAGCTCTGTGGCCTGCGCCCCTTCCAACGGCACCGGCAACGGAGACTGCCGCGTTGTTGACTCGCTCACCAACAATGTGTTTGACTTGTCCTCCTTGGCCTCAAGCGCATCGGACTATGCCGTCACTGGCTCTGATGGCTTTGTGTACCAGCTGAACGTTTGCCGCGACCTCGTTGACCACTCAAAGTGCGCCGAGCCGAATGCCGCCGCCTGCCAGACCAAGGCCACCGACCCCGGCTTTGGCAAGCTCGCTGGACGCATCAGCACCTCGCTCACCTACAATGACGGCGCCATCAGCCTCAAGTACGAAGGAGGCTCGGCGTGCCACAACGGCGCGTTCAACCGCTCGACCCTTATCACGTTTACGTGCGCGCCTGGCCAGAAGGGCGCCCCGGCTTTCGTCCTCGAAACCGGTGACTGCGGCTACGTTTTCAACTGGGCCACTGACGCTGCTTGCCCTGCCGACACGGATATCGAGTGTCTCACATTCAATCCCGCGACTGGTGAGCAGTTTGATCTTTCGCCTCTCATCAAGTCGACCGGCAACTGGGAGGCACTTGATACCCGCGATGGCGGCACCTACAAGTACCTGATCAACGTGTGCCACGCCCTCAACCCGACCTCGTCCTCGTCGAGTGTTTGCCCTGCTCGTAGCGGCGCGTGCCAGACCAAGCCGTCGGACACGACGTTTGGCCACGACCTTGGCCTCCCTGCTGGTCCCACGATCAAAAACGGCCAACTCACGCTCGAGTACGACCTTGGCAGCTCGTGCCACCAGGGCCAGTACAACCGCAGCATGCTCATTACCTTTGCCTGCAAGCCAGACACGCTGGGTGTCCCCCGCTTCATTGCCGAGACGGACGACTGCCAGTATGTCTTCCAGTGGGACACGGCTGCTGCCTGCGCAGTGAACAACACGACGCCCGTCACCGACGACTGCCGCGTTGTTGATCCTCGCACCAACAACGTGTACGACCTGAGCGGCCTCACCAAGACCACTGGCGACTACACTGTCGGTGCCGGCGACTACAGCTATCACCTGAATGTGTGCGGCAAGCTCAGCTCGGTCGCGCCCTGCAAGAACAGCAAGTCGGCTGTCTGCCAGACCAAGGTCTCTGACGCGTCGTTCGGCAAGGACGGTGGTGTCGCGTCGTCCTCGCTCAAGTTCAACGACGGCGTCATTTCGCTGCAGTACACTGGCGGCTCGTCGTGCCACGATGGCGCATTCAACCGCTCGACCGTCATCACCTTCACGTGCGCTCGTGGCAAGGTTGGCAGCCCCATCTTTGTTCAGGAAACCAACGACTGCACGTACTTTTTCACCTGGGCCACTGACGCTGCCTGCCCACCCGCGGATTCGATCGAGTGTTTGGTGTCGGACCCCACCTCGGGCGTGCAGTACGACTTTTCGTCGCTCACGCGCACGTCTGGAAACTGGGAGGCTCTCGACACGCGTGAAAACGGCAAGTTCAAGTACCTCATCAACGTTTGCCACGCCATCAACCCGGTTGCCGGTGTCTCGTGCGATCCCAAGTCCGGCGCATGCCAGACCAGCCCGTCCGATGCCACCTTCACCAACTACAACCTTGGTCTGCCAGCCGCACCCTCCGTTGTTGATGGCACCATTGTGCTGCAGTATGTGGGCGGCACGCCCTGCCACAACAATGCCTACCAGCGCAGCACGCTGATCAAGTTCTCCTGCAAGGCCGAAACGCTTGGCTCGCCCGTCTTTATTACCGAAACCGAGTCTTGCCAGTACGTCTTCCTCTGGGAAACCTCCGCGGCCTGCGGTCCCGCCAACGACACGACCGGCACGGACTGCCAAGTTGCCGACCCCTCCAGCGGTGCCATCTACGACCTGCGCCCGCTGGCCAGCACGACTGACTACTCCTTCCTGGTGGGCTCTGACAAGTACACCATCAACATGTGCAAGCCCCTTGTGACCCAGTGCGGCACGGATGCTTCTGCTGGTGCCTGTCGCTTTGCCTCGACTTCCACGCCCGCTGCCGGCACTGTTCTTGGCCATGCAAGCACCACGCCGCTGCTTTCCAACGGCCAGCTCTCCCTGAACATGTCTGGAGGCGCCGCCTGCGGTTCGGGCTCGCGCAACGTCATTGTCAGCTTCTCGTGCAACACTGCCTCGCTGGGCCAGCCTGTCTTTGTCACTCTGGACAGCTGCAATGTCTATCTGCGTTGGGAGACGTCTGCCGCGTGCGGACCCAACCCGAACGAAGGCATGTGCACTGCGCATGATGCTGCCAACGGCTTTGACTACAACTTGGGCGTCCTGACGCGCTCGGAAACCAGCTGGACAACCGCTGGCAAATCCGGTGCTCGCTTCTTCCTGAATGTGTGCGACCGTGCGTTCGGCTCGCCTTGTGGCGACACTGCAGCGTCCTGCCAGTCCAACAATGGCCTCGTCATCGACCTCGGCCGCTCGTCCCGTGCACTCCAAGTCACTGGCGAAGGCAAGCTCTCTTTGACGTACACTGGCAACCAGTTCTGCGTTGGCACCACCTACTACACAACCAAGATCAACTTTGTCTGTGCCCGAGGCATCCTCGGCAGCCCCGTGTTCGAAGGCGTGACCAACAACTGCCAGTACACGTTCACCTGGAAGACTTCTGCTGCCTGCCCTGTGACTGCGTATGTGATCAGTTGTTGATGATGGTGATTGATTCTTTGATGGAGCTGGAGGGGGACGGGGAAAGGGAGATTTGTTCTGGTTGGCAAAGAAGGCGCTCGGGCGTCGGCAAAAATTCAATCATCTCACTGTGCTTTCCTTTTGGGTGGGGGTTCTTTCGCACAGTCCTGCAACAAGCACAACCTGCGCCGTGTACGACCCGCTCACAAGCAACGTGTTCAACGTGACTCGTCTGTCGCGGCCGACCAGCAATTACGTTGTCGATGCTTATCGTGGCGGTGTCCTGTATCGCTACCAACTGAATCTTTGTCGTGAGGCTGTTTCGACTCAATGCCCGGCTGGCACTGCCGTGTGCGAGACGCGACCCGACGTCCCCACCTACTCCAGGGCTGTCGGCAAGGTTGCCTCCACCCTTCAAGCAGCAGGTATGACAATGGTTTTGGGTTTGTTTTGCTTTGTTTTTGTTTTTTTCCGTTGATGACACGGCCATTGCACGTGGCGGGTGTGTACAGCAGTATTCTCACTTGCTCGTTTGTTTTGCGGACTTTTGTACAGATGGCGCTCTTTCGATGACTTTTGCTCGCACCAACCAGCAATGCGACGACGTCAAGTACACGCCCTCGTCCATCATCATGTTCAGCTGCCGTGCCGATTCGCTTGGCGAACCCACCTTCCTGTACCGTTCGGAGAGCTGCGATTATGTGTTTAGCTGGGCTAGCTCTGTTGCTTGCATGTAAGTGGGACATGGTTGCGCTTTGGTTTTTTTGGTGGTTTTTTTAAGGCGAGTTTGTTTTGCTTGGATGATTTCTGACCCGTACTGTTTTTTCACCTGTCAAACAGCAACTACACACCCGAGCCACATCCCACGGACAACAACAACTCTGCTGCGAGCAGCAACAAGACCCAGGTCACCGTTATCGCCGTCGTTGTGATTTTGGTGGTGCTTGTGCTTGCCATGGGCTTCTTGCTGCGAAAGAAGTCGCGAAGGTATGTGGTGGGAGGGCGTTTCGGTTTTTTGCATGCTGCGTCCGATTCTGTACTTTGGCTTACTTTGTTTGTTTTGCAACATCCCTTGGATACGTGTGCAGGACGGCGTTGATGGCGATTGTCCTTCGACCATTCTCCATGTGCTCGCGCAATGCCCAGACCTCCTACTACTCGAGCCTAGGTCGCGGTACTGATCTTGAACGCGTCATGGCCTCCGAGGACGATGATGACTTGATGGCCTTGTAAAATGTTGAGGTCCCATAGGTGTTCTTGTTGTTGTTCTTGTTGTCTATGCTCTTGTGTCTTTGTGTTGGTTGTTGTTGTTTCTTGTTTGAAATGAAATCTTTTCTCTCTCTTTTTCTCGCTGTTGTCTCTGTGTCCAGTGGGTGTATTCTCTGCAAGTCCAACCCAAACCAAGCAACAAACTTGAAAGTCAGTCCAGTCCTGCAATCTCGAATCCATGCTGCTGCGTGTTGGCGTTCGGACGCTTCGACGAGGGCTGGCCACCATCAGTGCGTCTCGCCCGACGCCGCATCAACAACCGACAGTACAATGTGTGCAAGTCCTGACTCGGCTCCAGTCGAGCACGGCTGCCGCCGCTGCTGCAGTCCCACCGCAGCAGGTTGAGGCGCTGCTTCGCTCGCTCGTGGCTGATCCGACCAGCTCGTCGACCGGCGCTGCTGCTGCTGCTGCTGCTGCTGCTGCTGCCTCCACGCTGCCCATCCATGATCTGTCTCGGATGCTGGCGTCTCAGACCAACCCCGTTGCGCTGGCCGAGTTTGAGCATTACTTGCGATCGCTCTCCGTCGACCAGCGCGTGCGATTCCTGGCGACCATGGTCTACAAGCCCGGTGAAGCCCATCTCGCTGGAACGAGTGCCCAGGATTCAATTCATGCTGTGGAACCCTCCAACGAATTGGCGAGCAACAGCGGTCCTGCATTGACTGGAAGGGCTGCAACCCGCCAAGAAGTACACTCGTCGGATGCATTCAAGTCGCCATCATCAACATCAACATCATCAACTGCGCCGAATGTTGACGCTTCCGTTGTGGTGATGCCGGAACGTGGTGCAGATGTCAGGCAGACGGATTCGCAGCTCGTGATGGCCAAGCAAGTCATTGAACTTGTCAGTTTGTTCAATCACGGCACTCGCAAACTAACTGGTTCCGTGTAAGTATCCGTTGGCATGTATAGTTGTACGAAATGAGGCACGGCATAGCTGTGTGATGACAATTGATGACAACTGATGATGATTGACGATTCTCGATGGTCGAGATTCGAACCGTTCGTCTCATCTCTCATGGATTTGGACTTGCTGTGTGCATTTGGTCTCGCTCTCTAGACTGGCGCTCATGGCGTTCGCGTTGATTGCTCCTCTGTTGGTGCTGAACAAACTACTGGATGATGCCATGGAAAACATCTCGACCGACCTCATTCAAATCGTACGTTGCATTCGAACTCGCGTTTGTTTAACGTGGAAGTCGTATTGTTGAAAAACTCACAACCCTCTAGGGTGGAAAGTTCAATCCCGATCCACAAGTGTTTGCCAACAACCTCCGTCAGTACTATTACGACATTCTGAGGCAGCAATCTACGCAAACACAACAGTCACCCGCCAGCCAAGTGCTCGACCAACAAGTGCAAGCATTGCAAGCGCAAGTCGCGCAATTGGAGCAACGACTTGCAGCTGCGCAATCGACGCCCCAGGCTGTTCAAGCAGCTGCTCCGCCGACGATTCCTCCTGCTTTGCACCCTACCGCCGATAGCACGTCAACCGCTGCGTTGGTAGAGCCCCTGCGGCAGCCCGTCAGTGTCCAGCATCCTATTCCGCTTGAGAATGATCAAACTTCCCGATAAGGCGTGTTCAAGGACGAGGCTTGCTCAAGGACGAGGCTTGTTCAAGGACCGTGTATTTTTTGCGTATAACAAGAAAATAGGACGAAATCGCCACGTCGCCAAGTACAAACAACAACGGTGCCATTATTCCAGCTCGTTGTGTGGTACGTCCGGATCGGCATCTGCATAAATGTTCTCGGCCTTTTGACAAACAAACAGGATCAAAAAGTCAAAAAGTCAAAAAGTGAGGAGGACACCTGTGCCCGTCGCCGAAACATTCAATCTACTCTCAGATCTTTGTGGCACTTACCATTTGCCACAGTTGCAACATGTTGTCGTCGTCGACACTGCAACACACCCACGGTTCGTTGGGGTTCCAGCAAAAGTCGGAAATTCGAGATGTGTGTCCGCCATGAATAAACTAAAAGTACAAAGGACGGTTGCACCACCGTCGAACAAGTACAAGGATGAGCAATTGAATCTCCAGGCTGACAAAAAAACGCCCCTCGCGACCGATCTCTTTACCAAAAGCTCCGGTGGGCCATCCTCGGCGTCCTCCGCCGATTGCTCCTCGCCGATTTGGGACAAGTCCCAGACGTGCAGGCGGCGGTCGGCGCCACTCGATCCCAGGATTGTCTCGTGGTGTGGCGACCACTGAATCTGGAAGACCTCGTCCGTGTGCGATTCAAAAGTGTGGAGTTTGACTTTGAGGTTGCGCAAATCCCACAAGGCAACAGTCTACTCACAGGTCCAAAGCGGATCAAAGGTGAACGAGAGATCGGCAAGTTGCCAAAACCAACACAAAAAAAAACACCACAGCAGAAAAAACCAAAAGCTCGTACCTTGTCCGAGGAGCCCGACGCCAGGGTAAACTCGCTATATGGGTTGAAAGCAACACAGTTGACCTCGGCAGAGTGTGCGTCCACAACATGGGAAGCTTGGTGCGTTGTTCGCGCTCGAGTGTCCCAGCTGCAGGTTGATAAGATTGGAATCGTCAGAACATGATACAACAGGATATCAAATCACAAAGTCGCCAAAACTTACATCATGACTTTGCGATCATCGCCGCCTGATGCAAACAAGGCACTGTGCAGTGGATGCCATGCCACGTCCTACGCATCAACCAAACAAAAAAAAAAGTTGTAGCCGTTCAGAAACTTGAGCGGGGTCTCATTCATCGCCATCAGGTGGTAGTCAAAGTTGTCTAACGCGTTGGGCGTCGTGTCAACTCTCTCTCTCCCTCTCAACCCAACACAAAACTGCACACAATTAGACCTACCTCCACGATATTGCTGTGACCCGTGTAGATTTGCTTTGCATCAATGGACTTGGCCTCCCTGCTGGCGCCTTGGATATCCCAGAGACAGATGGTGTGGTCGTACGAGGCCGAGAGCAAGTGGCCGGCGAGGTTGGGGTTCCACGACAAGCCGTAGCCCTCCTTGGTGTGACCTTTCAGGCGGATGGGCTCAATCTTCTCGTTGAGCTGCTTGGCGTCATTCCGCAACTCGGAGTAGTACTTGTCGTGGTCAAACAGAAACACGTCGGGGGAGGGCGACTTGGTGGCAATCATTGATGGCGCCTGGGGCATGTAGCGCGCGCGATTGACGTCGCCTTCGTGCGGGATTTTGACGCGCTCGCTCAGCGTGAGCTTGTCGCCGTTGTAGCCGCCGTACTCTCCGCGGCTCTCGTTGTACGTGCGCGCATTGATTGGCGTGTCGTCGGTGGGGATCTTGACCTTGACCACGACGAGGTGGTTTGGCTCGCCCTCCGTGTGCGTGCCAAAGAGCAGGCGATGCGTCGAGTACGCGTTGTCCGCCGTGCGGTCGACGTCCGGCAGCCACTGCACAGTCAGCGATGGCCAGTCTAGCGCAGACGACACCATCAGCGAGTACAGGAAGGGCACCGTGCGCTTCCAGAGCTTGAACTCTTCGTTGATCGTCTTGTCCGCGGCAATCTCGGCCGCCGTCGCAGGCTGAAGCTCGCTCTCGTCCGCAGCGTTCGAGGAAGACATGGAATGGATCACACTCGGTGGGAAGGGGAAGGAAATTGGGTACCCTGTACAGCGAAGCAGCGAAGAAAGTGAGTGAATGAAGATCAAAAAGAAAAAAAAATCGAACAGAAATCGAAAAAAAAAAATCGATACAATCCGTGGTCCAACAGAGCAAACACAGAGTGACATGGGGCTGCTGATGGATGGGTGTGCGTATGTATGTGTGTTCGTGTGGTGTGTGTTGTTGCGTTCTTGATTGGTGTTCAGAAGAGGCGGGGGAAGAGGAGCGCGCTTATCTTTTTTTTTTTTTTTTTTTTGGCGCGAAAACTTCCCGCCCAAATTATGGTCAAAGTCCAACACTATCATCCCTGAGCTGCGTCGCACTACATGCCATTTTCACCCTCTGTGCGTTGGGGGTTTTGGGGGGTTGCATTTGTGCGAGTTGGATGGTAGACAAAATGGCAGGGAACTCGGAGGTCGCAAGCGCGAGCGAAGGAAACAATGACAATGCATACAACGAGCAAAAACGACTGAACTCAGCTCTGCACCATTTACATTCTCGAATGGAATCAATGGAGAAAATCGTACAATCTCGACACCAACCATGGACGGCAGAATGGAACTGCACTCACAGTCGTTTGTGAACGCTCAACCATTTTTCACTCTTTTTTTTTTTTTTTTTTTTTCAAGTTTCCCAAATCTGCTTTGTGTTTCTTCCACAACCTAGATTCCAGAAGCCTCAGCGTTTCCTCGTGGAAGGTTTTTCAAATAGCTCTCCCACCCTTTTCTTGTTGTTGTACTTGTTTGATTTTTCATGTTCCGACGCAACGATGGGCCGCTTTCTCGCAAGACGCAGCAGCAGCAGCCTTCATAAACCAAGTGGGGATTTACGCAGTCTTGATCCCTCCGCCGTGAGCGCATCTCCCCTCCTTCCATCGCAGCAACACCGTGCCAGTTGCACATCGCACATGCTTTGGCGACGTGATCGAGGCAATTTTCTCACAATTTTGGCAGTTTTGTGCGCCGTCGAATTTCTACTGTTCACGCCAGCGCTCGCCCTCCATCTCGACCGCCGGAATCCAGACACCATGCACAACGCCGCCATCGGTCGCTACGCCAGAGATGCCGGCGATGAAGGCAGCCGTGCAGGGCCGCCCCCGACGCACGGATTGAACGAGCCCGCGGGCGCAGGACCTCGATTTTTCTCACGGGGATCCGGCCAAAAGAACGCTGGGAGCGGTGGCGCGGACGCTGGCGACACACCCGGCGATGCCAGCAATCCAGGACAAGCAGGCAGCGATAGCAACAAGAAGCCGACTGTTGTGCGACGCGGAGACGAAGGCATCCCTCAGCAGTACATTATCATGTTCCGGGCGTCCGCGGACGAGCGCGCGAAACAAGCAGTGCGCGACCTGCTAAGGTCAACGCCTGGCGTCGAATATCTCCGCGACTTTTCTGCAACGGGTGGGCTGGTCGCTCGATTTGACGATGACATGCTCAAGCAGCTGATGACAATGCCTGCGATTGACCTGATTGAGCAGGACGGCAAGATGCACATCCACGCAACGACTGCCGCCGGCAATTCAAAGCACATCAGTGGTCGCCGTCAAAACCAACCACTTCCCCAAATCCCGACTGAAATGTATCAGGTGAACGCCCCTTGGAACCTGGATCGCATCGATCAGCGAGCACTTCCTCTGGACGGCTTTTACAAGTATCATTTTGACGGCGCCGGAATTCACGTTTACGTGATTGACACTGGCATCCGCACCACGCACGAGCAGTTTCAAGGGCGCATCGGCAACGGCGTCTGCACGATCGATGGTATTTTCTCCGTGCAGGATTGCAACGGACATGGCACGCACGTTGCTGGGACAGTCGCTGGAAAAACGTACGGCGTCGCAAAGAATGTGACTGTTCACCCCGTACGTGTGCTCGGATGCGATGGTGAAGGAGCCATCTCCGGTAAGTGTCTGCTAGCTGATGTGGTGCTGTTGGAGAGGAGGAGCAAGTGAGAGTTTCGGTTTTTGCCAAATGAACTCTGTCACTTTGCGGAGCTTGCTTTTGGTTGTTCTGATTTTTGTGTCCCTCCCTCCATCCATCCATCCCTCCCTTCCACCCTACTTCCTCCATGTACTCGTCCCTCAATAGATGTCATCGAGGGCGTCGCATGGGTCACTGCGAACGCCATCCCGCCAGCAGTCGCTGTCATGTCGCTCGGAGGTACCATCTCGATCTCCCTCGATACGGCAGTTTCGGCAGCAGTGGCGTCGGGAGTGACCGTCTCTGTGGCTGCCGGAAATGAGAACGAGGACGCTTGCAACTCATCGCCAGCGCGCAACGAGTTTGTTGTTTCAGTCGGAGCGACAGACCTAAAGGACTTTCGTGCAACCTTTTCCAACTATGGTCCGTGCGTATCGCTGTTCGCTCCAGGCGTGGATATTACGTCGGCGTGGTGGCTGAGCGATACCGACACGCGCACCATTAGCGGCACCTCCATGGCCGCTCCATTGGTGGCTGGCATGGCAGCACGCCTCTTGCAGTTCGACCCAGGCTTTACCCCGGACATGATCAAGAGCATTTTGTCGTGCGCAGGCACAAAGGGCATTGTAGAGGATGCAGAAGCCTCCTCGCCCAACATCCTTTCCTTCTTTGCAATTGACCAGCCGACGCAGATTCAGCAGACGACCGACAACACGCCTGCCACGCAGTGCGGCGATCTCAGTACCGGCAACGACACCACGCCCAACGCCAACGGGTGCTACGTCTTCACGGGTACCATCAACTTGACCACCATCTCTGTAGCGAGCCCGAGTCCCTACTACCAGTCCGACCGCCCTGGCACGCTGCGCGGGTACCTCTCGCTCGGAAATAGTGCCAATCCAAACCCAGACTTGGATCCCAGCACGGATTTTCTTGATCTTGGGCTTTACAAGTTCAACCAGGCGTCCAACAACTGGGACTTGATCACGAGCTCGACCACAGTGGGGAATGACGAGCAGATTGTCTACTTTGGAACGGCGGGCTATTACACGTTCCAGATTGCCGCCGCACCCGCGTGGCTGCGCGATGACAAGGACACGCCGATACCCTACATGTTTGTTTTCAAACCCCCGAGTGCCAGTGGCGACTCGCCCTCAGATCAGTGCAACCAGGAAGGCTCTGCTGCGGCCACCACCATGCCCATGAACCGCTTGCTGGGAGCCTCTGCGCTTGCCGCGACTGGTCTTGGGTATTGTCTGAGGAACATGGCGTAATCCATCCGACCAAAGCCCGATGGCAAGTGCCTTCGCGTCTGTCTGGAACGGCACGTTTGTTTAAAAAAAGGTGGTCAACTCAAAGCATTACAGCACTGTAGCCCCTCAATGTTTAGCTTTCGTCGTGTTTTTTGATGGAGCGTGCACAGTATTTGCAATATAGGTGCAGTTTCGGTGTATTTCGTACACTCAACCCCAGCACAATCTCCAACCCGTAAAGTATGCCGGACTGCGCGTTTGCTTTCGTTTTTGGCAGCGAGTCCCAAGCATCAGTCCGTCCGCATGCCTGTGGCCATGGCCTCGCTGGTTCGCTTGTCGCGCTTGGGGCTCCCGATCGAAGCGACCGCCGGCTCCGGTGAAAGAATCTTGGCCTGGGGCGGCGACTGGACGGATTTGGCGGGAATGGCAGGAGGAGCAAGATTCGTCGGCGGGGCGGAAGGGGTTGCGCCGGGCACTGCGCCGGGAATTGCATTCCCATGGTGGTGCGGGTCGTATTCCTGCAATTGCGTTTGGGAACGCGCGGCTGCGGCTGCGGACTGCGTGAAGCGGAAGAGTGCCAGCGTCCGCGTTTGCGTTTTCTGGCACACTGCCACGACGTTGCGCATCATGGGTGTCATGTTATCACCGAACGCTTTCAAATCAATGACGCATAGCTGGCACGCCTCGGACGTCATGGCGCACAAGTGCCCAGCAAGCGGAGACTCGCGGAGGAGGAGCGCCGAGGTGGTGCCGCACAACTCGGTGCAGTCGTTCATTGCGCGGATGTGCGGCAGCGACGCCAGCAATCCGCCATGCTTCAAACAATCCACCACCGTTTGCAGGCACAGCGACCGGCACTCTGCGAGGCTCGCGAGGCAGTCTGCAATATCGTGTGCTGTCATGGCGTTCTTTTCTGTGCACTTTTCGTTTGGTATTTTTATTTTGAGGTGATCTTCTTTCTTACGCGCTTCTTCCCCTCCTTTTTTTTTCTTATTCAAACGAGGGCAGTGTTAATCAAAACGATCAAGTCGAATTGATGAAAAAGCGAGGACTGCGCTTTGAAAAAGACACCCAAACACGGATGAACAAAAATTCACCAACTCGGATTGTTGAAATTCAGCATGATCTTACAGTTTTCGTGTTTTTGTTTGTTGGAGCCATACAAAAATAAAATTGACAAACAACAGTGCTTTGAAAAAAAAAATGCATGAATCGAAACTTCTTTTTGAATGTGATGTTTGTTTGAACGAAACAAGGTGAGAAGGAAGAGAAATGAAGAAAAAAAAAGCGATCGTAAGAAAAAAAAATCGAGAGGGAAAAGAAAAGACAATGAGAGTTGGAGAACAGAGACTGACTGGAAGACAATCAAGGACAAGAGAACAAGAGAATTGATCAGAGAGAGACAGACAGAGAGACAGACAGAGAGAGAGACAGAGAGAGAGAGAAAAGGCGCCGGTCCACCTAGTCATAGCGGTCTAATGCTCCACCGTGCCATTGCAAGCAGAACACGCCAACCCCGTCTTCCCTTATAGGCAAAAGGAAGAAGGGTGGCGTCCCCTGCAGAGCAAACAAAAGTGCGACGGCGTTGCGACCGATGGCGACTCCGCTTGTGGATGGACCGACTGACCCTTGCCCCACAGAACATCCTCAGCCCATTGCCAAAGCGATTGCTGCTCGACCGTATACCAAAGCCCGCTCCCACGACCGACCGCCCAGCCATGCGCGAATCAATCGGGGATTTGGAGTGCAGGTGGTCGCTTCGAGCGCATTTGTTGTACCGCCTTGGCGAGCTTGCTGGTTCTGTGAAAGACAAGAGTGAGCCTGCGAAATCCGCATTGGGAAGAGGCTTTTAAACCCAAAAAAAAAAAAAAAAAAAAAAAAAAAAAAAAATTGGTGAATTGTCAGAAAACACAAAAGAGCCAAAAACAACTCAAAAAGTGAGGATTCATGCAGAAAACTAGGAAGAAGGGCAAGCTTGCGGAGAGGAATCTAGACCAACAAAGCGTTTGGCTGCTAGACAGTCAAGCAGCAAACAAAAATGAATTCATAAAGTGGAGAAAAAACGGATCTGGACGAATGGATGGTTGCAACAACTTGAAGCGACAACAAGTGTATACTAGAGCTGAAACACGTGCGCACTTCACACAAGAAGCATTGAGCAGTGTGTGTGTGATTGGGAAGAGCAGAAACACCATTCTGACAAACAAAAACTGAACTCCAAACTAAAACCCCATCCAGACCAACAGAAACACGCTGTTTAGTTGACCTTCAGGCGGCGCGCAACAAACTTGGCGTTGGTAAAGGAAAGCGCAATGAAGGAGCGGATGGGAGCGGGCGCGGCACCAAAGAGCTGGGTCAGCAGCGAGAAGGGGAAGGGGAAGGCAATGACGCTCACGTTGCGCTCAAGACCGTCCTTCATGATGGCCGCAGCGGGCTCGGCCTCCATGAGGAAGGGCAGGGGAATGTTGCGCTTGGCCTGGGCGGTCATGCGCGATTCAACAAAGCCAGGGCAGATCACAGACATGCCGACGTTGTAGCGGCCAAGCATGCCACGCATGGACTCGCTGAAAGCACGGACGGCGTACTGTGGATCGAAGTGTGTGTGGATCGAAGTGTGTGTGGATCAGGGGCAGAGAAATGAGAGAAGCATTGTAAAGTGACGCATCCAAAATTCCAGCACACCATCGCAACGTACCTTCGATGTGTGGTAATCGCCAAGCTCGGGCTGAGTGAAAAACCTGTGAGTTTATCAGAGCACAATGAGGGGGAAATGCTCATAAGCAAAAAAAGAAACAAGAGCTGTGCAACTGCTGGCAACAAAACAAAAACCCCTACGTACGAAGCAAGGGACGACATGATGGCGATTTGTCCACGACGGCGCTTGACCATGGAGTCCATGATCGGGAAGACAGTGTTGAAAACACCCTGAACGTTAATGTCCATCAGAGGCTTGGTTCTGATTTCAGGAGAGTCGTTGAAACAAAAGCGGAAAAATAAAATCAGCAAGTAGTGGTGCACACGTCGACAGATTGTTGCACGACCGCGGATTTCACGAAATCATCCCCCCATGCTGTTACTCCACTGTAACCGCAGCTTTTTGCATGCATGCAACCTTACGCTTCAGCAATGCCGGGAGTGTTGATCGTGCCAGAGCTCACGCCTGCGTTGGCAATCACCAAGTCAAGAGGGACCTGAGCGTCCTCCTTCTGGATGATTTCGGCCATCTTTTCGGCATTGGTGACGTCGACGCTATGAGTGACGACCTATACCCAAGCCAAATCCCATCGGGCTCTCCAGTTGAGTGGTTGACCGCAGCAAAAATCATCACCAACTTCCAATTGCTGGACAAGCTCAAGGAATCGAGCGCAACGCTCCGCTGCCTCGCGCTCCCCGCTTCTGCACTCACCTCTGCACCCTTGGCGCTGACGGCTTCGCTGACGGACTTGAGACGAGCGGCGTCGCGGGCAGTCAGCACAATGCGGACGCCCGGCTTGGCGAATGCGAGCGCCAACGCTTCACCGAGGCCTGTCCAGTCCAAACAAGCAAAGAGGTCAGTCTCCCCGTTCCGTTGAAGCCCAACATGGGTGCATGCTGAACGCGGCCCCGAATAACGCTGTCCAAGTAGGGACGGCACAGTCATGGCAGGGTAGTGGGACTTGTCGGCTAAATGGGACCAATCCACACTCTTAGAGCGATTATTCGACAGTACATCCATCCTATTCACCGATGGACCCCCCAAAACATGCATCATGGGTCCCACTCGTGGAGGCCCCCCCCCTGCTTATGGAGCCAAACAGCGCGGGAGCGGAGGGGGCGGGTGGGAGCCAAACAGGCGGGAATAGAAGCGGAAGCGGATGATCAATCTCACTCTGCTCCGCTCTTGCTCTACTGCATGCTTTGGCTCACCAGAGTTTCCGCCAGTGATGAGAATGTGCTTAAAGTCCTTGCGAGGACCCGCGCGGATGCGTTCGAGAATGTAGATGACAGGACCGACAATCGCAGCCAGAATGTCAAAGACAATGCGAAGAATCAGCTCGGCGATGAAAATCGCAAAGTCAATCAATGCGCGGCTCATTGTGTCGAGGGGGGGAAGGGGAAATGAAAGACTGGGAACAACCCAAACAACAAATGGGTGGTGGTGGTGATGATGATGATGAGGATGATGAGAAATGTAGCAACGTTACAATTCAAAAAGACATTGAATCAGTGGGCAAGTTGCTTGAGCTCTTTCAGAATGCTGTCCGCTTGATCGCCAGTCTGGTGGGCCAGACTGATGGCTTGTTTGCGCTGGAGACGGAGCTGATCCTCTTGGCGCTCTGGATTCACAAAGCAAGAAAATAAGCGCAGGCAGATCAATCAAGAAGGTTCCAGCAGCGGCAAAATACCTGTCAGGCCGTTAAAAGACATGGCATCCAGCTTGATCAATGCTTGAGTAATCTCTTCGGCGTGCTTGGACGCAGCCTTTTGGATTCGCTCTCGATCTTCTGCGACCTTGGCAGCATCAAGAAAGCCCTGGTGTGGAATGGAGTGGCAGCGAGCGAGATGTTACACAATCGCTGTCTAGACGGCAGTTCGGCGAGATTCACCACCACCACCCCGCGCTTCCACCCAGAGCAACATCACAACGGACATACTTGCTTCAGTTGCCGCAAGGATAGATCGAGCTCGCGCACCACAGCAGCAGACTTTTGTATGGTTGCGGTAACGGCTGTGACCTGAGCGCTGAGCGCCGCCTCTTCCTCGGTGGCCTTCCGGCCAATCAGCATGATTCGGACACCGTCGACTATTCCGCACGCTTCGAGGGTTTCGGACGGATCTTTGAGCGTTCGGCCTGCGTCGTTGAAAAACCCAGAAGCGTTCTTAGTTGCTGTGTCGAGTTCAAACGTCGGCCAACTACAGTAGACCCCGAAACGACACGACACGATAGAACAATGTTCACTGCCAAGTAGCTTGACGTGGAATTTTGCAGCTTTTTGAGGATGTACCTTTGAACATCCAACGCTGAGCATGCACGGGGACTTGAACAGCGACCTCGGCTGCGCGCTGCAGATCAGCCAGCGTCGCCGCGCCGTCGATGGATATTGGGACTTGATGCTTGTCTGTGTTCAGAGATGTGAACAATGATCAAACGGAGGTCAGGCGAGAGCCCAGAGTGCAAAAGTGCACAAAATGAGCTGACAGTACAGCATGTTCATACCGTGAAGTGCCGTAATGGTAATCATCCAAGAATTGTTTGGAACTGAATGAATGAATGGAAATTGATGACTGAGTGAATGACTGAATGAATTACTGAATGAATGACTGCTTTTGGTGATGAAAATCAGCAAACTCAATGCAAAGGTCACTGCCAATGGGCGTTTGTGCTGTAATGTGACTATCCACTCATTTTCATTACTATTGTTGTTATTACTATACTGTATTGATTCGATTTTCAGTCTTATTCTCCAATCTTTTCAGAGTTGCTCAGAATCACACAATGCTGAAGAGTGTGCGACGCGCGATGGGATGGGCGGAATCCGAAGCCACCCCAGCAGTGAGTGTCCATCTACGACGAATACTACTACTACAACTACTCCAACCTATTGCTCAATGCTGTGGGGGTTTGACTGTTGACCTTTCGGTTGTAGGACGCCAGCGCAATCCCAGAGCCGGTCGACGAGGTCCAGCGAAACCCGTTCACGGACGTCCAGCTCCTGTCTGGGCACACAAACATTGTGCGACGGCTGCTGCGCATTGACGACACGCGCTTTGCATCGGCTGCAGACGACTGCACCGTCATTGTGTGGAACTACAGGACGGGCCGCCGCCTCAAGACGCTCGTCGGTCATACGCTCCCAATCAACTGCATCCTGCTGCTCTGTGTCGAGGCAGACAACACGATAATAGTCACGAGCTCATCCGACAAGACCATCCGGGTAAGGACCAGAAAAGAGGGAAACCGCCCCAAAGCGGGAAACTGCAGAACAATTGGGAAAACATGACTCGTAACTTTTGAACTCTGAAGCTGGACTTACCTTCGACATCAATGCATGTGCGAATTTGCTTGTCAGATGTGGAATATTGATCGCGGAGATTGCGTAGCCGTGCTCAAGGAACATGGCGGCAGTGCAAAGGTGTGGATGAACGGAGAGAACATTATTGCGCCAGAACTCAAGCAGCTTACTTTTTGGGAGGTTTTGTTTCTATGGACCCGTCGCATCTATTCAGTGCCTCGTCAACCTAGGCAATATCCAGTTTTGCTCTGGAGGCAAAAACGTGTGTCTTTGGAACCGTCAAGGCCAATTGCTGTGCAGTCTTGCAAGAAACGAGGAAGATTGTAAGTGTTGTTGTTGTTGCCCTCGGTTTTTCCATGTGTTGAACAATGACGGCCTGTTCTGAATGCTGGCATGCGGGAGACTGATGGCGGTGAACTTGGTATCCTTCAGCCGATTTGACACTCATGATCCGAATTCGCGACAATCGGATGGTCTGCGCATCCAGCACAAAAGATTTGGGTATAGTCGAGCTGTGTCGTCGTTGTTGTTATTTCAAAGGAAAGAGAGGCAGTCTGACTCTGGTAATGATGCTGCGGGGTGGCCGTCGTGTTCCCATCGCAGAGGTGTACTACCTTGATACCCAACGTTCAGGAAACCCGCGAGTTGTGTTGGTCAAAAAGCTGACGCAGCATCTCGAGACCGTCCGCTCGCTCTTAAACTTGTCGGGTAAGCACATGTTCGCGGGCAGCTCTCTTGCTAGGGCAACTCTTGGCCGAGTACTTGCGCTCGTGTTTATCTGTCAACGCTGCTTCGTTCAGAAAACTTGTTCGCGTCGGCATCCCTCGATGGCGGTATCATTCTGTGGACAACGCACACCCTGGTCCCTGTGAGGGTGATGAACAGCCATCGAGACGTTCAAGATGTAGCCCACGTTTATTCCTACAGTGTGCAGCACATGATAGCCGTCGACGAGGTGAAGAATCGGCTGCACGGTTTGGTTTGGTTTGGGGGAGGCGGCAGGGAGGGGGTTTTGCGTTCTTACTTGCGATGTCCGCCTCTCGGAATTGTAGAGAGTCCTTGTTGCCGCGGTTGGCCATGGCTTCGGCATGTTCGATGTGTTGACAGGTACGATCTCGTGCATCATTTTTTTTCTTGGTCCAGTGCAAAAACTCGTTGACAATTGGCTCACTCCTGTTCTTTCGCTCTTGTGCTCGTTTTTCACCGTCTACAGGAGAAGCTCTTGTCAAGTGTTTTAACGCACACTTGTCGACTGCAACGCAAGTCATGGTCTTGCAAGATGGGTACGTTTTGTTGTTCGTTTTGTGATTTTCGGGGTGTGCATATGTGTGTCTTTGGCTCACCTGTGCTCTCCTTTCCGACCCGCTCTCTGTTTCCTTTGTTCACTATGATTAGAGCACGCCTTCTGACATGCTCGGCAGACTCTTCCATTCGGCTCTGGGCTCCAGAAACAGGTACGAATCAATGCCACAGTGCTCGACTCATTCGCCAATCGCTTCTCACCATTGTGCTCCGATTTGGCCAATGTTGACAGAAAACGCAGACGATCCCAACGCGGTCGACTCGTTCGTAGAGTCGGGCTCACAACGGGGCGGAGCGGCACAAATGAAATCGGTCAAGGCGGTTTGCATTGGTGAGCTTGTAGCTCATTCTGATGCAGTGCATGCACTGCTGTTGTGCAACGAGCATACCTTTGCGTCGTGTGGCGCGGACGGCATGGTTATTCTCTGGAAGGTAAGCGAGGTTCTTTTGTGCTTTTGGAAATTTGGGATATCAAAACAACAAAACTCACCCGGTGGTTTTTGTTTTGTTTGTTTGTTTGTTGTTTAGAATGGATTCGTGGAGTCACGAAAACGAAACGAGTTGGCCAAGATGATGATGCTTCGCCAGCGTGCAGGTGCCGAAGGCGAGACGCTGCAAGAAATCCCGTGAAGGATTTGTCGAATTGCTGTTTCCTGCTGAACTGTTTCTTCTCGTATTCCCTAAACTCCCACCGCCCCGGAGCTTCAACGGTGATTAATCGTACGAAAACAGGGAGGGAGAGAATTTGTGTATAATCCAAGCATTCAATGTATTTTCTTTGGAAAAAGTGCGCACTCCACCAGCTCGATCCCTCGTTTCAGGATGCAGATTTCGCAGAAGCTTTCGCCGCTTTCGCCGCTACTCGTGCTGCTGCTTTAGCTTCTCGTGCTTGTTGCTGCGTTTGTTTGGCAGCTAGCTTGGCCTGAGTTGCCTCGTCAAAATCGGCAACATCATCCATGGACTTGAAAAACGCCAGGCCTTGCAGCAAGGCATCGCAGTAGTCGTCTTGCTTCTTCAGGCTTTCAAACTCTGATTTGATCGGATCGGGCACAGTCACGTTTCCATATGGAGAATTCCCAGCGATCAGGTCTTTGACCACGCGTACCGAGGACCTTTTCTTCTGCACATACCCTTTCTGCAAATTGACTCGATGTGAGACACTGATGGGGGGGGGGTTAACAAAACAAACAATCAGCCATCCCGCGATGCTCACCTCGAGTTCAAAATAACCTGCAGTACGTTGAGCACTCATGGAAATGCTGGAACGACCCATTGTGAAGAGCGCCGTGTGGATCATTGCTTCGATAATGCCCAAGTGATAGATTTGACTAGGTGCCCCTGACATGTGTCGCTGTCGCTCAATCACCACCGGTGCATCAGGAGGAAGCTGCTTGACAAATTGCTGAAGAAAGAAACAAAGTTGAGGGGAGAGGGGGGAACAACAAGCAGCGTGAGCAGTACAGTGAGAGGGGGTACCGTTGCAATAATACAACGCGCCCAATAGAACATACCACGATCAGACTTGCAAGGTCAACAGGGATGTAGGTGTCTCCCATTCCAACAGGATGGAGAAACCAACGCTTCACTTGAAAGGACGACTTCTCGCCGGGAACGCGATCGATTTGGGCAACAGCCAGGTTCTTGTAGCCGCAATCGATAGATACCACACTGGAAATGCTATTGGCAATGTACTTGCGGTAGGCTCCTACTTGTTGAAAGGTGCGGATGGAAGGTAGCTTGAACTGTTTTGTTCCAAATTGCTCTTCTTCCGCGTGTGATTCCGCGTCTGGTGTCGAATCCTGATCGTCTGTCAACGTGCCTGTAACAATATCAAGACACGGGTGAGCGATCTACCTGAATATCATGCCGACTGCATGTCTTGGCGCCAACAATTCTCACTTGATTTGGACTTGGCGCTGGACTTGGACTTTGTCTTGGCTGGAGCGGCTGGCTGGTCGGCCTTCCGTCGCGACGGCTGCTTCTTCTGCTTGGTCTGCTCGACGACCGCCGCTGGTGTCGCACGCGGACTCAGAGCCGCAGCTGGGAGCGTGAACAACCCGCGCGACAGCGGCAGTGTTTGACGCTTGAAACATCCCAAGCTGGTACCACAGTCCAATCCCAACGCACTTGCTCCAACCGAACAGTCCAGCACACCAAAGGATTGCATGCTGTTCCGGGCGAGCGCACTCATTGCTGCGGCGCATGGAAGTCGCGACGACGCGCGAATCCACATTCAAACAAAAACTCTTGGGTTTTCAAACAGACTGATCTCGGTTTCAGTCGATAGCTGAATTGAATGGCAATGCTGAACTGGGAAAGGAGAATAGGGAAGCTTAGGAGTCTAGGAAGGTATAAGAGCAGCCTCTTGTCCTGACTACTTGCACTCCGGGCACAGACTAGCGACATTTTTGTTTTTTGATTGCAAAACACAATGAACGAAACACAAACCCCAAAAAAATCAATAAATCAATCACTCCGGAACAGTACACTCTTATACACGATCGTGTGGATGAAGGGCACTGCTCTGGAACCCGAGAACATCCATCGCCTGGCGGTTGATGTGCGACCACAATCCGGCCGACACCTTGTCCAAAAAGTTCCAGTACGACCGGCGCAGATTGTGCGGCTCAAATACAGAAATGTGGAAGAGCAGCGAGCAGGCGACCGAGAAGAGCAGCACGTCACCGTGATACCAGGACGGAACCATGCCGCGAGCCTCTCCGTAATTGAACAGCGCCTCAAAGCTCTTCCACAGCATGTACATGGAGATCTCCTCGTTTCGCGCAAGCAGAATCGAAAGCGATGACACGGCACCGGCCACGACCGCGTTGATGCCGTCATCCTTGCGACGCAACAAGCGCAGAACGCACTCGGTCGCGCGAGCGCTGCCGAATAGGGTGGCCAGGAAACCACCGAATGCCAGGTTGGGTCGCGCAAACACGGCACGGAGTACCTTTTTGAGCTGAAGTTTGTACTTGGCGAGCGACGTCGCGAACGCCACGCCACCTCGCAAGCCAAATCCGAGCGCAAACCCTTTCAGCACTGCTCGCAAGGCACCGTGAGCGCAGCCGCCTGGGTGCTTGCACACAGGACACTTGAGAGCTAACAATCCCATAATGTACCGCCACGTTGGAAGCAGGGGCTTTGGGCACTGGATCTTGGCGAGGATCGCCTTGACGCGCGACGGACGCGAAGGCCTGTCGGATGACTGCGCCTGCTCTCCTTGCTGCTGCGGCTGTTGGTGATTGTGCGCTGGCTGTGAGGAGCGAGGATGGTCTGAGGGGGAGGCGGGAATGCGGACATCCATCATCCAGCCAAACAAGGCGGAAACGCCGGAACCGAGACGCTCTGGCTCCCGGCGGAAGGTCCACATGAGCGCAGACATGGCCACCGTAAACGTGGCGACATCCATGTATGGCACGTATGGCAGCCATCCGTGGAAGACAAGCAGACGCGCGACCGCGCTGGTGGCGTGGTTGGAGCAGTAGAGTGCAATCTCGCGACGACGCGCCTTCTTCTCGATTGGGAGGGACGTGGCCGAGGCCAAAAATCCCGGAATGATGCCGTTCGTCAGCACTGTATTGAATCCCAGCAAGTGTCTGTGCCCGGTAAAAATCATCAGAAAGTGAGTGATAGGATGTTGAAGTGCCTTGCTTTCTCCGACCAGATCAATAAGGAGCAGCTTTCGCACCGACCTGAAATTGCAAAAGTAAAAGCAAAAGCTGGTGGCAAAGGTCGCGATGAAAAAGGCCGAGCGTGCGACATCCGGCACGGTACGTGTGAGGATGTGCTGAATGCTCTTCCCGCGCACGAGAGCTGGGATCTGCGTGTGCAACGGATCAACACAACAAGGACTGAGTGAGCAAAAAAAAAAAAAAAAAAAAAAAAAAAGCAACAAACCACACTGAGTATAAGTTTCGCTGTTGACAGAGGGGGGCTTTTTCAAGTGCTCGCTGATGCTCAAGAAATCCGACGAGCTTTCAAGAGCTCCGAAGGATGACTTGCAAAGGAGTCGTCGTCTCAAACGCGTTTCAAAAAAGATTCCAAAAAGAGCGACGTAAACAAATTCTCACAATGAAGAGCGGTGCGTAAAGCCGCAGTCCTGCCGCCTTGAAGCACATGACAAAGAGCCCCCGCCAGGTGTCAGAGCAGCTTTGTAGCCACGGATGAGCAAGCTTGTTGCACTCCATTGCGCGATACGCAGCCAGCGCTGCAGTGTGCTCGGCAGCTGTCAACGGAGCGCGAACGGAAGCGACTTTGTGGCTGTGTCCATGCCCATGACCGCCGCGCCGGGTCGCGAGTGGTGCGCCTGCGCGAGAGGACACTGCCGAGACAGACGACGTGACCGTGGCGACCTTGACGGCGACTTTGGCTGCGGCGACGGCGACCGTCAACATGGCCGATCGCTGGCCAGAAAGCGCGGCAAGCAGAACGTCCATCGCCTGCTGGTGCCCCGCCAGCGACGCAGGCCCAGCCGCAGATGAGGCTGCTGAAGATGCTACAGCTGCCATCGACGGCTCAGAGCGCTGGTGGACGGACAGAACGGTCATTCTGAATGAACGGTGGAATCGGCAAAAATCCAAACAATAAAAAAAAAATAAGAATAAAACCGGGACTGCGAACAAAAGCCGACGGGTTGAAAAAAAGTTCCCAACACTGCGCTTGAACATTGGAGAAGCTCAGTGCTGGAGACAGTGCAGTGCTGTGGAGTGTAGTATATATTCAGTCAGTCGATCTGCAGCTGGTTTGACGAGGATTGGGATTTTTGCGCGGCCGAGTGGTGCATGAAACCAAAATCAAAAGTCGGCTGTCACCTTTGGCGGGGTTGTGTGAGCACCCAATTCATGACAGTGCGTCCTCAGTGTGCAAAAAATTAATGCTAATATAGTGTTGTTGCTCTGGCTTGAAAGGGAGCAGATTTGAAGCGAGGTCATCCCAAAGTTGACTGATGGAGCACCACAAAGCATAATGCAAAATGCCCCTACAATCCAAAATTTAGTCAAAACAATTTCGCATTAATTTTCGACCTGTAGAACACCTCAGAGCTGCCCCATCTTTGCGCAAAACGATCCAATAGCAACTGTGGAACACTAGAGTGCTGGCAGTTAGCGGATCAGAGTGACCCTTGAGTGCTGAATAAGGCTCCAAACTTTTTACCGCGAATTCGCGTCTCCTTGCAGCTCCGAAAGCCCACATTCCCCCGCTTCGAACACTTAAATCCGACACTGAATTATATTTCCCAACTTTGTGGGACGTGGCGGGGGTGATAGTGCAAGTCCGACACTGAGTTGAAGCGTGCCCAAAATGATCAACTGTGTTTGCCGAGTCAAGCCGAATCCGAACAACCACCGGTTTCCCCGTCTCCTGCTGAACAGACTAGACTCCTGGTATTGACGTGGAACGTGTAGTATCTTGCACATACCCCATTACCTTCACTCTTCATTGTTCTGAGTTTTTGCATTTTGAGCGTGAGTTATTTGCTGTGTCGCTCGCTGCCGAATTGCGCACACCCACATTCCACGCCAGCATGACACACAGCCACGAGTGCACCACTCTGCCATGTCAACTTGCATCAAGAGAGTGACGAGAGAGTGATGAGAGAGTGAGAGTGATGAGAGTGAGAGCGAGACCTTTTTGGTCGGGAGTGTGTTCCACGTGCGGTTTGATGCGAATTCGACTCGGCTGCGACGAATGACCGCCTCCGACCGCCGCGTACCCTGCGGCCACCCCCCCCGGCCGACCCCCTTACACTCGAGCAGCGAGGCAACACCACAAGCAGCCACTCCAAACCGCTTGCTGGGAGACGGTCGAGTTGTTTTTTTTTTGCCATTGACTTCTTCTGGTTTCTGCTTTACAGATGTCGAATCCCTGTCTTGCTGCACTCGTGCGTCTCGGAGCCGCGGCCACTATGACCAGCGCCCCCACGCTGCGTGCGACTGGCTCCGCTGTGCTTGCAACACGCGCATTCGCAACCCTGGGCCGCAGTGTTGCTGCTGCACCCAGCTCGTCAACGCCAACCCTCGTTGCGCTCGCGGTTCGCCCGACCGCAGTTGGCCGCCTGCTGCCGCGCGACAACCCTGCGCAGGCCATTGATGTTGGCTCGTTCGTCTTCCACAAGTCTTCAGGTGAGCAGTGGGCTGGGCTCTGCTTGACATTTATCTGCGTGCATGTGTGTGTTATTCGCAACCTGAATCTCAATGTCCAACGTTCGATTGTCCAACTTTCGATTGTCCACTGTTGGTCTGTCGGAATAGGTGTTCGCGCTGTTATTGTGCGAAGTGATCCTCAATGCAAGCGTCGGGAGCTCTGGTGCCAACTCAACGGAATTGATCGTTTGACGCATGTAAGCGAACTCGCTTCATTGTGTTCAGTTCACACTTGCAAAACGCTCACTCTTACCGAACAGGGCCGAAATCAGCCATTCTACCTGGCGCTTCCCGACGCCCGTGACTGCTCGCCGCAAGAATTGTCGTTCATTTATGGTACGGAGGGGGGGGGGTCCCCACAAAGCAAAGTCGACACAAGGCGATGCTGAGTTGATTTTGTTTGGTTTGTTTAAACCACAGTGCCCCACGAGAGCGTTATTCCATTTGCGTCCAACACGCCAATCCAGCACCCGCTTGCTCCTTTTGTGATTAAATCATTCGACAGCGTGCTTGGACGCTGCATTCCATGCGATGGCGAGCTGCCTCGCGATTATGAGGATTAGAAACTTTTCTCCCATTCGTTGCAGGTCAAAAATCTGATTTTTTTTGCTTCGAGTTTCGTTAATGCTTTTTGTTGGTTCTGGAGGTGTTGAATGTTATTGTGCGAATTGTTAACAACTAGAATGTATTTTCCCGCTTTGAATTCATTCAAGCGCTGGGCTTGATCCAGCTTTTATTCTTCTGCAAGCAGACTCGCAATCTCAGCTCTGACACGACAAGCATGGGAGTGACTGTTCAGAGTCCCTGGCGGGCCTTCCAGCCGGCATAGTAGATGTCGGCCTCATCGGTGATGGGAAGGTGGCGAGGGTGCCAGTTGAACTCGAGACCAAAGCGGCGCCAGTCAACAAAGCAGGATCGGTCCATCGGGGGCCAGAGGTTGGCGTCGCTCGCAACAAGCTTGCCCTGGTAGCCGGCAGCCTTGGCGAAGACGCGCGCAAACTCAATGTGGGTGATGCGCGAGTCATCGCCGATGGTGTACACGCTGCCCGAGGCAATCTTGGGGTTTTCGACCACACGCTGGTACGCCTCCGCAAGATCATCCGCGTGGATGTACGAGTACTGGCGCTCTGCGGCAGGGATGACCACCTCCGGCACGTTCTTGTGGAACTGGGCAAACCAGCGCTCAAAGTGGGCGGCACCCTTGCCAAACACAAAGCCAGGGCGCAGCACGACGCCGTGCACCGTCGTGGCACTCGTCACGACTTGCTCGTTCTTGAGGCGGTAGGCCTGCGACGAGTGGGGCAGCTACGTAGGTCGGCGTTTTCGAAAATGGACAACAAGAACAAAACAAAAAAAAACAACGAAGAAACACAAAGTGAGCACGTAGATTCTCCAGCGCAAGGTTTTGCTTTGAAGAGCGTGAGTGGAATGCAATGTGTCAACGTCGAAAATGTGAAATGCTAGGATGGACAGGCAACGCGAAATGATGCGCGAAATGACGATCGCAGAATTGAGCTCCAATTGATCGCAGATGAATCCTCCGCGATGGTGCAACAGCGTCTGTAACACTCCGCTTGGTTGAGTCTTCAAGTGCTCTTGATTTTTTTTTTAAGTCCGACGACCTGCTACATGCTAGTCCAATGGAAGCAACGAGTGGAGTTTTTGTTTTGTATGTGGATGCACGGAGATTTCCCCCTTTACGACACTGTGTCGCAGCCATCGGAAGCCAAGCCGCCATCCCACTCCAATGGAGCGAGTATGGTGTGTGTGTGTCGTTGTGTGCACAGGCCTGTGTCTTACCGGGGTTGTGAAATCGTCGACATAGCCGGAATGCTCGTCGCGATTGGGAATCATCAAGCAGCCCGAGGTGTACACGAACAGCGGCTTCTGGCCCGACGCAAACCTACGAGTGGAGGACCATCAACGCATTCAAAGAAGCATGGTTGATAAAGTGGTGAAGGTGGTGGTGGTGGTGGTGGTGGTGGAAAGCGGACTGAGTGAGTGAGTGCGTCACGTATACTCAACACAGTGCGGCAAATTTCCGCTCATTCAAATCGCAACAACAACAGCCAACGACGACGTACGGCGCGTTGAGGACGGTGTGGATGACGAGTGCGTCGGTCTCGAGGAAGGACTCGCCGTCGAACGCAGCGTGGATGACTGCGGCGCAGGTCGCGATGAGCGCCGAGTGGGCTGCGAGACCGGCGAGCTGGCCAATCACCGGGATGATGTCGTCCTGGGCGAGGACGCGCGCCTTCTCTTCGGTGCGCACGAGGCCGTAGACGACGTGGCCAGCACGACGCAGCTGACGCGCAACCGAGCCGCCAATGAGACCCGTCGCGCCCGTCACAAACACTTTGACCATGATTGAGAGTTTGAGTAGGATTGGAAAATTCAAAGTAGTTCTTGAAAGAAGAGTGAATAAGGGTTGAAGTTGATAAAAGGGGTTGGACGGATGAGTGAAGGGCAAGAGCAAGGAGTGTGATTTTGAGTCAACAGAGAAGAGAAGAGAAAACAAGAGAGAAGAGAGAGAAGAAATTGAGTGGAAATCCATTGGGAACAAAAACACTCTCGTTTCAGTCCAGTTTTTCAGATTACCCAGCAACGCACGCGGATTTTTCAAACACTCACTCTTAAGGATTTGAGATTTTTGAGCGAGACGCAACAAGAACAAAACAACGCAGAAGAGGATGGATGCGATCGAGGCAGAGTGCGAGGCGCTTGGGCGGGAAGAGGCAGTCATCTGTCGGCTCGCAGCATCATCATCATCAGCATCAGCATCAGCATCGTCAGCACATTCGACATCAACGTTCACACAATCAAACAATGGCAATAGCGCAGCAGCCTCATCACTCGGTGGAGGTGGACGCGGCGCTGCTGGAACTGGTGCGGCGGTGACGACGACGACCACGACCACGACGACAATGCACGTCCCAGCCCAGCAGCAGCTCAAGGCGTACGCAGCTGCAATGGACAAGACGCTCAAGGCGTTCGACAACTGCAAGGAGTGGGCAGACCTCATCTGGTTCCTGGGCAAAGTGCACAAGCTGCTGCAATCCTTCCCGAGCCATCGCGCAGTCCCATTCAAGGTGAGTTTTGGCGTCCTTCCCACCCTCACCTCCCCCGTGTCATTGGAACATGCTGCGAGTCGATCGCGAAGACGAGTCTGCTTTTTTTTGTGGAACACTGCGGTGGAACGCTGACAGTGCTGCTCACTCCAATCTGCTCAGACCATCTTTGCCAAACGATTGGCGCAATGTCTCAACCCAGCGCTGCCGTCCGGTGTGCATGCGAAGGCCATTGAAGTGTATGATCTGGCATTCTTTAATATGGGCCCGATCGTCTTGGCGCGAGACCTCGTTCTGTACTCGGCAGGCTTGTTTCCGCTGCTGGCGCTGGCTGCGAGTCCCGTCAAGCCGCTCTTGCTGCAGCTCTACGAAAAGCATCTCGTTCCCCTTGGTGCTGCTCTTCTACCCAGTCTCCGTGGCGTCGTTTTGGCACTTCTCCCTGGTTTGGAGGAAGGCTCCGAGCATCTCGAACAGTTGAGTTCCGTTTTGTTTTTTGGTCTGTTGTCGGTTGCTTTGTTTTGGTTTTGCATCAGCGTTGGGAGATGCCTTGTTGGATGTTGTCGCGAACTTTTGGAACCAGACGGGCTTTTTTTTTGTTTTGATGCATTAACCCTTGTCCATCAAATTGTCTCCCCGCTCGTGCAGAACTCTGGCAATCATGGATCGGCTCGCAACCGCCTTGCAGCCGCACACACTACACAGCGCCGTGTGGCACTCAATCGTGACATCACCGGCACACCGTGTTCACGCCATCACTTACTTACTTTCAACGTTAACGCAACGCGACATGTCGGACTCGCTGATTCGGTCTGACCCCGCGTTAATTATCGGGGCTGTGCGCTCCGCCTTATCTGACACCAATGTGCTCGTTCAGCGTGGCACGTTGGACTTGCTGACCGCAACGCTATCATTGTACGCGATGGCACCATCATCGCCTTCGTCTGGGAACGGCCCCGATGACCGCGCTCCTGTACCGCTTTTGCAAGACACACACTGCATCGAGCTCTTGAGAGCCGCTTTGCTAGTTGTGCTGCGCCGCGACGCTTCGCTCAACCGCCGCCTGGTGGCTTGGATTCTTGACAATCGAAACGATGCCCCTGCAACGGGCAGCGCCAGCACCACCCCGTTGCCGACACCCCCAATCAGCATCAGCGCATCCGCTCTCGACAGCTCGCTCGGCCAAGACCCGAAACAATTGCTCGAATTACCCGCTCCCTCGTCCGACGAAGGGCGCGGCTTCCAGGGACGCGGCCAAAGGCTACTCACCAGTGCGATCGCATCGCTCTTTCAGCAGGACTACGACGATGCACGAACTGCGACTCAGCCCTATCGAGTTGTGATGGTATTGCTTGACCACCCGCAAATCTTTGGCAGCGTGATGGATGCTGTGCTGCCCGTCATCCTCCAGTCCCTGTTCACCCAGTGCCGTGCCCGGCCAGATCAAGCAGACACGCTGATCAAAACGGCCAACCTGCTGTTTTCGAACTTGACGGTGGGCGCGGTCTGGCGGTGCTGTGGCACACTCGTCAACTCGCTCTGCAACAGCGACTCGTCCAATGTCTCGCAGCTCCAGCTTGCAGCCGACCCGAGCCGCAGCAGCCAGCTCACTCCGTCCGCTTCGCAGTCAGTGTCTGGAGCGGCGCTTCCATTTCATGTTCCAGCTCAGCTTCATGCTTCTCTCGAAGAAGGGGAGCGCTTGGAGGTTGCAATTGTCGAGTTCCTTCTCGATGCCGTCCCTGTAGCCGTCGGCGTGGTCGAAGCACCAAAAGTTGCCAGTCGCACCCACTCTCGGCATCAAAGCCAATCCAGCATGTCCTCCATTGACGATGTGCCCTCATTCACGTCCAATCCTGTCGATAGCGAGGGAAGTCAACCCGAGCTCTCAAATTCGCCGATGAATCTTCTCGGTCCACTGATGCAACCGCTGCTGCACGTCCTTGCCCGAGATTGCGCGAAAGGCTTGCACGAATACGTGCCACAAGTTGTCGACTTGCTCTGCCGTCTGCTCCCAGTTTGCATTCCGCTCGAGCTCGGCGAGACGACGGTTGCCATTCATCAACAGCCTTCCGCAGCGACAAGGAGAATTCTCGAATGCGTTGCCAAGAGCCAAACCATCCTGTGTGATTCCCTTGTTACCCTGCTGACTCCCAGCGGCTGGCAGTCACAACGCCACGACGAGCGCACCTCTCTAGCACTGGCGAGTACGCTTCGTTTGTTCCTCAGCGTCATGGCTCGACCAGTGCCAGTCGAACTCTTGGTCAAATCGGAACCTCCATCTGTTGGTCTGCACCGCGACTCTGCTGAAAGTAATAGGCGCGGCTATCATTCGCCTCGTCAGCTCGGTCCCTCGCTGCAAAAGATCTGGTCGGACTGCGCTCTTGGCTTTTCGGCAGATGTTCTTGTCGATTTGCTCCAACAGTGTATCTCACATACCGACATTACAGTTGTCTGTGCAAGCGCCACCGCTTGCCTGGATTTAGTGGAAACGTGCCTGGGCGTCGACGGACGATTTGCGCATGCCTGGGATGCGAACGCTGCTGCGTCATTCGGCGCCTGTTTGCTGCACGAGTCGGTCAAGGCGCGGCTGCACGTTTCGTCCTTCTACACGTTCGGGTTTTCCGTTCTATGGGAATTTCTGTCGCCTGTGTTTAGTGACTTTGCTGGCGATGTCTCGGAGCTGCTCTGGCGTTTCCATCTCAATTCACCTGACCAGGGGTGCGAAGCGTTTCTTGTTCGTCGCATGAGCGGGCTGGTGGCGGGCGCATCCACGACCGATCTTCCCTTGCGCCCGACCTCCTCTGCTTCGCCTTCAACGCTCTTCGATGCCTCATCCCGACCGCAGTCCGCTGCAGCCGAAGGATTGAGGGAGGCACGCAGTGCCAGTCCTTCAGCAACCCCTGAAATTTGCACCGTGTGCAACTTTCTGATTGCGCAAGATACAAAGCATGCCAGAGTGGAGCACTTGGCTCGTTTCGTCGCCTTTTGGCACCACACCGACGCCCAGGCGTGGGAGTACCGAGAGGCTACCATGTGGGCAGTGCACGCCGGGTCCGCCCAACCTTCCGAGCAAGCCAGCCAGTCGACAGCTCACTCCACAACAGCAACAGCAACACCGTCTCGTCGTCAGGGCTTGGCGGCGAATGCTGGCTCCGGACCAGGCAGTGCCACAGCATCGTTGCATTTAATGCCTTCCATCAAGGGACATCGCTCGTTGATGAAGTGTGTTTTCTTGATGCTCGAGGCTCTGGATGATCCGCTCCCTTGCGCTCAAACCCTTGCTCGCTCGTGGGGCAGCAAAAGCATGCGCGACAATCTACTCCGCCTGGTCGAGCCCATGCTTCTCGAGCTGTTGGGCGATCCCAATTCGCTTGCAATTTCGTTGGAGGCACACCGCCACGCGACTGCTACCGCGCGCACAACCGTCGAAACTCAGTTGAGCCTCGAGTTTGCGTATCGTAGCCGAGAGGTGCCCTCAGCGATTTCGGCCATGCTGCTGCCTTCCGTCGTTGAAAGCATGCATGCCTCATCAAGCGGCGGCGGCAGCAGCAGCAGCGGCAGTAGTAGTGCGACTCCTGCGACTGCTGGGGTCTCGAGCTTGCCTCCAAGCCAACTCTACTATCGCCGACCGTATGACGCGTTGCGGCGGGGCCGCATTCTGCGTACCTTCTCCCAGCTCGCGCAGCTCGAACCTCGAATCTTCCTACTCTCCTTGATCAAGATGGATGTGTCTTCATTGACGATTTACCATTTGCACGCCTTGCACACGCTGGCGATGGAGTTGCCCGTCGATCGACCTTCCTCCTTTTTCTCGCCACCAGTCGTGCCTTCAGACCTGACCGTCGCCTCTCTGGCCGCTCTGTTGGGCAAGAAGACTGCTGGAGGTGCCCCACATCCAAAGCGTCTGCCTGCCCTATTTGACGTCCTCGCCGACACTTGCTTGCGCGTGTTGGCGAGTGCGTATCCCGCAGGAGACGCCAGCACTGCGACGTCGCAGCTCGTCTTGTACCGGCATCTCTTTGCAATTTTGACGCCCCAAGATCGTGCCAACCACCATAGCGCTCAAGTTGCGGCCGCTACCCTGTTGGGCCACTTGTTTGAGACGCTGGTGAAGGAGATTGGCGATGCGGTTTCTGCTGCAGCTGGCTCATCGGGACAGCAGCGTTCCTCGTCTTCACCAAACATTCTCAAGCTGCCAAACTGGCTCGTGTTGACTCTGAGGCGCAAACGATTTTCAGGCGTTCAAGAGCTTGTCTTGTCCCATCTTGCGGCTGCTGTGCGGCAGCACGACGCGCAAATGCAACTCTCCCTGCTCCACGCACTTTTACAGCTGGTACGCGTCAATGATGTCTATCACCGCTATCGCGGCCTCGAGCAACAGTCGGCAGAGAACGCGTCGGCTTCTTCCGGAGGCGGCAGCGGTCAGTTTCCGACACTGGTCAACATTGTTTCGTCCCCGGTCTTTCTCGAGACGATTGTTCAAGGCCTTTCGGACACTACCATTTCCCTCGTTCATCCCCACTGGATTTCCTTCATTCTCAAGACATTACCGTTGGTGCCCAACTCGTCGTCCAATGTCGTAAATGCTGTCTTGTCATGCCTGTGCTCAAATATTGTGGCGCATTGCAACGGCGGACACGCAGCTGCGCTGCCAGACACCCACCGCCCTTCCGGACCCTCGTTGGCGCAGCTTACAATCTGGCTGCAAGGGCTGCTTGATCTGACGGGTGGATTCATTCGATCGGATTCTGGCTCAACCATCGCTACTGATGCCAGCGCAACCAATGGCTCGACCTCAGCCACCTCCAACACCTCTGCTCCCAGCTCTACTCGGCGCGCAATTTCCGGAGGGTTTGCTTCCGGAGGAAAGCTGCTGAACGACTTTATGTCCATCTTTTCGACCGACGTGGCTGGCTCCGCTGCCATTTCTGCAACTCCTCGTCAAGAAGCCATCAATGCAATCATCGGCAATCTTCCGACACTGCTGCACGCCGTGTTGTGCGTGTGCTGTGCGCTCGAGATTGATTTCGACTCCAAGCTCAAACATTTGTTTGCATCCTCGTTGGATGCTGGGTCGACGGCGACGCGCCCATCCGTCTCACCGTCTACCGCCACCACCACTTCCTCCTCTTCCGGTCATCCGACAGCCCATCACACACGCCAGCAACCGGCGGAGGGCCCACGTCGGGGCTCGGCGGCTTCTCCTCGCAAGGAAGGCTTCCGTCGAAGCTCTGCTGCAGCGGCACACGCAAGCCATTCACGAGCCGACCCGTCCGACACGCGTCGCGAGGCAGCGTTTGGGTCTGCCTCGAAACTCGAGCTCTTGGACGCGCTGTCTGAAGCCGATGGGCGGATTCACACCAAGCGTTCGCTCGCGCATCGTGGGCATCAACAGCACGCACCACAGCCACACGCTTCTGCCTCCAGCAGTAGCTGGGCGTTTGGCCTCTCCGCCGACCGGCTTCTTCCCGAATCAACGCTCGTTCAGGAGGCGGCCCATTCCAGCTTGCTGACCCTCCTGCGACGCCTGCTGCTCCCGTTTGCAGAGCGCCATTCCATTGACTTTGTTGCGGCGCTCGCTGTCGTGTGGCAACAGCATGGCACATCGCCATTCTCTTGTTTCGCGACGGAACAGCAGCCCACGCCTGGAGCTCAGTCGCCAGTCTCGAGCATTTTCTACCCATCCTCTGCGAGCAGTCTGATCTCGTCTCTGGCCGCCTCTGCAGCCGCCGAGCTGGTTTCCAGCGGCCTGACCCAGCTACAACAGATGCTCGTCTTTGTGCTCATCGAGCTCGAACTTTTACCCGCCAGCATCCTGCTCGGATCGGCGGAGCGCGCGTTCGTCCAGTACACGCAACCGCAGCTGCGCGAAAAGCAGCTACGCAGAGATGGGGTCCAGTCTTTCCTGGTGGTGGACAACGCGCTCTTGCACATGGTCAACGTTGTGCTGCACGCCACCGCACAGGACGCGCTCCAATACCAGCTTGCTGTGCACTCTGGCCATTCGCGCGGCAATGCCTCGGTGAACGCAAGTGCCCCACCAGGCTTGGCTGCCTCGGGCGCCGCGGCCAGCTCAAACTCTGGCGCTTTGACAAAAGCATCGCACGCGAAAGCAGCAACGACTCCTGTGACGGAGCTTGTTGAGGCGTGGCCTGCCGCTGCCTCACTGATTCGCACAGTAACCACACCGCAGGTGCCTGGGCCAAGCTCCATTTCTCCGCTTCTTGCGCTCACCTTGGCCGATATCGTCTCGCGTCATGTGCTGCCTTTTGAGGACAAGACACAACGGCGCGAGCTGTTTGATGTGGTGCAACGCGCAGTCGATGCCTCTCTGGCGATTGCGTGCTCTGCCATCGAAGCGTCCACTTGGCTCAAGAAGAGCGTTGGACCCGTGTTTGCGCACGACGAACAGGCTCCCTCTGCAGAAGGACTTGCAGCGTCATCAGGACACCACCAGCAAATGCACATGCATCCAACTTTGGCGCTTCCCGCAGCGACCAGTCCGTCCGACACTGGCAAATCGCCCAGTCGATTCAGCGGTCTTGGTATTCACGTCATTGCCAGAGTGTTGCCCGGGCTTCTGGCTCTGACACATTCCGCTCCCGAGGACGAGGACAAGCTGGTCGCGTTACTGACGCCAGTCGTGGCCGCTCTGTCGCCATACCTGCGTCTGCGCAGCTCTTCCTCTTCTGCTTCTTCTTCGGCAGAGACACCCTCGGCAGCTTCTGCGTCCGCTGCTTCTGCGCCCGGATTGGCTGGGGACACGCTTGGCTTGACAAGCGCCGCGGCGCACTACCGAGCTGCAGTGTTCTTTATGCGCTACCTGGCTGAGCTGCCCGCGACCTTGCGGGCATGGAAGAAGGAGGTCTTTGAGCTGTTTCTCGAGGATGGATTTTTCAAAATGCCCGACCCGGCCTGCGTTGCGCACTGGCGGCGCATCCTCGATGCTCTGCTGTCGTATGACAAATCCTGTCTCGCGCTGCTGCTCTCGCGCACCGTCGTCACGTCTGCGACTCCCCTCAACTTGTTTGCCTCACGCGAGCAGGAGGTGCATTTGCGCGCATCCATGCTCAGGTGCTTGACGTTTGTGCTGCTTTGCGGCGAGACGGATCAATATGTGCGCGTCCTGCCAACCTTCCAAGAGCATTTGATCGAGTCGCTGCGCATGTCTGATGCTGACGAGCTTCACATTCAGGTTTGTAAACGCTGCGCAATCCCGGAAGGGCAGGATTCGATTTTAAACATCGTTGTTGACAAACTTCTTGTTCGCAGGTCTTTTTGGCACTTCGTGTGCTGTTGTTGCGAGTTTCTCCTGTTAACCTCACGTCCTTTTGGCCGATTATTTTGACGGAGCTGGTAAGTAGTGATTTTGGTCGCGATGGCGGATGGTTGTTGGTTGAAGTGTGCTGCTCTAATTGTCGGCCCGATTGCAGATTCGCATTTTGACCATCACCCTGGAAAATGCTGCCGCCGTGCCATCCGGGCTGGAAGTGGTGGTGCCTCGAACAATGCCCAATCCGAATGCCGTCGGTGTGGTTCTAGCGGCCTGCAAACTGCTCGATTTATTGCTGTTATTGCCTTTGGAGCACTTCCCACTGTAAGCCTTTTTGTTTTGGTTCTGTTGGGACGCGGCGATTGCATTCCCCCCCCCCCAATTGATTGATTTGAACCCAACTTGTGATTCCAGACATCGCTGGGCATTTGTTGACGAGACTGGTGGCGCCTTGCACGACCAAGACGTGGCTTTGCAGGTCTTCCGGCCGTTACTCGAGCAACTTGCTGTTGAAGTTCCCTCCAGCAATCTATGGGTCAGTTGTCTTTGTGGAGAAGGGAAATGCAGCTCAACCTCCTTGTTGGTTGTTTGGTCTCATCCGAAATTCTGTCTCCTTGTTCATGCAGACGCCCTACACACCCGAGGCCATGTCTCACCGTGCACGACCCATGCTGTTGATGCGCACCATCAACGCGCTTTCAGATCTGCATCCGTTTTTTGCGCATTCCAGCCACTTTGCGTTCATCAACGACACACAAGAGCGACGTCCCGATCTCGCGTTCATCGAGCGCTGCGTATCGCTTGATTTTGCCGATGTTTGATCGAGTATTGATTTTTCTCGATGGCATGCACGGGGGTGGCTCGTTGCTGGGATTCTTGTTTTCCACGCTTTTCGCGTCTTATGGTCTTATGGTGATCAGCTTTGTTGTCATCTCCAAAAAAATCCGTTCTCGACATTTTCCACCTACTGTAATAGCGTTTTCACCTTTTGAGAAGTAGTTTAGCTCAGTCTTCTCTCTTTTGTTTCTCACACAAGCCATGCTTTCCGCCACGACGCGATTTTGTACGTCAACGCCGTAAACAACCCAAACAAACAAACAAACAAAAAAAAAAAAAAAAAACCCTTTGAAATACCATTGCGATAACAGCAAAAAAGAAAAAAAGAAAAAAAGAAAAAAAAAGACGAGTTTTGTTTTTGTTTGCGCTGCTTTTTGTTCGAATGAACGAGCATCAAAGTCGATTGCGTGCTGTGATTTTGGTGAAAAGCATCGTTCCACGAGAGAGCCCGAGAGAGATATCGAGATAGAGACAGAGCGAGACAGCGAACAGAGCGAGCAAGCGACAAAGATCAAAGATCAAAAACAAACAAAAATAAATAAAAAATAAATAAAAATGGCTGATAAAAAATCGTCCCACATTGCTTCACACACACACACACAGCGCCTGCTACTTCGGCCAAGGCAGCCACGACGGCCACTGCGTACTGCGCCCAGTCGATGAAGCTGTCGACCAGCGCTGCGGCTGCTGCAACGGCGACCGTCAAAGTGCCGCCGATGCCCAAGATCAAGGACGGCTTCAAGCCTGCGCCGTACACTGGCTTGACGTTTGAGCAGGCGAGCGACCTCCGCAAGCGCCACGTCGGTCCTGCCACAGTCACCTACTACAAGAAGCCACTCATGATCCAGCAGGTGAGTGAGTTTCCAAGGGGCTGGCCATTTTGCTCTGTCTGTTGTTGTTTGTGTTGTTGAACCAAAGGGTGTGGAGCGATCTGAATCCACTTTGAGCTCCATTTTTGAGCCACTACTGCAAACGATCATCATCATCATCATCATCGTCATCATCATTTGGTGAACAAGCCCACTCAACGTTTCATGCGTGTCGTTTTCCCCAATGCCCAACAGGGTCACATGCAATGGCTGTTCGACGACAAGAACAACCGCTATCTGGACATGTTTGCAGGCATCGTCACGGTCAGCGTTGGCCATTGCCATCCGTAAGAAGTGCCGTTTATGTTGGACCAAAGTTGTCTTTTTCCCTTTTCAACGCGCAGCTCATGCATCTCCCCTCCCCCGGTTTGGTGAATGTACACAGCCACGTCCTGAAGGCCGCCGAGGACCAGCTCAAGAAGCTCTGGCACACCACCAACATTTACCTCCACCCCACCATTCACGAGTATGCCGCCAAGCTGACGTCCAAGATGCCCGGCAACTTGAAGGTGCGATGATTGGTTTTTTAGAAACCTCGTTGCTCAACAGAATGACAGACCGTTCGACAGTTGAGCGTGTGGCTGACCGTTTGTCTCTTGCATTGCATTGTGCAGGTGGCGTACTTTGTCAACTCGGGTTCGGAGGCGAACGATCTCGCCATGCTCATGTCGCGCCTGTACACGGGCAACTTTGACATTCTGTCGCTTCGCAACGGCTACCACGGCATGAGCCCTTACACCATGGGCCTGACCAGCCTCAGCAACTGGAAGTACAACCTGGCCAACGGCTTTGGCGTTCATCCCATCGTCAACCCCGATCCTTACCGTGGCCCGTGGGGTGGCCCGAACTGCCGCGATTCTCCCTGCACCGTTGGCAAGCGCGCTGGCGAGAACACGTGCACGTGCGGTGGCAGTAAGTGGCGATGGCGCGACTTGTTTGTGCGTTATTGTTTTTGGTTCTTGTTTTGTTTTTGCGTGGTTTGTTCACTTGCGGGCTTTCTGAAATCTTCGTGCCCAACAAACCGCTCGCACAGAGGATTGCAAGGCTGCTCTGCAGTACGCCGATCAAATCAAGGATCACATCATCCACGCCACTCACGGCAAGGTTGCCGGCTTCTTTGCCGAGTCCATCCAGGTGCGTTGCTGGAGTTGTTGATGCACGCTGCGTGCTGCGAAATCAGGCCTTTGTTGTCCGTTTATCGACAAATCCTTTCTTGATCCAAAAACTCACCTGTTTGGTGGTGATTCTACAGGGCGTCGGCGGCACGGTGCAATTCCCGAACGGATACCTCAAGAAGGCATACGAAATTGTTCGTGAGCGTGGCGGTGTTTGCATTGCTGATGAGGTCCAGACTGGTTTCGGTCGTCTTGGCTCGCACTTCTGGGGCTTTGAGACGCATGGTGTCATTCCCGATATCGGTATGATGCCAAAAAAACGCGACGTGCGCTGTTCTGCGCCGCAAGCCGTGATGTTGGATTTGCTCACACTTGTCTCTGCAACCCAACCTTTTTCACTTCCCACCCCCTCACAACAGTTACCATGGCGAAGGGCATTGGCAATGGCTGGCCGCTCGCTGCCGTCGTCACCACTCCCGAGATCGCCAAGACGCTTGCCCAGAAGCTGACCTTCAACACGTACGGTGGCAACCCCGTTGCTTGCGCTGTTGGCAAGGCGACCCTCGAGGTCATGGAGCAAGAGAACACTCAAGAAAACTCCAAGGTGGTTGGCACCCACTTGCTCCAGCTGCTCGACGGCATTCGTCAGCGCCACCCGCAGATTGTGGGCGACGTCCGTGGCAAGGGTTTGATGATTGGCGTCGAGTTTGTTCACGAGCAAGACCCCAACCGTCCCGCCTCCCAAGTGTGCGCCGACGTGTTCGAGATGGCCCGTGACCGCGGTGTGCTTCTTGGCAAGGGTGGACTCTACGGCAACGTCCTTCGCATCAAGCCGCCCATGATTGTGACGCGCGAAGACGTCGAGTTTGCTGCCGCCGTCATTGAGGAAGCCATCCAAAAGCTCGGCTACTAACGAATTTACCGATGCGTGCTAGTTCTAGTGTTGCATTTCCAACAACAACAACAACACCAACTGCTACATTTACATTCATGCGCCTCCATTTCAACAAAAAGTTCAGAAAGTGCAACAACGTTGGAAATGTATTGACAGACACACAGAGGCGTTCACATACACCACCCTACACAACAAAGGGAAGCGGACAGATTTCCCCCGCTTCCAACAGAAATACAAACAAGAAAGTCACAAGCAAAAACAACATTGACAAAATCACAAACACTGACACAAATGTCACAAAAGTATCGACAAAAGCACATCCTCGAACCAAAAGCGAGGAGCTCACGTCCAAAACACACAAACACATACACATACGCCCATACAATCACGCGCAAATTGTTTAACAATGTTAAGAACGACATCTAGAGCGAGGGAACTTGCGAAAAGAGGCGTCTAACGAAGGCTGTCCATCATGGTGGCACGTTCGCGAGGGTTGGTGATGCCAATTTCTTCAAAGTCAGAGTCAGTCATTTCGCGAACAACTGCCATGTCGTCATAGCCGTTTTGAATCATGCTCTTCAGATGTTTCTGCAATCCAAGCCCAGTCAGCCAGGCAGAGACGGCGCTGTTTGCGCCATCGTCGGGTTCGAGCTCAAAGTACTCGTCGCGCACAGCCGGCTTCTGGTTGAGCGAGGTAAAGTCAAGCAGGTTGGCCGCCTCCGCCTCAGGATCCAGCTCAAAGTACTCGTCTTTGACTGGCTCGGGCACCGGGTTGCGCTTGGGTGGCAAGGTGGTAGCAACGGGTGACGCGACGGCGACCTGCGAGGGAATAGTGGGCGGCGGAGGGCGGGCAAGCGGAGGGGGCGTGCTGGCAGGGTTGCCAAAGGTGCCGTGAGACGAAGGCGCTGGTGGAGGAGGCGTCGGCTGGCTTGGCGGGAACACCACAGACCTGCGGTTTGATGCCTGGACTGCTGGGCTGACTGCTTGGCCGGGTTTGGGGGCCGTTGGCCGCGCGGGGATGGGCGGGGGCGGGCCGTCGTCCGAAGGAAGTGGTGGCACAACTCGATCTTGATGAATGTTCCGCCCTGGAAGCGGAGGGGGAGTGGAGTCGCCTCCACTGATGGAGCTGGTGCGGCCAGGCAACCTCGGAGAAAAGTCCGAGCTGGCAAACGGCGACCGAGGCGGGTCTGCAAACGAGGCCTTGCGCATCGCTGGCGAAATGGATGGCTTGGTGGTTGAGGGCGGCAGCGGAGGCGGTGGCCCGCTGTTAATGGGTGCAGGCGCGCTGTGGAATGACGGGGCGCCAGCTGGCGCACCGAACATGGACACTGGCTTGGTGGTTTGTGGTGGGAGCGCAGGGACAAAGCTCGGGTCGTTCATGGGCGGGTTGATTGGATGAGTGACAGCACTTCCAATGAAGATGGGCTCCGAGGTAGAGTGCAGGGCGTTCGCACCGACGACAGGGGCAGAGCTTCCACCGTCGTGACGCGTTGCCCGTAGTGTGCCATTCACACTTCGGCTGAACTGCGGCTCGTCCGAATCCTTCTTGAGCGCCTTTGTTTTTTCAACCACCTTCTCGACCTTGTCGGCAAACTTGCGGAGGATGGAGGAGGAAGAGCCCGAGGAGGTGTCGGGTGTCTGTGTGTGTGGGGGTGGGGCGAAAGGAGAAGGCGCAATTAAAACGACAGACACACACACATACATACAGCAGCGAGAGTCAGATCAGGAAATACAACAGCAGCGAGAGTCAGATCAGGAAATGCAGGCGGATAGGCGCACACAAATATGCAACGCCCGCCACGCAAACAAACAAAAAAAAGCCATACCGGTTGAGGGCGGGTTGCACGAACATCGCGCTGCGTCTGCGGAACGCCGAATGCATCGAGTGGTGGCAGCGACGCTAACGAGCCGCTGGAGCCGATTGGAGCAGGAGGAGGAGGAGCAACTGCAGCTGCCGCTTTGATGTCACTGATCGTCTCGTATGTATCGTCAAGGCCGGGCGTCGGGGGCTGCGATGTGTTTGCTCCAGCAGGTTTTGTGGGAATTAGTTCGTAGGACGGCTCCGGTGCACCGGTAGTCGCACTCTCTGAAAACGATATGCTGCTATGCGGGTTCGGATTGGCAAATGGCGTTGCCTTCAGGCCAAGGCGGGCGGCCATCGCGCTGCCGCTCGAGCTGCCTGGGGGCGGCATGGGCAGGCTTTGGAAAGAGAGCTTGCCGGGGGCTGCCTTGGCCGGAACGAAGGTCGGAGCCAAAGGATCGACATCATCGTATTCGGTCGCAGGCTTTGCGGCGCCGCCCGAAGCGGACGGAACCACCTTGTACACGGGCTCGTCTGCAATGGTGGATGCCGCTGGAGGGAGCGGCCGGTTGGCTTTGGCAGGGGGAGCTGCCGCCGGCACGGCCTTGTAGAGGGGCTCCGAGGTGTCTGCTTTGGGAGGGAGAGCTGCTGCTGGCACGGCCTTGTACAGGGGCTCTGGGTTGTCTGGCGGCGCTTGATACAATGGTTCCGCCTCGGTGACCGCCTCGGCGGCCGGTCGAGGAGGCAGCCGAAACGGTTCGCGGTCTGACGGCGACGTTCCAGTGCGATCTGGTAGCGACGCGTTGAATGAGCCCGATTTGGTCTTCACGGGAATGGGAATCGCGGGAGCTGGTTCTGATGCGGACTGGGATTCCTCGGCCACGTTCTCGAGCGAGTGGCTGGGGCTGCGGGCGCCAAACACGTTGAAGGATGGGGAGCGCGTCGACCGTTCCATGGCCGCCGCCGAGTTGTCGGGCATGCTGCTTGTGGAGGACGTGCGCCCCGTGCTGCTCACCGACGAGGTGCGGTTGGAGCTGACGGACGACGACCGGCTGGCAGACGAATGGCTGCTGAACGATTCACTGCGCGATGCATTGTCAACGGGCGGTTCAACGGCGAACAGCGTCGGAGCTGGGGCTGCGGCCACGGGCGGAGGAGTGGGGACGGATGCCTGTTTCGTCCAGACTCGCCGCTTGGTCGTCTGCGAGCGTAGCAAGGCGGCGGGCAGGGGCACTGCGGCTGTCTGCTGCTGGGGAGACCCACTGGCACCCGAGGCCTTGAGCTGGGCGACCGCAGCCAGCACCTTGGCGTAGTCTGGGCTCGAGTCGGCGAGGCCCATCGAGTCGAGGTCGGAGGGCTCAATGTCAGCACACAATTGCACGTCGACAATGCCCTGAGCGGCAAAGCGATCCAAGTGATGGCCCAGCCCGTTGGCCTCAAGCCAATCCGCGACGGACGCTGCCATAGTTTGAGAGAAGTGCGTTTGGTTGGTAGAAACACAAACACACAAACCTGCTGCACGCAATTTTGGAGAACAGCCAGATGAAGCATCGAGTCAGTCATACGGCATTTTGAGAATGAGCGAAAAAGTGAAACAAAGTGTTGCCTTTCGAGATAGAAAGCAGGATCAAAGTGGACAAAGTGGACAAAGAAAGGTGAGAAGTTGAAAGGACGGACGAGATTTTTTTTTTTTTTTTTTTTTTTTTTTTTTTTTTTGCAGGCTTCGTCGTTGACCTGATCGCCTGGATCGACCGACCAAACCACGCCAAGCACGCCGACATGCTGGCTTTTGTGGTGCTATGTGGTGGAGGCACCCTTGTTGCATTGCGTAGCGTTGCTTCTCGACCATCACAATGGAAACTCGGCATCTTCACCCATCCACATCAATGTGCTTGTGCGTGTGTGTGTTTCGCCACTGCCATTCTAATGACTGCATGCTCGGAACCACAACAAAGAGACACAGAGAGAGAGACAGAGAGAGAGAGACACAGAGAGAGAAAGAAAGAGAGACGAAGCACGACTTGTGGAATCACACCAGATTCATATTTCAATGTACAAACCAAGCCAGAGTCAGGTCATTGCGGCCGCGGCTTCCCCCACCCCCCTACCTCAATTTTCCATTCTCCTGCCTTGTCACTTCGTCCAAGCAGCTTCACACCCCGCTCCCATTGCTCCCCCATTCATCACCCATCAAGCGATGAAAACAGCAGTGACTCTTTTTTTTTTTTTTTTTTGGGTTTTCTAAAGCTTTTCGTAGTGTTCACTTCTTCTGCTGCTCCCGAACCACCTGCAACAAGTTCGGTGCTCTGTAGCCAACAACACAAGGCTCTTGACACAAAACTGAAGCGTCGTGATGGGAGAGAGCGAGAGAGAGAGCGCGAGAGAGACTGACAGGCGAGGAATAAGGAATAAAATCCAACAAAGCGCAGACTCACGCCTCGCTGGGCCTTTCACTCAATGGTGCATGGCCGTCACTCTCCTCACGTCAGCATCCTCTCGTTAAGAGGAGAACAAGACACACCGGATGACAGAGCACACACACCCCCAAGACCGAGCCAAAAATACAAAAACCACCTCAAAAAAAAAAAAAAAAAAAAAAAAAGTCCAACTGGGTTGATTCAATGATGCAGAGCCAAGCATCCACCATACACAACTCCACCTTCTTGCTCTGATGCGAGTATCAAACAAAGTGGAGGTGCACGACATGAAGAATCCCACACACACCCTCCTCCCTTCCTGTGGGCACCAGCAACAATCAAAGCCCGTCGCTTTGTGAGGAGAGAACATAAAAAAAATAAATAAAAAATAAATAAAAAACAATCCACAATGCAAATCCCAGCGAAACTTACAAAAAAAAAAAAACGAAAAAAAAAAAAAAAAAACACAACACAAACAAAAAGAAACGACTGACGTTGAATTTCTGAACTGAAGGGACGACGTGTGGTGGCAAAGACAAATATGCAAAAATGGCGTGGACTTTTCATATGGAATATATAAAAGCAAAGTGGGAAACGGAGGAGGAGATTGGGCAGAAGAGGAAGAAGGGGCGGAAAATCGCAGGAAAACGAACCGAGCGAGAACTACTGTATGGTGGCAGTGCATGGAGACAGGACGCATGAAGCAGGTTGAGTCCACAATGAGGCAACCTTGTCACGATGGGTTGAATAGTGGTAGCACAAGCTAGATTTCAATCCAGAGATACATGTACGAGTCGTTCATCCCGTTGTTGGTTGAATTTTACGCCAACCGGAAGCAGGAGCATTCGCTCTCCCCCGACCCTTTTCCCCCAAATGCACCAAAGCTTCCACACTCTGCTACTCCCTACTGACTTGCTCGTTTCCGATCTTCTATTCTACAATAGGTTGGGATCCAGTCTCTCTTGTTCCTTCATCCCACTTTCTCCTTCCTTTCCCCTCTTTGTTCCTCCTCCTCCTCTTTCTTCAGTCATGCCGATCGTGCAGTCGTATCTGCGCTACGCCCCTTCCGGCGCCTCGTGTGGCGTCGTGTATGCCGCGGGTGCGGGCGATGCAGGCAGCAGTGCGGCGTCGGCGCTGGCGTTTGCCCATCCCGCGTCGAAATCCAGCGCGTCGCACGTCGTCCTGTGCCCTGCGCTCGAGAACGTCATCGCCTGGGACATTCGCAAGGGCCAGCAGGTACAGCTCCAACCCTATCGACACACTTCTGATGGTTGGTGGTCAGGGATGGGTTGAGGGGGTTGAGGGGGTTGAGTTTGCTTGTCCATGCTTCAGCTGCCAATGGTTCATCCACATGGAGTTCCACATGGCCAAACGCACGGGCTGTGCAGCACGAAGCGCGGAGTGCACTCGTCCCGATCTCCGCTCATCTGCATCCCGAGTCCATGTGCATGTTCGAAGCGACTCTACCGCTTGTTGTTGGGAGAGGGCGAAGGGGGGGGGGATGAGAGATGAGCAAAATCAGACCCAAAGGGGAGGCATCGAACTGAAAACGCGCCCAACTGGATTGGATGTCCGCTTCACTTCACGCTTGCCATTCTCACGTCTCAACCCAACTCTGGTCATTGCAAACAGGAATACATGCTGCAAAGCGACGGCAAGCACGCGGCCACTTGCGTCGCACGGAGCCCTGATCAGCGTCACATTGCTGTCGGCTACTCGGACGGCGCGATTCGCCTTTGGAACTCGGCGACACGAACCGTCGCAGTGGCATTCAATGGCCACTCGGCAGCAGTGACTGTGCTGCGCTTCGATGCGCAGGGTGCGCTGCTGTACTCGGGGTCGCGCGACACGGACGTGATTGTTTGGGACATTGTTGCCGAAACCGGTCTGTACCGTCTGAAGGGCCACAAGGACGCCATCACAGACATTCGGCTCCTGCCCAAGCACAAGCTGCTGCTAACCAGCTCGCGCGACTCGCTCATCAAGGTCTGGGACTCGACCCAGAGCTGTGTCGACACGATTGTCGGTCATCGCGCCGAGGTGTGGTCCATGGCCGTCGACGACGACGAAACCATGCTTATTACAGGAACCAGCGACCCGGAGCTTCGCGTGTGGTCTATTCGGCCCGTGGAGGCAGCAACCTCTGCATCGTCCGCTTTCAGCTTGGGATCTGGCAAATTGGCCGATTTGAAAAAGGTACCATGGTTGTGGTTGTTGCGTTGTTCTTGACACCTGCTTTTTTGTTGAGTTGTGTTTATTGCTTGAAATTCTCTTTTGTTGAATTGTTCTTGCGGAGCTCGACCCCTTTTGCCTTTGTGTTTTTGCTTCTCCTTTTTTTTGTTTTCAACTTCTACAAACTCACCTCAATTTGCTCTCTCATTCCTCCGAAATCCACACAGATTGCAAACATCACAGGCATCGAGTTCCATCTCGATGGCGTCATCCGACGCCAAAGCACAGACCGTGCCTGCGCCTTGACCATCTTGAGCGAGGCGCGGGTGCTTGCGTGCCACAACGGCGACCGTACGGTCGAGTTTTACCGCATTCGAACCGTCGAAGACGTGTCCAAGCGTGCCGCCAAACGCATTGCCAAGCAGCAGCAGCAACAACAACAACAGACGGAGGGCCAGGAGATGGCTGTCGACGAACCGTCCTCCACAACTCCAGCAGATCGTATCATTCTGTGCCACGTGCTTCGTACCGGGGCCAAGGTTCGAGGACTCGACTTGCAAGTCCAATCTGTGGGTGTGCCGTCCGCTGCCGAGGCGGCCGATGACGCGAGCAACAAGAAGAAGAAGGCCAAGAAGAGCGACAAACTCGCGGCGGTCAAGCTGCTGGCCGCAGTCGGCCTGGCAGACAACTCTGTCGAGCTCTTTTCGTTGGATCTGGGCACCAACTCGGCCGAAGAGGTCAAGATTGCATCAGTAGAGCGTGCAGGTCATCGCTCTGATATTCGCTCCCTGGCGCTCAGCTCGGACGAGTCGCTCATCCTGTCCACGTCAAATAACGAACTCAAAATTTGGAATCGCGTCACCAAGGCCTGCTTGCGTACGATCGAGTGCGGGTACGGTCTGTGCTCGCTGTTTGTGCCTGGAAACCGCCATGTCATTGTCGGCACAAAGACCGGCGAGCTGCAATTGTTTGATATTGCCTCGGGCGTCATGTTGGAGAACGTCAAGGCGCACGAAGGCGCAGTGTGGTCTATCTGCCTGCGACCGGATCGCCGCGGCTTTGTCTCTGGTTCGGCCGACCACGACGTCAAGTTCTGGGAGTTTGAGCTGGTGACGGAGCAAGTGCCGATGGAAGAAGGCAGCCAGCATGTTCAAGCGCAAAGGCGGCTCACCTTCACCCACGAAAAGACGCTGAAAATGACGGAAGACGTTCTGGCCGTCACGTACTCTCCCAACCAACAGCTGCTGGCCGTTTCCCTGCTGGACTGCACGGTGAAGGTGTTTTATGCCGACTCGCTCAAATTCTTCCTCTCCATGTATGGCCACAAGCTTCCCGTGCTTGCCATGGACATTTCCTCAGACAACGCGCTCCTCGTGACCGCGTCCGCCGATAAGAATGTCAAGATCTGGGGTCTGGACTATGGTGACTGCCACCGCTCGCTCTTTGCGCACGCCGACTCTGTCATGTCTGTGCGCTTTGTCCCCGAAACACACTATTTCTTCTCGGTCAGCAAGGACAAGACGCTGCGATACTGGGACGCCGATCGCTTCGAGCACATTGCGTCGCTGGAGGGCCACCACTCTGAGGTCTGGTGCCTCGCCGTGAGCAAAACGGGCCACTTTATTGTGACTGGCTCCCACGATCGGTCCATTCGTGTTTGGGAGCGTACCGAACAGCAGCTGTTTGTCGAAGAAGAGCGCGAGCGGGAACGGGAGCAAGAATACGAGAATGCGGCCGTCGAATCGCGCGAACGAGCGGCAAATGCTGGTCTGAGCGTTCCTGGCCAGGAAGGCTCTGCCGACGACGAGAATGGAGCTGGCGATGCATCTCAAGCCGGTCCTTCTGCTGGCGGGGCCTCAGCTGGCTCTGCCGCATTGGCTGGAAAGCGCACCATGGAGACCATCCGATCTGGCGAGCAGCTCATTGAGGCTCTGGAGATTGCCATCGACGAGAAGGCCAAGGAAGACGCATATTTGCAGCAATTCCACGCGTACGAGCAAATGCGAGAGCAATTGCAAAAGGAGCAAGACGAGATTGAGCAGGCGCAGCAGCAGCAAAAGCAACAGCTCGAAGCGTTGGAGGCGAGCGGCGCCAAGGGCAAACGCGGCGCGGGCAAGAATTCCAAATCTCGCGATGTGAGCGAGTATGAGCAGTCGATTCTGGCGGCCGAGGCCACGACGGCTGCTGCCGCGGCCTTGGCTGTGCGCGTCGCTGCTGCGGCCGCTACAGCTGCCCCCCGGCCTCCGGCCAAACACCCCATGCTCATGGCGTACGGCAACCTGTCGCACTACGACTATGTTTTGCAGGTTTTGCACCGAATTCGCGCCAGCGATCTCGAGGCCACCCTTCTCCTGCTCTCCTTTTCCCATGTTAGTCACCTGCTCGAATATATCGAGTACTTTGTGCGCAACGGCAAGTCCATCGAGCTCTGCCTGCGCTGTGAGCTCTTTTTGATGCGACTCTATCAAAACCAAATTGTTGCAGCCCCCGCTCTGCTCTCCACCGTGGAATCTCTGCACCAGCACACGCGGTCGCGTATTACCGAGCAGAAGGTAGGTGTCTTGGTTGCGATTCTTTTGCGCCTTTTCTGCTTTGTACGTTGTGCCTATTTTGATTGTTGTGCGCATGTTGCTCACCGGTTTGATTCTCCTTCTCCCTACGTCTTTTCAGAATATCATTGGATTCAACATGGCCGCCCTCAAATTCATGAAGCGAGATCTCGAGTCGCAAGCCAGCATGAAGCTGTTCTCGGATGTTCCGATCAAGCTGCAAGCCATCCGCAAGAAGAAGAAGAAGGCCATCAAGTCGTGAGCAGATGCGCACAGGAGCATTTGTCGTGTTTTGATTTTTTTGATACTTGAATACAATTGTACAACAACAACAACCTTTTTTTCAATAATTGTGATGGCATACAATGCCCCAAACACATATCCAAGCTTTCATGTTACCAGGACGAAGAAGCGATTTGAAAAGCCCAAAAGACAACTCACAACTGTTTGGACTTGCGAGCGCCGCGCTTTCCAGCCGCGACCAGATTTTTCATGGTTGCCGCTCCTCGCTTGCGCTTCGTGCCAGCTGGTCTCGAGACGATGGCCGACGACGATGAAGAAGGAAATGGTCGTCGACGAGCAGTGGTGCGAGGCTGTTTCTTGGGTCGGCTGGCTCGAACCGCGGCCTTGCGCTCGTCCATGCGAGCGTAAATGGCAGACAATTTCATTTGGCGCATGCGCTCCTTGCGCTCCTGTGCCTTGTTGCGCTTTTTCAACGCATCGTTGACAGCATGCAGCCGACCATCTGGCTCTCGCACAATGCGCGGAGGCTTTGTGACTGAGCCATGCATTTCATGTTCATGCAAGGAGGACTCGGTCATTTGGAGCTTGTCCATGACCTCCTTCATGTGTGCCGGCAGCGGAGCAAGGACGACCAGCGGCTTGTTGTTCCGTTGTTGGTCGAGACTTGGGACTACGATGCTTCGCGCATGCAGCTGCAGCTTGACGACATCGTTCTTGGCGTCCCAGCCGGCAATGCCAAGAGGTTCGTGCAGCTCGACAGGACATCCGTTGCCGTAGCGGTTGTCGCCCAGAATCGGATGGCCGAGATACTTGGAGGAGTGCACACGGAGCTGGTGCTTTCGGCCCGACATTGGCACAAATTCAATGAGTGCGGCAGGGCCTCGGGACGAGCGCCCAACCACACTAAAGTGGGTAATGGCGGACAGCGCATCGCGTCGGGTGCGCAAATAGCTGGTTTCGTTGGCATACACCAAATCGTGGCGGCACAAGACCGTGCCTGGAGTCACGCCCACCTTGCGCGCAGTCGTTGCTGAAATGACTTCGAGCGGGCAGTTAATGATGCCAGAATCGAACGGAGGCGCGCCTGCAACGATGGCAGTATATGTCTTCCCGATGCGCTGCTTTTGGAAGGCGCGAGAAAGAATGCGAGCAACGCGAGGGTTGCGCGCGAGCAAGAGGGCGCCCGTCGTGTTTCTGAGAAGAGCAAAGATGACGGGTTAGAACAGCAATCCATACAACAAATACAGAAACACACACAAAACCTCCACATCACTCACTTATCAAGGCGATGAACAATGTGAGGGAGACACGGCGCCTCGAATTGAAGCGCGGGGAGGAGGCGAGACAAATCCAACGCCTCAAAGCCGTCTGCCATGACACTGAGACCCGCCGGCTTGTTGATGACAATAATGTGCTGATCCTTGTGCAGCACGCACTGCCGAATGCGATCGCGTTCCGCATCCGTAATGGGCCGAGGCGCAGGCCTTGGCGGGCTTTGTGCGCCAATGGGAACTTCGTTCACGTCAACATCGGCATCCACCACCTCTTCGACTGGGTCGCGCGAGAATGTGTCTCTCCCGGAGCGTTTTTGAGGCGAGTTTGCCGTGTGCGACGCTGTCGATTTGGGGGCTTTTGAGTCTGTTTGTCGCGAGGAAGACGAAACCAAGAATCGGTCCTCGTTAAAGCGCGCCGACGCTGGACCCGACTGCACAATCTTTTGTCGGCCAGTGCGAGCAGGAGTGTCGGCAGCTGCGGCAGAGGACGATCGACGATTCCAGTCCCTCGCGGAACCCCAGGATTCACGATGCTCGGCGTACAATGCTGCATTCTTGTTGACAATGTTTGTAACGACTTTTGGCGGCTTCTGCACGACAGGGTCGGAGCGGGACACCTCACCCTTTCGGGCGGTGTACGGTTGATGGGAAGGCGAAATGTACGCGGGCCGACTCTTGTTCTGGTTCCTGAACGCGGGCCGATCTTCCTCATCGTGTGCGCCTCGTCGTTCAGGCGTGCGCGGTGGCTGCACGGCCCGACCTGGCAGGTACTTTGCTCGGGACCGCTCAACGCGGTTGGACGACTCGGCCGATGGAGTTCTGAGACTGCGCTCGTCGTGTCGCGATGAAGCAGCATTCCGTGCTCCGAATCGATCCCGATCAGAGTACCTTGACGACGTAGCATCATCGTTATCATCATTCTGTGCTTCATTGCGCTCACGCAATCGGCGACGGAAGCGGTTCTCGGGCTTTGCGGGCGACGCGTTCAGGCTCCTGTCAATCCTGACGTCCTCGCGAGCCGCACCGGCCGACATCCTGCTCCGATCGCGATCGCCAGAGCGAGACTGAGAGTGATGGTGCTTGGTCGGGGTTGGGCGGCGTCCGACGCGTGGTCCGAACGGGCTCGGAGCGGACGTCGATGCAAAGCGAGCGCCAAGACCAGCGGCGCCGACGACCGAGTGCAGCCAGCAGGATGGGGCAGCAGCAGCAGCAGCAACAGCAGGGCTCGCAGCAGGTGTGGCAGCAAGCATGATGGACGCCGATGCTGCTGCGACAGACGAGTGATGGTGACTGTGGCGGTACGAGTGCG